GAGCTGTGAGGAGAGCCATTCGAGCGTATTGAGCCGTGGTCGGCGAGCAATATACCGCCATAACGTTGCCGGATCCCAGATGGTCTTATACGCCTTCTCGGTGGGCTTGGTCGAACGTGCGAGGCCTCTGAAAAAGCGTTGAATGTTGGGCGCGGTGCTGATAGTTTCATCGCCGGTAATGTGTTGCAGCGTATTCGCGATCGCCATACGGTAACCTTGCAGGGTTCTGAGGGTGAGGTGCTTCTTGGAATGAACGTCGGTGAGGAAGTTCAGAAACGATGAATGGCCGGCGCAAATGGGATCAACGTCCCGCTGTAGACACCAGCGTACGTAGATTCGCCAGACCGAGTTGTGATTGGCGTTGTTCGCAAGGGAGCGGAGCGTGATGTTGATAGCTGCCTGGGATAGGCCTCGCTGTGCGCTGTAATACCGAATAACCGCCATGCGATCGTGAGGGTCCACGGCGGTTTGCGAAGAGGAAGGCCGCTCTGGGCTTGAAATACTTTCGGCTTGGACGGAATCGGAATTGGGTCGGCAGTTGAGAGGCGAAGAAGGAGCGGGAATGCTGCGTGCGACGGCCAGAACGGTGTTATCAGGGTCAGGTCGTGGACTTCCTCGTTGATGATCTTGCGGGTGATGCTCGATATCAGCAGCCATTGGGGGTTCGCATAGCAGACGTGATGAGACCAAAATATCTGCAAAGCATCGACGGCAAATGCTTGGGGATCCCACGGGTCCAGCGTGCAGTAGTGTGGAATGCGGGGATTGCGGTTTGTGCCCGTCGCGAACAGCTCCATTGTGTGATCCACCTGCCACCGGCCCTGAATCTGCCGGAGAATGCGCGGGTTGAGCTAGTAGTCATTCCGATCGTTCTGCTGACGGGAATCGAGGTCCGCTATCATGTTTTCCTTGCCGGGAATGTGGAGCGCCTGCCATGTCGTGTTCTGGTGCCGGTAGAGGGGGAGAAGGTGCTCGATTACCTGCAAGAGGCGATCTTTGCGGCCGCCGCCTTTGTTGAAGTAGAACATTGTCGGCGTGTTGTCGGTCATGTGGATGACGTGCGCTTTGGAGAAGTCGAATCCATGACGCTCGCAGAGGATGTCGACGGTGCAGACTTGAGCTATGGCTTTGAGGACGTTGTTGGAGACTAGACGGTCGCGCTTCTGACGCCGAATTGCCCGTTGAAGAGCGGCGAATGGGAACTCGGGGAAGTACCGTTGAATCAGCTCCGGCATCCACCGTTCTTGGATGCGAATTAGCTGGCCCGTCTGCGGATGTTGACAATTGCCACCGCACCCGTGGTTGGGGGATGCGTCGGCGAACATGCGGTAGTCGGTGTCCTTGATGAGCAGGCCTTTCCCATTCCACGCGCTGAGGTTGTTGGCAAATTCGCGAATGAGAGTGTGTGTTGGGGGTGGAATCACGCAGAATGCGCGGGGATGACGAGCTTCCCGTTTCCAGTCGAAGGTCTTCTTCTGGACTACTCTTCGCAGTGCGCAGGTGAGGGGTTGAGAGAACGTTTTCGCTATCGTGATTGCCGGCGTGATGGCCTGAATCTTGCCGAGGATGTGGGCTACTTGGTGTGCAGGAATGCGTGTGCGGCGACTGGTTTGACGTAGGAGCCGGATCATGGCGCGGAGTTTGTCGTGGGGAAGGCGCATGGTTTTGAGGGTGAGGTCCCATTCCCAGCCGACGTAGCGTGTCGCCTGTGATGGGGTGATGTCGCATTTGGCCCACTTGAAGAGGCAGCTAAGGAGTTGCATCAGCCGTAGAGTGAACAGCATCCCCTCGAGGCGATGGAGTTGTGTCGTCGCAACATTGAGGAAGTCGTTGACACACGCGAGAATGGTGTGCCCGTTGTAGCGTACTATCTTTAGGATGGGCTTCATTGTCTTTGTGAAGACTTTGGGGGCGTGGTTCTGTCCGAAGAGCATCGCAATTGCGCGGTAGTAGCGTCCGCGAGTGCGGAGCATTAACCGGTTTCGTTCTCGCGGGTGATTGGCGATGAGGTTGTACGCATCTGCCAGGTCTGTCCTGCTTGCCCAGTTTGCCGTTGCCATCACCTTCTGGACAGTTTTCACCGTCTCCATTTTGAAGTGCCCCGTCGGGCTCTGCTCGTTTACGCCCGTGTAGTCGACAATCTGGCGCCATTTTGAGCGGGATGGTTGGTATTGTTATGGACGACGCGTCCATACCATGCGCTTACCTCATGACAGCATCCCAACAGTCAGTCAATGTCAATTCCCTGTCAAAACCTGACATCTGCCAAACCTCGCAGCCGCACGCAGCCGCGCTACCCCACACCTGCCACTGCCTTCATTTCTCCACGCAGCCGCACGTAGCCACACCTCCCAACACTCGGCGCTTACAAACCCTTCTCCATACTTCCCCACGTACCCGCCCACAGCCTCAGCATAGCCACCCCATCCCCAGTCTTCTGTTTCTATGCTTCCCCACCCTTGGCGCTTCTCTTGGCTTCCCTCTCATTCCGTACCCTTCTGCTTCCCCACGCTTCCCCAGCCTTCCCAGAAAAACATAAATAGCCGCCTCCCCTGAGCTCCCCACTTCCTGATCCCCAGCAGATCAACACCAGTTCTTCCTAGTCTTGTTCTAGTTCTTGTTTCGGTCTGAATACCATTACCTGTCAACAACCTGCACCACAAGTCGCCTCTATTTCCATCGGCTCCGCCCATTCATAACAGAGAGACGACTTGGAAGCTCAGCTACTCCCCCACCAGCTTCAACTTCCCCATCGATGCCAACTCCAGCATCCTCACCAGCCCTGCCACCAACTTCGACGCCTCCGACTTCGACGCCACCGACTTTGACTTCCTCCAGTCCGATGTCCAAAGAAGTAACGTCAACGTCTATATTCATTGCCGAGGGGTCGGGGTTTAGCTCTTCATTGTTGACGCGGGCGTGCGTAAGAGATTCATTAGCGACGGCTGCGACGGGTTCGACTGGTTCGATGTTGCGCTCTCGCTCTGCCAAAGAGATGTTGTGACTATGGGATTGATATGGACGCCGACTGTGGAGTAACGGATGATGATGCGGAGATTGTCAAATTACCAACGACGTTTCCCAGACCGGCAGCGTGGTGGAACCGGCCGCCGGTAGTGTGGAAAGGCGAGCCGTGGCCAAAGGCGGATGAAGAACATCTCATCTTCCTTCAACGTGTAAATGGGAGCACGAATATGCCGGTGGGCCTGGCTCTCGGTAGAAAGGGAGGAAAAGCAGGAGACCTGAGGATCCTGGCAGGGTCGTCAATCATTGAACCTGCTACCATTCGGAGGATTGTCAAAACCGATAGCTGGCTGAACGATCAAGCCGTCAACAGGTCCGTTCCTGCCTTCCCATGCGAGTGTGTGTCATTGTTGTCACTCACTGATGCTTGTCTCTGGATATATAGGTGGTGCGTGTTGTTACAAGCCAGGTCATCACGGCACCCAACCATTTATCCGCCACTGCTAGCCGTTGGATCCACTTGGCTCCAAAGTGTCAAAATGGCACAGAGATCCAATGTCCCTATTCGGCTTGTTCCGGTAAGAAAAGTTACTTAACCGTACCGTATTTAACCAAACTAACCTTCCTTTTTTTTGTTTTATGTTAAGCGGTCTATCAACGTTGCGGAGTACAACATGCTGCTATTCCCAACAAACCCAGACAATCTGCACTGGGTCCTGTTTGCAATACTCGTCGCGGTGCCGGCGCCCAAGTCCGCAAAACCCCTGGGCCCCCCTGGTTCGCCATTAACCAGACACGAAAACGCATCCCTTGTTTTATTTGACTCAAAGCCTTGTCGCCCGAACGACGACAACTACGTTGATAAGATGGCCAATATCGGCTCCCTCTTGTGGGATTGGTACATTACGGCCACTGAAGCCCCGCTCAATCACACACTGACACCGACGGTTGGCGCCCTCTTCACGCCTCGACAGACCGGTGACCAGAACTGCGGTACATTTGTGTGCATGATGGCCAATGCCATTGCCCGTGGTGCGGTGGGTGAGGTCTCGGAATCATGGGCTGATACGCAGACCGCCGTCAATGCCCGCCATAATATCGCTCTGAGCATTGTTTTGGCGACGTTTCTTAATGAGGGGGATGCTCATCAGTATATGAATGTGACAAAGTGCTAGATCTCTGGTGACTGTAGCCGTAGTCCCTTCAATAGCATCATTGTAAAGTAGTAGTCAAAATGCCGTACAAACATCGGCCACGCTTCGGCCAGGTCTACACAAAAGATCCAGTCCTGATCAGGGCCGCTGCCGGATTCACCTGGAATATATCGGCGGCCACAACGAATGTGTTGAACTTCGGCGCATCGAGTCCGGAAACCGTCACAGTAACCGGATATGGCTTGACGAACTTCATTATTTCTGGAGGCGCCGTGCAGCCGACCTTCCAATGTCAACCCTAACCCAAGAGAGGTGACCTAACACTCCCGAGACCCGAGTTAGGGTTGCGGTTACGGTTAGGGTTAGGGTTAGGGTTGTGGGAAAGAAAAATGTGCTCGTACAGCGTTGCGCCGATAATGAAAAGGGTTAGGTTAGGGTTAGGGTTATATCCTGTGCGAAATTCTACCAAGTGCGGGTAAACGGCGGGAGTAACTATGAGGGCTGCGGGGTTGCCAGGAAGGTATCGGCGCACCAGCGCAAAGTCCACACCCCCCAAGCGGACAAGCATAAGAAGTACGCCATAGGAGGAGGCTGCCTTGCCGTCGGGGGCAAGCTCCACAGTGCTGAACACAGGGCGTCCATGGAAAAAAGAGACGTCATGTGGACATGGAGCTGTGTGTAAATGGGATGTATCGTGGGGATGTGGGACTTGGTTGACAGTGAACATGTTGGAGATGTAAACACATATATCCACAGGAGGTCAGCCCGTTTTCACCTCGGCCATACGTGAAATGGGATGTCTCCCGAGGTTGTTGAGTTGACATCAAATGGATGTCCTTTTGATGTATGGCGGATCCGAAACGTGATATCACGCAGAGAAGTGGCGGATTGACCAGCGTGGACATCAAATTTTACATGCACGGACATCAAACTAAATTTTACATCCATCACACATCCCACCATTATTCGGTTTGTATACAATTCGTAGAGAAGTATTCACAATATACATGAAAGAGCGGTCACATCGCTCGGGTGTGGTTGGTATATGGATGTGTACATCACAATGGGATGAGGCTGAGGCTGGTAAATGGATGTCATAGCAAGCTTTGACTTAGACCGGGTTTGCTGCCCAAAGGCGGTCGGCGTATGAGTGGGAGGGGAAGATAAACTTCCCAGCGAGTGTTGCGTTCTTGAAGAAGCGAACGGGCACGGATGTGCAGCAGCAGTCTTCCCTTCCGGCCGCTGCTCCAGTCTCCATCGTCCGCACCATCCTTACTCGCCACTCGTATCCCCTTCCTTAGGTGCTATCCCCTTGAAATATGGATCTACCAGTGGACGAACATTTTAATCAATATCATTTTCTCGAACAGAAATCGGCACCATACGACATGCCATTACTCACGTAACAAAGCCTTCTCGGCACTTATCCGCTTCTCCGGTTGGAACTCAATCAGTTTCGACAGCAGGTCGAGGCCGTTGGCGTCTAGTTTGTTGAGCATCCGATCCAGGGACGTGCGTGCGTAGATGGGGAAGTCCGACTATATCATAAGTGCGTGAGTAAGTGGTTGAGGAGATAAGAATGTGAGCTGGAACATTGAGTGCACACCTTGTATTCCGGCAACTCTTTGATCTTTGGCCACGTCTGTTATGTATGAGTTCGCAAGGGAAAGGGCACGGTCGTGCATCAGTATAAGCAGATTACCCCCCCCCCCCCCCTCATCGATTATTCCGCGTACCTTCTCATCAGGCGTCCCCATCACCTTGAAAATGCGTATTAACTGGTCTTTAATGGAGCTTCCAGGAAACAATGGCCGTCCTGATGCCATTTCTGTGTGCCAAAAGGACGAAATTATTCGTCTCGTTCGGGGGCCACTTCCTCCGTCTAATCCTTATCTTTACCTGCCATGATACACCCCGCAGACCACAGATCTATTGACGTGGAGTACTGCCGTGATCCCATGAGGACGTCGGGGGCGCGGTACCATAATGTCACGACCTGCGGGAATCGAGGAGGTTTACACAGAGTTAGCAATGGAGAGCGACACGAATGTGAGGTATGCCATGTGCGAATTCTTCCCAGTCACGTTACCTCGTGCGAGTAACTCCGAACTGCATTCAAGACACCGTTAGAAAACATGCAAACCCACTGCACACCCCGCCGTCGGACAACGGACCCAATGGCTGACATACCAGGTATCCCAAACGCGCGCGCCAGCCCAAAGTCTCCCAGTTTGAGATCGAGCTTCTTGTTGATGAGAAGGTTCCTTTTCGGCACCCAGGTCAGGATCACTATACGACAAGGATTGCCCGCGGACCATAAACTCCCGTCTTACTGTGGTTTCAGATCCCGATGCAACACTCGGTGCTCATGGCAGAATGCTATGCCGGTTAACAGCTGGTACATGAGATGCTAGGGAAGAATGGCAATGGCGTCACTTGCGCAGGTTCTCATGCCACACCACCTCGTTACAGCTCGGAAAAACACGGGATGAAAACCGGCGCTATTCTTTTGCGCACCTTCAACGTCGGCACATCGATATCCCCGCCACATGAGTCCAGAAACTTCTTCAAGTCCGAGTCCAGGTACTCAAACACAAGGGTGAGCTTCTTCTCCGTGTGGATCACGTCGTACAGCCTATGACCGTAGGGTCAGATCCTATCATTCCCAAAGCGCCACCCGAGATACGAGCGTGGTGCTTACCGCACGATACTGGGATGCTTCAGCTCTTTCAGTAGTGATATTTCCCGTATTGCTGTAAAGGCCGAGAGCTTTAGTCATCAACGTTCCACGCTCCATGCGCTTTCATGAAGAATCCACTTTGCATACCTGTACATGGCACGCCCTAGAGTCCGCGCACACGAGAGAGATGAGTGCTTCGATGCCGAGCCACAGCCTCGGAGAGTCCGCCTTACCTCCTCTTCATTGTCGAGTCGTATCTACTAGTGAAACGAAGCAGGAGGTGATTCGCTTTGTGAGAATATCATCACTGTAGGTCGTCCTCCCAATCGGCGAATGCCAGATCCCAGGTCGCAATAAGGACCACATCTCTACGGGTGTATCTAGTTCATCGAATGCCACTCGCAGAAGCGCACCCTACCACTATCGATCATACGTCACTCTGAATGCCACATCGCTGGTGACTCCTCGCCCAACCCCTCATCCACTAACGTCCTTTCCATCGATAACACCGTCTGCCCTTCGTTAAATCTCTCTTGAGAGTGATCTCCCCTATGGGCCGTCTACCTCATGCCTCGCCCGAATCATCCTCCCGCCCTTATCCCCCTACGTCCCGGCTTTCCCCTCGGGGCACAAGATGAGCCACGTACCCTCTTCAGAGCCACAATATCGCCGGTATCTTTGTTTTGTGCTTTATATACGATTCCATATGTGCCTAGCAAAGCCAGGTATAAAGCGTCAACCTCGACTCGATGATACCGCGGCTCTCAGTTCAACCCTACCTTCACCAAGCTTTTCTATTTTCTACAAGTTCGTGGGCAAGGCCGGGATGAAGAAAGGAAATGAAGGTCAGCTGGGCTTGAGAGCCAGCAGCTCGGGCATAAGACGGCACTGCTAGGCCCCCCTACTACGATTGCTTTCACCCCACTGGGGTGTGGGAAACGTGGCTTGCCAATTGCTGGCCGTCCTCCAACTCTTTCCACTTCCGCGTGCGCTTCAACCAGGGCGCTAAGACTTGCCTGGTACTTTTCCATCAGGCAGATTGTCCGTAGTAAGCGGTCCTATATCACTTCAGCTCTGTTTCGATGCAAATTCTAAGAGGGCCGTAGATAATGTCAAGCAGTTTTGGGCACTTTGCGGAACTCGTGGACGGGCCAACCGATGAACTCCGGACGGACAAGGTGGACGGCAAACGAAGGGAAAGTATATGTGTGTTTGAGAAAGCCAGTTATTGCGCCAGTCGGCTCAGTCGGTCGTCGTCTCGGCGGTTTGGGAATGTTGTCCACACGGAAACCCTGGCCTGGCTCTAGATCTGTTACTGGCTGTTACATACTCGCGCATGTAACCCTGACTGTCCTCTAGACGCGCGAGACGCGAGCTCCTAGTTCTGCGGGTTAGGGTTATAGTGTGCTTGTGCAGGTTAGGGTTACGTTATAGCGTTTTGGAAACATCTAACCAGGAAGAGTGCCGCAGTTCTTGAGCGATTCAAAATCCGTAAAGATAGAATGGTTGCTTGAAATCCGCTGCATCGATCTGGTGATTCAGAATTCCGTTGGAGTGTGCAGGGGAAGCGCATTGATCTAGTTTGCAGCCCTAAGCACTGTGTACAATAAAATCAAGCTCCAGGCATCAGTTGTTGTCTCCAGGACCTCAAACTTTCACAACGCACTAAGCATACCTATTGGAGTGAGCTGTGGGATAGACATTCTAGAACCCGGATGGGAAAAACTTCTACTGATTGGATGTGTGTTTGAAGGATTTCGCTTCCAGCACTTCTAATTGATAAGTCCACATTTTACTGATTGTTTAGTCAAATGAAGTCGCTCAAGTGATTCCCCATATCCTGTTTAATGATGTCCAATATTCTCAGGATTGATGGTTGGGGTTTGTTGTTTCAACGGGAATGAACGGGCTAGAAAAAGGAGCTGTGGAAAAAGCGTCGTCGGAGTTGCGTACTGCCCTCGCGACGCGACTGCGCGAACCTACAGTATGTGAGCTAGATACAGAGTGTGCGCTGAGCTTCCGCGGGAGTACATACATAACAGCCATTGACAGCCCCTTCTCTGTGTGCATCCCACGCTCAGCACCCCAGAATCTCTTTGCAAGGTCCTTTGGCAACCCAACCCCCCTCCTTCCTCTGGCCTTTCCCAAGTTAGCCTCCACCCGCAACACCGTTAAGCCCGTCTTCACCTGAGCGGGGGAAACTTGCGCCACGATGCAACGCGTAGCTAGAGCCGCCATCACCGGCAGACCGGTCTCGATCGCGGTCGTTGGGGCTGGCGAGCGTGGGAAGGTGGGTAGTGAGTAGTTGAGGGTGTGGGGGAGGTAGGGAGGGACGAGTGAAGAACGGCGAAGGCGACGGAATCAAGGACGTACGGGGGATTGCAGCTCGACGGGCACGGGTATGCCTTAGGGAACGGCGAGGCATTCTGAGCGAAGCGGGCGGGTGTACGGTGCCGCGGGGCTAGCGAGCGGCCAAGCTAGAGCATCCATGGGCTATCATCAAACGTTCCGTCTCGAGCCAAGACTAACTTTCGAAATTTCCCACGCCCCAGATCTACGCCGGCTTTGCCCTCGAAAACCCCCACCTCCTCCGCGTCGTTGCCATCGCTGAGCCCTCCCCACGTCGTCGGGAAGCCTTCCTCAAACGACACCCCGAGATACCGCCTACCAACGTATTTTCAGATTGGCGGGATATGATCAAAAAGGAGAAGTTGAGTGATGCGGTGGCGATATGTATGCTGGATCAGATGCATGCGGAGAGTGTGTGTGCGTTTGCGGAACGGGGCTATGATGTGCTTTGTGAGAAGCCGATGGCGATTTCGCCGCGGGATTGTGCGGACATCGTGAGGAGTGTGTTGAAGAATGGGGTTATTTTTGCCGTAAGTACTGGGAGCGGAGCGAGCTTGGCGAGCGATAGCGAACGCTCGCGTTTCTTGAAAACATGCCCTCGCACGTTCTCACATCCGTCCTTCCCATCTTCCCCAGGTCTGCCACGTATTACGCTACAGCCCATACAACCGGGCACTGAAACGACTCCTGGACTCGAACGCGGTCGGCGAGATTGTGAATATCGTGCATGTGGAACCTGTAGGGTGGTGGCATTTTGCGCATTCGTATGTTCGAGGGAACTGGGCGAGGGAGGATCAGGCGACATTTTCATTGATGGCCAAGTCTTGCCAGTGAGTTCGGAAGGGTTTCAATGGTTTCGTTGTGATTTTCCTCATGTTTACTCCTACCCCAATCCCCACCATTCTTCTCATGCAGCGACCTGGACATAATCTGCCACTACATGACCCCCACCAACCCGCCCACCCGCGTAAGCAGCTTCGGCCGGCTAACCCACTTCACCCGTTCCCAAAAACCCGCCGAAGCCGGCACAGCCACCCGCTGCGTCTCCTGCGCCTACGAACCCTCCTGCCCCTACTCCGCCCCGAAAGTCTATCTCGACCCCGCAAAACAAGACGATAGGAACTGGCCCTCCTCGGTCGTCTGCGGCGGTGGTGAAGTCGCTGTGGACGTCGAATCTATCACCCAGGCTCTGCAGACGGGACCGTATGGGCTGTGTGTGTATGAATGCGATAACGACGTATGCGACCACCAAGTCGTCAATGTGGAATTCGCTAACGGCGCCACCGCGAGTTTCACCATGGTCGCGTTCACGGAACGTATATGCGAAAGGCAGACACGGATCCACGGCACGCGTGGCGAAATTGTCGGTGACTCCCTCACCATAAAACACACCGATTTCACCACCGGAAAAACAGTGGTTATCGACCCGGGAACGGAGATTGACGGCGTAAGCGGCGGCGGCAGCGGACACGGGGGCGGAGATTACGGGCTGATTGCGACGTTTGTGGAGGCGGTGAAGAGGGGGGATCCGGGGGTGTTGGGGTGCTCGCCGAAGCAGGCCCTTGTTTCGCATGCGCTTGTGTTTGCAGCGGAGGAGGCGAGGAAGGCGGGGACGGTTGTGAATGTGAGGGAGTTTATGGGGAGGAGTGGGTGTGATGTTTGATGGGGACATTTGCTATATATATAGCGGACATGTGTTTGTAGGGACCATTTCGGACAAGGGCGAATGAAGCAACTTTATTTAACACTGTGGGGTTTCGGATTGTCTAGATATATAAGCCGTGATGATTTCGTTCGGGCTTCGCATGATTTGGCTTGTCCCGGCCCCTTCTCATTTTACGTCCAACAAACGGATCTTGATTGGAATTTCGCAATACCTTCTCATCCGCAATTGGTTGATGCTCTGTCGCCTGCGTTGGTCCAGACGGGAAATGAAAGATGCAAACCGGGTTTCCGGGAAACCTGACGGGCAGCCAGAACGCTGTCGTATTCCTTTTGCATATCATGATCAGCGGGCGAGGCTCTTTTCCAAACACTTCATGTTCTTCCCAGCGACAGTGGACTTTTTGCAGTTTGATATCGTTCATGTTTTTACTGCCTAGCTTTCATGTTATTGACACAGAGAAATTGGGGGGATGTGTAAGTATGTGTGCGCTTTTCCTCCTCCTCTTCAGTCTAAGCGGAGAGCTTTCCGCGGAGGTTCTTCGTCAGCTTGGTTCCGTCCTCGTTGAACTTGCGGATTCCTTCGGCGAGTTTTTCTGTGGCCTGGCGTGTCAAAATAAGGGAGGGTCAGGACACGAAATGGCAACGTTATCACAAGATATCGCAATTATTTTACCATCGCATCCTCGTTATGCTCCCAACGGAAGGTCTTCTCATCCAGATGAATCTTGGGCAAGTCGAGGGACTTTGCGTTATCCTTGTTCAGCTTGGGTTCCAGCTTCTTGTCCGAGTTCTGCAGCTCGGCGAGGAGGGTCGGGGAGATGGTGAGGAAATCGCATCCGGTGAGCTCCTCAATCTCCGAGGTGTTCCTGAACGAGGCGCCCATGACGATGGTCTTGTACCCGTGCTTCTTGTAGTAGTTGTAGATCTGGGTGACGGATTGGACTCCTGGGTCTTCGGCGCCGGTGTAGGTCTTTCCAGTGGCCTTCTTGTGCCAGTCGAGGATACGGCCGACAAAGGGGGAGATGAGGGTGACGCCGGCCTCTGCGCAGGCGACGGCCTGGGCGAACGAGAAGAGGAGGGTGAGGTTGCAGTGGATGTCGTGTTCCTGCTCGAGGACGCGGGCGGCCTGGATGCCTTCCCAGGTGGAGGCGATTTTGATGAGGACGCGGGACTTGTCGACGCCGGCTTCCTTGTAGAGGGCGATGAGCTGCTTGGCTTTCGCGATGGTGCCCTGTGTGTCGAAGGAGAGGCGGGCGTCGACCTCGGTGGAGACGCGGCCAGGGACGTGTTTGAGGATCTCGACGCCAAAGTTGACGAGGAGCTTGTCGAAGGCGAGGGAGACTTGGGCGTCGAGGTCGGAGCCGCCGTGTTGCTTGGCGTAGGAGATGGCGTTGTCGATTAGGTGGGCGTACTGAGGTTGTTGGGTGGCGGCGAGGATGAGGGAGGGGTTGGTCGTCGCGTCCTGAGGCTTGTATTTTGCGATGGCTACGGGATGACGGTGAGGTGAAAGGGTGAGTGATGAGCACTGAGTAGCGCGAGGGGATCCCCGCCCGCAAGTAACTTTCCATCAGTCCCTCCGAGTCCCGTAAACCTTTGAGTGGTCCTCTGCCGAAGCCGTCACGATTCCCTTGCCGTCCACTCTAGTCGATCTACAACCCGCCCAGATCTCGCAACTTCCCATGCCCTATGTTCCACCCGTCTGTCATCACAGCAGCAAAGCGTCGATGGTCGCTGCCAACAGCCCCTCTCTACCCTCCCCACGCATAGAACTGCGCTCTGTTTCTGTGTCGGCAGCTATCCCTTTTCCCACGGCTGCTACAGCCAATCCCGAGACGCTCGATACTCACACTCAACGTCACCCGTGTCGGCAACGACGGTGGTGTATTTCTTCAGGTAGTCGAGTGCGGTGGACATAGTTGCTATTGTGTTGTGTGTGTTGTGAGTGCTGTGGAGTGTGGGTACGGGCTGTTGCTGGCAGATGCTTGTAGGGTTGTAGTTGAGGGTCGGAAAGTGCAGGACTGGGGGAGCCTGTAAATCGATTTCGACTCCGAGGGGCGGGGCGGGGGGTTGTTGGCGAAACGTTTTGTAATGGGGATTTCAATTCACTCAGAAGATTGGGGAATAATGGCTCCGTTCTCGCGTGCGCCCTCCCCCATACAGACAATGACGTGCTCCTGATGATTCTCGCAGCCTTTGCTTGAGAGAGAGTGGAGGCTGCACGGTCACATTTTAGAATCGAGGGCCTTGGCTAATGTAAAAAGGTCGCTCCCAACGCGAGGCTTCATCCAAACCACACCCGCGGTGACTTTCTGTTGCGAGCCTCCGCCTAATAATCCAGTCACTCATCATCACTCGCTGCTCATGGATGATGATGGGGATGGGAGAAAGCCTGCTTTGAACTTGAGCCTCCTAATACAACAATCACCGCCTAATCAGGAAGGAAAGGAAGCCGCGTGAACTGGGAGTAATAAAAGCGGGCAAGCGGACCTCACATGAAATGCTTCGCACAGTTCTCTATTCCGATGACTTCTTCTCTCGAGCATGGTTTTGTTGGGAGATAAACTGATAAACTAATCTAGCGATCACGTGGGTGCACAGGGTCTCGCGACTTGTGAACTTGCGGTTAGGGTTGCTAACCCTAATCCCCTAACCCTAGCCGTTAGGGTTGTTAACCCTAATCCCGTAACCCTAATTTCATGGCATCACAGCTCCCAACTGATGAACGACCGAGTTTCGGCGTACACTGTACAGTACTTCGTACAGCATTGAAAGACATCCCAAAAACTTCAATGCTCGCCTCTCGTCCGAAGTTTATCCTGGATACGCTGGTTGGTCCCATCTACAGATTCGCGTTCAACAACCCTTCTACCACCCCATTCAGCACCCCATTGTTCTGGGGTTTGGTGTTCCACACTCTTTGGCCTGTCTCGATATGGATACTTTGCTGGATATGTACCGTCTTTGCCATCCTTCCTGTCGCTCTCCGCTTCTGGCGGACTTCCCAAGCGCGGCCCATTGACGACTGGGCCTTGCGCATAGTGCCCGTAATGGGAGGTGTGTTCTAATTGCCAGGGGGCCATGGGGCCAGAGGTTAACTCTTTTCTTGGAAGGTTCTCATGGTATGGGGAAGTTACTTGCTCAAGATATCGCCACCACGTTTCGACCAAAGAAAGTCGTTCTCTTGGATCGGAACCCTGTTGAGAACACTGATGGTGTGTTCCAACAATGAAACACGATAGTCAGCACGAAGTGGAACTCAACCGTAATGACTTTCAGAAAGAATATGTTCTTACCAATGCGATATATCGGACAGATACGCGCTGAAGGAGGTGGCCCTCACAATCGGCAGGGAGGTAGGATACATGTCTGTCAACTCATAGTATTCCCCATCCCATGGCATACTCCCGTCCTGCACCCACAAGAAGTCGTTGATGCTATTATGGACGCCATGAAGAAGGCCCAGAACAGTGAGATATACCTACCGCTCTATACAAACGCAGCTCCTCTCTTCCGGTTCCTTCCTCAAGAACTCGGTGATTTCATCAGATGGGTAAGAGTGGACCCTGTACGATGCTCCTGGCAGCTATGGCAATGCGTGTGTTTATCATTCCATGTCGGATGTAGATTACAGGGGCGAATAACGAGATGGGGAAACTGAAACACCGCACGCAATAGTAGGTTGGCGTGGAATGACTGGGTGGCGTATACGACCGACATTAAGTAGATCGATAGAACTGCATCTATTTAGATCTATCGAGGACAAAGATGATCACGAACTTTGTTGAAGAGCTCCGCGACTGTCTCGTCTGGGTGGGACAGCGCACTCTCGAAGCGCAGCTACTCCCAAAGACGTTGAACACCATATCGAGAAGGTCCTTCCTTCGCGCGATGCTCGAGACGACTCGCTCGGCGATGGGGATTGCGGGGGAGAACGAGGAAGAAAAAGCGCACGTTCGAAGCGCAACTACTCCCGACGAAGACGGCGAAGTCGCACTACGGGCTATCAACCACGACACGCTCGAGATCTTCAACGGAAGCGCACGTTCGAAGCGCAACTCCCACCGACGACGGAGACGTCGAATACGATATCGAAAAGATTCCTTCTTTCGCGCGATGCTCGAGACGACTCGCACGGCGATGGGGATCTGGGGAAGAAAAAGGTAAGAAGAAGAAGTGGCACAAAATAGGGCTTTCGGCGCACCCGTACACGGCGCAGACGAGCCACACTATACCACGCTGCCATGAAATCTCCATACGCACGCGAATGGCAAGCCGCTGTAGAAGAACTCGCATCGCACACGGAAACAAAACGGTACCTGGGACGAGATCGCGCAAGAAACGAAACACAAGATCGCGCACGAAACGGTCGACTCGAAATGCAATACGATATCCAGTACCTACCAACGAAGGCTATGATCGCCGATATCCATCCCGAAGCCCGCCTTTACCCATCTACGGTCGCTATGTGGGCTACATCCCCCCGAAAACGAAACGTCGTGAGAGAAACGTCGTATACGCACGAAAGAAGAAGAAGCGCCGATCTGAAGAAGAAGACAAATAAGACGACATGGATGCGTCTGAAAGCTCGAGTTGGGGGAGTGTCGTGCCGAGATGAAGAAAAAGAAGCGCAGATCTGAAGAAAAAAGGGGGAGCGCACAGGAAAACGGGCGCTGAAGAAGAAGAAGGTTCTTCGCCGATGGAAGCTTCGCCGGCTTCTACAGTACAACCTCGCGTCGGGGGAGTGTTGTGCCGAGAGATGCGAGCTCCTAGTTCTGCGGGTTAGGGTTATCGCTGTGCAGGTTAGGGCTAAGAGTAGGAAAGACCAGTGCGAATACGACGGCTTCGCACAGCGGTACCTCCATTTTCTATACCTCTTTCTATACACAACCATTCTACAGTATATACGATCTGACCATCGTCGGCTACTTCCGATCTCGCGCGCAATACATACAATGTACAGTACGCCGTAGGTGCTCACGAACAGCACGACATCTGATATCCAGGTAGCTACCGAACTAGCATGGCTACGGTATCAACCTTTCTACCACCTCAGGCAACCTTCCTGCCAGCCCAGCAGCATATTGTCGAGAATATCTTTGACAACACGGCCAACCTGCTACTCCTCATGTTCCACTCTCCCAATGTTTAGCACTACACGGCGCCAACCCCCCTCGCCCTCTCACGGGGCAGGCACCTTCCCCGCAATCTTCCACCCCTGCGTCTTGCTCTGCTTGCCTGTCAGCTTGACCTCATCGGCGGTGGGCAGCGTCCGCTGCAGGACAATGTATTCAGTGATCCTGTCGTTGACCGCATCGGGGTCGCCACTGATGCGGTTCCCTCGGTTGTCGTTCCATACAATCGACTATGAGTGTGCGAGAGAGGTGGGAGAAACGGTAAAGTGGGTTATAAGCATTCTGCTTGGTGTGCCCCCACAGACACGACATGTCCCGCCTCCCATAATCATGCTAGGCATAGTATGACATCTTGCGCAACTATCCACTATCCACTAACCGACGCCCAGCCATCCGATGCTTACCTGCTTAACCGACACCCTCACGGTAGCCTGGACGATCTCGCGGATTCTACCCTGGCCAAGATCGGCCTGGAGGATGTAGATGCGCAAAGTCTTTGGCTTCCCAAAGTTGCCGTGCGCCTTCCACGTGCGGTAGCCGCCGATCTCTTTTGCGGCTTTGATTTCCTTTCTTAGGGTCTGGAAGCGCATGGTCAGGAGCGAGTTCGTGTTTGAATGACCCAGAATATCAAGCCGATGAGCGCATGAACTCACCGCCAACATGGACTCTTCAACTAGTTTGCTAAGCTCAATCTCGTCTCCACTTCAAACGCAAACGCAGCAAACAAGACATCAGCCAATGTCTTCCTCGTTGGACAGGCCACCCCGTTCCCGTCGGGCTCCTCAATCCCTCCCAACAACTTCAGCAGGCAAATTCCATGCAATCGGATGTCCTTCTCCGTTTTACCTCGCAAACGCCTCGTTCATCAGAATGTACTTCTGCTCCGCCAGGTTCGCCAGATCCTTCGCGTTGTGCCCAGAGACCTTTTCATTGATCTTCCAGTAGCTATGCGAATTCGCACCGGATGAGGGGACATTAGATGAGGAATAGGGTCGGACAACTTTCCTGGCATCTCTGCTCATCCATCTGACTTGAGCCCACCAGCAGTGTGGTGCACCCAAGCGCACACCACACACGATTTTGCTCAACATCACGAAAACACACCTCCTCCAATCGTTGAACTTCAGCCTGCCCTGCCGCCATACATAGTTCTTGAAATTCGTCCAGTTCAGTCGCAGTGGGTTAAACGCGATAGGGAACGGTGTTCGCGATAATGGCAGCGGTAAATCGGGGTCTGTTCAAGACGTAAGAGGAATAAGCATCCTCGATATACACCCTGACTTGGGACGCAAGGTCTCAGCGTCTTTCCGGCCATCGAAGCCTCTCCAACCTCACAAAAAGACTCCTGCTCTAGAGTTTTCAGAGAAACGTACTGATGATATTCGCCTTGATGGGTCTGAGACTTATAGGCGTTTGGTTAGGGTTTCCCTGGTACATGTTTGCATGGCGTTGAGTGCGTGTCGGCAGAGTCGGAATAGCCGTGCGGCGAGGCCGTCCAGCGGAGAGAAGCAGTGTTGCCTCGGGTGATTGGCGCTGTGGCGAGGAGGAGAGGTGGTGGCACTGGAAAGCTGACAGCGTCGGCAAACGGAGTGTTGTTGCTGCTGTTGGTGTGAGGCCGAGGGCAACGCTCGGGAGGAGGCGATTGCCGGCGCGAAGCGCCAGGAGGGAGGGGGGCCAAGGGAAGGAGGGCATCGCGAGCAGGGAACGAGACCTGTGCTGCTATGGGTTAGCCTGACGAAGGAGCTTGGAAGACGACCTTCTCCGCGAAAGCGACGAAGAAGAAGAAGTGGAGAGAAAAGAGGTGTCGGGGTGGTCGCGAAGGTCCTCGGGAAGGGCGGAAATGACAGTGTCCCAAAACGGAAAGTGCGTGCAGAGGTCTCGCTAGGGTTAGGGTTGGGGTTACATAGTGATGCCATGGGTTACTTAGGGTTAGGGTTAGGGTTAGGGGTTAGGGGAGGAAGCAAGACCGTCCGTATCATACAATAGCTTCTCCTACGACTGCTCCCCTCGCATGCCCCACCTATCGCTTTTCCCACCATGTCAGCCGCCACAACATGCGCTCGCCGCCTCCTCCCGCTTGAATAGAGACACAGACATCCTATGAACTATGAGGACGGCACGCCACAGCATCGACGGCATCACCAAGTGGCATTCCCCCATCGACCCCAAGGGCATTCATGTACAGTATGTAAGGACGAGCGAGCGAATGGCAATGGGAAACGTGCTCCCGCTCCCCTCCCAAGTTCAGTGACCCAGGTTGTCAGCAGGTTGTACATACAGCAGGCTGTACTTGTGTGTGCCTCCACCAGTTTGCGTCGGGCGTCCACGCGGTCATCCCCTGGGTCATCCCGTTGAACTTATATAACCTTCAGCCGCGTGCGAACATTGAACTTTGAACAGAACAGGGAACAGGGAGATCAGCAACACACGCCATCATCCTCACCCCTCCCGACATCCCCAATGGCCTCATCCACCCGCCGCCGACCAAACGCCGCCGCAGCAGCATCGCCCTCCTCACCACTCTCCGAAGCCTCCTCACCACTCGCATCAGCCTCCTCTCCATCACCAGAAACATCCTCCACAACCGCAACCCCCCCAGCCCTAACATCAACCCTCCGCGGCGCCGCTTACCTCCTCCTCCTCCAACTCACATCCCGTCTCGGAACATTCATCCTCAACAACGCCATCCAGCGTGTTAGCGCGATACACACCGTCGGGCTTGCGAGTGATTTGGAGCTGTTGAACGGGACGATTCTGTTTTTGAGTAGGGAGAATGTGAGGATGGCTGTTTTGAGGAGTGGTGCGGAGGGAGAAGCTGGGGAAGGGAGGAGGGAAAGGGAGGAGGGTGGGAGAGGAGAGGCGCATGGGAGTGGCCGAACGGTAAGTGGAGGCGGGGCTTCATGGATCGCTTGGCTTTGCATCGCTTCGCATCGCTTCCATCATCCATCATCCACTGATTCACCTTTGCATCCCTTTCCACAGGTCACATCAGAAGCCGAGTCCTCGACCGACAGCCTCCCCCTCCCCCCGCACCTCCGCCAAAAACTCATCAACCTCTCCTACATCCCCCTCCTCCTCGGTCTCTCCCTCACCCTGCTCGCCCATCACTTCTCCCTCCCCTCAGAGGGCCCCTCCCCATCCACCCACCCCCTCCTGCTCACCCTCTCCTCCCCCGCAACCCCCCTCTACCTCCTCGCCACCCTCCTGGAGCTCCTCAGCGAACCCTTCTACATCCTCATCCAAACCTCCCTCCTCTACGCCGTCCGCGCCAAGATCGAGGGTGTCGCGCTGCTCGTCAAATGCGTCGTCACGTTTGTGATCACTTTCGTTGGGGGTGCGGGCATTGGCGCGTTTGCGTGGGGACAGGTGGCGTATGGCGGGGTGTTACTTGCAGGGTATGCCGCGGCTGTTGCGGCACGAGCGGGGCGGGAACGCGGGCATGTTTCCGGTCTCATACATATCATCACTCCCCGCCCACTCACCAACACAAGGTACCTCATATATCCCGCCCCCCTCCTGGTATTCCAACCCAACTAACACCATACTACGATTGCCTTCACAGACCACACACCTACTTCGACGGCTACCTCCTCTCAGTCGCCTGGAGCTTCACGGCCATGTCCGGGCTGAAATACGTGTTGACGGAGGCGGATCGGTTGGCGTTGTTGGGGATGGGGGTCGGGTGGGAGGGGAAGGGCGGCTATCGGGTTGTTTGTGATTTGGGTGAGTTGGGGGGGGGGGGGGGGGCGGAGCGAGCCGGAATATATATTGAGCTCGGGAGATATTTCGAGGGAGGGAGGGGGGTGAGAGGGAGAGGACATGGTAGCTGATATTTATTTTTTTGGATCAGGATCGCTTGTTGCTAGGATCCTGTTCCAGCCGATCGAGGAGACAGCGAGGGCGTTCTTTTCGGCTACTTTGGCGAAGGGTACGTTATACATCACACACGAAATCCAAATTTTCGTCACCCCCACCCACCCATCATTTTTTCTCGGTTAGATGCGACGGGGGATGCCACAACCCCCCAACACGAGAACGAAACCCAACGCCAGCAAAACCAAAAACAGAAAAAACAGGAAGCAAAACACTTACTCCTCACCCTCCTGCGCTTCCACATCCACCTCGGCGCCTTCTTCATCTTCCTCGCGCCCAACTACACCGACACGCTTATGCGGTTACTCTACGGGCGTCGCTCCTCATCGTCCTCGTCGGTGGCATCATCACCACCCACGGCGGCCTCACCACGCCTGTCCACGACGCCCGCGGACCTCCTGTCCCTCTACACCCTGTACATCCCGCTCCTGGCGCTGAACGGGATCCTGGAGGCGTTCGTGCAGGGGGTCGGGGATAAGCGGGTGTTGAGGTGGGTCAGTGGCGGGTGGGTGGCCGGGACGGGGGTGTTTGGCGGTGTGGCGTGGGGCGTGAGGGGACTTCTGACTGCGCCCGCCACGGGGCAGTCGACCGCCGGGCGCGGGGGAGCGAGCACGAATGGAGATGCGGCGAGGAGATGGGCCCCGACTTTCTGGCCCCTCCCGCAGATGGACCCGTCGTCCGCGGCCCCCGTGGCCCTGATCGTGGCGAATATGGCGGGGATGGCGGTGCGCATCGCGGTCGCGTGGCGCATCGTCCGGCGCTTCTTTGCGGTGGCCGACAACGACGATAACGATACACCACCCCCCCGCCGAACCCCGAACCCGAACCCGATATCGGTCCGCTCGATCCTACCGGCGAACATCGCGACGGTGCTAGCTCTGGTCCTCAGCTGCGTCCTCACCCACCCAAGATACGGGCTCATGGCCCTCGTCACGTCGTCCTCCCCTGATCCGGCAGAATGGGGATGGAACCTGCGAGCCGTGCATGTGCTTGTTGGGGCGGTGTGTGCGGGTGGCGTGCTGGGGTGTATGTATGTGGGCGAGCGCGGGCGGCTGGTGAGGGATGTGCGGGGGTTTTGGAGGGTTAGTCGCGGGAGGAAGATGCAGTAAGCGGTGGGTGGGTGTTGGACAAGGTCCTCCTTTTGCGGCACGGCGGTGATAGAAACGTACACTTAGAGGGCATACAGATTTTGCGCGGACCTTGAGGGTTGGAACATTCGTGGGGGTTTATGTGTGTATTTGTGTGTAGGGTGGTGAAAAAGACAACCCCCCCCCATGTGATATTCGGTAAAATGCTCTGGATGCCCGGGGAGATAAGACACTCCCCACCGCTCATCCGACTCCCCGTCTCACGCTTACGCCCTCCCCACCCGCCTCCCCTCCGCACCCCATCCCAGGCCCCTCTCCCGTTTCCCCCACCCGGCCAGATCCTCCACCCCCGCAACGGGCAACACCTCATCGGTCCCATACTCCTTCCTCAACAGATTCGCCAACACCCTGCTAGGCCCGACGACGATCCAATCATGCACATCGTCATCCTTGCAGAACCTCGTCGACCGCTGCCATTGCACGGTGCGCGTCATTTGGGCGTGGAGGAGGTGTCGTATCGCGCCTTCGATCGTGCGTGGATTGTCGCTCTCCGAGTCCGAGGGGGTGATTGGCCGGCCCGTGACATTGGACACGACTTCGATGGCCGGTTCGGCGAATTTGGTTTGCGCGAGGGCGGAGAGCATCTCGTCGGCGGCGGGGAGCATCAGCGAGCAGTGGAAGGGCGCCGAGACGGGGAGGGTGAGGGCGCGGCCGGCGAGGGAGCGGGTTTGGATGATGGAGCAGGCGTAGGAGACGCCCTTTGTGGTGCCGGAGAGGACGAGTTGGGAGCGGCTGTGATGGGGTATGTAATCAGTACAAGTGATTGAGGCGGGGGAAAGGGGGGATGCGGATTGCTTTTTTTTTTTTTTTTTACCTGTTGATGTTGGCAATCTCGGCAACCTCGCCCTCCGGCATACTCATCTGGATCTTGCGCATGAGTTTCTCCACGTCTTCCAGATGGTCGCCGTTGATGATCAGCGCTTTCATCGTCGTGGCCTGTTCTGCATCACGATTATTGTCTGCTCCTCCTCCTCCTCCTCCACCGCGGTTCTCTATACTCCGCTGCATCGCCTGGCCACGCAGACGGACGAGGCGCAGGGCGTCGGGGAGGGAGAGGGATTTTGTGGCGACGAGGGCGGTGTATTCGCCGAGAGAGTGGCCGAGGGCGTAGGTGCAGGTGCGGACGTCGAAGGCGTAGTCTTTCTCTAGCACGTTGAGGAGGGCGATGGAATGACATAATATGGCGGGTTGCGCGTTCTCTGTTGATGTCAGTTCGTTCTGTGAGACGACGAAAGGGGTCAGCCATCAGCTAACAGCCATCAACGAATCATCAACCACCATCGAACGAGCGTCACCTATCGAACGTCGACCATCAACGAACACGGTGAGTAAGGGGAGTATTGCGCCTTTGGCGGAATGTGGCTCGATCCGCTCGCAAAGGCGTTCGCCCTTTTCTATCTATATGTCTCCCCAGACCGAACCAAACCGACCCAACCCCGCTCGCTTCGTTCGCGTCCGCACTCCCTTTTGGCTCGCCGCAGACCGACTATCATTCCCACCCATCCACCCTCATCCGATCCACTCTCGCTCCTCATCCCACCCAAAATGCGCACAGCACATACCAGCGGCCCCTCAAACATAAGTTTCTTTAATCCACCGCCCACCGCCTCGTCCGACGCGTCGATAACCTCTCTCGCGCTTGCATATTTCTCATAAATATCGGCTCCCATTCCTAAAACGGGGAGTCACCAAATCACAAAAATCAACACTCAAAATCTTCACAGTAGGAACAGTGACTATTGAGGTTCTTTCTTTATTTACCTACATGCTGAGCACCCTGACCCGGAAACAGGAGGGCGGTTTTGCGGGCGTGGGAGACGGAGGAGAGGAGGCGTCGGTTGCGAGTGTGGTTGGGGTGTGGACATGAAGGAGCGGGGAGGGTTCTCCTTGTTGCTGCGTGTGATATTGCAGTTCTTATCATGGCTGTTTTGGATGTTAAGAGAAGCAGGATCGGGGGGCTGGGCGGTGTGTGGGAGAGATGGGCCGGTGGGAGGGCAGCAAGGCAGGTCTTATATGACTTCGCGTTGACAGTTTTTGCATGTGGGAGAGGCGGGAGGGGAGAGAGGGGAGAGGGGAGAGCGCAGGGCAGTGGGTGTGTTGGCGGTTTAGTTTAGACTTAGTTTAGTTTGTTTGCTTTCGTCTTCAGTTGAGTTTAGTTTAGCCATCTAATGTTATAATCATCCCTCGTGTCTTGTTGGGCGTCTCTCTCGGGAGCAATCGGAGGGGGCGCTTGGCCTGCAGACTTCCCTGATGACTCCCCTCCTGGCTGCCGATGACTGGCGTGATTCATTAACCCACGAGGCGACGCACTTCAACAGTGGAATTCGACAGCGCGCGGCGGGGACAACCGATCATCCCCCCGGCGGGTGGAAAAAAAGACCCATATAAACATTCATCAACAAATCCCTGACTTGCAAAGCCACCCCAGAGTCCTTGTCTTTGTGAATGGGAAATGCACATCCGTCTTAATCTCCCTCTCAGCCATCCCATCGACGACTGAACTGAACCAAGGAGCGCCCCGTTTCATTTCTCTCTTCAACTCCCCACTGGCCCGTCCATATCCACTGCAACCCCTTGATATACGGGACGACAGAGATCTATATCCCGCCGGCCTCATCTCTTTCAAGCCATGAACGACCCACCCGCGCCACCCTCTCACTCCGACTGCCCACCACAACCACCCCTTCACACCCGCTGGACCCGCTTCGACCCCTTCTCCTCAACACGCAACCTCACTGGTTCATTCAACTACCTCGAGGCACTCATCGCAGCCATCCGTTACAATCATACCATACTGCCAAAGATTGCGCCGGTTGTCGGGATTCTGGGAGTTTGGAGTTCGGTTGTTGTGATTTTGTACAAAGGAGGGTGGAGTGTTGCTGTTGATGATAAGTAGGTTCGAGAGAGTGGGCGGGGTGTCGGGCGATGGCGAGCCCGAGCGAGAGGGAGAATGCTTGAGAGTTCCGAGCGGGGCGGGGAGAATGAGAGCGACAGCGAAATCGCACACCAGCCCAAGATCCTTGTCGCGAGCGGAGCGAGCAGGGGAGCGATTAACCATCCATCCATCAACTATCATCTCAATTCATCGTTCAGCCAGCCGGGCGCATCAACCCATCATCCATCCTCTCGCTTCAGGCTCAGGATCACATTCTCACCCCATTTCTTTCAAATAGATTGATAGCGATCCTAGGCGTCTCACTAGCGATGCTGCTCGCGTTCCGGAGCAATCGCGGGTTTGAGCGGTAGGTAAGGAGCGTACTTGTTGTTATATCACCCATTGACCCCACTTTGCTCATCCCCATCGATTTGGTTTCCTAATAGATACTGGTCCGGCGCGCAACTCTGGACCTCCCTCTCGACGCAAATTCGCAACCTTGCGCGGTTGATCTGGAACGGGGTCTCCATCCCCCCCACCGATTCCTCCATCCCCTCCTCCGCGGGCATCGATGACATCCACACCCTCGCCCATACTGAAAAGCTCCAGGTCATGCGACTCCTCCTAGGCGTAGCGGTAGCGACGAAATTCGCGTTACGCGGCCAGAACGCGTTGGAGATGGGGGAGTTGAGGGGCTTGTTGCCTGGTGGTGGGGTGGGGTTGGAGGGGCGGAGTTGGCGGAGTTCTTTGGTTGATTTGCAGGGTGAGGGGGGCGGTGCGAGCATCACTGGGAAGGACGCTGCGATAGGGAGTGGTCCGACGGGGACTGGGAGTGGAAGCAGCACAGGAATGGACGCCACCCCAGCGAGTGGAGATACCCCCGACGAAAAGGGGAAACCACCGCAGATACCGCTCCGCCCCCACACACTCGCGCACGCACATACCCACCCCCGCCCGCGCACCGACAGCCTAACCTACAAAGTCCCGCCCATGATCTTCCTCCGCAACCGCAGCGGCACCCTCTCCAAAACACCCTCCCTCCTACCTTCCTCCGCCTCGGTATCCCACCACCCCCCACCACCCGACTCGCACACATCAACATCGACCTCCAAATCCCCCTCATCGAAACACCCATCAACATCTCCACCCCACACACACCAGCCACCCCCCTCCTCCCTCGTCATCAACGCGCCCCTCGACCTCATCCACCGCATCTCCGCCTACATCCGCCGCCAACGCAAGCTCGGCCGCGTCGATGCCGAGGACTCGCCCTTAATGAGCGCAAACGTCGGCGCCGTCGTCGAGACCATCTCACGCTTCGAACAAGTACGTCCGTCTCTTGTATCCCCCCCCCATGATTCTCCCAATTGGGGCTGAACAGAACACCCCCACGTTTTTGTTTCACAGATTTTATACGTCCCCATGCCCCTCTCCTACGACACGCACCTCAAGCAGATCCTCCTCCTGTACTTCCTCTTCCTCCCGCTGCAGCTGGTGAGGAGCATGGGCTGGCTGGTGGTCGGGGTCACTGTCGTCGCGAGCGTGGCGTTTTTCGGCGTGGATGCCATCGCGGGCGAGATTGAGGAGCCGTTTGGGGTGGATGAGGTGGGTGTACGAAAAACGTGGGGGGGGGGGGGGGTGGGGGGAGGGGGTGGGGGGGCATGGTACAGCGGGTTGAGGGGGGCCTCGCCACCACCTTCGCTAACCTCACCGAACTGTGTGGATTTTTCCCCCCCAGAACGATCTTCCGATCGACTACTTCCTGCTCAAACTCCGCGGTAAGCGCCCACACCCTTCCCATCGTTTCAAAACCAACAACAAATAACTTATCCCCCCCCCCCCCCCCCCCCCCCCCGTTGGTTTCAATCAAGGCGACATCGAGTAAGTGTGCCCCCTGAGTCCTCAGCTCGTTTCGTTTGACACCCCCTCGCCCGGTATTCACGGCTCCGCGGCACGGTTTTTAGGTATATCATGGAAATGCCGCTCGGGCACGAGCTCGAGGATGACGACGCTGACGACGACGGTGCGGGGACGGGCGTGCTGGATGATGATGGGGCGCGGTGCGTGGCGCCTGTTGGGGAGGGGGAGAGTAAGAAGCGGGTTTGATTGGGGGACCATTTGGGGGGGGGGGGGGGGGGGGGGGGGGCATGCAACGGGTGGGGCGGGGGCGGATCGACGTTTGCTGAAAAGGACTCAATGTGAGGGGGCCGGTTTCTGGCGCAGGGGGGCGGGGGCAGGGGACTTGTATTTATTTTTCGTTTCCGTGTGGGGGCTCTTCGGTGGTATAGAGGTCCCAATGTAAGGTGGGTTTTGGGGAACGAGATTTTCGGGGATTTTTTGTATGTGGCTAGAATTGTTCGAGATGCCAGTTTTCTTTTGCTTATGTACTACAATATCGCCCGTTATGTGTCGTATCGCCTACGCCTAGTAAACCCCTCCGACATCTCTCTCGCCCTCCTCTGACTCCTCTCCCCCTTCCCCTTCCCCTTCCCCCTCCCCCGCAACAACCAACAAAGGCCTCCCGACCTGCCCCGCCACAATCTCCAAAAACCTCAACACCGCCTCTCCAAACCTGCCCACCGGCCACTCCTCCCTCAATACCCCGATCCTACTTTTTGCGCACATGTCGCGTTTCGCGAGGTACGCGTGGTACGTCGCTGGTTTCAACCCGGGGGAGAGCCGCGCGTCGAGGGTTAGGTCGAGGGTGGTTAGGTGCGCGAGGGCCAGGGGGGCGGGGAAGGAGTGGAAGATTGTCAGTTCTATCGCGGCCTATGGGGAGGTAGAGGGGAGTGGGTTTAGTATGTGGAATATGGAATGCAAAGGACGGCGCGGTGTGGTATGCCCGCCCCTGTCAGCACACATATCCGTCACGCCTTTGGATCACTCACCTGGACCTGAATCGCCAGCAGAATATCATACCAACTGGCCATGATATTCATACCCTGCACGCCGTCCTCGTCCGTCTGCGCCGTCAGCTCCAGCATCCGGCCGGAGAGTGCGAGGAAGGAGGGGATGATGTCGGTTAGTTTGCACTGTTTTTGCATGCGGCGTTTCCTAAATGGAGAAGTCATAGACCAGATATTTGAGTTCTGCGTTGTGAGGTTATTGGCGGGGGCATGGGAGGGAGAAAAAGGGGAGGGTGATGAGTTTTACCTGTCCATGACGACGCTGATGATGTCCAGGAGGTAGATGCGGTCCTGAATCTCGGTGGTGTCGAGCTCGGGGAGTGTGTTTTGGATGTCTGTCGGGGTGAAGGGCACATTAGTCTGGGATGTGTCCTCGCCCACTTACGCGACGGCCATCCGGCTCCGGTCGACCGGCCCCCTCGCTGATGCCCACTTGGCTCGCATACCCTCAGTGCGCTCGAGTACCCCTGCCTTCGCCCGCCAGCGTATCTTGCGCCGTTCACCGCTCACGGCTCCCAAAAAAACCATCGCTAAACCTTTCACGCCCCCTCATATACGTCCTCCCCCCCTACTCCGCTCCTAGCTCTCCCCCCCTCGCTGCACGCCCGTTTCCGCACGCACCCTCAGCCATCTCCATAAACTTGACAACCGCCGGGTTCCGCGCAGCGTTATCCAGTCCATGTTCTCTCGCGTGCGTTAACGCGCCGGTCACGGCCTCGTAGAGTATCTACTTCACCGAAGGTGTTTAAGAATTAGCACTGTGACAAACACTCCTCTGCTGCGTGATAGCAAGCCCGCTTCTGCAATATCCGCACTTACCCAGTCGAGAATAAGGAGGTCGATCTCTGTCCCGCAGGTCGGGAGGGGGGTCATGTTGGCCATGTGTGAGAAGACGAGGGGGGAGTGTGAACTTGGGCGCTTTGGCGGAGGAGATGAGGTGCGGGACAGTGCGAGTGAGAGCGGACGATGGAGTGACCCGGGAAGGATGCAGAAGAAGGACTACGGTGGGCGGCGTAGGAGTGGATGGGTTAGGAAGAGGACATTTCCCTTGGACGCGGGCTATATATATATCTGCTGCAAGAAGACACCAGCAGCTTTTCGTTCTTCTCCAAATTCGAGCACCACCAGAGCACCACCCAGCCAGCCCCCGCTTCCGAAACAAAATGCGGAACGTTCCGACTGGAGTAGTTTGCAGGCAGGTGTCCCTGTGGTTGCGTCGCGCTATTCCCCATCGATGGACGTTCGTAACGGTATAATGCTTCGTGCGGATCTCCATGAGAACTTTGTCGGTTCTCTATTCATGCCAAGGGAGAGAAGGTAAATTTTCCGAGTTGTCTGCCACGGGGGCTTACTTGTCTTCCGCTGAGCATCATTCTTGCAGCCGTGGCCTATGGCGGATCTTGTCCATGGGAGCGAGGTTATCGTACCCATGCTAAACGACCGCCATAAGCCGCCTTCTTTTTATAGGGACTTATTCCCCCGATGGGACATGTTCATGGAGCAGTTCAAACAAGCAGTGCTGCACAATGTCAGAGCAGCTGCAGAGAGCAATGACTTGTTTGAGGACACGGACGAAGACGGTGTAGGATATGAGACTTTTGGCAAGAGTTTAGAACCAGAAGGATGGGAGGATGAACGGGGAGATAGAGAGGAAGTTGGGAACTTAAACGGCTGAGGAGAACCTCGCAAGACTATGTCCGTTGAAGATATCAAACGATTGGAAGGCCGCGAGGGCGGGTTGAGGGGGCAGCGGGGAGCAGATCACGGTGAAGCTGGTAAGGCTGAGCGAGTTGTGGAGGGCTACGAGGGATATGAAGGCGTTTGTGCGTTTGAAGGCGATTCTACTCTTATACGAAAGCCGGGCGATCCCGATACGAAACCCATTCATGAGCTGCCGCAGTTTTGGTGCAAGGGTTTAAATCCTGAGCTCTACTATTGTATCTTACAAGTTGCCTTCATCGGCGACGCCTCAGGCAGAGGTACAATGATGTGGATGGCAGATAACCACCACGGAAAATGGGATGGGGTGAAATCTAGACTACCTACGGTTACGGGAGAATGCGTCTGGTTCGCGGCCATTGCCAAACACCACCGAACGCACAATCGAGAGGAAATTCTTGGTGCTTAGGACGTCCCGATTGTGCACTTTCATCCGTAGTCGTAGTGGTTGTCTTCTTCCAGGAATCTCAAATGGCGTCCAGTCTTGGTTGATACATTCGGGGTTGGGGCAACCCACCAATCCATGGACGAATTCCATTCTTCCCTTTCGAGCTTGCCACGGCCGAGGTGACAGCCGGCGTCGGATGTTTTTCTTCACACGCCCGTGGCAGTCTGGGCACACGGAAGACGTTCGATACTCATCTAGCAAGTAGCATGGGATGCTGTTTCTTGCAAAGAGTGTGCGGAATCTGATTTCCATGATGATGAGTTACCATATTAAAATACATAAAAAACAATGATGGTCACTCACCCCTTGGTCTTTGATGACTCCTGAAAGCGCATGGTTTTTCCAGCGTCGCTCCAATCACCCAAGATGACCGCAAAATGCTTTCCATACAGGCGTCGCATGTTCTTGATGAGCTTGGTCTCAGACTTTTGCCGCAGTGAGAATGCCTTAAATCTGCAAGCGACGTGAATCTCATCCCGGTAAAACTCATCCAGGGCGGGATCTGGGATATGGATGGATGTCAGCCCATGTATTACTAAATTTGAAGACAGCGCATAATACATCATACCTGCATGTATGTGATCCACAATGAACGCTGAGAACGCCTCGATGTTCATGCTCTTGTGCGATGGAATATGTGATTCCATCTCAGCGATGCCGGCATTGATCTTTCGCTCTCTCATGTCTCTTTGGAAGTACCGAGACTTTGTCTCGACCGCCCGTTGATTGGATGTGTATCTGATATGGGGTGGTGCATTGTGAGGACGCTGCAACGGAATGTCGCCGCAACGGGGATGGCGGAGACGGGGGGCTGGCGGGCGGAGACGAGGGGGGGGGGGGGGGTAGCGGGGACAGCAGGGCAGTAGTAATCAACTGAAATGTACCGAAATGGCCGCTCCTTCTTGATGTCTCGACAGAACAAGAGGTCACGCTTGCCCGGATCAATGCTGACGATGTTTGGAGCCTCCCGTAGTTCGGCGATGTGGTGCTCAAAATACAGCTGCTTGACTTCTTCCCGCATTTGGGCCTTGCTGCGCTTCCGGGCCCGATGCCCATACTTGAGCCCTGGCTTCTTGAAGTGGATGGTAGCGGAATACCCGTTTGTGCTGATTGACCCATCAAATTTGAGACCAAGCTTCTTTCGATCCTTGAAGACCTTGTCCTGCAATCCGTCATTCAGTGAGGTGAGGTGAGTGAAATAAGCGCAGAGGGATACAGACTTAACTTACATTCACATTGAGAAACTGCCCCCACAGCTCCCGCTTGCGTTCATCGGTAAGTTTCCCCATGCGATGGTGGCCCAAGGCCAGGATATGAGTGGTTAGGATCTTCGTGTCGATCCGAACAGATGACTGGATTCGAGATTTGCGCAGCGGGATAGCGGAAAACAGGCGCATTCCACGGCGCTCATAGAGGCGCGAGAGCTCACAGTAGGTGCCTATGACGAGGCAGGTGCAGACCATGATTAGACAAAAGAGGAAGCGAGGGGGGGGGGGGGTTCCGCTTCCTGTCGGCTGGGGGGGGGGGGACCACGTCGGCCCGGGTCCCGGCGCGCAGCCATTCGGCCAGTTCGGCGTACCAAGCGAGGCGCTCGCTTGCGTCGCTTCGCAGCCACGCACGAGCTGGAGGGGGGGGGGGGGGGGGGATAAATATACAGGATGCAACTCACCTAAATATGGCATTGCGTCCACCGCAAGGCTGTACGCAAGGGGCTCATCCTGGGGAGGAAACAGAGCCCATAACTCGTCAAGGAGAGTCCGCTCAAGTCGCGTGAGGCGGGCAAACTCCTCTTCAGTTGGGTACTCTTCAAATGTCGCGTACTTTGTGAATTGACGGACACGCCGATAATACTGTTGGCGCTGCGCTCGGCTAACTCCGGCTCTCCGAAGATGCAGTACGACTTGCTTCAAACCAAGCCTTTCATTGACATAGCGCAGAAACATTTGCATAAAATGCTCCTGTACGTTGACTTTGAGGTTGGTGAAGATGCTCGTAGCTGTGTACGCTGCGGTCTGTTGGCTATGTCGCATGCGGATGGGGGCGAATCCGTGAACATTACAGTACTCTTGAACCCGTGGACGCAACTCTTGCGCGATGACCGGATTGCCATTGTAGCCTGGATTGTTTAGCAGCTCAAATATCACACTAATGTGCTTGTCGGTGATGTCCGGGAAATCGTGTAGAGGATGATCAGCTGTGGTGGGGTGGGCAGATGTAGCAGTCAGGACATTGTTTTATGGGAAATATACAGTATAGTGTACCTCAAAAACTCACCAAGGTAGTACTTGATAAAGAAGGTGGTGTGGCGCGCAAGGACGTGAACATCGGCGATGAACGTTGCCAGGCGCTCCCTTGGAACTTGATTTTGATTATGGATGATTCGGTGAAGCGAAACCTTGGTGCTGGCATGTGTTTGCGGGCGGGGTCGTTGAACTGGTGGTGGTGGTGGTGGCGGGGGTTCATACACCAGGGATCCACCCGGTGTGCTGGGAAAACGGAAAGGGATGGGCGCGGGGAGGTTCAGTGGGCGCTGCAGACCCCTGTCCACGGGTGAAAGCCCTCGCTGCTGCTGGTGCTGTTGCCCGTCTTCATCGCCGGAACTCTCGCTGACCATGTCTGCAATGGCTTCGGGCAAGTGGCGTTGGACAGACGGTGGGAACTGGAATCGCGGGGGTTGCAAAGGTGTCTGCACAGTTGGCAGACGTATGGGCAACCGCGGGGTAACCGGAGCAACCTTCCTCCTCTTCCGCCGTGGTGTGGTTGCTCCAGTAAATATGCCACACCACAGGTACCCCTGGAGCGCTTGGTGTGATGACATGTTGGCTGTGCTGTGCTGTGCTGTGCAGGGAGGTTAGATTGATCTGTTTTAGGTAGTGTGAGGGATGGCGGTTTGTGCGATACAGAGTGTGGCTTGTCCCCGGGAAGAAAAAGGCCCAGCCAATGGGGGGAAGCTACGTACGCTTGCTTATGGGAATGGGGGGAAGCTACGCTTGCTTATGGGAATGGGGGGAAGCGGGGGTATGGCACTGACAGCACTGGATATTGGCACTGACAGCACTGGATGACAGACCCCCGTCGAGATGGAGCTGTGTGATGTGATGGAGCTGTGTGATGTGAACCGGGAGGAATAAAAGCAAAAGGAGCGCGAGGAAAAATGGTCGTGGGTCGAGCTGTTTGAGAGCGGGTAAGGTTGCTTTCTGTTGTGATACTTAGTTGTGCTGCTGTTCAGTTAACACCCAAGCGTTGCGCAGGCTTTAATAAGTCTTATACGGATGCCGGGCGATCCCGATACAATAGTAGAGCTCAGGATTTAAAGCCTAGCACCAAAACTGCGGCAGCTCATGAATGCCGAAACCCATATAAGCGTCTCCCTTACGCCGGCTCGGAACCCAAACAGCCCGTCAACTCTCAGTAGTCCCGATTCCAAAAACCGCCAGTAACGCTGCTTCGCCATCTACGCACATTCCCCGCCGTCGCCAAGGGATGGACTCAAAAAGTTGACGCCGTACGCCCCTTTTGCGCAACTGTCGTCCTACTGGTCGACGTCGATTGGGTCCCCGGATGGCTTTTTGCGTTGTACTTTCTTGTGAGGTGCAACCACTTGCGGCTTTATGAGCAATTTATCCTCGCTGACGGCAGTGGTCTGACTCTCCGCATCGGAGTCGTATGCAAGGCACTGTTCTACGTACAGATTGTACGTATGATTTAGCCCTCTCTGGAAAACATCGGATAAGTTAGCAATTTGCCGTGTGCCGAGGGCTGCCGGGGTAGGGTGTAGCTTTACCTTGAACTCCAGGATGCCTCGAGTCAGCTTTACAAACAGTTTTCCAAATAGAGGATTGAGTCGTAAAGGGGCCTGGAAAGCGGTGCCTTCCTTAACGCCGTAGAATCCTTGTGAGAGATACGTGATCGTAAACGGTCGAAAAGCCCAATTCTGCATCAGCAGGCCCGAAACGGGAAGCTCGAAAATCGCCCGTTGCGCTGTCGGTATGTTTCCCCGTTCGGTTATGATGCGCCTGGCGAGGTCGAGATGGATGTCTCGGAGAAGGGTGATCAGTCCGTTCTTATCCTGTATCGTCTTGGCGGCCTGGCCGCGGGCGGCCCCCACGTTTGCCGCTGCCCCAACCTCTATACCCCAGCCTACTGACGGAGAAAGACTTGTATCCTTTCGAAAACATAAAAGAGGGATCAGATTGAATGCCGATCTCCTGCAAGTTGGTCCCCTTTCAGCCCTCCACTTACGCAAAACAAAAAATCACAGAGGGCGCCTGACACTCGTGAGAGACTGCTTGCATTGTAGTTCGCGATCTGGGCGCTGGCTACTCTGCGCTCTCGCGACGCGCGCGATTCTACCTCTCCGCTGAGTGAAATTTTTTTGCTCTTATTGTGAGAAATGTTGTTGTAAAAGTTCAAGAAGAGCCCTTACAACTGGTAGGGGAGGTCGTCAATGATATCTCTGTGAAAGTTGATGTCCAGAGTCCGTCCTGGGTTCGGTGTGTCGGTTTTATTTGCATCAATCAAGAACACACTTCGAAGAAAAATGTCAGAGAGAGAAACCGTTGCTAAACAGGTGAGTTGCGCCTTACATTCGCTCCAGTATTGTAATGGTGTATTTGATAGAAGGTTGAATGGCCATGACATGAGTGTCGGCCACTGACCACAACTCCTCGGGGGGCAACCTTCACTCCGCAGCACCCAGGGTGAGAAGCTCCTGTAGTACCCAGATGATGCCGTTGGAGGAGCATGATCGGGCGATCCTCGGTAAATGATCAACTCTGACCTAGAATATTCCCGGCTCAATATAGGATCCAGAAAAGTGCAAGAAGATGCTCCGTGTAATCGCTAAAGTAGGGCCAATGATCATTCCTGCCCTACTTTAACGGATTACACGGAGCATCTTCTCGCAGGTTGCGTCCACCCCCTCGTCGGGCCCCCGGCGTGTATCATGCAGTTTCCGAAGCACATCTAAGTGCTCCTGGGACAGCATGGTAGCTTCGCCGGCTGTGTCTTCCGTTAGAACGATGATCTTGCGCCATAGTAAGCTGGTAAGAACGTTAGAGTTAATCCAGAGGCTGATGTCGGATTGTTTCGTCGAATGGAATGCGCTTACCCCTTATGGTTCTTCTGCTGTAAAGATTGTTGCACCGCTATGTTCGCTACATCAAGCCAGCCCGGTTTCACAGCGTCACTTTCACCTGGCCCTTTTATGGTTGTCGGGATCTCGAGCGTGTCGTCTTCGGGTTCTTCAATTGGGGCAGCGTTGCCTTCGGTAGATGCTGGCTCTCCTAACTTGACTTTCTTGGTGATGGAAGACGGGTTCGAATCCAAAGGCCTCTTGGGTCCGACCATGCTAGCGCCCGCGCCATATAGTATCGGGAAGCTACGGTCGGTGGTGACCGCCTTGTAGGTAGCTAACGAAGAGTAATATAAGGTGGCCCGTTCATTGTATATCGTATTGAAAGCTTCATAAGTCCTATTCTGGAGTGCCGATGGAGCAATGTAAGGGGCAGATAGGGAGGAAATAAGATGGTAAGGACAGATCTTAACATATAGGCAGGTGCAAGAGCCAAGGCCGTCGAGAAAATGAAGTGATATCACATCGACAACAGGGTTCACCACTTGGGCACAACCTACTCTTTCGGAGCTAACCATGTCATGCTGAAAAAGAGGTGTTTGTAACGATGGACACGCACTTCCCGCCGGACTGTCCTGGGTTCACCCGAGGCACAACCCACTCTCTGAGAGCTAGCCGAGCCATGCTGGCATCGAGGTGGATAGTCGGGCAGTCTTTCTGTACCGGCACTGGGCGATATGCGGAATCCCACAACATTTGCTCACCTTCAAAAAGACTTCAAGTTTTCGTCTTTTTTCTGACGTGACGAGGTCCCGTACTCGGTTTAAGACGGACAGCCATCGGGAGTGCGCGGCTCGTGGTTGCAGGCCAAACATCTGCGCCGCCGCCGTGTGATCGAAAACCCACTCTTCTTTCAAATGGCCTTCTAAAAACGCGTCCCGGTGATCCTCCACCGACGGGAAAGGGGCGGTTGGCAGCTGGACGTCGTTGAACCTTCACGATGGAAAACCATAGATTCGCAGAGTAAGGAGAAAGGAAGCGCGAAGGGAGTGGACAGATATCTCCTACCTCCTGTACAGCGGTCATTGCGCAAACCAGACGATAAGATGGGAGGGAGAGCGGAGTCAATGCGCGGTAGTTCTGACTGAGAGTCACAACATATACGCCGCTTGACTATTAGGCAGGGATGTATGGCTCGTATAGGCCGGCTATGGATATTGTACATGCAGTCTATACAGAACGTGCGTTGTCGGTAGTAGTATTCTGGAGCCCTTGCCAAGTTGCCTTGGTTTGCCACTGCCCGAGCCAACGCCTTGTTATCCGGGGGCACCATCCGCACCCCTCCCTCCGGAAAACTCTTTTGGGCCCACCCAAGCATCCCCCCACAAGCAGTTACCGCCGTCTCAGCCGCTTCTCTCTGTCTATCTATTCATTCGTCGCACGCTACCCACTCGCTGCCCTCACTCACACCATCAGCTACGGAGAGTGACTTTCACGCGGTGGACGGTCGCTCAGCAGCGGGGTCGGAGATGCCTCTATTTTACCCCAATCTACTCACCCGCGCAAGCGGCTCAGACCGGCCCTGTGCCACTCCAACAGGGCTAATCCTAATCTCCTCCACCGGCCCCGGCACATCAAACGGATCAAACCACGTCACCAACGCCAACGAAAGACAGGGGGCTAACCACAGCTCCCGTCACAGCCCCAACACCATTCTGAAACCGCATCCCAGCCATGAACGGCACCACATTCTCGCTACCCCTTATGAGAAATGCTATCAACGTGGCCAACGGCCACAGACACAACGACGGCAAACAGCGTTGCGGCGCCCCGTTGCACGACTCATGTGCGCGGTAACCCCGCTCCGCGCCAGCACGTTTGCTAACGCTGCCAGTGAGTGGCTGGCAAGTGATTGCTTCGATTCTGGTGCAGCGACTGCGCGGCTGCATCGCGAATATCCGGAAACTTGTCCAGCTGTTTGCGGATATGCTTTGTCCCCAAAAAGTTTTGTTCTAATGAGAAGACCTCCTTCCAATACCAGCTCAGTTTGCTAGCAGCATTCGTGGGCGGTGTGTCTTCAGTGTCTTCCAACGGCAATATCTTCTGGGCTTTCTGGGCTTTCTTTGGCGTTCCTGTTGCCTTTGGAAAATGGGGCCGTCAGTCCTCCTCTGCTTCATTAATATTCGAGGAGAACATCAGATGCCATAACCACTCCGATCCAACTACTTCCTGCAAAGACCGAATGATCAAAATAGTCGTAAAACATTCGCAATGGGTGAACGATGCAATACATGGCATACCGTAAAACGGTCGCAGAACGCAAGGAAAAACGCATCACATAGAAAATGCAAAGAGTGGTGAAGGATGATCGCAAAATCTGAATAGCAAAGGCTTGAGCGCAGACCGGGAAGTCGCAGGTTGCAAGGTTTTGCACCGGTGATGGAAATAGCTCAAATGTACGAAGGGGAAGAGTCGGAACGGGTGGACGCAGTGCCCCAAGTTTAAACTGGCGGTACCAGCGTATCCAACAGTCCTGTAAGGGCACAACCAGCTACAGTGCCCCATACACTACTTCCTAGCGTCCGCCTTTGCAATGGATTCCTTCTGGTGAACATTAAGGCCAGAGGTTTCGCCCGCGTTGGTGACTTCTGCCTTGTGGCAAAAGCCAGTGATAGGAAGCCCTTCGCCAACCAAGGGAGCAGCCGAAGCGTTGACAACCGTGGTAGGCGCGTCGTGCGCAATCGCTTCCTTCTGGTGACGATTGAGGCCCGACAATTCACTGGCGTTAATAGCCTCGGGCTTGTGGTCCGTTCCGCCCTCGTTCATACCGTACTCAACACTTCCGACGCTGTCAAACAGTGCGCTTGCTTGGTGGTGGCTTCCGTGGGCGATGCTCTCCTGCTGGTGCGCGTTCAGGCCAGAAGGTGTGCCGGCATCCTTAACCTCAGAGCGGAAGGCGGCTACAAGGAAAGGCATTTAGCGGAAACTCAGCCGGAGACGGGAACCGGACAACGCCTTACAGTGGGACATGTTTTGGCTGGCGGTTGGTTGACGCTCACGTTGGCTCATCTCACGTTTGGCCACCTGGGTTAAGATTGTGACTGCCAGTATATGGACCTCAGTGCGCACATACAGTACCACGACAAAAGTTTTCGGAATTTTCGCGTGGTTTTATATGCGGCAAGGGTATATTTTTCTACAATACATAAGTATAAGCATAAGTAAGCATACTTATACAACCTATTCTGCACTATTATCGGGGATGGTTCAGTAGTCAATGCTGCCGCCTTTTGCATTAATAACCTGCTGCATACGCCGTTGCATGCTGTCAGTAAGTGAAAAAATCATTGCAGGGTCCAAACGTGCCCATTCCTCCGTCGCCATCCGTTCAAGCTCATCAAGAGTGCTTGGGTGCTGTTTTCCGACTTGATTCTTCAGAATAGCCCAGAGATTCTCGATAGGATTCAAATCGGGACTATATGCAGGCCATTCCATGCAAGGAATGAAATTTTCGTCAAAAAACTCCTTTGATCTTCACGCGGTGTGAACGGGGGAGTTATCCTGCTGAAAGATCCAGTTCACAAGCTCGGGCCATCCTCGGTGACCCTCTCGATGAAAGCAAGGAAGTGGGTTTGCAAGATTTGTGTGTAGGCCTCCGCATAAAGGCGTCTACGGTAGCTGACAAAAGGGCCAACGCGGTCGCCGATGAAACAGCCCCAAAACATGATCGAACGTCCACATGGAGGGTTTGCCTGACACAGTCTTCATGAAGACGTTCTCCAGGGTGACGCCAGACTCGAATTTGGCTCTCATGTCCAAGCTCCCACGACGTTTCGTCCGTCCCTGTTTTTGTCCGAAACGTCCGAAACGCCCGTCCCCATTTGCTTTTCACATTTCCAATCTCAATGGAAAGGACACTCCAACCCCAGCAAAAGAGTACAATCCATGTGCCGATACAAAGTACAGAAGTTCCCACCGCTCGCCCACCGGCATTGACAAGGATGCTTGCTGCGGTGGAGGCAGCTGTTCCGAAGTGACGGAACGCGTTCAGAAATCCAAGAGGTGTTCCTTTTTCCACCTCTACGAACCGTCTTTTTTTCCCCACCTTCCTCACTACATGTTATGCGAGCACCGAAGGAAAGGGGAACATGAGAGTGCGGCTAGCGTTCACAAAACACTTTTTTCATCTTCATTTGGGGGGCCAACCACTGTAGTATACTTTCCTTCATCTACATATACAGAACGGGTGGTCTTCATGTTTCTGCACATATGGGAATCGAGGGTTCCGTCCCCACAGCATGGTGGTGCTATGAAATAGTCCATCCCAACCCCGTCCGTATCCCAGCTTCGATGTACAAGGTCACATCCGCCTCAATCGCACCAAACACTCAAATTTCTCCCACCACATCAAGCGTCACAACTACCTCCCGCGAAATCCCCTCACTCTACACACCTCCCTCACGCCGTTCCCCCGACATCCTCCTCATCTGCTGCTGCTGCTGATGATACTGATACTCCCTCTCCCTCTGCTGTTGTTGTCCATACTGCTGCTGCTGACTCGATCCCCCCAGCCCTCCACTCGCTGGTCTCCCCGTCTGCACATCCGGGCTCAACCCCACCTCACTCGTCGCCGTCGTCACATTGGCCTGTGAATGCCCCGCACCCTGGACCCTCCCAGCGACATTCGCCCTATGCTGTCTATTCTTCAGATGCACCTCGAAATTCGACAACGTCTCGTCCGGGCCTGCTTGGTACAATTTGCCGGGGCAGTCGAGGCATTTGAGTCGTAATTCCGTGGTGCGGCCTTTTGGGACAATGTCGAAGCGGTCGTGCGGGTATTTTTGCGCGAGTTGGGTGCGGCAGAGGGCGAGCCAGGGGGGGATGTGGATGCGGGGGGGTGCGTGGTGATGAGTTTGGTGGGGGGCATTGTGAGGCTGGGAGTGAGGTTGAGAGTGGGGATGATGTTGTTGCTGATGTTGCGGGTGGTGTTTGTTGGCGTGCTGGGGATGCGGATGCCCATGGGGATGGGGATGGGGATGGGGATGCGCGCCGCCGGGCTTGTTATGATGCACACCAGGGTACGCATGATGTTGTTGTTGCTGTTGTTGTTGCAAGTGGTGCTGCGGTGGTCCCATATGCTGCTGCTGCTGCTGCGACGACGGAGGCCTCTGCTGCTGCGGATGCGGATGCGACTGGGAATGCGAGCGTCGATGTTCCGCCGACGACGGCCTCTGCTGTCCCTGCTGCATCTGCTCATCCCCACCCATCGACACCCTCCTCCCCTCCCCAACCCCACTCCCACTCCTCCGCCTCTTCAACCCCGCACTCGCACTCTTCTCTCTGTGTTCCCTCGGTTTTTCTTCTTTGGGCACACCAACAACCCTCCTCCCGCCCGTCCGACTCCACCACAACCCACACTCATCACAAACAGTCGCCTCCCCCATCGGCCCCCTCCTCACCAACCGCGTCTCCCTCGCCGGAATCCCACAATTCTCGCATTTCCACTCTTTCACCAACGCCGCTACATTCGGTGGCGCCACAACCTCATTCACATCCTCCTGCGCCGCTATCTCTGTGGCAGCAGGCACGACGACGCCCGGGGTGGGTTCCACAGGGTTATTCATCCCACTCCGTGTCCTCCTGCTCGCATTACGGCGGGTGGTAGTGGCATGTGCATGTGTTTGGACAGTGGCGGCGGCGAGGATGTCGGCGTCGGTGGGGAGTGTTGTGAGCGGGCCTGTGCGGTTGGTTTTGATGAGGTCTTTGTCGGGGAGGGCGATGGCGCGGCGGGAGCGTTGGGTTTGGCGTCGCTTCCTCCTTCAATCAATCAATCGGAAAATCAATACCCAACCCGATCATGCCTCAGCGACGATACTCCCCAACGCACCTAGTATCCCTCTCGCGATCCCTCTCCATGCGCTCAATCTCAAAATCAGACACCGGGTTATAATACGGTCCAAACAGCGCTTTATTCTTTGCCGATCTCAGAACCGTGTCGCTGTCGAGGGGCGGGAGGAAGGCCGCGGCGACTTCCTCGTCGTCGATGGGGAGACCGTCGAAGTTGTGGTCGGTGAGGAGGAGGGATTTTGCAAAGATTTGGACTTGTTCGCGGATTTGGTGCGCTATTGCTGTTCTGTTTTTCATGGAGTGAGTGAGCAACGATGTGTGGATGGCGAATGGGATTGAGTCCGGGACTTACTTGAACTCAGCACTCAAATTCAGCTCATAGCACATATGCTCCGCAAACGCCTCAGGGTTGTTCCGCTTGCAGTTGATATCCCACTCGAACTGGTCAACGAGCGTATGGTTGTTCACCGTTATATCCAACTACCAAAAAAAACAAACATCAGTAACGGCCCAGACCACATCTTCTCCCACACCCCCAAACCCACCTTAATAACAGTCCTCAACTCCGGCTTATCCAGGACCTCTTCCTGCCCCTCTCCCTCCGCATCCCCAACAACCCCCCTCCCCCCCACCCCCCCACCCCCCACCTGATAAAAATCCTCGATCTGCTCGCTCATACTCTTCTCAATGGCCGGCACAAACAACTGTGCAGGTAAATGCAGGTCCTCACACAACAGTTCGGCGAAAGTTTGCGGGTGGAGGAGTTGCTCGTTGAGGTTCCATGTGAAGGTGTCGCGCATTTTTATGCCTTCGATGTCGAGGTCGAGACGGATGGGGATTAGTTGTTCGGGGAGGGGGGATTGGCGTGCGAGTTGGTGTGTTGTGCTGGAGAGGAATCACACAAATGTTAACAAACTGGTGGGTAGGTCACAACGAGAATTGTAGTGATGACATACAAACACATCTCCCCCCCACCAACCCTCCTGCGTCTTCCCACCACAAACTCCAAACTCCCCACACCGTTGCTTGCCGCACCGGCAACCCGTTCCGCGACTTTCCGTCTCAATTCATCCAGCTCGGCGGCTTTGGCGTCCAGCACGTGTTTCTGGTGTGCGATCTGTCGTTTCATGGCGTGCGCGTAGGCGGCTTCGCGGTCCAGGTAGAGGTCGAGGGTGCGTTCCCAGACTGCGAGGGGGTCTTTTGTGTGGGTGGGTGGTGAGGGCGGGTGTGGCGGGGAGGCGGGGACTGGGTGTGGTGCGGGTGGTGGGACTAGTGTTGAGCTGGCCTCATCGTTGGCTTTGGCTGCAGGATCGTGGCTTATGGACTCGTCGGCTGTTTCGTCCGCACCATCATCTTTCTCCGACCCGGCAGGTTTCCCATTCATCACATCCTCCGACGCCTTTTCCGCCGCCTCGGTATTCCCTTCCACCTCCGTTAACGAATCCCCTTTCTGCTCATCACCACTCGTCTCACCCATCTCCAAAGCCGGCCGTTTCTGCACCGGCTCCATCCCCGCATCCGCCGGGTTACTCCCCTCCTGCACCTCCTCAATCTTCCGTTTCACATGCATGTGCGGAGATTCCGTCTGTTCGTGTCCCGCCTGCTGTGCCTGCTGTTGCTGAGGTTGCTGAACCTGTGTCCCGGGAGGAGGTATGCTGGGTGTCGCAGCATTCCCCGCCCCACCCGCAGATGGCGTAGCCGCCGCTCCAGGAACACTTCCCATTCCCACCGGCGGTGGTGTGGCCGTTGCTCCAGGCGGCAAAATTGCACCAGGAGGCACCGGTCTAACGCCCACAGGCACCCCATCACTCCCCACACCTACAAACCCCCCCTGCTGCGGGCGCATCTGATATCCCACCGGCTGCCCCCCCGCCGCGTTCATGACATACATCGGTCTCGGAAGGTTCATATTCGGGGTTCCAATCTGTTGTTGTTGTTGTTGGGGTCGATACTGCTGCTGTTGTTGGTGTGAAAGGAGCATCGGACTCTGCGGTCTGTTTATGTTCATGTTTAATGGGTTGAATGGGTATTGCGGTCGTTGTTGTTGGTGCTGTTGTTGACCAGGGTGGGGGGCCGGTTGCACTGAGAAGGCTTGCTGAAATGGATGCGTGGGGCGTGGGATTTGATGGCCGGGGAAAAGTTGGGTTGGGGTTTGCGTTGCTGTCGGAGGAGGAGGTAATGGTCCCGCGGGAACCGTGACGGGCGGCGTCGCGTTTTGGCCGGTTGGCTGAGGCGGAATGGGGTAGCTGACCGGGTGCGACGGAGGGACAGGTGCAGTGGAAGGTAATACGACGACGTTCTGCCCCCCAGGAATCGTAGCGGCAGGCGTAGATGATTGCCCTACACTCGGACGCGGAGCTTGGTTCCCGATGGGTATGAGCAGAGGCTGCACAGGTACCTGCCCCGTCGTCGCAGGCACCGCGCCACTCTGCCCAGCGGGAATTGTAACTGGAGGCGTCGATGGATGTCCGGGGGCGATGGTATGCGGACGCGGAGCTTGATGCCCGATGGGTATGAAGAGGGGTTGAACGGGTATCTGTGTCGTCGTCGAGGGCACTGCGACAGTCTGGCCAGCAGGAATTACGGGTTGTCCAACATTCGGCCGTGGCGCCTGATGCCCGATCGGTATCAACAGAGGCTGCGGCTGGCCAGGTATCTGCACCGTCGTCGGAGGCACCACCGGGACCGCACCCACCGTTGTCCCAGGTAGTCCAATACCCGGCCGCGGCGCCTGATGCCCGATCGGTATCAACAGAGGCTGCGGCTGGCCAGGTATCTGCACCGTCGTCGGAAGCACTACCGGGACCGCACCCACCGTCGTCCCAGGTAGTCCAATACCCGGCCGCGGCGCCTGATGCCCAATCGGTACCAATAGAGGCTGACACGAAACCTGTGCCGTAGCACCACCTTGCTCTACGCCACCCGTCGTGGCCGGTAATCCAACACCCCCAATCCCCGGCCGCCCAAACTGCGCCCCAACACCCCCGATGGGTAGACTCCTCAAATACGCCAAATTCGGGTTGGGTGAACCCAGAGGCGACGACATTGCGAGGAGTTGTCGTTGCGGATCAGTTAGGTGTGGGTATTGTGGTCGTATGGTGTGAAGGAGGGGGACGGGTGGTGGTGTGGGATGGTTTGTGATTTGGGGGAGGGGTTGTTGTGGGAGTGGTGTTGAGGCAGATGCGGGTGGCGCGGGGGGGATGGACGGTGGCGGTTGGGTAGTGTGTGCGGGTGGTTGCGTGAGGGTCGTCGGTACAGAAACTGAGGCCGCAGGTGCCGCTGTTACATTCGTTCCTATCGCGCTCATCTGCACGGTCGGGGCGGCCTGAGAGACCGGAACAACAGCAGCCCCCGTCGGTTCTCCCGCCGTTCGCTGTGGAGGTACTATATTATGCGGCGCAACTCCTATCGAAGATGGCTGTCGGGGCCCAATCACAACGGCAGGGCGGACCACCGGTAATGTGCTGAAATGACCCGCGCCTTGCGGCAAAGAACCAATGTTCTCTCCATGGAAAGAAACGGGGACGAGCTGCGACAACACCTGAAGTGGAACCGTTGGGGTGCGTGGTTCGACGACCGCGGGAAGACCTGGCGGCCGTACCAGCATTTGCGGTGTGATGAGTGGTATAGTCGACGATGGGTTCTGGCTCACGGCAACGGGTATATAACCAGACTGCGCTGACGTCGTTTGGCTTTGTCCAGGATTCATAACAATCAAGGGTGAAGCCGTTGCAGGCGGGGTATCGATCACTACTGTTGAGCTCTGCGGCACCACAGACTCCTCCCGTGTGGTTGGTATAGACGCCTCTGCTGTTGTTTGGATCACACCAGGCAACTCGACGAGAAGACGGCTGCCGTTCTTCTGCTCCCCACTCGTGCTGTTCGTGATCGGCCCTATCGTGTCCTGCTGGTGGGATGTGACCTCTGGTGAAGTGACCGTCTCCGTATCTGCATCCTTCAGCGTGTCGGTATTCGACTGTGCTGCTGGTTGCAATGCAGTTGCGGACGATGTTAACGGTTCTGCCTCATTCGATATCGCTTGCCCGTCCGCCGAATGTTGCGGATTCGGCGTCTCTCCCCCAGTACCAGTTGCCGGTGGCACACCAGATGAGTCCGCCAACCCGTTTCCCACCGCAATGTAATGCTCGACGGGCGTGCCATTGGGCCGCTCAGTCTCTTCAATTGTCTGATCCATCACCGCCCCTATAGAATCCTTGCTCCGAGCAACAGAATCCATTTCGCGCACGGACTCTTCAGAAACGCTACTCCCTTCACCTCCCTCTATCCGCTGTGTTGGCCGTCCCTCTGGTGATTGTGAATGCTCGAGATTTGCAGGGTCAACCCGTTCGGGTTCTTTCGCCGTCGTTGAAGGGACGGAAGCGGCGTTGTCCTCAGCGAAGGCGGGTGCCAGGGGCTCTGGTCGTGGCTCTGTGTGCTCCCCTGCGGGCCCCTCCATATTTCCGAGAGGGGATATGCCAGTGGTACTCTAGTTTGTCTTGTGTGTACAGTGTCGGTCGTCGTCGCTGTTGCTGTGGGCCATCAGCCTGGGAGTTGCGCTTTCACGCCGTCTGCGAGTGTTGGGAGCCCGTCAAAAACCGCTTGCCGTCACTCACCCGTCTCTCCGGTCTTCCCTCCGGCTCACAAACGCACACCCGCCGTCCATCCACCACTCGTCGCAACCACAACCACCAACCGCCCATTTTGGAGTCGTCAGGCAAGGCCACCCTCGAGTTCCGAAGAACAAGGTTCTTAAGAAGGAGGAGGCTTGCTCGTCGACTTTACCTTAGGAGATGATTTGGACTGTTCCGGCCACCTGGAAACCGACAAAGCAGGGACCAGAAACAGCGAGAAATCTCAGATATCAGCATGGCGTGCTGCAACACGCAAGGCCGAGTTGATGCCGGAGAGAAAGTTGCATGAAAGGAGGGATGCCGATAGCGCCTAAGTAACCTCTAGATTTTTGGCCTTCATCTGCAATATACATATCGCATTTGCATTGATTAGCATAGATACCTTGCACATATACGCTCATATATCGAGTCTCAATGGAATCTAACCGATGCCGTTCTACGCACCTTCAACATCTACGCAATGATTGTTGGCTTGGGAGCTTGTCGAGGACTGCGATGTGTACTGACCCTCCAGAAGTTTGGATGAGGCTTCTGTGACGAGCGGAGAGGAGACCTCCAGACAAGCGGGGAGAGGGGGATGCCTTATAACGGAGTCCGACAGTGTTCGCATCTTAGAACGCAATGAACGCCATGGAATCCTAGCATACGTTCAGCGCCCCTCGGCGAGAAGTAACCAAGGGATTTACGCTGTGGAGGTTTTCTCTCCCCATCCCGACACTTTTTTCGGACCTCGTCAGGAAAAAACTTGAGCAGCTGCCAATACATATACACCATCTTGGAATGTTAAACACCGCGTTCAAATCGGTTGTGCTTTAACGGAGGACGTTTGGCTTCTGGTCGACAGATGGTCCGTGCACCAAACCAAAACTCATCCCTTCTTTTGCTTTTGAACGAGCAGAGAATGAGGGCGTACATTCTGTGAAACACGGCTTCCGTGGGATCTACCTTGTTTCTTCAGGTTCTGCTGGAAACATTTTGGCAGTGTTCCACCACAACACACTTGATTCCCCCGTATGTTTCACACACACCCGCTTCGCCTTTTCTGCGTTTCTTTTTTGGGCGTGGATGGGGATGCATGTCCTCCCGTTCCACTTCTCTCCATGCTCTTTTCGTCAAATGTCCCCTTGTCAACCCCCTCTCTCCTCTCTCTCCTTTGATCTCTCGCAATGCTTCGTGATAGCTGTGACCATCCGTCCGAACTCTCCGGACATGAACACGCTGCCTGCGATTTCCCTGCTTCCCTCAAAGTGACATTTTCCCGATTTCTTGCCGCGTCCAACTGCTTCGTGCGCTTTTGTTTGTTTTTCCAAAGCGCAGAAACTAACGTCGATTTCTCTGATCTTACGCAGTTCATAAGTCCTGGCCGTAAAGCGAATCACCTGTGGAGCCACGTTTTCCGCAAGGCGGTGCGTTTTCTCTTGCTACTGCTTGCACCAGTCTTGCCCTTTTCCTTGGTTGCACGCAGGGGCTCTCCCGGTCTCCCGGTCTGCGATCTCTCGCTCGCGAGCGTTCATTCCATCTGCAAGCTGTTGTGCATGGAGCTGCAGCGTTGTGCTGTACTGAACAGAGGAGGGTCGGCTATGAGATAGCAAAGAAAACAGTGTTGATCTAGATTGAATACTATTACATTCTTCTCTTTCTACGAAAAGCGCGGAGGATAGCGTCTAATGCTGGCGCATGCGACTTGTCACGGGATTAAGCTTATTGTCCTTCATCCGCTGGGGGCCGCTCAAGCAACGACGCTCACCATGAAGGCAACAACCGTCACAAGTCCCACCACCCACGCACGTACGGCGCCCGACGTCCCACTGTTCGGCACCGACTTTGCGTTCACACCACCATCCCCCGTGGTGTTCAGACCGGTGGTCGCCGTCAACACCGAAAAGTCCAACCCATCCCCCAAACACGTGCCCGCATCCACGGCGCCCGTCCCCTTTCTCACAAACCCCTCGATCGACCCCACGGCGCACGGCATCTGCATCAACGACGTGATATGCGCCCCACGCGGCATTTCCACACTCACCACGTCGACGCCCCCCGCTTTCATCTCGCCCACAGTCCGGCGCGCGTGCGTGACGGGTGTCTGCGGGTCCAGTTGCCCGGAGAGCACCAACACGCGGCCTCCGAATCTTGACGTAAGGGGTGTGCGCGGCGGGGCGGGGTAGGTCGGCCACACGGGCGCGACGGCTGCGAGGACGGGGGCGAGGTCGTTAGCGATGGTGGCGTTGTGTTGGGCGGCGGTTGCGTCGGCGAGGGTTGTCCACCATTCGGAAAGGACGATATTCACCGCGATGAGTGGGGAGGGCTGCTCAGCGACGGGTTTGGGGGCCTGCATCTGCGCTCCCGCACTTTGGGCCAGCGGCGCGAGGCCCGTGGTGGCGGCGCGGAGGAAACTGGCGTCTTGGCCGGCGTCCGAGCAACGGCGGAGGCGCCCGAGCATCTCGAGCAGGAGCACGCGCGTGTCGTACGGCTTGCTGTCGATGGTGACGTTGGCGAGGGTGGTGAACAGCAGCGGAAGCATGCGCCGCAGTTCGGCGGGAACGGCGTCGTAACACGCGTTGTTGGCGGGTGGGGGTGGTGAACTGCCCTGCGTGCCCGTCATCGTCAGATTGCGGAGAACCTCGCGGATCTTCTGCACGGTGGTGCCGCCCTCGCTCCCCGCCGTCGCATACAGCGTCTTACACGCGGCGTTGCCATCGCACATCTCCCCCAGCACAGCCAACCCATCATCATAGGTCGACACCGAGTCCGCAAACCGCGTCCAGTACGGCACCAACCCGTCCAGCACAAGGGCGGTGGCCTGCCCCGGAAACAGCTGGACGTAGCGGTGGGCGAGCCACGTGCCGTACGAGAGGCCGTACACGGTCACCGTCGACCCGGCGCGCGCCGTCGCTGTGATGACTTGGTTGAGGTCGCGGGCGGCGTTATCGGTGGAAAAGTCGGTCAATGCCAGACCCTGCTGCTTGAGGATCCCGAGGCAGGCGCTGGCTTGCGTTGCGTTCTGCACGGCCATGCCACAGTCGAGCCGCGTGGAGTTTCCCGTCCCGCGCAGTTCGACGATTGTCACGTCGTGGTCGCCATTAAGAGAGCTGGGTAGGGAAACAAACAGCAATCACCGAAATAGCCTGTCAGCTAAAGGGGGATTTTCCACACCAAAAAGTCCCCAACGCCAACGAACGCATAGACACTTACGCAAACACCGGCGACGCAAGGTATGACCGATACCCGATAGCGGCTTCGCCCGGTCCGCCCGGAAGCACATAGATCCCCCCTTTTGGCGTCGTGGTGTTCTTGGCCGGCAATCTGGCCAGCTGGATCGACAAGTGCGACGACGCACCACCATCAGCGGCAGCGTAATTGGACGGCACGCTGAACGCCGCGCACTCCAGCCGCGTTTGGATGTCGCCGGGTAAGGTGGAGTCGAGGGAGGTGGCGGCACATGGTTGCCATTGCACTGCGGAACTATGGGATGCGCGGAGGAGAGAGAACCGGGGTCAGTAGAGTGCGGGAGGTAGACAGGGCCGGCGGGGTGGACTTTTGGGAGCTATATATCATATACACACGCACCTTGGAGGCGTCGGTGCCGCCAGAACGCTGCATGAGGCGGTCAGCACTGCGGCGACGGCGGCGGTTGCGAGGGAGGAATGATATCCCATTGCGCTCTTTTCCAATGTAGGCTGTATTGTTGAGCGCTCACAGGACTATGAGCGAAGGAGAGCGGGGGGTGTTTTGGAGAACGCAACGACACCCTCGACCCCCCCCACCGCCCCTTTTATAGGAACGGAAAGGTCTGCTATGTATGTCCTGGCAAGCATCCCGCCAGGCCTGTCGGAGTCTCAGTTTGGAGGCTGCCTCTGTCGCAACGTGCGTGAAGCCAAGACACGAAGAGCGCCAAAAGAAGAGCGCCCAGACATTGCGTCCACACCTGCCGTCGTTGTGGCGCTCCGCTCTCATCAGCCAAGCGGGCGTCGGGGTTCAAAATTTAAGGACGCACACCCCTTGTTTTTAGCACTCACTCATCAGGCTCTGGATCCAATGGGTGTGCGCTTGCCATCCGTACATGTCCATTCTCTTCGCAAAAAGCTCTTCCCCCCCGCCCAAAAAAACCCCCCAAGTCAGCGTTGCGGCGTTGACTCATCATTAGCAATTTCGGGATTCTAATAAACCTGGGCGTACCACTATTACCCCTACCATGGATCTGATGAGATTGTCCAGAGGAGGGATCGAGAGCAATAAATGCCACAGCACCTCGTTTCTACATCTGAACGGGCGCTGTCAGTCCCGAAGACCCTGTCAAAACAAAGCTTGGCGTGGAAGGTTGAGCCTAAACTGGAGGCCCCCTTCACACATCAAGGCCGCTTTTTGAGGAGCCCCAAAGAGGTGGGGGCGAGTTTGCCGAGGTGGGCTGTGGGGTGCCTAGCAAGCGTTTTGGGAATTCGCAGCGGGGCGAAGCGAGCGTTCCCTGCCTTTGAATGATAGATCGAACGAAAGCGAACGGGCGAACCGGCTTCAGCTCCTTGCCCACTGTCAAACTGTCAGTGAGTCACCCTCGTCCTTTTGAACAGGTGCTCTCTCCGCCAAGACAAGAGCTCTATCTGCCTTTTACAGCCATAGAAACAGGTGCATGTCCCATAAGCGGCCAGTTTTCCAGCTTGTTATGTACGTGCGTCGATCCAGCCCCCCAAAAACACATGGGGCGTTCGTCGGGTTGGGTTGTGATCCCCTCCCAGCTCTCACTCTCCCCGAATATCTACCCACCACCCGCCCCACCGCCCCAAACCCCACCACCGCCCACAAACAACCGCTCATGATTCCCCTTGATCCACTTCACGAGCGCACTCAGCGCTTCCATTGCGGCCGGCTTGGCAACGAGGGGGCCGAAGGCGGCGTAGATGTCGTAAGGGGGCGTGCGCTGCTTATATGAAAAGGCCGAAGGCCGAAGCGTTAAGCATTGACAGGTTCAGACAGAGAGCGATGGAGAATATGTAAAATATATACGTACGCAGCAGACGACGGCCTCGGTAGCGCTCGCCAAAAACAAGGTCTGTGCATCCGTATCCCCGCTCCCCTTTCGCCTCATAACCTCCGCGGCGCGATGGTACGTTTTCAACAACCTTCACCCAAAAAAACCCCCCCCAGGTTAGTGACCAATTCGCAAGATGGCGTGGAATTTCCAACCACGCACCTCTTCCAATCCGCCGGATTCGTATACGGCGGCGCCGGCGCCGGCTCGGTGTACTGCCCGAGGGTGCTCGCGACGCATATGAAGTGACGGAGGACGGGGATGCCTGCTTCCACTGATAAACAATCATGTAAGTCATTTTCGTTAGTTTTTGCGGGGGAGATGGAAGGGTAAGGGTGGGGGGAACGTACCAATACTGTATGGGACGGCTTTGACTGCTGTGTCGATGGCGGCTAGGGCGCCGTTGTTTTCCAACTCCTACTCGGCCCCCATTAGTGTGAAAAAGAACCTCCCTCCAGTGCGATACAGTACAATACAAGCCCACACGTACCTCACCCACCCCCTCCCTCCACCCCCTCCCGACCCAAAACCCCTCCTTATCCGTCCCCACGCACACAACGCAGACCTCGGGCGTCAAAAAGGACACATACGCATGTAAGAACGCATTTGGGTTGAAGCGGGGGAGGCAGATAGGTGTCCAGGTATCTCCCGATTTATACGCCGACGGTGATGAGGTGAGCGTATTCGTCAGGTGGTGGTAATCGTCGGGATGCAGACTGAACCGTTTCGGCCTGACGAGGGCTACCAACCTCCCCTTGGCGATCATCAAGCCAAACACCAACCCCACCAACCCCTGCCCCCCACCCCCACCCCCACCCAACGCCCCCGTCACGAGGGCACGCACTCTGCCCGGCACAGGCAAGCACAGCACGGATGAGAGGGCGAGGCCCGCGTCGGTGGGGAATGCGCGGGTGAGGTTGGTCAAATGGTGTTCCGTGCCGCTGAGTAAATTCCTCAGATCGTAGTTGCCTCTCGTCTTGAAGATCCGGGTGAGTTGCGCGCTGGTGAGAATGGTGAGGATCTGGGTGTGGAGATGATGGAGCTGGGTACGTAGTTGGTTCTCAGACTCGCCTGATGAGGAGATGGCTAGTAAGTACAGTGGGCCTTGGGTGGAGAAGACGAAACGATGGATTCCGGCGTTGATGCAGCGCACGGAGTCGTCGTCGTCTACGAAGAAGGACATGATGGCTTGGATGAGGCCTGTGAAGCTTGAGAGGCGGCCTTCGTCGCCGTAGCGGGAGTAGATGGGTTTTCCGGCGCTGCTGAGGATGAAGAAGTGCTTGCGGTGATGGGCCCAGGATGAGGAGGTTGGGCCTTCGTCGGCCTTTGCGCCTTTTTCTTGTTTTACTATGGTGGTTGTTTGGGATGATGGCGGTGGTGGTGGTGGTGTGGCAGGGAGAGGGGTGGAGTGGTTTGATACGTCCGGTCCCTCTTCCCCGTCTGGTAGTTCCGTCGCCTCCGGGTCCGCATTCACGGCCTCCTCCTCGTTTGCTATCACATCCTCGCCAACAACGTCCTTGACGGCCTCCTCCGGCACCTTTTCCTGACGCTCCCCTTCCCCACGCGTAACCCCATCATCATCGCCCTCCCCTTCCATCTCCAATTCGTTCCCCTTCTCCAGCTTTCGGGTTCTTTTTCAGGCCGGGTTTCTAGGTGTCGGAGATCGCGAGGTGAAAATTGCGAATTGCCCGTCTTCTCCTCAGCCGGACGGGTTTGGCGGCGGCTACACTACAGTGGTTCGGAGCATGAATTGAGGCAAGTGGGTTGATGTTGACTGTGGGTTCGGCTGCTTGAGTGGACCGCAAAAATGCAACGTCGTCAGGTGTTCGGTCCCAAGATGGGTTGTGGATGGATTTTACGACACTGCACAACTGGCAGAACGGCAAGCTATTGAGTCTGCTGTTCTTCACGGAATTCTTGGGATGAGGTTACGGCTATATGTAAGGTTTGGTTATGGCGGTGTATGGGGAATGGTTGTTCTCCATTCCACGAAGATCGAAGGAAAGTGAGAAGGGAGGATGGCTTTTGACGGGTGGTGTGCCGTCATCTTCTTTTTCGCCTCGTTCTTACCCGGCCCACCAGCGGCTCACAAGCCCCTACAGTAAGTTGTACCACCGCATGGAAGATCCATCTGGCTGGGAGGGTATCTGCTATATATGTACAGTAGATCCTGAACGAGGGCGTACGGATGAAGTCCACCTTTTATGCACGGTGTAGTGCGAAACATCAATCCCAGTCCCACTCTCCTTCGCGTTCTTCTCTCCCCAGAACGTGGACGTCCCATCAACCATCCGCCTCCCCCCGAAGGCACAATGTGAGAAGCAAGCACATTCTCTCCATTGCATTTGACGATAAGCGCCGAAATAAGATAAATACAAAGCGTGTACTACAGGTGATATGCCTTCAAGGCTCTCCCCCATGTGCTGTCTACTGTCGCCTCTCTTCAATCAGAACTGATGTTCTCCCTCGTTTGTCGAGCCGGGTCGGTGAGTGATACGAATATAGTGCGATGTGCGATTTTCGTCTTTCGTTCGGTTTGATGTTACTGTATTGCATTGTTCAAGCTCATATTAGCCCTATGGTGTGCGAAAGGGAACGGTGGGGAGATTAGTCCCAAACTCTGGAGTCGTCATGGTTCACCGGTGCCCGTCGTCCAGATAGCTCCATCCTCCCATAATGTATTCTCCTTCCTTCCATCCCAATCCGATCACATCAACGGGGGAAACCGACCAGGACGGTACTAACACAGCATCATTGGGATCGTACGTTTCTGTGTTGTATGCACAAGACACAAGGGGAGCAGTGCATATTGGCCCCCCAGTAAGGGGAATACTATACCCCTTCACCCAGTTGGTCTCCGTAGTTGAGGAGTAGCGAAAGCGCGAGCGATGGCCGTGGGCCCGTTGGGAATTGTGGTGGTTGTATCTAGGGAGATTCACAGAGCGTAAGATGCCATGGAAACCCAGTGAAGCGTTCAGTGCATATGATTAAACTACTTACAGTAGCAGAACTGTTGTTGCCCACAGGCGAGATCATCGGCGGCGAGCGCGCACTATTCGCGGCGGAGGCGGAGGTATGTGCGGCTCTCCCTGCCCCGAGACCTGAGGCGGAGAAGGTGGAAAACCCGGGCAGCGAGGAGGAAGTTGAGGAGGAGGTTGGAGAGCGGGGTGATGAGGATGGGTTTGGTGGTTGTTGTCGTGATGGACGGGAGGACGAGGCTGGACAGCGGGAGGAGACACCTCGAGCGGCTCGAGCTGCTGAGCGGAAGGACATCTTGGGCTTCTTCTGTGTGGGTGGGTATCCGGGGGTGGGTGGCCTGAGAGCGGGTGACTCCTGGGGAGAGTGTTTATGTGGGCTCGGTTTGGTCTCAAGAGAGGGGCCACTGTCGGAGCGGGATGTCGTTCCAAGTCTCGCCTATGCCAAAAAGGGGCCGAAAGCTCTGCCCTGCGCGATGATTAGGGGTTCCACATGGAGGTCGTGTCCGTTCACATTAGCGGCATGATTAGACGAGCGCGAGAGATGCGAGTGCTTTGATTAGCCGTTGTTGACTTTTGCGCAATGGGAGCGCGTTTTCTTCCCCTTCGTCCCGTTCTTCTTCTTCCCTGGCAACGCAACGCAGCGCAAGCAAGCCACGGAACAGCAATCTTCCCACGCAAAAACAGGCATCCACTGCTTATTCACACCGCTCACCGACTCACAACAACAGCAACAATGCTCGGTCCCTCAGCCTTCCGTTCCGCCGCACGGTCCTCAACAAGAGCAGCCGCCTCCGCTGCTTCCTCAAGTAGTAGTAGTAGTGGCGCTCGGTGCTCAGCAGCAGCACCAACAGCAGGGGCGTCAGCAGCCACAGGGAGATCGAGACCAACACCATCCCACCCCTCTTCCGCTTCCTTCTCTTCCTCCTCCGCATCCGCATCTGCCTCCTCCTCCGCACACTCCTTTGCATCCTCGGCGTCATCCACTTCTTCCACACCGGCTGCTGGGGCGTCCCCAGCACCATCTGGCCTGGCTACCACCGTCGGTGCCAAGTCGGTAAGTCTGAGTTCTATTTCTCCATCATCCAACCCTCTCGCAGTCCTCTAACCTCGTCCTCCTCTTTTCGCAGACAAACGGGAGTTCAGTAGGCGCATTCTCCGCAAGAGGCATGCACACCTTCACTTCATGGTTGGTGGAAGACGACACGTAAGTAAAACCCCCAAAAACAAAACAACGGGCGCGGCGGCGGCGGTGCACACAAAAAACAGTTATACTCTCCTGGTTGACACACCCGCCCACTCCCGTCTTTTCTTTCGCACCTTTGGTACATAAGCGCTTAAGAAATACCCTCCCTCCCTCCTTCCCTCCCCTTCTGGTCCTCCCCCCCATTTCGCTTTCTCTTCCATTTCGCCCAACGCTCTACGACACCCTGTTCTTGCTCCATCATCCCACTCGCCACATGCACAAAACACAACCTCTCTTTTCGGAACACATAATGATATTTGGTACGAATCTGTGCACAGGAGGTGGGTTGGAAAAAGGGATCACACAAAAAAGAGCAGGCAACCCCTTACCTCCCTCTCTTTCTCATATCCCTCAAAATGACAAAAAGTCTTAACATCCCTTTTCTCCCTCCTCTCTCCTTTCCTTTTCCCCTCACCACCATCACCGACCAATTCACCTCAATCGACAATCCCTTTCTTATCGACAACTTTTGGGCGTAGATAAGTTGACGGATGCCGGTGCTACCTATCATCATTGATCTTTTCTCCGATCGACATACGCCACGTTATCCCATGACCGGTTTTTGAAGGTTGTAGTAAATGATAAGGGGTGTGCGTATGGGGAATCGGAGTGCTGATTTGGGTGTTTTTGAGTGGGGATTGGGCCCGATTGAGATGGGGGCATGCGATTGGAGCTAGGGACGATTGGAAATGGAAAAGCAAGAATGGAGAAGTGGGAGGGAGGACAGGACCGGGGGGGTTTTTCACTCTAGGAGGGGATTTCAAGAGATTCGGAAGGCAGATGGCGTGCATTTCTAGACACCCCAAACTATCGGGTTTTGTAGTTCATCCATATTTATGCACGCGCAATGAATACAGTCTCACAGACGGTACACTCCCCGAGCACGCGCTAAGAAGTTTCCAGTTTTTATCAATGGCGTCGGAGTGCATATTACAGGTCCCGTATCTCATTGCGCCAGCATCTATTCTCAGCAGACAGGGAGTGGGGAGGTGACGCAACAGGAGCACGTAAGAGAGTTTCAGTCGACCGCCGATCGGTGTTCAGGTGAGCAGTTGAGGGATGTATCCAAACTACGTCGAGCCTATTAGATCCCTTCCCCCGGCACTCCTCAAATCCCAAGTCGAATTCGTCCCCTCTCCCCCCACTCGATATTTCCTGCTGGGCCCCCTTCTCGTCGAACAAACATCACACCCAAGGTGGGTCTCAAATGACCTGCGTAATCCCACTCCCAGCAACCATCTCCTCTTTGGTGATCAGATGGGTCGTTTTCACAATCCTAGAAAAGGGAAAAGTCATAAATCAGTCAATAACCGGCACTTCTCAATCCCTCCTCGCGGCACTTATGATTCCATTTATACTCACAACTCCAACAAACTCGCCACACTCCCACTCCACTCATTCAACACCGACGCAGGATCCTTCCGTTTCATGAACGTGACGATCCCGCGCGGCCGGTCGACGCGCGCCCAGATGGTCTTCTTGGTGACGAGGTTGGAGAGGAATTGTTCGGATTCCTGTGTGGGAAAGTAGGGAGCAATCGCGAAGCGAACATCGTAAACAAGGAAGCGTGAATTTGGGGAGCGTGAAGGAAAGGTGGGGGGATTCATGCATGGAAGGCAACTTACGGTAGGCGATAGATCCAACAACTGCGTGAGCCGCTTGACGGTTATCCTGTCGTAATACTTCGCCACGACGCGGATATTCTTCACAGAAAAAAACCAATCAGGACATATTCAGCCCCTCCGCCCCACCACACCACCTCGCCTCCCCACTCCCGCCCGGACGCCGTCGCCGTCGCCGTTGAATGTCACCAAAACCCCGTCAACTCCAGAAAACCAACTTACATGCTCAATAACCCGCTTATGCAGATCCTTGTACCGCTTCTGTCCATCCTCCGTCTTTAGATCGAATACGAAGCCTGTTTTGAACAAGGGGCCGTAGATCTCCTCGATCTTGGGCCAGCGCATCAATTCGGATATAATGAGGCATTTCGTCAGTTCCCTAAACAAAAACAAGTCAACAATGAAAAATGAATCCACACATCCAAAATAAGAAGAATGATATCCGCGAAACATACTTATAACTCCCCAGTTTACTCAACCACGGATCCTCATAAACGCGATGAATCAAATCACTCTGCTCGTTATCATACGGGGCCAGTATGACAAAGAAGATGATGTTGCGGAGCGTTTCCGTCTTTTTGGCGTCGTCGGATTGGATCGAGGGCGTGTCGTAGATCTGGCGGTAGTATTTGCAGGCGTCGAGGTAGGCGGATTCGTGCAGGGCGTGGTGGATCATTAGGTCGTAGAAGCGGAGTTTGAGGTCCTAGAATGGAGAGAGATGGGGGTTTAAGGGGCGGAAGGGGATTTCATGGGGGGAAGGGAGAGGGCAGTGTGATGACTTACCTGGACTTCAGGCTCCTTGAAGTACTTTGGGGAGATTTTGCGGGAGATGATTTGCATGCGCGTGTAGTCCTTTTTGGCGAGGACGAGGCGCATTTGTTCGAGGATGAAGTCGGTTTTTTCGCGCTTGTCCATTGAGCCAAAGGTTTCCACCTAAAGCAAATCACAAATATCCGCGTGGATGCGTCAATATCATCCCCCTAGGACGGAGATTCACGCTCGCGTATGAATGTTGACGCACCTGCAACTCTTGCAAGATATCCGCCGCCTCAACAATCTTCCCCTCCTTCTCCTTGATCTCCGCCAACGTCCTCGTCACGCGCGCACGCTCCACTTCCACAAAGATCTTGCCCTCGGTCACCGTCCGCAGCGTCTCGATCAATTCCAGCTTCGTGGGCATGTCGGGGGTTTTGTCGACATAGGTGGTCGCTTCTTGGATCATCTTCGTCACCGCCTTCGAAGCAAAATCGGGTTAGCGGATTTTGCGCTTTTCGTTGGGATTGAGTGAAAGTGAAATGACGCACCTGCTTAAGCAACCCATGCTTCTTGGACAGCAACACGATATGCTCGTTCAGCAGTTTCCAGTCACCGGATTCGACGCACAGCTGGATGGCTGCGATTAGAACTCGCGTATTTGATGCGAGGTCCGCGGCCTTTATCACGAAGGAAAGACGTCAGCTACAGGATGCAAATCTTCAGTTTTGGTTCCCGCATACATACCACACGCGTCTGCTTTTCCAAAGCCAGTAGCTTGTCGAGCGCCTCATTGATGGATCCTTTCTGTAAGCGGCGAGATATAGTGAGTCGGAATGGTCTTACGTCAAGTTGCCGTGCTCGTTCTATGATCTCGCGTATTCGCGACATCGCCTTCGCCTCGTCCGTCATTCTCGCTTGGCATGTGCGCCCCAGTCGGTCGTTGACGGTCCCCCCGGGCTTTCAGTCAGCCAGCTAAGAAGTTTATGGTACGCACCTGTGCGGTAGCGACGATATCAGGCAGCTGGGCGTCTACGATCGCGGAGCAGTCCTTTTGCATCTTCTCCTCGGTCATCTTGCGGGTTGTTTGTCACCGGAGTGAGTTTGTGAGGGTTTGAGGGCTGGGCGTGGACGGGCGCCGATACGATAGAGAACAGGAATGGAATAGGCGGGGTGGGGTATGTAGTATGGCTCGGATAGTGATGTTCCTGTGGGAATGTTGCAGCGTACTGAAGTTGGAGGGCTGCGAGTTCCCTTTGCCTTCAGGACGCAAACGACACGCAATGGGAGCCTTCTTTTCCCAACGCGCACTTACTCCGCATTCACAAACAGCACATAGAAGGGCTCCATAAGCGCTATGTACTCATCAATGTTCAGGGGAATACCCCCGCTCTCCCGCACCTCCCGCCTCGCCACCTCATACACGTCGTCGTCACCGCCCGCAAACCTCGCATTCGCCCGCCTCCTACGCACAAAACGGACCTATGCCAGTGTCTCCGCCGACCCGCCGCTGTTGCAGAGGTCTCCGGGGGAGATAGCCAGACGTACGTTTGAAAAGGGCGGAGGTAGGGGGGCAGGGAGAGCCGGTTGACTGACGGATGGTGTTGGATGTTTGATAGGGGTCGCTTGTACGCAAATGATGTTGACGAGGTGGGGGATAGAAGGTAGGGGACACTGTTCGCTTGCCGAAAAGGCGTGGGCGAGATACTGTGTTTCTGACAATGTTGTGGTTTGGTTTCTTGATTGACAGCTGCACATGCGTCTAATGGAAAGGATGAGGGTACGATTTGCTTCACTATCTGCTTCGGGAGCACGGACGACAGGCTGATACTTTTCACTACAGCTGGGCGGATCGAGACAAGCTACCAAGCACTAGCCCGCGCCATCGACGAAAGCAAGCTAGACCGTTCGTTCACGCCACAGGTGCGGCCGGCACCCCTACTTTGCAACCCTCGCACACCACACATGCCTCTAACTATCTCTGAAACCCTACCAACAGGAGTCGAAACTGATGGAAAAGACTCTAGGCACATGGTCGCCGCAGGAAGACATCGTGGGCACACTCGGGCGCTGGGAATCGTTCGGCATCCTGCTCTGGATGCTGCGGATCGTCGATGGGGTGCCGAGGTACCACATGCCGTTCCCGAGGGAGGTGCTGTACGAGGCGACCGCGATCGTGCCGGCGTTCCCGACTACAGTGGCGACGTTTTTGGAGGTACGGCGGGGAGATGAAAAACGCCTTGTGGGAGGGCAGGCATCTGATGTCCCTCTTTCCTGCTTACCTACCAGTACTTTACGAATGGAGAGGGCGCGAAGGAAAGTCACCGCGTGACGGAGGACGAGCTCCGGACCGCCATCAACAAAGCTGAAGCGTGGTACTGGCGCGCAAGAGCGCAGGTTGTCCTGGACTTGCGGGAGAGCTTGAAGGGAGATAGCGAGGAGCAGAAGGCTGCCAGGAAGTACGTTTCTCCGTTCCTCAGCCATCAATCTGCCTTGTTCTCACACCACTCCCAGAAAAATCCCCTCAGCCCTCCACACAGTAATGTCCAACCTCGACTCCGCCCTAACGCAAGCCTCAATTCGAGCTACCACCGACCACCTAATCGATGAAACCATCTCCGTTACCCAACCAGGGTCCCCCGAAATGACCGATTTCGGCGTCGACGGCACGCCCTACCGCGCCCTCGACGACCACGCGCTGCGGGAGGCGAATGATATTGCCGAGTATAGGCTCGCGGCGCTGGGGTGGTTGACCGGGCGCGAGTGGGACTTTCAGAGGGGGGAGGTGCCGTTTATACATCCATTGGGGAGTTTGTGGACGCCGGTGGATAATTGAGAGGAGGGAGGGAGTAGACCGGCGTATGGGTTGGGAGGAGGAGGGAAGGATAGGTAGAGTAGGGCTGATGGCGTGCAGGTAGCTAGGTTCTGATATGGTTGACAGGGCATGTCCGACGGGAATAAACAGCGCGATGCAAAACCCGCCGGCAGACGCGTAAAACATCTTTCACTTCTGTTTTGCAACAACCTCTCGCAATCTTCCCTCCGCCTATCCCAGATCCCAACCAACACCACACGCACGCAATGTCCCTCAGATCCCGCATCCTCCTCGCCGGCGACATCCACTCCAAAGTCGACACCGTCTACCGCCTCGCCATGGCCCTGCAGACCAAAAAGTTGATGTAAGGACCAAAACCCCCTCCAACGCGGACGGTGGGTGGAAACAGCGGAGAGCAGAGTACTTCCACGACGGCTTACCGAGCAGCGGATGGGCGGGTATAGAAACGGCTTCGTAAGAGTGTCACGTTGGTCCTATGAAGAAGTATTGACTGCCAAATATTCAATAGTGGCTTACAACAAAGCGGACAAGGTAACGATGCAAGACGCGTACCAGAATGAAAAGAGGAGAACCGCCAGTGACCTACTTGATTAATACAGCTGCTCTCTTATATCGCGAAGCAGTATCAACAGCCATCCAAACTATGCAAGCTACGGAAAAATCAAATGCGTTCAAGCTATGCAAACTGTGCACTACGCCAAAACTATGCAAAACCGAAAAGCCCCAGCGAGACGACCATATTTCTCAACCGCAGCAACGCAAACAATCTTCAGATTCCCGTTGTGGTGTTCCCAAACACGGTAGCGGCTGAAGTTGACGACACCGCGATAAGGGGCGCAAGAAAGACTCCCCAGGCGCAACCCCAGATAACACACACATACCCAGGTGGGATAGTGCCTGGAGACCTCCAAGTCGCGGTGCAGTTGTATACCGGGAAACGGGCCATTTCTGCATAAAGACCAGTGCATGCCCCCGTCCACACATCGGCGCCCTCAGGCGGAAGTAGGGGTGCGTCGATGCCCAAGGGCATGACAGTGTCGTCGGGACAAGCGTTCGTAATCGGAGTGGACTGGAAGTTGACGATGGTCGTTGTTGGCCGTATCGTTCGAGAAGGTGATGGAGATATTCTTTTGGGCTCTTCCATATTGGACGACGCAAAGAACGGTTGCGAGAAGGGCCAAACAAACGCATGATGTAGATCTAGACCTGATTTGGATTGGTCCACTGATATAGCGAGAGCGACCGACCACGCGCGGAAGAATGACGGAGTGCCCGGAGATGTTGGGAGCAGATACCAGCTAGAGATGTGTGAGAGCTTGCGAGTCGAACTTCTTTTTTTTTGCAGTTGGGATGAGGATGAGTTGAAAAGGAAACCTTTGCGCCAAAAACGTCAGGGATGTGCAGAAACATGGACAATCACACGAATGGGCGCTCACATATGCAAAATTCCATTGACACCTTCGCATCATGCCCGCCGCTTGAAGGTTGCATTGCTTCGTCTCGGGTGAGAAACAGTTTGACAATCTGTCCGCGTCCCCTTTCGCTCCCCCACCTCGTCTCCAGCGGGAACTTTACGTGCTCGATGTTTCTTCCGGCAGACATCATTCTCCCAAACCGTCCCCGATGATCACATGCATGTTTACCCCCAAGCTCTTAGTTTCTTAGGATGCCGTATGACTACTCCATTCACCGTAGCCACTGGCCATGGAGTGGAAGTGCACGTCCCCACATTCGGCAAAAACATCTTGCCCGACGCGTTTCGCGTTTTGATGACACATGTGTCAAATGCCGTCAATCTGGCTTACGCGTTCCAGATAACGAGAAACAGGGACCGAGGACTTCCCCTGTCCCTCCTTCTGCCTCCGCGTGAGTTCCCTACTTTCCCCTTGCGTGCACATACAGTAACTTCCCCCTTTTTCCATCACTCCAGGAACGAGTTATTAGGGTTGAATTTGCGTGTTAAAAGTTTCACGGGCAGACTGTAAGCCCGGCCAGCCAAGCCTTGTTCTCGGCCGTCTTTCATCTCAGTGATGTGTGGTCCAACGACCTTCGCAAGTCGCCAACCCTCATGAACCACGAGCGCCGGGCGTACACGAGGGGCGGGATGTTCGGTCGTCAAAGTTGACATTGAACGCAAGATGAAGCAGAAAGACGGGAAGATGACTGTTTGCTTGGAGTGGCTGTTCCCACCTTCGTATGCTTTGTCTACTAGCATTGCGAGCATGTGTGGCAGTGTGCGCGGAGGCCTCGGGAGAGGTTATATCGATCATATCGGTACGGTGAGATGATGGGCACGACTGGAACCCTTGCCCCGAGTACCGTATCATAGATGCCCAGGCGACGCGTTTTGTTGACACAAGCCTGTCGATTCTTGTTGCCTTGCCAGTTTACGCGTTATCAACCAAGAAACAAAGACGTTTGATCTTCGTCCCCCCTCCCACGCTCCTCCCGCCCTCCCTTCATTCCCCCGTAAGGGAAAAGCTTCCCCCGTTCCGTTACAGTCATCTGGATTGTGCTTCTGGCTGGTTTCGATATCAGTTCTATGTGCAGTGCCTTGGCTGTAAATGGCGCTCTTGTCCACCCGCTGGCGGAGATCACGCCGAGACACTATGGTTACGATCCAAAAACACAGGAAAATCCCGCTACAACCATGATGATATTTGTAGAGCGTACAGATGTTGCTACAAGTTGAAAAGTGATCGTAGTAATCAGGGTACGCCGGTACAAAAAAGAAGCTGCGCTCAATGAAGCAAACAGGGATCGAGAGGCGACCAAAATGAGGGTTTACTGGAAATGAGGAGAGAATACGCGATTTCGCTCTGAACGTATGCAAGAGGCATTGAGTGAACGGGAGCGTTGGGAAGCGCGCAACCACCAGGGGGGGGGGGGGCAACGGTACCGCTGCGCCTTTCACAACTCCGCATGGCCCGTCGGAATAACGCTGGCCTCCAGTGCAGTGATATATGCATGTCAACGAGTATATCCAAAGACTACGCGTTTCCTCACGAATCAAACGGATTAGTAATCCTCCTCACCACCCCCGGCCCCTTCCACAACCCCTTAACCTGACCCTCCCAGTACAGCGAGGGTATGATGTTGGCGGTGAGGGCGTAGGAGAGGGCGGATTCTTTGGATTGGTCGTAGAAGAATGTCTGGGTGTGGTGCGAAACGTTAATATGAATCAACGCGGAAGGGTTCACAGGGGGCGTGAGTGGACGCAGCGACACACCTCCTGCGGTTTACCAGTGTACCCCGAAAACTCGGCCAAAATCAACTTCCCCTTCCCCGTAATCAGGGGGCAGCTCGTGTATCCGCCATACGCCGCCGCGGGGCCCGTCCCGTTCTTTATAGCGCGCAGCAGGTTGTGGGTTGTAACAGCTGACTCCGCGGCAGCTGCAGCCGCCGTCTTTGATGTCGGGAGGCTGCTCGCGTCCCCCAAGGCATACACATTGGGGTACTTGACATGTTGGGTAGTTTCTTTATCTACATCCACCCACCCGTCCGCGTTCCCCAACCCGCTTTGCCGGATGAAAGGCGGGGCGGACATGGGCGGGGTGACATGTATGAAATCATAATCAACAATCGTCTCCTTCCCGGCGGATGCAGTGGGCGATACATCCCTGAAAACGGCCTGTTTGGCGTCGGGTCGGAGGGCGATGAGGTTGCTGAAGAGGTGTACGGCGATGTTTCGGGATGCGCAGATTTCGGTGAGCGGGGCGGCGTATTTGTCGATGGCGAAGATCTTGCCCATGCCAGTGTGGAAGCGGACGTTTGTTTGGGGGCGGAGGCCGCGGGTACGGAAGAGCTCTTCGGCGAGGTAGGCAATTTTTTGGGGGGCGCCTGCGCACTTGAGATCGTCAGAGAGAGAGAGAGTCAGCCATCCAGCAGAAGGCAGGAAGAGCCAGGCGAACGTCCAACTGGAAACACGACAAGATCTCTTCACATACCTTGATAGGCGTCGCGGGCTGGGTAAAGATCGCATTCCCGCCTTTAAACGCCTTCAGAAATTCGCTCGTCTTCTCCACAGACTGCACCGCATAATTCGACGTTACGCCGTCCTTCCCCAGCGATTCGACCAACCCAGGGATCTTCTCAAAGTCGAGCTTGATGCCTGGCGCAACGACGAGGTACTCGTACTTAATCTGGCGGTTGCTTCCGGTGGTAACGATGTTGGCAGCCGGGTCGATGCGCGATACGCGGTCTTTCAACCATTCGGCCTGGGATTGAGACGTCGTGAGCCACGCGCATCTCGCCCCATCAATGTCTCTGTTTACACGATCGCACCTGCTTAGGCACCAACTGCCCCATCGGCCGCTCGCTCTCCTTCATCTGCTTCAACCCGGCGCCCACAAACGTCCACAGCGGCTGGTAGTAGTGCACATCGCTGGGATCAATCATAAGTATGTCTTTCCTGGTGCCCTTTCTGAAGAGCGCGTCCAGCGCGAGCTGCGCGGTGACCGCCATGCCCGCTGAGCCGCCGCCGATTACCACCACCTGGAACACCGCATCGTGAGGGAGAGAACAGGGACAAGTGAGACTGACATCACGTCGATCGTGGGAATGACGAGTCGAAACGCGAGACATATCACACACACATACTGTACCTTGTAGGAGTGTGCCGGGTTGGCGGCCGACACGGTGGCCAGACCCCTGATACGACTAGTGGTGAGAGCATGAAGACGGCTAGCAGCCAACAGACGAGTGGATGATGAGGGTAACATTGTTTTGGTTTACGGCTGGTGGTGTGCTTTGCCTGTGAGAGTTCTTTCTTGGGGGCGAAAAGGGAGGGGAAAAGCCGAGTGAGTCATCATCGGTTGCGCAATTCGCCCCCTTCTCGCCCCCTCTTCGCCCTCAACGCGTTGACCGACTTCCCCTCATGCTTGTAACTAGTATGTTTTGCCAATGCTCTAATTTAGACAAGTTCCACCCGTGGTGAGGACGGAGCGTTTGGGGGGAGAAACGCGTTAAGAGTTTATTGCCCTTCACGTGACTTTGACTCCAGGCCGTCCCGGTTTTGGACAGCCCCTCCACGGCGAACCGTCCTCTGCCAACTTCTCATCTCCATCTGATTTGCTTCCACTTCTGGGGGACCGCCGACTCACATCCACCCGTGGTTGCGTCGTCTCCGTTCGCAGCGTTCCAGCCTGCTCTTGTCTCGCGTCAAACTACTGCATTGTCGCACCTATTCAAACCCGCCCTGGGGTTCGTCCTCTCGGAGATCCAAGTCTAGATCTACGCAACGCAAGCAAACAAAAGCAACAAAGGTAAGCAGGTCAGGGACTGGAGTGCATGGGGTCTGGAAGGGTGAGCAGGGTGGGACCAAGGGAGTCTTCCGGAGTGTGTACGGGCACATGTCTGGCTGGCTGGGGTATTCCCAGTTGGGGAAACTGGAAGCCGTCCTATCGACGGTACTCATCTTTGCCATCTGCTGGGGGTCTCCTTACCTCGAACCTCTTGCGTCGGAGTAATGGTCGGTCACTACCAGTCAAGGGGGGGTTTGAAAAAGGAGGACTAGTAGCGATCGACGGGAACCGAGTATCATTGATTCTGACCCCGCCTACTTTTTAGACACGCGACCCTTCATCCGTAGCCTTCGCCGAGTGCTTCTCTCGCGTACCATCATGCTCTATGTTTGGTCCTCCCACTCTAAACAGTTCAATCATACGAGAAGCCCGTAGTCCCACCCTGAAGCTGACAACGATGCTATGAACCACTTAACGGCCACGCTTCAACGCGTCCGTATTTGTTCTGTCAACCCCGGATCCACCACCGCCCTTCAAACCAACGAAAACCTACACCATCGCCCGTCCTCGAAACCTACGAAACCGCGCGCCACCGCCGCCCTTGACACCTACTAAACCTACACACACACCCCCCCCCCCCCCCCGCCATGCACGTCCGGGTATTCGACGTTCCTGAGCTTCAATCACACATCCTCAGCTTCGTTACAGCCAAGGATCTTAAAGGTGGGTAGGCACCTAATCGATGGTTTGATTCATCGCGCTCGTACTGACTTCCTTTTATTTTGTCACCTCTCTCCTTAGCTTCTTGTTCGGAAATGATGCTGGCGACGGCGGCAAAGGTTCTCGATCGGGAAAGGGCCTCAACAAGCCCCGTAATGGAGGAGACGGCAAGAAGGGTGCCAATCTGCCCCCTTCCCAATCAGCTTCGCATGCCCGCTTCAGGCAATGCATCTGTTCACGACGTTTTGCGCGGAACACTCGATCTTTTCCGACGCTCCAATTCCAATCACATTGCCCGAGTTTATCGAAGAAGCGTTATCTCTGGTCGAAGCGGAGACCCTCCGGCAATCGTACGGTCGTGGGACAAGAGGAGTCTTACTCGAAAGGACTGCCGGAGGGTCTCGTGTTGTGTTCTGCCGGTAGCGAAGCGTGGCCGAACGTTCTGGGACGCCGATCTTTACCCTACATTCGACCTGGAGACAAACATCTTTAGAGTCGTTGATGACTTGATCGCCAACCACCAGGATTGGCCCCAAGTCGGGCCCAAGAGGAAGGGCGGAAAATTGGAACACGAAGACAACAAGATCCTCCCTGCGGAATGGAAGCTTCTACACGAACGCGTCGTCGCTGGCGAAGAGCTCTTTTACCGGGAACGCGCATGTTGGAAGTATGGTTTTCGCAGAGCACGCGCGGCGCTGCTTTTGAGCGGAGATATCTTCGTCGGCACGAACGCTGCCCTACAGATCTGGAGTAAGGATTTTGTCGCCGCCGGCGTCTTGTACCGTCCATTATCCAAGACGAGCTTGGGCTTGAGCTTGAGCCCATTGCTGCTGTCCTGCACGATATGATTCCGGGTGTTACGATGAATATCCTATCCGGAGACCCGGACCAGGTGAAGACCCCCCTTGCGCAAGACCGTCCCGATCGGTGACGGGTTGAATCAGTCTTTGCTGTTCAATCAGTCTCCGCTTCCGATTGCACGGGCCGTCCAGCATTGGGTAAATTTCGAGAGCTGTCACGCGAATGCACTTGGGAAGCCCAAAGGTGGAACATCGAAGGAAAAAGTGGCGGAAGCGAAGCGCCGGAGAGACGCGGCCGAGAGGAAGGAACGGGATGCGAACCCGTTTTGTTCACAGCACCACAATGGAGACGTTGGTCTCACCCCCCGCAACCGCAGTGCCGTCGGAGGCCCCGAGTCCGGAGCGTAACGCCGCTGCAATCCTCGTCGGGATTACCCCACCCACCGAGCCGATTCTTGTCCGCGAACAAACTCCCACTCTCGAGTCCCGCCCCGTGCGCCATGTGTCGTTTCCTTCCACCCCGGAGAGGTCCACCGTTGGGGCGATTCCCCAGGCCGGGGCCCTTGTTGCAGCCTCTGCCGGTCCCACCACCCCGACATCGGCCGCACGAAGACGAAGATGCCGACGTGAAGCGCAAGACGGTTCTGTTCACAGCACGGCAATGGACGAGCACAGCCCCGCCATGGACGAGCGCAAAGACGAAGGTGCCGATGGGCGCCAAAAGGACGCGCAAGACGGTCCTGTTCACAGCACCGCAATGGAGCACGAAGACGAAGGTGCCGATAGCCGCGACCAGGAAGCGCATGACGGTTCTGTTCACAGCACGGCAATGGACGTGCTCAGCCCCGCCATGGACGAGCACAAAGACGAAGGTGCCGATGGGCGTGAAGGGGACAAGAGGACGCCCATCGGCACCTTCGCCTTTGTGCTCGTCTAAGTGGACCGAATGAGCGGGTACTCGGCGTTGGTACCCCCAATCCCAACCTCTCTGGCAAGAAGCTTCCAAACGAAAGTCTATAGTCGTGGCGTGGGATCCGTCGACTCCGCTGGGGCTCTCGCCCCGAGAATGATGGAGCGTAGGGCTCTCGAACGATCTCGAACAGATCAGGAACTGCGAGAGCACATAGTAGAAGAGTTCAACTATGTCTATGTTGCTAACCAGTTGATTGGTCAGAAAGATTCCTTGAAAGAGGAGGTGAAGGAGCGGAAACGTAAAATCAAGGACCTCGGTGCTCAGCTGGCTGACTGCAAGGGAAGCCGTGGTTCGTGGACGGCTGTAGAGCAGATTCTGGGCTCTGTTGGGTCGTCGGAGGCTCTCGTCCCGAGAGTGGCGGCTGTAGAGCAGAAGCTGGACTCCGGTGGGTCGTCGGGCGTCGGTACTGGAAGGTCCCCCAGCTCCAGATATGGCCGCCTGCCGCATTACGTAGTCGAGGTCAAAGATGATGGAAACTGGCAATCCGCTCCGACTACTTGGACAGCTTTCCAACCTGCCTTTTGGACAACCGCGAACAACTCTCTTATTCCGCAAGAACTAGGCACCGGCTTTGTGGAGGAGCTGAGAGTTGAGGACCAGGACCTCGTCATCATGTCGCTGAGTTCTACCCTCGTAACTTACGCAATACGATCGAACTCAAGTTATTTTTCACGGCACATAATAAGATGCGTTTGGCGCGGTTTCTGGGCGGCGAAATGACCGCCAACCAACGGAAGAGGTACCTGAAGGAGCAGAAGGTGGAGCAGCAGTTGAGAAAGCAGAAGAAGGCGTTCAACTATCGGGTCGACATCAATGGGAAGATCGTGAACGTCTCGACCCTACTCAAGAAGCTATTCGGGTCACAGACCTTATCCGAATCTTCAAAGCCGACCTCAGGAAGGACACGACTATCGGTGCACCACCAGGAGTGGCCGAAGAACGAAGCGAGGGCTTTGAAGACCCTGGTAAACGCGGCCAAGACTTATCAGAAGGGCTGTCGCAGTTCTGAGTGCCGCAACAGCATTACTAAGGGTTTGCCAAGTCTGTGTAGCCTCATGGTCACCTGCTAATGCCTCCCGGGTTACCGTATCGTCATCACCAGCAACGTCAGTCGTGACAGAGCCAAGGCCATGGCTCGCAAGATCGCCTACAACATCTGTCTCTACCAGAAATTAGTTCCTGGAAATGCTTACTTGCCCTTCACTGGTCTTCCCCCCGCTGAGACTGGTAACCTGCCAGTCCCCGCCAATCTTCCTGCCGAACCACCCATTGAGACGTACCTCCAAAGGCAAAGGCGACGCAAGGAGAAGAAAAAGGAGAAGGAGAAGGGAAAGAAGAAAGAGAAGAAGAAAGAGAGGAGCGAGCGCAAGCGCAAGCGCAGAGATAAGCAAAAGGGCAAGGACAAGGGCAAGCAGCGAGCCGAGGATGACTCTGTCGAAGAAAGACTCCGCCCCGAACAAGACAGGGAAGTCTTGGACGATTACTTCAAGCAATGCGACTTCGTCTGCCCAAGTTGCCTAGAAGACCTACCGGAGAACGCGCAGGCCGCATCACCGCGACCAAACGAACGTTTTACTGGAAGTAGCCGATGAAGGGTAGAACCATACTCTTATTGGTTATTATTACCTCGCGTCTTCGCACAACACTCCCCCGACTCGAGCTGTCCAAATGTCGGTTGGTTTCACAGTCTCTTTCTCATACACTTCACCCTACTACGGCAACCCAGCACAACAATGCCTCCCAGCATGTGTCCTGTGTGTTTGGTGAACATCGCCGATCACTGTGGTCCTTGCGGACACCGGTTCTGTCGAACCTGTATCATTCTTGAGATGGTCACCTTCCGTGCGTACGGGCAGCCACGTTGTGGTGTTTGTCGGTAAGTGTAATGAGAGTAATCATATCGGAAACGGATATTAACCATTACTCTTAGGGCCCGTTGGCCAAGATACTTCGATCCGGGACGACGCAACCGTGTTTGTTGCGTATGCGGCACATTCATTTCGTGCCGTAGAGATAGCTCTTGTAGCCGGCATCACGTATGCAATGGTTGTTCCGTAGCATTAGTCAGACGTAACAACCAAGTTCGTTGTCCGTCTTGCTGGGCAGCCTTCCACGACTACCCGCTCTTGACAAAAGGGCAGGCTTGTATGTGGCACCCTACGATCACGAGAACCACAGGTGGAGGGAGGACTTCGCGTTGACAACCAGTGAGCAGATGGAACGCAAGAGGCAAAAGAAGGTGTACACAACGGTGGACGGTGTGCGGATGACGTTGCATGATGGTATATACCATGAGCACCAACACAAGCTCTTGTGTGGAATGCACGTTGTGAACAATCTTCTGCAGCGTCATCGTTACAATCAGGCCGCTATGAATGTACTTGGAGTGCACTTGGAGAAGAAGAAAGCGAGGATCGAGCGCAAGCGCCTTTACACCATGAAAGCCCAACCTATCCCAGAATACGCCTACTCAGCCGGAGTACTCCGTAGTACTCCCTTCTATATCTGGCATCAGGCAAGCAGTGAGCCGAGGATGACCCTGTTGAAGAAAGACCCCGCAAGAGGCAAAGGAAGGCGTACACCGGGCGGTCGCTTTTTGTCTGACGGGCGAGCAGGGGCGACATGGAGAAGACAAGACAGACAGGCCCCCTGGTTGGCCACTCGGCGTCAGCCAAAGTGGCGTGTGCATTACGCTTCGATGTTTTCTGACTTTCCCCTCAATGGGCGAGATGATGAGGTCAGGGGACCAATGAGCCGGCCACGTTCGACGAATACCTTGAAGGATGGCCATGACTTTCTGCAATTCGCTGCCTACAACCTACATCTTGGATGGACGCTGCGCTTATCGACGGGGATCTCACCGTTGGCAGCTTGCCGGTCTGCCAGTTACGATTCCTCGCATTCGTCGGTCGCCCATTTATCTCATCATGTGCCGACCGGCACATCAATGCTATGGTGGATGCATCTCCACCGGTGTCAAGACATCACCAACGGTATCGCAGCACGGTAAGCCACGCCCGCTATCAGCCGCTTGAGAATCTTCTGCTGAGACCTGCCGAGAATCCTCTGCTTACCCTTTACTCGGTCTCTCCCTAAGTGCTTGAAACCGCATCACCGCATCAACCTTCAACCATGAGCGCATCCACCGGGGAGGGTACTGGGGGCGGTGGGGACGGAGTCAAAGACGAAAAGTGGAGGGACCAGCCCGGTCAATGATGACAACGGTGCAGTGCCCGCAGAATCCTGAGTTCGCGGACCCCGACCCGGAATACATATACGAGTTTATACTACCGGGCAATTGCATCAACTGGGACGAGGCGCTGCAAGACTTGGCTGCCATCGTTCCCGGCGACGAAAACAACCGCCAGATTTGCCTCTTGTGCAATCCAGGCCGGGAGCCTGATGCGCCAACTTATGGTTACACACGAGTCTGGCGAGTTGACGACCAACCCAACGTCATCATGCTGCGACTATTTTGAGAAGAAAGCACTGGCCGAAGTACTTAATGGGCCGGATTACGCACAAGTCCCGTCATGGCGTTTTACCGTTCGCTCATTGGCGGATCCGGCGCTTCAGCCCGCGACATGCTGTGTTTGAGCTGGGGATCGGATTTTTTGACTACTGGAACAGCCCATTGCAGACCGGCAGCTTTTCCAAGGGCTGAACACGTCGTTTGGACATACCTTTGCTGCAACTGTTCAACAGCTTTCACCACGAAGTCTTTGTCGACAAGATGATCGAAATGGTGAAATCCGCACGCCTCCGGGGCAAAGCAATCGTGCATTTTTTGCGCTATGTTGGGATGTTTGAGACCCCAACGTCCACCCCTGCGGTTCGCCTTCACCAAGACTTGGCCACCACGGCGGCGCTCTTTCCAAAAGTGGGGCTTTGTCTGCAGGAGCTCGCAGCCGATGATGAGCGTGACAACAACCCTCAGTGGGCAGTGTATGAGTTCACAAGCGTTCGAATTCCCGCACAAAGCACTACCGATCCGTCCGACGGTGGATTTGTGGAAAGAACTTTGATCTCGTTGTTCGGATACGACAATCTTGTCAACGTCCAGCATGGGGGATTCTTTGCCTCTTACGCGCCAAGCATTGCACACCGGCAGCTTTTCCAAGGACTGAACACGTCGTTTGGACAGACCTTCGCGGCAACGGCTATGATTGGGAGACCGACGGGGACACAGTTCCTTTTCGAGGATTTCCCACAAACCACCTACACCCCGCAGGTGGTAGCCCACTTCAACAACGTATCTACATTCATCAGAAACAACCCTTCGACATTAGCGAATATGGACTACGCTGAGCGTTGGAATCAATTCTTGATCAAGAGTACGATTTACCAGGTATTTTAAGACGGACAAGACGCCATTGCTCTGGCTGCGTGCCTTTCAACTAATCTCCCATTCGCATCGCTTAGGCGATCCCCGGTACCCTGACGGTGACTGACGGCAGCACTCTTGTGGTTGTCAATCTTGTGTCGACAATCTTATCAATGTCCAGCATGGGGGATTTTTTGCCTGGGATGATTCCACTCGAGAGGTGTCACCGACACCGGCTTCGACGAGCGGCTGAGCTTTGAAGATCAGAGATTCATGCCAGCTCCGTTGATGCCCAGTCCACAAGGCTTCAATGCCCCTCCCGGTAGCCGTAGGACTGGTTCTCGCGGGCCCGCCAGAGGAAGCCGTGGAACAACGACAACAAGTTCAAGGGGAGGCCGCGGGGGCAGGGTTGAAACGAGGCCCAGCTCTGGCATTCTCAAGAGATTCGGCATACCGAACGCTGGTGGTACCTGTTTTGAGGAATTGCCGTTCACATGATCTTTGACGGGCCTATTCAGGACATCCTTACTGGGGAGAGTTTCCGCCTGGACACGATGACGGCGGAGCCAGCTTGACCCGGCTTTTGCGTTCGATGAGGAACCAGGTTCAGTCATACTGGTCGCCGACAGTCCTACTATTTCTATCAAAGCCTCACTCTTGCCTGCACTCGAACTGGGCAGTCCCAGCAAATACATGCTGCACAAACCAACGAGCGTCCGCCCTCCCTGCGCTCGGAGGAGGTCGATCATACGTTGTGCAGCGGGATGCTACTTCATCAACATATGCTCTACATGGAGCATGTGCTCTATATGGAGCATGTGTTGGCGCTGTACAACATCCCCTGCCAGCGATTGTCCAAGCACGACATGCCTGGGAAACTACGACAATGCTCGTGTCAGGCCTGAGGCAAACATATGCTGGATATTTTCGAGCTCGACATTCTTGAGCTCGACCTTCAACAATACGCTGTGAGGCTTGATGCTACTTCTCCAGCATATGCTCTGCATGGAGCGTATGCCCCCCTCTATATGGAGCATGTGTTGGCGCTGTACAACATCTTGCTGCCAGCGCTGGTGTGGAGACACGATCTTGGAAATCACAACAACGCCTGCCCGTGTCAGGCCCGAGGCACACATAGCCAGCGCGTTTCGACAACCACAGCGCGACTGGTTGGCCCACTATGACCTGCACTGAAGGAGAGAGGATTCCGGATAGCCCAAACAAACTGCAATGGGTCCAAATGGATGGTGAATTGATGTACGAGGCCCCACGAGAACCTTTCACCTGCGCAGGCAACCCTCCCTTCGGATTCACCCGCCCTTCAGATAACGCCGTTCAACACTTGAGGAAAGTGGCCCCACCAGAGTCTGAGGGAAGAGTACAATGGGACTATAAATGCATGCGCTCTGCACTCCCGACTTTGTTTGAGAATGACAAAATCCCCTCCTTTACCGTGGATAGAACACACCTGCAAAGACTAAGCGAAGACGGGGAGTACACGTACGCGGTCTCGACTCAGTTCTACGCCCTCAGGTTGATAATCCTGATTGAGCACGGTCTCAACATCGGCCAACCCGTTGGTTACCCTTTTTGGATTGGTCCAAGATCCCTTGGCGCAGACTTAACGCAAGCTAAAGCCCCTGGTGAAGGGCTTGGTTATAGAACACCTGTAAGTTCGATTGGCAACGTATTTCCTGTCCAGACTTCAATGCTCATATTCTCTCCTGTTTGTTTACCAATGACGGTTCCTAGGACGTTAATCATGAAGCGAGATGAACCCAACCCTGAGATTGGACGACAGCTTGGTGTTGCACTTCGAACTCTGGAAAAAAGAGGTGCGGTTGACCTTGGACCCTTGGCGGCGGCATACCGCATATACCGTGGCGAGTCAGTCAGTTCGATGTCGGAGGAAGACTCGGCAGAATTCATCCTCTGGCTTTTCCACAACATGGATCCACAAGCATTGGGACAGACGGCAGAAACACCCAAGAAAAGTGTCCCAAACCCAAGAAGAGTGGCCGCGACCAAAACCGGCGACCAGTTTGTTTATGACTCGATGTGGCGGCAGAGAACGATTGCTGCAAACGAGGCTATGTGGCGAGCTGGAAGACAAATGTTCGGCCAACACAGTCAGCAACCAAAGGTGTCTAAACGTTTGGGGGCGGACTAGGTAGGATATAGGTTCCTGGCCTTAGACCCTGTCGGCACACGGCATAGGAGCCATTCGCTCATGATTCCCGGACAGTTGTCGCCGGCGTATGTCCCAACTCTCAACGTCACGAGGGAGAGACCCCCAGCAGCAGAACTGGAGCAACTGTGGAGACTTCAGCGTGCAGGAACTGAGAAGGGGGTCGAGAAAGTCAACATCAGGGCAATCTATCCCCTCACCAGGGCATCCTTCGTGTCGGTCGTCAACTACTCCAACCGCAGAACCGGTGACTACGCTGTCAGTGTAGAAATGCTTACATGGGGACCCGATCTTGTATATGGTGGTCTGCGAATGAAGCAAGCATGAGCCTAATCAAGCCCTCTCTGGAAGCAAACCCTGGCCGCGCATATGTCAATCACCCACCGCTGGCCGGGTGTTGTGGCGCGAGCCAGCCACTCACGCACTCTCTCCTAGAGAGAGTCGCGCTGACGAACTTCGCTCCGTCTCTCTGGCTGTGTGAGCAGTACCGACTCCCTGAATCAGTGTTGAAGCTGGAAAACCTTCTCTCCCTCGACGACGACACGTCGCAGATACCAGTCCTTCGCTCATGGCCCGTTGGGAAGAGGAACAAATCCGCCGGCTGCCATCCCCAAACAAAAGCAGGAACTGAGAGAGCGCGTATGCAACGACCAAGTAGAAGAAATTGAGAAAACCCGTGCCTGCCTTTGTAAAAAGATCGACCACTTGCACATCATAGAGGCTCGCCGACGACATTGAACATAAAGAGCTCGCCTTCCTCAGAATGGACGGAGAGGAATAACCCTCACGGTCGAATATCCGAATTGCCGGGTCCTTCAGCCGTGTAAACCTTGTATGAGTCACACTGAGCGCTCAGTGTGATGGAGATGTTGCGCATTGATCGTGACGACTTGGTCCAGACCAAGTCAGATAAACCGGCGTGGCATGGGACCGTTGGTCGATAGCGCAGCGTGGGGCACCCCCAAGGATGAGTATCGTGACGATTCCTGCAGAGGGAGTACCACTGAGTGGGATACTGGAACACATTCAGAGGTTTCCAGCTCACTCAGATGCAACGGGAACGAATGGCTCGGCGGAGGGAAGTGAGCATACTCATGTTCAAATTACTTGGAAGCGAGACAGCGAGAATATGCACGGACTGTCGGAACTGTGACGTTTCCCGCGAGCGCCAACAGCGGTTCCTTCGCCGCCCTCCGTGAGACCGGGGGGGGGGGGGGGGGGGGGGGGGGGGGAGGGGGGGGGGGTTAGGGTAGCCATCCGGGACATCGACCAAGAACGTCTCAACCAGTACGTAACGTCCATGGGACAGCAAGGTTACACCGCAACCTCCATCGTCACACTCTTCGAAAAGGCAGCGGGAGGGACTGCATACGGTATCATCGATGGTGCGCATCGTATTACCGCAGTCAAGGCATTCAACAGAAATACGACATTTGGAGACTCTAGGGTACAAGTCCCCCTACTCAGCTCCCTCTAGACGTATTGACACCCACAAATCTTGTACATACTATGTCTGGTGCAAGCAACAACTCCAAGGACGCCGCGCCTGCTCTTGGCAGAGGCAGAGGCGAACCCAGCGCTGCCGCGGCCGCCACCATGATCAAGACGGCGATTGCGAAGACTCTCAGCAAGCTCACTCCTGAGATGCTTCCCCCGGCGATTGCGAAGACTCTCAGCAAGCTCACTCCTGAGATGCTTCCCGACACTTTCATCCGCCATGGCAAGGCCGGCAGACGGACCGTAGACGGCATTGCCCACCGGGTTACTGGACCAATGCAGACCTTCTGGGTGAGTTCTTGCCTAGCTCTTATTCCGCATATTGCGCTTGTTTGGATGCATCTTTCTGGACAGAAGTCTGACATACTTTTCGCAGCCTCGTGCGCCAAATTTCGTTCAGACGACATACCTTACTTGGGCATGGCCCCACCCCGCATCACATGGAGGAGGAGGAGGATGAGGGTTTGACAGTTGCGAACCGAACACGTGAAAGAAACAGATTTTTCGAACTGAAGAGGTAAAGGACCGCCGCAACGCCACTGTCAAAGAACGCATGGATAAATGCCAACAGCGGGGTTTATCAGGCAGGCATCGTTGGAATGCCTTTTTGCGAGACTGCGCCCGCCCGACATCGACATAGATGGACAAATCACCGAACATCTCCACCAGGGGACATGCAGAGCACTGACCTCAGGATGGATATGCAACGTGTGGAGAGGAAAATGGACAGCAACTTCGCCTCTGTGAACACGCATTTCGCCAGTGTGAACACCCAAACCGGTCGACTAATATTACCGGAGATTTTTATCGATGACGCCAACGGCGGTAACCTACGCAGTGCGTATCACTGCCCTTTAAGGAGGATTCCGGCGCGACGAGGTCAGGAGGCTCTTCATGATATGGCAAATGGGGCCAACGTCTCGGATGTCAGAACAAGGTTCAATTTGAGGCAAAATTCAAAAAGTCCACATGGGAACTACCTGTACCTGTAGCTCAGATGCAAACCAAGCTTTTGGACGACTGGGAAAATTTGCCACTGTGTTTGGGAACGACTCATGATCACAACGAAACCGCTGCATCCCTGACGAGGAAGGTATTATTCAAGGGCAACCGGGCAATTGAGCGAACCCCTCAACGAATGGACAAGCCGGTAGATGATACGATTATAGATCATACATAGTTGGCTGACGACGAGTTTAGGTGTGGCCTTTCCCTTGAATACATATGTTCTACATCCGAACCCATCTGGTCTCTTTTTCATTTGCATACGAGGCGGTCTGCGGATTTGCTCTGTACCTATTTCATCATCTGACCTATTTCATCATCTGTGCGTGGTCTGCGCCCTAACCGTTCCTGGACGGGAGATCCGGATGCGACCTTAGCCATGCACCTTGCACCTCCACCGGCCGACTCAAAAACGGTATATCCACCAGAGTAAACCAGAGCTTCAGAAGATCCACTCAAAAGCACACCTCCATGCCATTCCTTCATAACTACAAACACCGCACCCAAAGTCCACGGGAAAAGAGGGACTGCCACGTGGGTGGTAGGTAGGCTCCCATGCGCAAAAGGGGGTTTTCCCATCTATATACACCAACCACACCCACCAAAAAAAAAAAGGAAGGGCTACAAAGATATCTTGCAAAAGATTATCTACTCCTCATCCCGCACCCACAAACACCTTGACGCGTTCCACATGCCTCTCCGTTGCGGCGCGATACCCCCGGGCTCGACGAGACGGCGGGATTCCGTGTGTGGTGATGCTGCTGCTATCGCCGCTGGTGTTGAGTGGGCGGGTCTCCATTTCCCCGTGTTGAGGGTCATGGCATCGACCGCGCTGGTGGCCGATCCGTACCCGGTCTCGGCTGTCGCGTCATACACCTCCGTCTCATCCCCTTCCTCGGCCTCGTCCTCACGCGCATCTGTACTCGCATCCACATCAAACGGCGTCCGGGGGCCAACCCACCCACCCCGCCTCACCTCCTCGCGGTTCCTCGCCTGCACCCGCCTGAAATCCCGCTCCCACTTGTCCAACGCCTGCACGCACGCGTCCTCGAGGCCTCGTACCCATCGCGGGGTGTCGAACAGCGGGCACGTCTCGCGGTTGAGGAAGATGCGGCGGCGGAGACGGGTCGGGAGGGTTGAGCTGACGGGGGTGAAGATGTGGGTGGTGTGCGTGTACGGCGGGTCGCGGGTGGGGTAGAAGGGGCTGGCGGCTATGGTCGCCATGTTGTTTTTGGTTGGGGTTGGGGAGGAGCCGTTGTGTGCGTTAAGGTCGGTGGTGGGGGTGGTGTAGGTGCTTGTGATGGTAGCAGAGGGATCGTAGCCCGAAGCAGCCGGCGGGGAGATAACCATCGGCGAGAAACTGGACGGCGTGCGTCCATGGGTGTAATACATCTGCCGCGGCGGGGTGCGCTGCTGCTGTTCACCCTGCCCTCTGCTCGACGTGCTCCCCGGCTGGAAATACGACTGCGGTTGTTTCGGCGGCGGCGGCGGCTTATACCCCGCATACAACGGGCTGTTCAACACGCCCGGCGGCTGCGTCGTCTGCCTGCCCCTGCTGCTCACGGGCATCCACTCCCATTTCATCTCCCTCCCCAGTCTGACCGCCACGTCCTCATACTCCCCGTAGCTCTTCACGACCATCCAGTGGCCCAGCAACATCGGGTCCTTGAGCCGATCCACGCCCTCAAGCAGGATGCCTGCGCGCGCTTCCTCAAGGGCCGACACGCCGCCTTTGATGCCTTTGATATCCCCGGGCGTCCAGCTCCCGGTCGCGTACGACACCGACGCACACACCCTCGAACACATCTTGAAATCATACCGCGGGTACGTCACCACCGGTGTCCCCGAAAACAAGATATCCGCCGCAGTGGTATGCGCGTTGCATTCCGGCGTGTCGAGGAACACGTCGGCGATGCGGCCGCGGTGGATATGTAGATGTTTCGGCGCAACGTCGGTGAAGACGACGCGGGAGGCGACGTGGGGACCGTAGAGTTTGTGGGCGAGGGCGAGGAGGTGTTGTTCGCCGGGCGGGGGGAACCGGAGAAGCCAGAGGATGGCGTTTGGGACGCGGTCGAGGATGCGGAGCCATGTCTTATAAATCTCCGGGTCGAGCTATAAACCCCCCAAAAAAAAACCCCCCAATCCTCAGTCCCTGTACTTTCACCCTTCCCATTACCCTCTGATATCCAAAACTGACCTTATAGAGCTGGTTGAAATTCGCATACACAACCGTATCCTCGCTCATCCACGGAAACATCTCCCTGCGCATCTTCAAGCGTCGGACCTGTTCCTGTCTCCACAATCCCAGCTCCTCACTCGTCAGATCCCCATCCTCCCCAGCATCCATCGTGCCCTCCGTGAACTCCGCACACACCTCCTCCACAACCGCATCCCCCTCCTCCCTAAACCCCCACCGGTGATCGTTCACAAAATAGCTCCACGGCATGTACACGCACGCTTCCGTGTACACCCTGTTCCTGTCGTCTCTCCTGACGACCGGGCCGCGGTCGACGGGGAGGGTTTGCATGCTCTTCCGTGTTAACGTCCTCTCCTCTTCGGTCGTGGATGACGACGTGGTGGAGTCGTCGGTGACACGTTTGGTGATACCCTCCCACCAGGGCACCTCGTCGCTCTCGATCGGTTCGCCACACACGAATTTGCGCGGGGTGGCGATCTCGTCGGTGAGGAGGTAGTCGAGCCAGGTGTGTGGGACGGCGTCCATGGTGGTCAACGAGTCGACCAGTTCCTGTCGTGGGGTGATGACATCGGCCGCTTTCCGGGGCTGCCCGGTCTCCCCTCGCTCGCCGGCATCACCGTTCCCGACCGGGTCGCACACACTCCCGCTCCCCATGGTCCCGGCAAAGCCCATGAACTGCATCTGCACCGGCGCCGCCCTCGCCGCAAACACCTCGTTCCGCCCGCCCTTCGTGTACCCGTTCAGGTTGCACAGCACATGCACGCCGTCCGCGACGACGCGTTCCACAATCTGCTGCACGCTCCACCCGCCCACGTCCAGAAACACATCGGCCTCCCGTTCGATCTTGGCGCGGTACGGGGATGCGTCCGAGGGGGACAGGGAGTAGCAGTACACCTTGAAGCGGGTGCGGTCGTGGAGGCCGAACACGGACTGCATGAGGTGCGCGAGCGGGTGGTTGTTGAAGTCGGAGGAGAGGTATCCGATGTGGATGTGCGGGGCCGGTGGCGGGGGCAGCGGGTACGGGTACGGGTACCTCAGGAGTCGGTCCAGCTCGTGTGTCGGCAGACTGCGCCGTGGGCGACGCTGCAATGCCCGGCCGGGCCGCTCGGGGAACCCGGGGAACCAGTCCCCCACCCCGACGTTCCACAGGACCCGTTCGCCGTTCCGCCGACATATCTCGCGGACGTGCCAGGCGGTCAGGCCCGCGTACGTGAAGGTGTGGAACGGCAGGACCGTGGGCACCGTCCTCGGCTTCCCCGCCCGTCGGCCCATCTCCTCCCCCTCCCCGCCCAACTGCCCCTCCACCACCCCCCAGATTTTCCGCAAATTCTCCCCCCTCCCCTCCCACTGACACACAAACAACAGACTGTTCACATAATTACAGAACGCCTCCACAAAATCGGGCTTGACCTCCAACGCCCTGCGATACAGCTCGATGGCCTCCTCGACCCTGCTCAGGTCTTTATACACGTTGGCGAGGTTGGCGAGCGCGATGAAGAAGTCGGGCTGGATCGTGATCGCGCGGAGGTAGCAGTTGATGCCCTCCTGGACCATCCCGCGGTCCTTCAGGGCGCTGCCGAGGTTCGTCAAGAGATGCACGTGGCCCTGCTCCAACGTGAGGCCAAACTCGTACCAGGTGACCGCTTCGCTCAGCCGCTGGCTGGCGAGCAGGATCCCGATGTTGTTGCACGTGTTGGCGTTCGGGAGGATCCCGAGCGCGACGTAGTAGAGTGAGACGGCCAGCGGGACCTGTTGCTGGTCCTGGTAGATCTTGGCCAGCGTCTGCAGCATCCCACTCGCGGTGGCGTTGAACTCCACATTGGTTTTGAGCCCTTTACACATCATCTGCTGATGGAGGGCGCTCAGGGCCAGGTGGGGTGTCACCATCGGCTGCGGCAGCGTCCCGGAGGCCGCTTGTACAAAGGTGTCGTACAACGCCAACCCGATGGCGAGGAGGCCCTTGATGTACTCCCATTTGGCCGCGTCGATGTTGTTGAGGGAGTACATCAGACTCGCCTTGGCGTAGTACAGATCCCGTCTTCGTCCAGGCGTCCACCCCCCGCTATCCCCACCCTGGTTCTGCTTCACTGCGGCGACTTTCCCTCTCTTCCGCTCAATCTCACTCAACACTCGCACGCGTTCCACATCGCCCCCATCGACCCCCGTTAGATCCCCATCGAACCGCAAGTCGGGAGGATACTCCTCCTCCATCGCGCGTTCGTAGTTCGCGTAGACGATCACAGCCTCGTCGAATCGTGCCGAGGCGCTCAGCAGGCCGGCGAGGTTGATGGTGGCGTCCCAGTACTTGGGGCGGATGGAGATGGCGATTTTGTAGTAGTGTTCGGCGAGGGATAAGTTGTCGGAGGGGGAGGGGACGGCGGAGAGGGTGGAGGAGGAGGGGAGGGCGAGCCGGGGGGATGGGTGGGTGGATTGGGCCATTGCCTAATATGAAAAGTTAGGAGTTAGTTCCCATATTTTCACATTCCATAATCATTCTCCATTCATCCCAATCCCACCAAAAAAAAACCACCTCAACTCGAAACCCCAGACGGACAGACAATCTCTCCCACTTACCCGATACGTCGTCCCCAAATTACTAAAAGCCTCCGCAAACCCCGGATCGATACCCAATATACACTCATTATAGTAAAGACTCAGCTGGTGCATATTCAGACTATAACACGTGCACCCCAGCAAAAGCAGTGTGGGCAGATGTGTGGCGTTGAATGCATGTAACTGGGAGAGGATGTTGTAGGCGGATGTGTAGTCGGATTTGTTGTAGAAAGTGTGAGCTAAGGATAGGGCGTTTTCTGTTGGGGGAAAAAAGGATAGGTGGGTGATTAGGTTTTTTGTGGGGTGTGATATGAAATGGGGGAATATGGGGGGGTATGACGTACCGAACCATTCGCGTGAATGAATAGCAGGGTGCTGGTGATGTTGGGGTATGATTGGGACGGTTCCCGCGGCGGCGGGCAGCATCTCCAACCCCGTCCCAGCAACTCCAACTCCAACTCCAATCATCGCCGCAGCGTCCATCCCGAACCCGGTCGTCCCCGTGCCACTCATCTGGTACATGCCTCCTCCGCCGGCCATCCCCGCGTGGCTCATCCCCGCTCCCCCTCCAACCGCATACGACGCCGCAACGTTCACACCCGCATTCACGAGGTTGCCATGCATAGCGGGTTGCACCGAATGCATGCCCGGCTGCATGGAATGGAACAGCACCGGCTGGTAATACAGCCCCTGGCTCGGGACTTGGGTGATACTGGCCGCAAAGTGGGCGAAGGAGGGGCCGGGGTTCATGTTCATGTAGTTGTAATTGTAGGGTATGAAGGGTTGTTGTTGTTGGGGGTGCTGAATGTGTTGTTGAGCGAGGTGTGGTTGATTGTATTGTTGGGGGTGAACAGGAAGGACCATTTGGACGGGGCGCGGGACATGCTGCTGCTGTTGATGCGGGATGACGTGGTGGTGGGAACGTGGTTGGGTCGGGTAAAACACCGTCTGTTGGTGCTGGGATTGTGGGAATGCCGTCTGTTGCTGCTGTATCTGCCCCCCCTGCTGGTAACCCCCTCGGCCGTAACCCCCCTCGTACCCCCCCTGCTGCTGCGGGTTATGCAACACCACCTGCTGCTGCTGTTGTTGCTGAGACTGTTGCTGTAGCTGGAAGGTATCCGCATACCGCACATTCTGGCTCGCATGGTGGTGTGCGCGGGGTGGGGGTTGCAGGGGTGTGTTGTCGTGCCCAGTACCACCTCCGCCGACGCCGCCGACTGCTGGTGTTCCATTCATCCTAGTGCCGTTCAGGGTATATTGCGTATGCTGCTGCTGTGGTTGTTGATTCACGTCCCCCGCTCTCCACGCCGACGACGATGATGACGCCTGGTCCCCCCACTGCTGAGACCTGCTCCCAAACTCGTTCGTCTGCGGTATCGGTCTCCTCAGCGACATATCCCTCCCGGTCTCCACACCCTCTCTCACACCGCCGGCGTCATACCGTCTCCGATCCAGCATACTTTGCACAGGTCCCTGCCCCTCCCCCTCATTCGTGGTATACCCGTTCCCTACCTGTTGTCTGGGCTGTGAAGTGGTGTTGCCCAACGTGTATATCCCTTGCCCCAGCCCCAGCCCCGCCGATCCCGTGACATTGTACGCGTTATCGGCCTCGTCACTCGCGTGTAGCTGTTGCTGGCGCGGGCGAGGCATCGAATAACTCCCAAAATGTTGCTGCGTTTGACGTGACCGCGGTTGGGCGATGACGCGGGTGTTGGCGGCGTTGGAGCTAATCCGTTGCGGCGGTTGTGGTGTTGGGGTGTATTCGGCGGTCGGTGGTCGGTCTACTGCTGGTGTGGGTGTGGGTGTATCGGGAAGGTTGTGGGTGGGCCATTGGGTGAATTCGTTACTCGTCCCAATTTCCAAACCGTCGTGGCGGGTTAGGTACTGTTGCTGTTGTTGTTGTTGGTGAGGGGTTCGATATCGTGTCGGGCCAGAATGAGTGAGATCGTCGATTGGCCATAACAGGTTGGTGTTTGCGCTACTGTCCCTCGGCCCGTGTGCACGGCCGTGGTCATACTCCGTTGGTTTCGCTCGTCGGTTTGCAGCAGCGGTATTAGTACTGTTGTTGTTGTTCCCCGATTGACCCATCATCGCCAAGATCTCGTCGACGCCTGTTAGGGAGGATTCGCGATTGTGGATGGGGAAGGGTGCGAGGGTGGTGGTATTGGTGAGATCTGATGATGCGGAGGTGTTGGTTTGTGGGCTTGTGAGAGCAGACAGAGGGAGGTATGTGTCGTTGACGGAACTGCTGTTGCCCAACATGCTGGTTAGGATGTCGTTGTTGTTGTTGTATGGTTCTGGTGTGTATGAGGAGGGTATCACTAATAGAGGAGAGATTGATAAACCAGCCGGCATGGAAAGCAGTCAGTCACCCATCGACCATGAACACCCATCAACCATCGATTGATCAGATCACGAAATAATATCAGTAAGAACGATTGTTCGCTGTCGCTCACAGTTCGATTCCCCAATTCCCAGTCCCACTGTCCATCCTCCCATTCCACTCTCGTCGCCCCAACTCACCAGCATCCGCAATGGCAACACCAGCCCTGGCACTAAACTCGGCGTAAGAAGTCGGCAGGTCACTCAGTTCGTCTAGTTCGTATATCCCACTCCCACTGGTGTTTTGTTGCGAGGGTTGAACAAATTGCCTCGTGTCGGACGTCCCTAATGTCGGCGCTGAATTGGCTGCAGCCGCTGTACTATTCGTATGTATACTACGCCGTTCTTGTTGTTGTTGTTGTTGCTGGTGCAGTGAGTTCTGTGAATTCGGTTGCTGCTGCTGCTGCTGCTGCTGTTGAGACACCCTTCGCGCGGCGTGGTGCTGTTGCTGAAGGAGTATCCTGCGTGACCAGTGCTCTGGTTGCATTTACGGTCGAGTGTGTTGTAGCGTTGGGTGTGAGGAAAGTGAAAGTGTGTGTGCGGAGTGTGCGAAGGCGGCGGACTTGTGGGGAAAGTGAGTATGTAGGTAGTGCGGGGCCCCAGCGTATGTGAGGAGTAGGATGGCAGTAGGATGCAAACAACAGGCTCCGACTAGCGGTGAGTGAGTGGCCGAGGGAGGGATATCTAGTGGTATGGAGTGGGCATGCCTGCAGCACTGTAGTAAGTGTGTTGTTGTCTTTTGTGCTCAAGCGCCCCGTGGGTATTGCATATGCTTTTTGCGAATAGAGCGCCCGTCTCCCTTTTGCGCGGAGAGTCCTGAGGCCGTGCATAAAAAAGTGGGACTCTCTCTCTTTTGCTTCCGAGCGTCCGAACAGAGGGAGGGAGGGAGGGATGGATGGATGGAGGGAATAATCATCATCATCATCATCATCATCGACTGGGCGCCCAATAAAATGTTCGCACACGCGCCAGGGATACATAGTTCACTTATCCAGGTATTTTTAATTACTACAGTAGTTAATCCTTATGCAGCGCGTTCTCTTCGGAGGGGTTCAACCTGCGTGCATTCGATTGAGACTCCCTCTTATTACATACTGTACTGTACTGTATGTATGTATGTACAGTACAGTAGGGAGGGCTTATAATAAGTGTCCCTTTTGCGCAGTCTCTTTTTCCCACGCTTGGCGCCCCCGCCGTCTTTCCAATGACGATCGCCATGAAAAAGATTAGCATTCGACAGCGCGTTCAACGAACACTGTCAACACTGAGCTCACCAAGGCGAACCGTAAATGTCAGCAGTAAGTCTGAGCAGCAGCGAACGGCCTCCTCCTTGTCCGTCACAAGTACGACGTGTGTAAAGTCCATCTCAGCATAACCTAGTCTGCTCCCATGGTGTTTACAACCCCCTCTATCCAACCCGAATACCCCCAGGCCCTGCAACCCGTCCAGCAAGGGCAGGCAGAGCGGTTATGCTTGATCAAATGGTTCCGCAACCACCCGCGGCGGTCTCACTAAGAAAACCCAACTTTGCCGTCGGGGCCTCCCTTCCTTTTTTGGGTCTCAAACTGGAACCTCCCACAACCCAATTTCGACAGCGCGTCAGAGGCCCTGTCAACCTCAGAATTCAGTGCCTGCGGTTTCAGGCATTCCACCGCCGAACCCTGTACGGAGCGAGCAGGGTCCATAGATACTTATCCCACCATACATTGACTCTGCAGTTGGTCAGTTATTGAAAGTCTGAACTTGTATTGCCCGTTCGACCAGAACAAAGAGCAACTCCACTCTCAGCTTGTTTCCTCCTGGGAAACCACCATGGCGACCCCTTCCGACCCCCCGACCCCGCGCGACGGCTTCCGACATTCACACACACATTGCTACGAAGACGCTACAGTCCAAATTGCTGTCGACGAGTCTCTGCTCAAAAAGTCCTTGCACTATTTCGTCACCAGGTTCGAGGGACCCTGGCTTGAAGCAACGGCAGACGGCGTGATCCGATTGAGAGATATCACGAAGCAAGACTTTACGCTATTCCTGGACGTCATCTACGAACCGCTCAGCGACATGTCGTTCCTACGCGTGCCGCAGGCATTCGCTCTGTTCTTTATTTCCGAGTATTTCCAAGCGCACGAGTTCCGCGACGCAGCACGCGCAGTGCTCGAGAGACGACCAAAACACTGGGGCAACATCCGAGACTTCATGGAAGCACTCAGCAAGCACCCCTCCGACAAACGGTTTGAAAGACTCCGCGCCGAGTGCGTCACATTCCTCATATCCGCCATGGACACACAGTGCGTCCAGGTCCTGTTCTACGCCGAGGCCTATGGGTTCGACGAGCTGCTGGCGGACGACTTCACGTACCTGTGGCCGCATGATGCATATCATGATCCCTACTTCCGCATGCTGTCCCCAGGCCTGCAGATTCGCGTGTTTTTCGATATTGTGCAGGCTGCGTCGAAATGCACGGACGAGTGCCATTGCGCTGGGTGCCCGGTGTTGAATTCTCCTGCGTTGTGGAGCGACTGAGCTTTTGGAATCTATTACGAACCGATCGCACCCGCGAGAGTCGGCGGGCCCATCACTCCCCCCTTTGTCCCCCGCGCCTTCTCCCTCACCCCCCCCCCCGGCAAACACTAGCAGCCACTCCCATGCATCACGCGGCACTGTTAATCAGCACCATTAGGTAGTCTTCCACAAATAGGAGCAATAGTAGCGCTGTGAGAATAAAATAGGGCCAAAGGAGGGAGTTCCCTTAATGCCCCAGCTCATCAGAACTGGGTACTGGGTCATCCGTCTACGCCCTCCCCAGGCATCTCTCATCCCTAGTTCAAACTAAGCTCAACTCTTAAGGAAAAAGAAGCGATGAAGCGTCAACGAAGCATCAATTGGTCCATCCGAATCAACCCTCAACGCAAAACAATGTAAACAAAGGCGAATCCTCTCATTTTCTGATCCCCTCCGTGCGGAGTGTCCGGAGTATCTGAGTGCGTGCCGCTGCGGCCGGCATGGTGTCAAAGCTTTGTGCACGGCACTGTGGAGAAAATCACGAGTTGGGCCGATGCGTTCTTGGGTGGTAGTGTATCCGTGCAGAGGTCGTCGGTTGAGGAGGACCCGGAACTCGTCGAGATGGCGGTAGTCTAGCACGCCTTTCACAGGAGGAAGGAAGAGAGACTGAAAGAACGGATTCAGGTGGAAGCTGCTGTCTCTACCGCTGGTCGAACAAAAGAAAAGCTGCCGATGTCACATTTCGACAGCGCGTCTCGTTCTGACCCGCTGTCAATGCCTCCGCCGCCCAGAATAGCTGCAAAGTGGAGACTGCTTACCGCACAAGGCGAAGACATTCCTTCGGAGTCGCGGGAGGCTGTGGTGCAATCAGCCGACGTTTTACCGCCCGAAGGTCAACCGTGATGTGCGCCCAGGCCGGGCTGCGGTCAAGGGAGCAATATGATGTCAAACTTGCAACGATTTGGGAGCCGTCAAGGCATCAAAGGCACCGGTTCAAAAACCGGGTGCACTGCGACATTTTCCTCCCCAAATAGAGCACCATAGTCCATGTGTTTGCACGGTAGCGGGAGCAAGACGTCGGAATTGAGGAAGCCTGCAAGCACACGTCCTAGTTACTGAGTTCGAAGCCACTGGTGCCCAAGCCCACAAGGACAATCGAACTTCTTCCGCCGTAGTGTTTGAACTTCCTCTCCGAGACCTGAATCTGAATCACCAAGGCCAAAGTCAGCGATATTCCTGTCTATATGGCCATCGTGGAGCGTAGGTGGGGCCCCGAATGAGGTTGCCATTACTGCAGGCGGGCTTCCGGGATCGCGGCGTCTTCAGCCATGCAAGATATAAGGGCCTAGAAGCGGTTGAATTCAGTCGGCACAGACCTGGATTCTGTCCGGGGCCCATTTCGTGGACCTTCATGCGGTTCTGCTGTACACGGCAAATGCCCGGCTAAGGATAGGACGCTGATGATGTGTGAGGTAAGAATTGCTCTCACCCTCCCCAACTGATGTGCAGATCTCTGACCCGCACTTTCTCATAGATTGTGACGTTTGATATGTGTGGACTAATCAGCTGCTGATCACTGTTAACTGCAAAGTCAGGATTGAGAATGAGTCAACGTCTTCTGGACGCAACCCAAATCCGAAACGGTGGAGGACAATTATCTACTGAAAGAACGACGTAAGCCATATCGGAGGCAAATCGTTGGCCGCAGATTGCTCACCATTTGCCATTGGCGCCGAGAAGAACAACATCTTCGGCTCCGAGCTCTTGACACTATCCTTATTAAAGGTGTTATGAGCGTGCAGGATACGCCGATAAGGATGTCTGTACGGTTGTCCGAAACTCTTTCGGCCGGTTTCACGGTTGGGTGCGCCCGCCATATGCTGCATCAACGGCTTCCTTCACGAAGTTCGCAAAAACAATCATCCGATCTGCTCCCAATACGTGAGTGTCCGTCTCCGCCCTACCCCGGCTGAACCTGTTTGAAGTTTTGAACACGATCGAACGTTGTCGCGGTCGTATTTGTAAGCGAGGGGCGAGGGAGTCGTCGCGCACCACTCCACCTTACCGCTAGCGAATGCTCTATAACACGCGATTCTGATGTGGTCTTCCGCTTTGCCAGATGCAACAAAGCTCGCGGAGCACGACGAATGGATAGCTGGCTGCAACACTATGAGTGTTTCGGCCAGTCCAAGCGTTACTGAACGCTCATATAGCAGAAGGAACTGCGACCACCAAATGCGACCACGATGAGTGAGAAGCTCCCTCTTGCGCAAGTGGATCGTGCCCGTCATGATGTTCGTCAACCTTGTGAAGAAAGCTCATCCAAAATGCATGTGTCATCTACGAAACTAGCCTTCATTCTAGATCTACGAAGAGGTCAATTGGGTTTTCTTAAGGGCAACATTTGGAGTGCATTTATTCTGTCATCTCCAGCCTTAAATGTTCAGCCAGGTATACCCCTCGGCCTAGACTGACTTCGATTCTGCGACAAGATTCAAAGTTCATACTCCATCTATCTGTTGGGTAGATTTTCCGGCTCGCTGCTGTTGAGTGCTCGCGGCAGTTCGAGAGGTCTTCAAGATGTTGACGTTGGAAGCAGCCATGTTGCTGCTGATGCCACGCGTCCCATTCATGACGGTATTCCTTTGAGCTGAATTCGAGCCGGTAGATGAACTGTCCGAGCTTGTGTCGGGTCCGACTGACCAAGTAGAGGCAAGGATCCTTTATGTGGAAACCGCGCGTCAGTGGTTTTTGCATGGTCTGCGATCTTCTTCATCAGCTCACGTGAAGTAGTCCTCAAGCATAAATTCGATGCTCCAATAGGTCCCAAAGTAACCCGCTAGGGAGAGCGCGATGGTGATGGTGAACGCGAGGATGACGAGGAAGATCTTGCCGGCCATACTCAGTAAGACTTGTTGGAGTCTTTTGGCAGATAGGCCACTTCTCTTCGCCTTTTGCAAGTGCTCCAGCACCGGGACAACAAAGCAGAACAGGAGAAGGATGTCTATAAGAGGGTCAGAGAGGATAATAATTAGCGAATAATCAGAATGCACATGCGCTCGCCAGGCGCCCCAGAAAACCATATGCATCAAGAAACGTTACATAGAACAAGCAAAATACTCTTGGCGACGTTATTCCATGTCTTGTCGAAGATTGCAACGCATATTCCGTCGGCGCCAACGAACATTTCCTTTCGCACAGCACTGACGGCGTTTGTCACGATGGACACGGTCAAAAGTGCTGACAACACGATCTGTGCAGCTAGCCTGCGTTGATGGGAAAGAGCGGTAGTCCCTCGGTAAATCAAGATCCCGGTAGATATAATCTGAAAAATGTAGTAGCAGGAACTGCCGAGTTCGGTCAAGAATGAGCAGACGGGATATGATACTTGGGCCGAGTTCCCAATGGCGAGAAGGAGCTTATCGGCCCACTGAAGCACGGCCGCAATGGTCCCCAAGATGTAGACCCGATCTGGGCGGCGAAGTGTAGCGCTGAGATTGGTCCAAACGTTGAGGGCTTCATATTCCCTTGGTAAGTCACAATAACATTGACATCTAATCAAAGCTTCTTGAATGCACTCTCACCTCCCATAGCAAGGAACACCCCAAACATGTAATCGACCACTGCAAAGAAAAACAGCTTTATCGTCAACAATCGTCACTTCACTTTTGCTTGAGAGAAGTCTGTAGACACGAACCTTCTTGTACATAGAAGCCTTTACGCACCTCAAACGGCGATATATCCGCCATGCTGTCGGTTGCGACTAAAACGGGCGATATCAATGCTGTGATGCATAGTCTTCGACGGCTCGGGCACAGTTACCGCCGATTGCCAGCAGATGTAAGTATCCGATGTAATATGATTTTCTTCACCGACGACCTTGGAAGGCAAGTCCGCACATTTATACATTTGCCCTCCCTCAATCCAGCGCAGCGTATCGTGCACCCCGGGCTAAACAACGATTTTCGTAAGCATACAGTGTTTTTCTGGAAGGCAGTCGCTTAACCCGAACAGGCCTTCTTGAACGGTACGGCATCTGCTCCGACGAGTTTTGACGCCAGGGAACCCCATGTTTGACGCCGTACACGGTTCCGAAAGTCCGCCGGTCTCCCCCTAATTGAACTTTTAAGCTTTTGCCCTTGTCGCTGGAACCTGAAGGCTATTCACAGGAAGAATGGGCTGGGAAGCAACGCGTGGTCAAACTCCACTCCGCCGCCGAATCCAGGCCCTCAGCCCGCGAGAGACAAGGCGGAAATTGGTTGTGTCCCTGATTTCGACAGCGCGTCTCGTTCGCTGTCATTGCCAGAACCCCAAAGCGCACAAGGCGAACAGCGCGTCGAGACCGGGTGGTGGTCCTGACCAACCTTTACGGCTCGCAAGCCAATTGTGATGTCCGTACAGGCCTGGCTGCTTCAAGGAACAATACGCACGCGTTTGCAGTCTATGAATGTCGCGTATGGTGCCTGTTCGTACTGTACAGTGTGCCTGTGGGGAACGTAGAAATCCTGGTTGATAGCTGACGCCATTGGAATTAGAACGTACCTCCCGTGTGAGTTGACCCGACGACTTTGATAATAAAGGGACAGAAAGGTATTGTCAGAATAATTCCTTCCGATTGCACGACACTTGTGTGGGCATGAGAAATCTGGCGCAGAGACGGTGTGGGAGAACAGTAGGCCTCGAACTGAAGAATGGCGGAACGCCAAAGGGCTGTCCACTTTTCCTCCCCTGGAAGCCAAGCTGGGGAGGAATTTAGTTCTGGAGTATATCTGAATGGGTGAGTTTGAACGATGGAGTTGCATATGGAATTCGGGCGTATCGCAGGGCAGAGTGTGATAGTGGTAAGGGGACGAATGCGAACAAGTGGCGGAGTAACACCCCCCCCCCCTCCCCCCCGTTCCTCCCACCCGCGGAGGAATCAGGTCTAAAGTAGGTGTCGGATGTCAGACCTGATGCATTAGGCGAGATATCAAAGCACGCGGAAGGATGTCAGAGGAGCGGTCGAAACAGGTGCAAGGGGATGGCTACGGATTGTGATGCTTCTCGAGACTTGAACTTCAGGTGGACCTCGAGTCCCAAGGCGGAGACTTGAGTTGAGACGGCGAAGAGAGGCGAGATATTAACTCCGGGGCAACTCCGGGGCGGCGATGTACCTGGCAACTTTGAATAACAGGCTGCCCACCTGTCGTCCCCTCAACGGGCCTGTCTTGATAAGTGTCAGAGAGGACCAGAGGATGGGGAGGCGCCGAATTTTCGGAAGCGGAATACGCGTATGCAGGCAAGACCGGACCACCCGGGTGCATGAGGCAAGTCTTGAGCGAGTCTTTATATAGTAGCGAACAACGTTGCGGTGGCATACTGCCGGGTGGACTGTTGTAAATGTTGTGGAAGTGGGGAGGCAGGCACAGCACCGCAAGGAGGGATACGTGGGATCGAATCGGCGGACGGGGTAGTGCAACCACGAGATGGATGCAGGGCAACAAGAACGATATGAGCGGAATAGGCATGAGAACGAATGCGATTGTAGGCAGCGGTAAACAGAGATGACGAGCGAGAAGAAAAGCAATCGAAGTGGAGTCCAATCACGCCAAATGAAAGAGCAACGCTTGAGGATCGAAATTATCTGTGCGACGGGATGTGCACGAATGTCAACTCTGGTCCACGTGGACGATGGGACCTCACCCACATCCCGACACCATAAGCCCGCAGTTTGCAATTCTCCCCATGCATCCGTATATCCTCGCTCATTGCGGGAGCGGAGTTCGAAGTTGCTTACTCATACGCGTGTGATGCGTGCTTACGTTATGCATGTCGAAGTTGTTACGCTTCAACAAGTCCAAAAACCACATCATGCTCATGGATTTAATTCCGAAGGAAGGAGCGGGTATCGGCAGTCAGGACTCACTAGGGCAGGGGCAACTCCGCCTTTCAATCCAGGCGTGGGCTGGGTGCGTTCATCATCGTTTGCGTTGACAAGAAAAAGAGCCGATCCGGTTTCTATAGCGCGCGCCAGATCCACGCGTTGTTTGTGCTTCATCGTCGACGACGGGCGGTCTTCCCTCTGAGCGTCAAGCGCTGGGGCATTATGAACCTAATTTGAGCTGGCGTACAAAAAGCTTTTACCTCCCGCATAGACCGAGCATTCCGGCAGCGACCCACGATGAAGCTTTCAGAGCCGCCTGTGTCCTTGACAGATTATGGCGAGAATGCAGGTCTCCACCCAATAGCTAGTAGTATATGTACACATATGAAGAAATAGCCATACTATACATCAGGGAAACGCATTACGCTACGGACAATTACGCAGCGGGAAGAGATGATACAAGAAGAGCTGAAGAAAAAACGGAAGCGAAGGGGAGGGGGGAAGGATAAAGCTATTCACAGAACCGCCCTTATGAATGTCACTCAAGAAAGAGTATACACGGTCGCCTCCTCGGGGAAAAAAATACGCCACATGGGATATTAACATGAAAACGAACCAAAACATCGTCCACATGACTCCCTTCTCCCTCACGGCAGAACCTCCAAACTCCCATCACACGCCAACCTCACCCGATCCCCCCAAACCAGCTGCGCCCCACTCGTCCCCAAGAACGCGTCGTAAGCCTCCCTCACCCCTACATTCCCCGTCAGACTCCAATCCTTTGCGACCCCATCCTCAACCTTCGCTTCCTCGAAATTCACCAGCAGTTTCAGGCGGGGGAGGGAGGCGAGGGTGGCGGGGTTGAGGGTTTGCGTCCACCAGGCTTGTTTGACGTCGAGTTCCGAGGCACCGGGGGCGCCGGGGCGGTAGCCGGGGCCCGATTCGGCGATGGCGACGGGTTTGAGGAAGGTGTCGCCGAAGCGGGTGTAGAAGTTGCGGCTGTGGGCGGGGTGGAGGCGTTAGTGTCGTGTATCACGTCCAGCGAGGAATCGATGTTGCAACAGACAAACAAACAAATGATACTGGGAAGGGTGAATGAACACTTACAGCGCCTCATTATTCCCCACGGTCGCGCCATGCTTGCTCACCAAATCCTTCCCCAGCAAATAATCCTCAAAATACGTCGGACCCGGCACATTATTCACCGGATTATCCTGGTAGTAGTACAAACTCAACCCAACCCAATCCACGTATTCCGGGCCGGGCCAGTAAGGGAGGTACGGGTCGTCCTTTTCGTCGAGAACGTCGTCGGCGTTGGTGTCGAGGGCTGCAAAATTGTCGGCACCGACGGATGTGACGGGCGAGGTGCCGCCGGGTTTGCCGAGGGGCGTGTAGGGGTAGTGCACGCCGACGTTGGGGGCCCACATCATTGCTGGGAGGTGAGAGAGAATTCAATGTTAAGAAAGGACTCCAGACATGCGGTTGAGTGATGGATGTATCCGAGTATCCCACACTTCAGTCCGCCTCCCCTCTTTTCTCCAACACATACCGGTCGTCTTAGTCCCCTTATGCACCGCCTCAGCCATCCTCCTAAACATCGGCACAAACTGCAGGGGCCTCAGTCCATAACTCGTCCAATCGCCATTCATTTCATGCCCATATCGTAAAATCACAGGCACGCCGCCATCGTTCAGCTCTTTCAATTTCCCCACGATGGTGTTGATGAGGTCGTCGGTGATGAGGGTTACGTCGCCGGTGGGTTCGAGGGTGAGACCGAGGATGCCCCCGGCGCGTTTGACTTCTTCGGCTTGCCAGGTTAGGACGGAGAGGGGTGGGTCGAGGGGCGCGGCGGGATCGTTGAGGAGGCGGTAAAAGGCGTTGCTGGGGAAGGGGGAAGGGGGAAGGGTGTGAGTCGTTTGCGCCATTATAAGATCGCCCTCCGTCTCCTCCCCCCCTCCCCCCGCCCTCCAACAAAAGGAAAACTCACTAAACAGCCGGCGTCTTCCCTCCCAACCTCCCCTTCAGATCCGCCGGCTGTCCGGTCCCCGTCCAACTTAACGAATACCCCATCATCAACCCCGCAGGCGGTTCCAATAACCCAAGCGCGCCCTTTACACACGTCCCCGGATCCACGGGCGGGGTCCCCGGGGGTGCGCCTTGGGGTACAGCGCCGATGGGGGTGTTGATCTCTGCGCCGGGGGTGGGCAGGTCGGGGTGCAGGTGCTTGTAGTAGGTGAGGTAGGAAAGCCCGAGGAGGAGGGAAGAGGTGAAGCTGAAGGCGAGGAGGGCCTTGATGTGGAAGAGGATGGAGCAGCAGACGCGTCGAGCTTTGTAGCCCATCTTGGGAGAGATGGAGGGGGTGTGATGGGGTGATGGGGATTCGCTGTGTTCGGACGGTATGAGGTTGTGCGTGAAAGCAACTGAGCCTCCGACTGGCTGAGAAAGCGATATCCAGTTTCGGAACAAGGTGATAGAACCCGAAGATGGCTTTGACACCCCCTTCTACAATCGCGATCTCGACCCCGAAATGCTGCGCTCGAAAACTCGATGCTGGATATCCACTGACTTATGCGAACTGCACTCGTTGCTGGTTGCTACTTCCTATCCCGCTGGCGTTCCGGTCGGATGTCTAGGGATGAAATGTCTCACCAATCGCGTGAGGTTCGAATTGCCCCGTTTTTTTCCCACGGGATGAAAACGCTTCTGCGGCCTTGGCACTTGTGAAGAGTCTCGCTCGCTAATGGATCCCCTATCGACGTCGTCGGAACTGGGCCGATATCTTTCCTACGGGAACAAGCAAACCCGAAGAAGGCGAGATGTATTGCTCTAGGGACGGGCGATATCTTCCTCGATATCTGCGATGGTTCACTCTTACAGAGCCAAGCAAGCATGCATCGCCGCCAGCCAGCCGTCTATACCCCTTTCCGAATTGCATGCACATCCTTTTCCTCACCCCTTTGTTCCCCCTTGACCTCATCGTTGACCAACCTGAAGACGCAGGTCGCAAGAGGCCACAGAGGTGATGTCTTTTTTTGGGGGCAGCGGTCAGGAGGGGGGGAACAACGCGTGCAACGGGACGGGAAGCCACAATCTACAAATGAGGCCGGTGGGCGCGCACACGATTGACAACCGTCGAGAAGACACCCAGACCCAAGGAACAAGCACTCATTCAGGTGACGACGTGACGTTGGTTTTGGCACAGGCATGGGAGAGAACTTCTTTGACTGCGTCTATTGTCGATGAGGTGCGGGAGGCGACTGCGACGATGTGGTCGATGTCCTCATGGTGCGTGCTGCGAATACCGAGACTGTCCTGTAGCAGCAGGACGGCAGGAGATGCAGCTGCTCTGTGTGGTCTATATATACATTTACGCCGGGGGGGCTGTTCGTTCTGACGGACCAACGACAACGTCCTCGCTTCTGAGAACCTTTGCACTCCAGCATTGGGGTTCGAACCACGTCGCACGCGTCCAGACATTCGGACTCGCTCTCTCCCTCGCGCCTTGTTTCCTTGCTCTCAGTCGCCGGATATCGTCCTCGTAAACTGTGAAAGCCGGTTCTGTCATGTGTGTTTCAGTGGCTCTGAATATTAGGCTACCAGCTCAGGGCGGGAGTGCAAAAGTGTCCCTTTGGCGTTCAATATGGATGCGGCGAGGCGACAGGCCGGAGATGAACTGCGGGCATATGAAGCGAAGCCAATCTAGCTGCCCGTCTGCGTTGGTCTCTGCAATAAGCCGGTTTCTATAATATACATGCCTGGGTGATGTCTCGTTGTCGAAGGCAGGGAAATATTGATGGATGAGATCTTTCGCCGAGAGTGCTGGGGAGACGTCACACTTTTAGGCGGTGTGGAATGGCCCCCTGCTAACGACGTATATCTCGCCAGCGGAATCCTGGGGAGCTGGGGATAGGGCCATTGGGAGGGGAGCTGCTTGTGCGCTTGTCACCGAGTCCCAGGGAGTGCGAAGGCTCTCGAGAGGCAAAACGGCGGCGCGTCAAAAAGAACACTCGCTGGTCTCGTAGGGAGAGGAGAAGGAGGACATCGTTCAAACTGAGAAACGGTCGCCGCAACGAGCAATAACAGCCCGCCTCGCGACCGCCTCATCGTTTCCCTCCCTGACAACGAGCCGTGCGCGACGGTCAGAGAGAGAAGCGCCGTCCATCTCCACAAAAACGCAGAGTGTCCGTGTGTAGCGATGGCCAAGTCAGCCACCTCCTCACGCGGCGACGCACTCAGCGCCATGAGCTCCATGGCAGGCGACAGGACCGACACAATAGGTAAGGCTTCCATCTCCCGCCCCAAATACCGTGCTTCCTTTCGGCGCTCCTCATTGTCCTTCGCAACGACTATATCAACACAAACTCGTGTTTTTGGGGATGATCTTGGAACAGGCGCAGAAGACACCGAGAACTTTGTGCAGTACCTCCTCGAAGGCTCGGGCGCAGAGCACAAAGTCGATTTCACAGCCCTGCGCGACGATCTAGACTCGTTCCGGAGGGACGCTAGGGAAAAGAACACCTCAAAGCTATCGCGGAGCCGGCCAGTAAGTCGTTGTATACTATCGTTGTTTCAACGCGATGAAATGGAATCCCGCCTGATCTGTTAGTAGGACATTTTCCAGTACGAGAGCGGCGCAACCGACGACTCAACGAGATTCCTAAGCCACCCGTTCCTGGATGCCAGTAGGACGACCGTCACGACCACGACGACCACCACGCAGCGCAGTCACGCGGAATTGACGACTGAGGACAGGGTGAATGAGTTTCGGAGGAGTATTAGCCAGAGATCGAACAGCGACGGGGGTGGTGGCGGGGAAAGTCAGCAGGGAAGGATTAGGGACGAGAGGGAGACGGGGCGTGAGCTGGTGTCGAGATCTAGGTCGGGGGGGACTAGTCATGGCAGCGAGAAGCCATCATCGGGTCGGGAGCAGAATCGAGATACTGCTGCGCGGTCTAGCGGGTTCGGGGAAAGTCAGAATCTGAAGGTATGCGCTTAAGCCCGGCATCTCATCCATGTTTCCTTCCAAGGGAACCTTCCATTCTCACCCCCTCATCACGAAAAAATCAGCGGGCGCAGGATACAGCAGTAGCACCCGCACCATCAGCAACCACCCACACACCCCACTCCCAATTCGACAACAACCGCCTCGCCGACGAAATCCGCCGTAAAGACGAAACAATCCAAACCCTCATCAACCAACTCGCCGAGACCCAGCAAGAGACTCAGCACTGTAAACTGCAACTGGAGGAGGCCCGGGAAGCGCGGGCGAGGGAGGTTGCGAGGGATGTTGCTGTCATTCAGGAGCTGCAGGTGCGACTTCGAATATCCGCAGGTTTACGACATCTTTTTCTGGGTGTTTGATGAACTGATTAGGTTGGGATTTTCGCAGACGTCGTTAAAGAACTCGATGAGCCAGACCTCATCCCTCACCGCCGCGCTCGCCGCCACCAAATCGGAGCTCACGACCTGGAAATCTCGCTGCGAGGAGTATAAACAGAAAGCGAAAGAGAACGCGACAGAGGTGGAGCGGTTGCGGATGGAGTTGGGGGAGGTCGATGAGAAGGTAAATAAAAACAAATTAACAGGCAAAATACCCCAGTTCAGGAGGAACAGGAATTTACGATTTGCTTTTGGGATAGGCTGCGAAGAAGCAAGAACGGCTTGAACGCACCTTTACGGAGATCACGGGGCAGTACAAGCGCAACCCGGCCAAGAGCGGCTTGGATCGGTTGACGGTGGAGGTTATACAGGTGTATGAGGAGAAACTGGAGCGGATGAGGTCTGAAGCGCGGTATGATTTGCTTCATATCTTTCGGGTCATAATCCCGGGCAGATGTTTGATGGGTTTGGTTTACAGTTCGAGCAGACCAAGGAAACCGGAGCCCTTACGTGCATCCCAGAATGCAGAGAATGTAGCCACGGCGTCCGAGAACAGGGACCCGCGTTCCTCCATACATCGTACCCAATCTCAACCCACCATCCCCAAATCCAACGTCATCACCCTAGACGACGAGCTCGCCCCCCAAGACCCCCTCACAAAATCCCTCACCCGCCAACTCCAAACCCTCCAAGCCCGCCTCTCCGCGGCCCTCGCCGCCCTCGCCGCCCGCGACACCCAGATCGATCTGCTTAAACTCCAACTCGAGACGGTCAAATCACAGCCATGGCCGTCCCACTCGGCAGCCCTCTCTTCTCCTCTAACAACCCGCGACCTCATCCGCATCGACAAACAAGCCCACCACCGGAAACTGCACAATCTGGACACCCTCACCCGTGACGAAACCCTCTCCCTCCTCCACGACATCTGTACCCGGTTCGAAATCGGCGACGTGAGCGATCTCCCCAACGTGTTGGAGAAAGTCGAAGTTGTGGTGCGGTTGAGTAGCCAGTGGGAGGCGTTTCTGAGGGGGGTTGAACGGGTTGTTGGGGGGTGTCGGGTGCGTGTTGTGAGTGGACGGAGGAGTAGGGGTGAGGGCAGGGAGTTGGGGAGCAGGTTGGAGGGCTTTTTGGAGGTTTTGGAGGAGTGGAGGGGGGTGGTGGAGGAGAGCGCGGGGGTGAAGGTTTGTGTGTTTGTGTGTGTGTTATTTTTGGGACGGAATTGGGAAGAGATGTTGATGAAAGATTTTTTTGGTGAACAGCAGCAGAATGAAACGATGCAACGCGACCTTAACCACTTCCGCGACCTGTTTGAAGTACCACCCAACGACGCCGTCGTCCCGAGGATGAATGATTTGTATGTGTTTTCGGCTGAGGTTGCTCAAGGTGAGGGGAAAATACCATAGCCCGTCACAACTGTTTGTTGTCTTTTTGAGATGGGATACTCACATGTTGAACTTGTGATGGTATGAACAGGACTGGATAGATTACAAGACCTTCTCGGCCTCGAATCCTCAGTGCAGCGCGGACGGGTGCTGAGTCATGCCGTCGAGGCGTTGTCGGGGACGTCCAAGACGGTTGAAGGTAGTCAAAATCATATCCCCTCCACTCAATATGTCCCGCGTACCACCACCCACGTTGACTAAAGTATGCATTTGCAGCCCTCCATCGCAGCCTGAACGGGAAACGCTCCTCACAGGACTCGGGGAGCGATCATGCGGTTCGGACGCGGGGGTTGGCGAGGAGCCATGGCGAGAGGGGGGAGCAGTTCAGGGCGTCTGGACGTAGTTCGCTGGCTTCCCGGGGGAGTAGTCAGAGGAACGCGGGACAGAAAGGCTCGGAGGACGTTGAGGCGGGACGGAGATGGGAAGACCAACACGGGGGTCGAGACCAACATCAACAACAACAACAACAACAACAACAACAACAGCATGTATCGTTGAACATCCGGAAAGCCAACTCGGGATCAGCAGAGGGCCGCCGATCCCCCTCGGTCTCTTCTCACCACGCCGACGACCTCGCCGGAATCACCCACTACCCTCCTCACCCCAACCAGCCCCTCCCCCGCCACCTCCAGCCCTCCTCCCCCTCCTCCTCGAGCCTCATCACAACCTCGCGACACGCAGATGAAAGCAGTTTCGACCCGTTTACCGCGGAAGTGTACCCCCCACCTCGGACGACCCAGACCCCTCCGAGCAATAACCAGACATTGTCACCGGCGACACGACGAGCGCGCGATGCCGCCGAACGGGGATACACGGGGCTGGATATGTTGCTGGGCACTGTGAGCGCGATTCAGGAGCGCAGTGGGGATATGGGGGATGAAGGGGATGATGTTCCCCAACATCAGCGTTATCAACACCGTGACGAGGGACCTCAACACGCGCAGAGGCCCATAGGAGGATCCCAACCCCAGGACGACTCACAAGCAGACAAGATCTTTGGCTTGGCCAACGAGCGGCCTCTGTCGAGGGATGGAGGTGGGGAGGGGGAGGAGTTGAGTTTGGGGGATATGGAGTTGGGTGGGGATTCGACGACATCTCATGCATACCACTCGGATCGGTCGGGTGGGGAGTTGGATTTGGATATGGGGTTGGGGTTGGATGATACACATGTCGGGGGTGGGTTGTTGGATGGGAGGGAGTATGACCACGAGGATGATGATACGGGGTTTGAACATGATTTGGGGGGGTTTGGAGGTAAGGAGGGTGGGCAGGGACAGGGGCGGCAAGTGGAGGGGACGAGTGGAGGGGAGGAGAGTGCGTTTGGGGAGGTTTTGAGGGGGTCGGGGAATTGGTAGAGGGATGAGAGATACGATGGATGGAGTGGGGAGGTTTATAAACCACCCTTGTTCACTGCTGGTCTGATGGCGTTATGTAAGGATACTGTACTGTACATACATTTTCTCCCTGTATCTCATAGATACAGTACGTGGTTGGGGAAACATTGCATGGATTGAATAAGAAGCGGAGCCATGTACTGTATAAAACGTCGGGGGCCAACATATGTATGATTGCGCCAACTGCAGAACACGCGCGCGGTCTCTTTCTTTTCCTCCCATTCAAATCCGCCTTTTTTCGCTCGTCGCCATTTGCATTGCATTGCACTGCATTTACAGCAAACTGAGCAAACCCACAAGCTCCAGCAAAAGGGAAGAACCGTCCCAACGCTCCCATCCCAAACACCAGCACAACACCCCACCTCTCACATATTCCCTCGCCCCCCACATTCGAAGTTCCGAAAATGGGCAAAAAGAAGTTCATAGACAAGTCGAAATCAGTCCATTACCAGGTCGTCCACCGCTCGCAGCGCGACCCGGCGCTCGCGGACGAGGAGAGCAGTCGGTATGTGCTCAAGCCCGTGCCGCCGAGTTATAATTTGTTGAAGGTAAGGAAGGAAACGAGTAGGCACGGGGCGGTGTTGTGGTGGAGGAGAGGGGTGGGGGGGAATGTCGAATGCGAGGGTATAGGTTTGGTTTTCCAGAGCAAGGGGGAGCGGGCAAGGAAAACTGTGTCTCATTACTATACCGCCTTTTGCCCCACTGACTCACGCACTCACACACACACACTTGCTATCCCTCCGTATTTCCTAGAAAGGAAAGTACGAAGCGGAGGTTCCTGACGCTGATTACCCCGAGTATGAGGAGCGGGACGGGGAGTATGATGGAAGTGAGGTTGGGTTTTCGGACGAAGAGGAGGAGGGGGAATGGACGGATGATGAGGAGGGTGAGGAGGAGGGGGAGGAGCGGGTAAAAGGGAAACCACAACCGAAAGCGGACACAACAGGAGCAGCAGAAGCCGATCCGTCCCTCTACGGCATCTTCTTCACCGATCAAGAGAAATACGACTACCTCAAGCACCTCAAGCCGATCGGCGAGGACCCCTCCGCGGTGTTCATGGAAGCCAAAAACAGCCAATCCAAAAAAGATAAATCCGGTGGGATCCAGTTCGTCGACGCCGACGCGCAGGAAGCGCATTCCGGGCAACGCAAAACCGTGGCATTTCAACTCCCCTCCGAAGCCCTCGCTTCGGAATACGAGACCCGTGTCGGACTGCTGAACCAGCCCGCGGTCCCCTCCATGCTGGACGTGGGCAGCGACGTGCGCGAGGTGCTGTACGCCCTTGACGACGACGCGTACGTGCAGGAGGACGCTGATGACGATTTCTTTGCTGCGTTGGATATGGATGAGGTTCCTGAGCGGTTTGAGGCTGAGGTTGCGGCGGCGGAGGAGCGGGAAAGAGAACAAGAAGATAGGAAGGACGAGGAGGGCGGGGAGTGGTATAAGGCGTATCGACGGTACAAGAAGGGGGAGACCGAGGATCTCTCCTCTGAATCCAACGACGATGATGACGAGGACGATGAAGAGGAGTACGACTCGTTCAACGCCGACGCCTCCCTCCCGCGGAGCACAAACACAAAAAAATGGGACGCCCAAACCGCCGACACCTCCTTCTCCGCCATGTCCTCCTCCACCATGTTCCGCAACGCCAACCTCACCCACCTCGACACGCACTTTGACGCCGTGCTCGCCGACTACTCCGACACCGAGATCGGCGAGCTCGACCCGGACGACACCCAGGTGCGCGGGGATAACCTCCTCCCCCAATCCCGCCTCGAATCCCTCTTTGACGATTTCCTGGAGTCGACGGAACTGATGGGGAAGCGCAAACAACGACTGGTTACCAAGATCGACCGGATGGGGTTGATCGACACCGTGCGTGATGAACTCAAGGAGAACGCGCGCGATGCGGCGAGGATGTATAAGAATGATGAGGGGTACATGCGGGAACTGAGTGTCGAGGAGGCGCTGGAGGGGTGTGTGGTCCCCGAGGAGAAAGTGAGGGACATGTGGGATTGCGAGACGGTGTTGACGACGTATACGAATGTGTATAATCGGCCGAGGTTGATTGCGGAGACGGGGACGAATGGGAAGGCGCCGAGGCGGATCAGGTTGAAGGGGAAGATGGGGATGCCGGTGGTTGAGGATGCAAAGTCGCAGACCGAGTTGGCCGCGGAGAAGACCACGAAGCTGGGAGAGAAGACGGAGAACGCGGACGGATCCGGAGCGGAATCCGACACGGAACCCCTCAACCGCGGCACCGCGCGCCCACGCACCGAAACACCCGCCGAGCGCAAGATGCGCAAACAGGAAGTGAAAGCTGAGCGACGGGTAGGCCTCTCATATCATTCCCGTCCACTTATCGCCATCCCATCCACATATCTGACATCATATTTACCCCCCCTTTTTTTTTTAAAGAATCGCCGAGAAGAAAAGAAAGCGACCAAAGCTGCCTTCAAGGACGAAACGAAACGGCAGGCCAAGACGTTCAGGAATGTCGTTAGGCAGGAGGCGAGCGTGCATATTGTGTGAAGGAAGGGGAGGGGAAGGGAGGGGGAAAGTCTCCCCCCTTTTCTCCAACGTAGCTCATGTATATCCGTCCATCCCGCATTGTATGTTTATAGCCATTTTTTATCATTATTTTCCTTGTTAAGCCAGTTGTCGCAAGTGCCCTCGGAGAACCAAGCCGTGTTCTTGTCAAGTGCGAGAAGTGCGCGTTCGTCGAAAATCCTCATGCACAGCCAGCCTCTGTGATCACATCCCACCTCCATTCAAACCTACCCCGAAAAACAGAATGGTAAGCAATCACCCCCCCTCCCACGTCCGACCCCTCTCAACCCAGCCCGTCCCCATCTGCGTCACGTTCCTTCACTGATCGAATTCCTCCCCCCCAAAAAAGTCCGACAGCAAATTCACCTTCCGCGTGCACGCGCGCAACCCCCACATCCCGCGGCTCGCCGCCGCCGACCCGGAGTGGCCCGCGGGGCGTGTCGGCGCCGACGGTACGTACTGTGCGCTCTCTCCCCCATCCCGTCTCCGTCACCGCATCCCATCCGATTCTCATCACTGATGATCTGTTGCGTAGATATACCGATCCCGGCGGCGCATGTCCCGCGGACTGATGAGGACGAGGAGGGGGAGGAGATGGGCGAGGTGGGGAGGTGGAGGGATATGGATGTGGAGGGGTTGAGGGGGGATGTTGAGTCTGGGGGGAATCGGGAGGCTGGGAATTGAGCGTTGGTGTGATGGATTGCGTTTTTTGGGGAGGGAGGGATGAACGAGAGCAGGGGACGGAGTGAGAGGGCAGATAGGTTGGGGTGGAGGGAGAGCAAGCTGGGATGTGGATTTTTCAGCCATGTGTAGGGGCTTATCCTGTACATAGTAGGTATTGTGATGTTTTTGTCGGCGGATCCGAAGTCACTCGTTGATCAAAGCATTGTTGCATTCGCCGGTTGCATCACACTGCCTGTGCTTTGTTTGAGCAGCCCGTTACCACTCCCCAGAAACCCGCACCCCCGGAAACATCACCCCAACCTCACCCGCCAACACCCTCAACCCCACCCTCTCGAGCCGTTCATGCCCGACACACACCACACACATCCCGCGCATCTCATCCCTCTGCAATGCCTCCCGGGCAGGCTGGCGGATCTGTCCGGTGATGTAGACGCTGACGCCCAGCGTGGACGTGTGGGCCAGGAGGGGGGGTGTGAGGGCCGCCATGAGTGCTATTTTGGGTTGTTGGGCTGACGATGGTGGGGGACGACCCGGCGGGGTGTTGTGGATGGAGTCGATGCCGCCGAATACAGTTGCGACGGTATCCAGTAATCCACGTGCATCGCCCGTCTCGCCGTCCTGCCCCATCGCCTCCTCCACCTCCCCCGTACAGTCGCTGCGTAAATGTGTGATGAACCCAATACACCGCCCTCCCCTCTCCCGTTGTCTCACGAGTTTTACGCACGCTTGACGCGTACACAGCCCGAGGAGGGACGCCATGCCGACGCTGCCGGCGCCGCCGGCGTACATGTAGTCGAAGGGCTCGTGGGATGTGAGGACGCAGGTGGTGCGTGGGTGGATGTGGTGCGGTTGGAGAGTGAAGGGGCGGTGGAGGAAGAGGGCGTCTGTTTTCGGGAATCGATCATTGGCTGAGGGGGGTTGTGGGGGGTCGGCTGCGGTGGATTGGATTGATTGTGGTGGTTCGAGGGCAAAGTGGATGGAGTTGATGGGGTGGTCTAGATGTGATGATTCTGCGACACCAGGAGGACCGTAGTTTTTGAAGAGGAGTGGTAAGGGCGGTTGGCGTTGAGGGTAGGATGCTTCCACGGGGATTGTGAGACGGGGGGTGAGGAAGGCGAGGAGGGTGCGGAGGGTTGTCATTGTGGGGAAGACGGTTGAGAGTGTGGGAAGTGAGGGATAATACAGTATTATTGAGGTTGGCGGAGTGAATGCGGGAGGAAGCGAAGTGTTCAGGAGATGTCTGTTGAGAGCGAGGGGAGGATTATCCACTTCCCGCCGGCGATGCTATGTGCTGTCGAAAATGGAGAGTCAGTTGACGGGACAATGTTTGACGTGACAGCATTGAGATCACGTGACGAGGGAGAGTGAGAGAGTAAGAGAGAGATTCTCCGCGGATGAAGTGCGTGGCCGCGTAGCCTCAGGCTAACTCATAACTGTTTTTCACATGCGGCTGCGCTCTGATACTGTACGCGTAGTAGTTCTCTGTTGTGGGCGATTGATGATGACGGTGATGAATCATGCGCATTATGGACCTCTCTTGCGCTCTCCCATTCCATTCCACGCTGTGCTGTGGTGCTGAGCGGTGCTTCCCCTGAATAATACTACGTACTGTACGTATAGTATCGCAACATTCCCACCGCCTCCCCAGTAGACGCACACTCCGACGTATATAGCAGCACCACCTACTGCCACCACCCCCCCCACCACCTCCTGCTTCTTCTCTCCCTCGCTCTATCCATAACGGGTTTCTTCATAACTTGGAATTCCATCCTGCAAACGCATTTTCCCACCATACAACCACCAGATCACTTCCGCTCGCATATCCCACTCACATATCTACGTACTTGCTGAGCTAACACGCACTTGCAACACGATGACCATCTCGGTATGTTAGTCAGTCAGAGAGACACAGCGAGAGTTGAGCCTTGCGTATGCTCAATCGCTCTCAAAGGAAGGATTGTGCCCACCATCCTAGACCTCACCTTGCAGTCCCACTCACGCTCAATATTCCCCCTCCCTTAGAACCCCCCACAAACCCTCTACGACAAGATATTCTCCGCCCACATAGTCGACACCACCCCCGACGGGACTTGTCTCATCTACATCGACAGGCACCTCGTTCACGAAGTCACTTCCCCGCAGGCTTTTGAAGGCTTGCGTAATGCAAACCGCAGAGTCAGAAGAAGGGACTTGACTCTTGCGACCGTGGATCATAATATCCCGACGACGGGGAACAGGAAGGATTTCAAGAGTATCGAGACGTTTGTCGAGGAAGTCGATTCCAGGACTCAGTGCCAGACGTTGGAGGAGAATGTGAAGGCGTTTGGGGTTACTTATTTTGGGCTCTCTGATAAGAGACAGGGCATTGTTCATGTGATTGTGAGTATCGGGCGAGCGAGACCGAGTGCCAGCAAAGAACGAGCGGAGCGTTGATAGTCGTTGATGGTTCGCTACGCTCATCAAACTAACATTCGCTGCGCTCATGTTTCTAGGGACCAGAGCAAGGTTTCACTTTACCCGGCACGACTGTCGTGTGCGGCGACTCGCACACCTCCACACACGGCGCTTTCGGTGCTTTAGCGTTCGGGATCGGCACATCCGAAGTCGAACACGTCCTCGCCACGCAAACCATCCTGCAAAAAAAGTCGAAAAACATGCGTATCACAGTCAAAGGCCAGCTCACCACCGGCGTCACATCCAAAGACGTGATCCTGCATATCATCGGTATCATCGGCACCGCGGGTGGAACCGGCCACGTCATTGAATTCTGCGGCTCCGCGATCGAGACCCTGTCCATGGAGGCCCGCATGTCCATCTGCAACATGGCCATCGAGGCTGGAGCGCGCGCGGGGATGATCTCCCCGGACGATATCACCTTCGAGTACCTCCGCAACCGCCCCCTGGCCCCCAAGCAAGGGGAGGAGTGGGACCGCGCGGTCGAATACTGGCGGTCTCTCCGATCGGATCCAGGCGCTAAATATGACGTTGAGGTCTCCATCAATGCAGAGGATATCGTGCCCACAGTGACTTGGGGAACATCTCCTCAAGATGTCGTGGCCATCACCGGAACCGTCCCCGACCCCGCAAAGGAACCCGACGCCGCCAAACGCGCAAGTATGGAACGTTCTTTAGCATACATGGGTCTCTCGCCCAACACGCCCATGGCCGAGGTCAAGATCGACAAAGTCTTCATCGGCTCCTGCACAAACTCCCGCATCGAAGACCTCCGCGCCGCCGCCCGCGTCGCCTACGGCCGCAAAGTCGCCCCCACTGTTCACGCCATGGTCGTCCCCGGCTCCGGCCTCGTCAAGCACCAAGCCGAAGCCGAAGGCCTCGACAAGATCTTCACCGCCGCAGGCTTCGAGTGGCGCGAAGCAGGCTGCTCAATGTGTCTCGGCATGAACCCGGACCAGCTCAAACCCTACGAGCGCTGCGCGTCCACCTCCAACCGCAACTTTGAAGGCCGGCAGGGCCAAAAAGGTCGAACCCACCTCGTCTCCCCCGCTATGGCCGCCGCCGCCGCCATCGTCGGAACCCTCACAGACGTCCGCGCCCTCGTCTCCCACTCCAACCCAAAATCGGACGCCGAAATCAACATCACAGTCCACGACTCGAAAGACTTCCTCCACCACCCCTCGGGCCTCGTCGCCCCAACGTCCGACTCGGACACCTCCGACGTCGAGTTCGATTCACCCCCCTCCACCCAACCCACCCTAACGCCGCGCTCCCCCGACCTCCCCCCTCCCACAACGGGGAGCATGCCCCCCTTCACAACCCTCCGTGGCACCGCCGCCCCCCTCCCAATGTCCAACATCGATACGGACATGATCATCCCCAAACAGTTCCTAAAAACAATCAAAAGAACCGGTCTCGCTTCCGCCCTGTTCTTCGAGTTACGCAACGACGTCTCCACCTCCCCTCCGAGCCCCAAATCAGACTTTGTCCTCAACAAACCGCCCTATGATAAATCCAAGATCCTGGTAACAGGCGAGAATTTCGGATGCGGAAGTTCGAGGGAACACGCCCCCTGGGCCCTCCTGGATTTCGGGATTAAATGCATCATCGCCCCTTCCTTCGCTGACATCTTCTACAACAACACGTTCAAGAATGGGATGTTGCCGCTCGTCCTCCCGCAACACCAAGTCGACACTTTGATGCGTGACGCGGAATCCGGGCGGGAATTGGAGGTGGATTTGGTGAATCAGGTTATCCGCCGCTCCGATGGCAACGGGGAGATACCCTTTGAAGTAGAAGAGTTCCGCAAACACTGCCTCGTCAACGGTCTCGACGATATCGGGTTGACCTTACAGAAGGAGGACGCGATTAGGCAGTTTGAGGAACGGAGGACGGGGAGCTGGCCGTGGTTGGATGGGGTGGCGTATCGGCATAAGGGGGGGGTTGTGAAGGTTGCAAAGGGGGGAAAGATGGGAGGGAAGCAAGGGAAACCGATTGATTGGTAGTGTGTGGGGTATAAGCTTTGTATGGATTCAGGTTCTTTTTTTTCGGGGCTTTGCTTGTATGTATGTATGTATGTATATGTCTTCAACATGGTTTTTATTTCGCAAAACGAGGGTAGGGGGGTTCAACGGCACTCTCGTTCGGAAAAAAAAGACACGGCGAAATAAGTTGAATGTTGGCTAGACTCCACGTCACGTGCGCGGGTCTTTAATCGGTCCCGTCGCCAACGACAACTCCCCAGACTTACCCAGCTTCACTTTGGGAAACCGAAACGACATCATCGTCACCTATCCCATCGCACCTATCCCGCCCTACCCCCTTCTGTCATCACCGTGCCCCTGCGCCCGTCAAGTCGCCTGTCGCAGTCGTCGTCCAGTCCAACCAGCCGGAAAAAGGAAAACCACTGCGATTTCGGGGAGTCTTGGGGTTGGAGATCGAGGTCGACACCACACCATACTCCGTTTTTTTTTTCGGTTGCCTGCGGGGGGCTCGGACAACGGCTGTTATACTTGCAGAGAGAAGGAAGGGGAGAACGAAAAAGAGACGTAGAGCGTTGACCTGAGAGACGCTAGGGGGGAAAAAGATCCCCAGACTTGCTTAACGAAGCCACGCACCACCCTCCAATATCACCGCACGCACACACCCCATAACCACCACGGCACAATGCCCCTCGCCCACCCGCTCAAAATCTGGTCGCTGGCCTCGCACGTCGCCTCGCGGGGTCCGCTCGCGTCCCCGTCACGGCTCGGCACGACCCCGCCCTCTCTCCAACCATACAAACGTCTCCTCCCCACGCTGCTGCACGGCAAACGCATCCACTTTGGCGACAGCATCTCGTCCAAGGGGTCCAACCGCACCCGCCGGGCCTACCTCCCCAACATCATCACGCACGCGCTGTACTCCCGCTCCCTCGACATGCTCGTCCACTGCCGCCTGTCCACCCACGCCCTCAGGGAGATCGACGCCGCCGGCGGCCTCGACGAGTATCTGCTGACCGTGCGCAACGTCTATACGCAGGAGTGCGAGGTCGCCCGCATGTACCAGCGGAGAGTCGCCGAGAAGTGGTATGGCCCCGAGAGGATGGCGGACGGCTTCTGGAAGGAGATCAGAGACCTGGGAGCCAAGGTGTACGGGGACGGTTATGTGGCGAAGGTGAAGGCGGCGGAGAGGGAGTTTGAGCGCGTGGTGAGGAGTCGCGTTAGGGAACGTGAGGGAGTGAAGGCCGCGGATGGAAAGACGTGGAGGGGGGAGAGGGTGTTGCGCATTGCTGAGGGGAAAACGCACGCGGAGAGGTTGAGCTTGGGCCATTAACGGCTGCCGGAAATCCCAACCGGGTTGGATGGTCGATATCAAAAACTCACAGCCCACGACATTACCCCCACCCATCCATCCATCTGCATCCCAAACACCCATATATGTACATAACTTATATTGCCACGCCCCCCGCCCGTCTTACCCGTCCACTCTCATATCATATCACATTCGAATTCTATTCGTTGTCGTTATCCCACCCAGCACCGGCTTCTCTCACTTTTTTTTTGCACTTGACTTGCTTCCTCTCCCTTCTCTCGCTGGCCTATTCACCAAAGCTCGGCGGGGGAGCGGCACATCTTCCCAAAATCAATATCGGTGTTGTCCTTTCGCCCCTCGAGAAGCCACTGCCCCATCGGTCGTGTTACTGCTAATCGTTGTACGTTCGTTTCTGAGGCTGGCTTTGTCGTACATTTGCTCACGGGCTGATTTCTTCACAATGGCGGCAGCGGCAGGGTTTGCATACAAGGGTGTTCTAGAGGTAAACTACTAAGTATGAACGAACATTATGTACAGTATGTACGCGATGTAGAGGATTACGCTCAAAAAGTCGAGACACAGAAGACGCCAAGTCCCTCTCAAACTCAAACGTATCCCATCCAGTCCCACAAGAGTCCAATGTATGTTACAAGGAAAAGGAAAAAAAAAAAAACACGAAAGGAAACCAGAAACAACGCGGAGTCCTAAGACTGGGGGTATATGTATGTATGTCCGAAAGGGGGGGGGTGCGTTGGTAAACTATTAGCGAGAAGTGATGGATCGCAGCTACTTTACCGAATGTGTAAGTAAGGAGAGAAAGAGTCCATCAGCACCCAAAGAGCAACCCCCGCCAGGTCTCTGTCCGGGATTTCCAGTCCCTCTTGGAGAGAACGAATAGTGGGAATAGTTTTGGCGATATCGTAGCAGTGGGAGGGGGCGAGATGATAGATAGATATGTACAGGTCGTGTGGAGTCGAGCGTCCGCCCAATCTAGGGGGTAAGTGATTGAGGTATATTCGGAAGGCGTCGAACCCCGGTGATGTTGGAAGCGTATAATGGAAGCGAGTGAGGATGCCGATGGTGATGGAGGTTGTCATTCTTCTCATTTTTTGATAACCTCAAATTTACCCGTGTTCTCGCTGGACATGGCCCACATGACGGCGAACCCTTCTGCGATACTGGCAAACGGTTGGATGATGATGCCGGCGATGAAGTGGACGGGTACCATGAACCACTTCGTCCCTGCGTCGAGTTCTTGGAAAAGGAGTCCCCACAGGTAAAGCCAGTAGAAGACAGCGAAGCAGAAGTTGGACATAATGACGATCCACAACGGCGTTGGCGCAGCGTCGACGAAGAAGGAGAAGGGGATATTTATCAAGGTTGCGACTAAGCAGAAAATGCCGATCGTCCATAGCTTGATGGCCATTTGTGGCAGGTAGTACATGCCCTCGATCTCCCGAATGCCCATGTACCTATGAAGCGCCATAGAAGAAACAGGCTCAGATGGCGGCATCTCGATGAGCAGTATTGGGAACCGTCCGAGTGTGCTTACCATCTTCTCCGTTGCTTCATAAAGTCACGAAGACTTCCTGGAGATTGCTCACGAACAATTCCATGGATGGCTCCACATGTGAACCCTTTCTGCCAGGCAGCTTGACTGAACTCGAAATCTTCGGCAAGCGTTCCGAAATCCCAGGTGTTCTCGTTCTCGACGTCTCCGTTGGTCATCAGGAAACTTCCGTGCACACCGAATACCGGTCGATTGATCACGGTGAACTGCAGGTTGAACCGTGCCAGATCGTCGCCGACTCGGATACCATCGGCCACGGAGAAAAACCAGTTGTGCCAGTACTTGTAAGCGTCGTACAGAATCACTCCTTGGCCGTAGTCGTGCTGGGTATACCGGATGAAGTCGAAGCACCGACGAAGGGACTCGCCATCAATGGTTGACTCTTCGTCCATGTGCAGGATCCAGTCGTAGGTCGTTAAATTTTGAGAATGACGGAAGTAGTCGAGAGCGCGAGCCTTGTGCTAAGATGGGAATGATATTAGCACCGATTCAACATCAACATTTGACGGCTCAAATTCAAATGTTACCTTGGACATTCCCTTGGGACTCTTGTACTTCAAGGGGCAAACGATGTTGTTGAGATCGGGGTAAGAGTATGGCTCATCCGTCAGGACGAACACGCGAACACTCGGGTGGAGGGCTTCAAGCGGCTTCATGCGGTTGTACCCACGACGCACAGCCGATTCGTTGGAACCTTGAGTGACGATCAGGATGTAGAAGTTGCGGATGTGTTCCCTTGTGACAGGTCGGCGGTCCATGTCCTTCTTGGTCCGGGCGATGCGCGGAGTACTGAAGCCGATGAAGGTAATGATACAGTAGGGAACTGACAAGCACCATCTGTAGTGAAAGCATGAAGGATGACATACTTAGCAAAGGACACAATAGCAACCCGCGGAGGACAAGACTCTGAACTTACAAGCATCTCCAGAGCGAGCCGAAGGTGAGAATGTCGTAGCTCCAGGGACCAATAGGGTTGAACCAGAACCAAAGGAAGGCCAATCCGGGAATTCCCACAAAGTGAACGGGAGCCAAAAAGCTGTTCAAGCGAAGCAACCAAGCGGTACGCATGGCTTCCTTGTCGTTGCTCAGATCTGCGGTCCAGGTGGTGGAGCAGAGATGATCGCGAGGGACTGCTCGGTCGGCGTCTGTCAACTTCGTGCGGTCTCTGACGACTGGTGACCGCCAGTGACGGATGAACCAGTTGAATTTGCGATAACCTGCTGCCGTCGAAGCACTTTTGTTTCTGCCCCAAGCGGCAAGACCACCGGGGATCGACTTGACGAGACGAACCGAACCGACGCCGATCTTCCTAGGAAGCTCGGAGATTCTTGTGGTGCCATTCTCGAACAGCTCGTTCCACATCCACCGCGCGAGCTTCAAACTCCAGTTGTCGACCGTGCGGTAGAAGATCCACGCCAGGAACAACGTGATGAAGAGGCAGATGATGAACGTGAGGATGACGTTGTTCCAGTAGGACCAGCCCTTGGCAGCGAAACTGAGGACCAGACGGGGCATGATCGTGTAGATAACCGTCATCTGAATCACATAAGTTCCAAAGGTGATGTTTCCGAGGAAGACGAAGATCCTTGATGAGAAGAACCATTGAGCGCCAGGAGCGAGCTCGACCCAAGCGATGATACAGACGGCAGAGAGCCAGTGCTTGAACCGCATCTGAGGAAGTCACATGATTAGATTCACTCCGATAGCGGAGGAGAGGGACATCTGAGAAAACACTTACCACTTCAGGCCAAGGGTTAGCCGCACGGGCCCCGCCGTTGTATCCGCCAAGGACACCAGTTGCCGGATTGATGGTGTGGTCCAGGATACCGAACGATGCGTCATCGGCCTTCTCTTGGTCGACGATGAGGAACATGGCAACGACGAGGAAGACCAGTTGGAGGCCGAGAACTATGTACCACGACTTGTCCCGGATTCTTTTGGTGATGTTGCTTGCAGCAAGATCGGCGAGCATAAGACCCAGGACGAAGAGCTACACGAACGGAAGGACATCGATCAGTTCCGAGCACAAGCCTATTTTCAGGATAATTGTCTAAAGGCAAGCTCACCATGTTGGGGCTGTTTGCAAACCAGAACCACAGAGACAAGAAAGCATAGACGATGTAACGACGTCCGTTCATGAGGACCATGAAGGCGGAAAGGATATAGACATAGACGGATCCTAGTATCATAGGTTAGTGAATGTGGATGAAATGCGATACGAGAGACTCTGCCAACGTACCCCAGAACTGGTCGTACATGGACCAAAGAGTACTTCCCAGAGTTCGAATGTAGATGTGGTCCGGATTGCTCAGCTGCGCGAAAAGTCACCGTTAATCTCAAGTTGACATTCACAGTATAGATAGGTTTAGATACTCACCACTTGAATGAAATAAGAAAGGAAGCCCTTAAAGTCGGTGACATTGCACCAGAGCGGGCGGCCGAGACGATCGGTTTCCAGGAACTTTGCTGCTCGCGGAGCTTCGTCGGCATATCCAGCGAGACACACTTGCTGTTGCATGAACGCGAGCACAAAGATGGGCAGGGCCAAACGAATGGTACGACGGAAGATCGCAGACGCGAGGGATCGCCAGCGAACTTTGCCAGTGTTGCGGCCTTTCAGGAACCCGTACGTCAGAACGCGTCCGGAAAGCAGGAAGAAGAGCGAGACGGCAAACTGGCCATCCTTGAGGATGCTCGTAGGCGTTCCCCACTGTAGTACGTCTGGATGCGGGACTTCCCACGTGTTGTCAGAGAAGTGATGGATGAAAATAATGATAGATGCGATCCCACGAAGTCCATCAATCCAGGTAGTACGGTCGACGGGTGGTCGTTTTGGTGCGCCAGCGCCTCCAGCGGTATGCGCTGGTTCCGACTGTCCTTTGAGTGCGGCCTTGTCCAGACCCACGGATCCTATCTTGCCCTCGGAGGGGTTGCGAGGAATGGACGGCAGCGGCTTGACGACTTTGACGGGATGTTGGTGAGAACTGAAAATGGGACGAAAATAAGCGTAAGTTTATACGCCTACTACGCGTGGGAAAGTCGCCTCGAACGTGGGGTAGACGACGACAACGCGCAGCTACTTGCAGCCCGTTGCCCCAACCCCTTCACGGAAAGGCCGTGGGCTTGTCAGCGACACTTACTCAAGAACGATGATTTCCGAAATCTCGCTGTCATCATGCCCGATGTCGGAATCCTCGTCAACTAGTGTAGACTCTTCGTGGTCAGAGCCAACCGCCGACCCCGACGCAATGCCCGCCAGTGGTGTCCATCGGTACGGATTGTGAGAGGAAGACCTTCGGAATTCGTCCGATCCCCTTAGCAGCTCGTGAGCCGTGGCCTGGGAATCGCGGTTGGGATCATGGAGGGAGTCGACGTGGGAATCCCGGACGGAATTTCGATTCGTCGAGTCGCTGACTTCTGACATGTTCATCGTGGCGGATGCGCGTGGTCTTGACCCGATGACGAGCGATGACAAGATGGTCGAGACTGGGCGACGGATGACGGGAGAGGCAGAACGTGTGATTCCCTACAGTTTCTCGGTGACTTCCTGAGATGGGTCGCTTTATATATACTATATATGTCGACGACCACTAACGTCCGTGGGAAAATGAGCCTGCCGAGTGGTGGGCGGTCGGTTCCTGACTGGGTGCAAAGATGGGTATCGGGCGGTTTTATCGCTTGTGTCTCCGAATTTGGAAGGGCCGATGGGCAGGGGAAGTCCCGTTGTGGTTATCGGAGTGACGGGGGAGATATGCGCTTGCTTGCTTGCTTGCTGGCTGGCTGGCTGGCTGGCTGGCTGGTGGCAAGAACAAGAGGATCTGACGCGGTTTTCTCCTATTTGCGAATTGGCGGGAGTCCGAGGGGGTTCCTGGGAAAAAAAGAGAAAGAGACCCAGGGAAAAACGGGGCGTGGGAATATCGAATCAGCGAGGGGTTTTTCTCAGGGGTAACGGGGGGTAAAAAGACGAACACAGATCCTCCTTCCTCGCCGCATCCATCGCATCGCTGCATGCAACACTCACCTGCAAAGAACTACTGTATCACGCTTTGGGTAACGAGACCTCGACACAGGATGTCTGAGGAAGATCCTACGTAGGTGGGACGTAAGTATGTACTATGTTACGCAGGGGGACCGACGGCGAAATATGTATTCTATGAGGTGGGTAGTAGCGCAATCGTATGGCAGCGTGCGCTGTGTCTCGCCCGGCTTGTGAGGCGCTGAGAGAAAAAAGGGGTATTTGCGATGTTGAACAGGTATGTGCAATTCTAGTACTACAACGCGTAGGACGACGGCGTCATGGCCCAGAACAGTGAGGTGAGAGTGGAAATTGAAAAGCCGCGTGGAAGTTGCGTCTTCAGAATGGGCGATGAGGTAGTGGACTGGTCAAACGGATTTGGGGCAACTTGGGGGTATCTTGGGAAAGCGAGAGCGGGGGGCATCGGAACGTTCAGGTGTGGGTTATATATAGTCAGAGAGGTGGCCATGGGCACCCGTTAAAAAGCCACCCTCTGTGGTAGCACACCCAGGTGTGAACGGGTAAAGCTTTCCTAACCTGCATGCGTGCATTACTGGTCATCGACTGAAATCAGCTTTGGATCAAAGGTCGGTTGCAGCGAGCATCGTGCTTCACCGTTCACAAACAGATAGGTGGGAGATGTCTAGGGGGCCAACGTTACCGCCAACGTTGTTGGTTGACTCCTTCTCCGCCAAGCTCAGATCGCGGCCTTTACATCAGGATTATATGTCTCACATAGATTCTCTAATACGAGGTTCACTGATATCACTCTCTCCATTTGCCACCTGATTCCTCATGATGGGCGCTGCGAGCCGTCGATCGTCCGTCGTGTTCATGTGAGCACTGAGCTCACCCACCGCTCGTGCTCGGCTCAAGGTGACTCGGACTGCACCGTCCCTTCGCCTCGTCATTCCGCGCAAAAAAAAGGCATCAAACATAGGGCTCATCTACAGGCGGCACACTCCGCCTCGTGCGGCGACCAGATATGCGCAATCCGCCATCGCAATATATCCAAATCAACGCCAAACCCGCCGCGCACGCAGGCGATAGCCCTCTCCCATATCAATTGTAACACCGTGCCAAAATCCTCGGACTCCGGGTGAGCACACAGATTGGCAAGTCCCTTCATAACTTCCCTTTGAACATCGACGCACGGCGACGCGACGGAAGATAGTCGTCATCCATCGCAGTCAGGAATATGAACCCGAGGCCCGGTTCGTAGTGGAAGGTGGTGGGGTGGTACGTGTACAACTCGGAATGCGGAATGCTGGGTGGGAATCATCTGCGAATCATTGGGTTGCTGCGCATATGTATGCGGTGCGTTCACTGCTTTGCGAGTGACTCGCTAAGCTTGATATTGCGAGTCTGCAAACGCAGCGTGGCTGCGTACGACGATGAATCATAAGGTCCCGAATTTTTGTGGCGTTCGGAGGAGGGATGAGAGCGAGCTTTTGTTCCCCGCATGTGCATTCGCATTCGAATGTCTGCTTGGTGGACTTCCTGGCACAGGTTTCCGACTTCGGAAGGTCTCTGCGGCATCAGTTCTTGGAGAGAGTCCGACTTCCTTGACTGCAAAGACGAGATGCTGCTGCCTCAGGCTTGTATATACACATGTACGATTTTCAAAACTTGACATGCCAGTGGAAACAGTCCGTCCGTTGGTGGCAATCTGGCGACCGAGGTTCCGAGGAGAGATCTTCCAAATCGGTGCTCAGGTAAGCCGACGCGTCTTTCCACGTCATTTGTGGCCGGGGGCGTTGGAAGGTCCTTCCTTCCGAGTTGGAGGCATACAAACGAGGCTCTGAACTTCTGAAGCAGGACTCATCATAGAACGGCTCACCGCATCGGCCGCTGCGCCAGGCGTCTTGAAAAAAAGGGCCTCTACATAGGCTCTCATCAGGGGGAAGGGCTTGACCCAGGGCTTGGCCGGGCCTGTTGATTCAATCTCGTATAAAATCAGCCTGTGAGGTTCTTCGTAGACTCGGACGGGCTCGGAGCGTCAAGACCCCTCCTCACATCGTTCTCGAGGTACCCCGCTCTGAAGTCAGGAACGCAGACACCACAGCGCATGGGAAGGACGGTCAAGAAGTTGTTGCGCAATGTGTGCCACCTCTGGGTTATACGTTGTTCTGCGTACATATTACAGTGAAATTGTGTGCCAACAGGAGGTCGGATCCACCACTATATGTGGAAAGGCACATCTAGCGGACTGGCAGGGGTGGAGGTCGAGCGGGATGGGGCAAAGGACCCAAGGTACAGTACACAGGCACAGTCGTCGTGCCGCCGGACTTCATCCCCATAGGATTGCACTGCGCAGTGCCATATGCCTTCATTGCCATGAGATTACATACAGAGCTGCGTCGGATTCTTCGTCGACTTGGAGAGGCTAGGAGGGGGGGAGTCCCGCGGGTCCTGAATCCGCCGACCACTTGTGGAGAATTCATAAGCACAGACAGCACACTACAAGGGGAAGGACCGTTACGAGGTCGAGCCATGTCAAAGGAGTCGCGCAATGCCAACGAGCTTCGGCGCAGAAACAGCCCCCGGCCCGGATCCGCCAACTGCATGTGCGAAGGGCCGAAGCACATCGAGGAGGAGAGCGGGTCCGGGATGGTTAGATTGCCCGCGCATCGTAGTGCTCGTAGTGTTTATGTACACAGACCTCGTGCTGCCGCCCTTAATGAATCATGATCCATTGCCAATGGAGCTGGAGTGCCATAGGTTAACACCTCGTTGCCACGAGCTTGGGTGTTCCGGATTAGGCGAATGCGCTGGGCGGATGCCCGAAGGATGGTCCTCACTGAGTTTGGCACTCTCTCCCGTGCTGGATGAGCGAGCAAGCCCGGAAAGCGCCGTGTTCGTTTGTTGACAACACCCTGAACGCGTGGCTCACTAGTGTTTCGAGGAGCGAAAACATTCCACTTACAACCCCTTGCACACTACATGAATCCTGTGGCTTACGAGCGGTATTTAAACGGCGTTGGCCTCGCCGTCGATTCCCCTTTAAATTAAACGAAGACGACGGAAATTCGTTGGTAGCTTATCAGTCCCTCGGATTGACAACCGCGCCCACTAAGAGAGATACCATCGCCTCGAATAGCTCGTTCGTTATGATCCGCGGGTTGCTGTCGTCGTGGTTTGCAAGTTCAACGAGTGCGCTGTGCATCAGTTCCAGGCTCAGCGCGCACGAACCAACCACCCAGCACACCGATGCATGACATGCACTCGAGCAAGGTTCTGTTCATAGAAGGTTGACCGAAACGCGCTCAGAGGTGGTCCTTGTACTGTACAGTGATTTGCTGGCGTCCAAATTGTCCAAACGAGAAGAAACATTACAGTTTCGCAAGTCCATCCCGGTCTGCTTTGCTGATGTTTTTCTCGCCGAACCCTGGAGATGACCCTGGCACAGCCGCTGCCGTTGATACAGGTAACGAGGATGAGAGTTGGAGGAAGTTCGGTCATTTGGACGCGTGCGACACACGCCGCCCCATTGCATAAGCGAGGGTGAGAAATCGCAGTCACGGGATTCTACCGCTTTTTATTTGGCATGTCCTCCGCTTCTCCGGGATTTGCAATGAGTCTGACGAGTCAAGAGGGTAGTCATCCCTGGAACAATTGTTGTGTGACAATCATGGCCTTCCCTGGTTTTGGGCGCACTTGGATTCTTCATTGCCTCAGAATGCAACCTGCGGTAACCTACCCGGAATCGCGGAGGGGGATAATGCAATGACGTCGGCGTGACGCGCATGGGCGCCTTGTGAGTCGTGACGAGGCGCAATGTGACGGGAGACAGTGGGAGTGTGATGGGAGACCAAACGAAAAACTCAGAAAGCGTTTTCTCGCCGTGAAGATGCCCTTGTTGGCCAGTGGCCTCTGCGAGAGACCTTGAAAAATTCTCACCTCCGTCCCTCACGCAACGCAGCGATGACGACGATGTACCAAAGAAAGAAGGGACAAGGAACAAGCCCATCCCACCACCCGTCGCTCGCCCACTCGCTCTCCCCCCCCCCCCACAGGTCGTTGGTGTGAAATAGTAGATCACCACCACGTCCCCTGGGATACAGCAGCAGCATCGCTCGATTGGATTAGTATTTGGACGATCGCCTGGAAAGCGGCTGCCCAATCGCCCAAGAAACCAGGAACAAGAAGGACTCCCAGCCGGGCGCATTTTCCTTCCGCAATCCAACTCAAATATCCATCTCAGATACCCTTCGCCGCGACCAAAATATCTTCGATCCTTGGTAGTGACTGCGTCGGTGGCCATCTCAAAAAGACAGACAGCTTGCAGCCCGTTGAATATTCCGCCGTCCTCCCACACCGATTTCCTGCCCGCAAAGCGTCGTGTGTTTGTTCCTCGTGCGAGCTCGAAGGGACCTCTTCCACCTCTCCGCCGTTCCGAGTTGTCTTTGCTTGTTGCGGTTTCAAAATCCGATTCCAATCCCTCAATACCTACAATACCGCAAAACGGATCCGTCCGAGAAGAACGTTTCCTGTATTGATCTCAGTCAGTGCGGATGGCTCGCACTTCTTCGTTGAACGTAACCTCCTCGGCAAACGCCATCCGTCGTCTACCGACAAGACTTTATCTCGTTCGTAAGACCTAGCAGAGGACACCAAGGTGCTTTGACAGCCTCAGTCTTCCGGTACGTGATTACAGACTATCTAGGGTCGTCAGGTCGTCCCGTCCCCTATTGTCCGCCGCCTTAACATGCGCTGACACTTCGATGCTCCCCTGCTCATAGGTCTTGCGCAAATTCACCTGACTATCCACTTACCATGATAACAACACTTCCACTCGGACTCCCTTCGATCGTCGTGATGCCTTTGATACAGCAATTCACCGATTCGTCCACCTTCCTATATATCGCGCAAGCGGTATTTATATTGATCGCAGTTGTTGAAACGATACGGCGAAGGAGAGCAGAGGCGATCGCCGACAAATACCGTCGACGCATAAAAACCCTCCACGTCGCATGCGACAGCAAAGACGACGAGAATCGTGCATTGCGAGATGCTAATGAGCATCTGCAGGAAAAAGCGAAGGACTTGCATACCACGGCGGAGAAAGCCAACGGCGCTGCGAAGCGCCACGCCTCCCTGCTGAGTACCATCAGCCATGAAATAAGAACACCTCTCAATGGCATCATTGGCCTTGGAGGGTTACTGGCGGATACGCCGCTCAACCTAGATCAACAGGATCTCCTCCACTCCCTCCGCGAATGCTCCGACGGTCTGCTGCTGATCGTCAACGACGTGTTGGATTTCAGCAAGATTGATGCGGGGAAATTAGACTTGGAGTTCAAGCCGTTTGATCTCATCGGATGCCTGCAGAGTGCGTGTCATTTGATGGACTTCAATGCGTCACCGAAGGGGATACAGTTGACGCAGAGGGTTGCTGAGGGAACGCCACGATTTGTCATGGGCGATGTTCACCGCTTACGCCAGGTCCTGCATAATGTGCTGGGGAACGCTGTCAAGTTCACCGACCATGGGACAGTGGATGTGCGGGTGAAGGGAGAGGAGGCAAAGGCGCAGGATGGGAGCGACGCTGTGCGGATAACCTTTGAAGTCGAAGGTATGGACAGCCGTGTGATCTCTATACCGTTGGACGAGCTGTGTCCTAAACGATATCTTCTCTCCTAACAGACTCGGGCATCGGGATACCAGAGGACGCCATCGGCCGCCTCTTCCAATCATTCTTCCGGAGTAACAACTCCGGCAGTTACGGCGGCACCGGTCTCGGCCTCGCCATCTCCAAACGCCTCGTCGAGCTCATGGACCCCAACCAAGGGCGCATGTGGGCCACGAGCACACTCGGCAAAGGATCGACCTTCTACATCTCCATGGTCTTCAAAGCATGCAACCCGGCAGACGCCATGGGGAGGGGTCTGTCAGGCGCGGATGGTCTGGAGTGGATAGACAGGCACCACCGGGAGTCGCCGCCGATTGCGCCGGCCGCTGACGATGGATCTGATCGGCCATTGTTGTTGGCGGAGAAGGTCCCGTTGCAGATTTTGGTTGCGGAGGACAATGTTGTGAATCAGAAGCTGGCGTTGAGGTTGTTGAAGAAATTGGGATACCATGACGATCAGGTTACGTTGGTGGAGGATGGGCAGCAGGCGATTAATGCCGTTCTGGAGAGGGCGTATGATATCGTGCTCATGGATGTGCAGATGTGAGTAGGCTACGATTGGAGGTTTCTGTGGTCGTTGATGTCTTGCTGACTATGACTTTATTTTAGGCCAAATGTTTCTGGGATCGAAGCAACAAAGGTCATCCGGTCCGACCCATCCATTCAACAGCGTGAGATTGCACCTGTGATCCTCGCACTCACGGCCAACGCAATGGAAGCCGACCGCCAAAAATGCCTAACAGCAGGAATGAACGGGCACATCGCGAAACCGGTCAAACTGGAAACCCTCTCTAAAATGATCGAAGCCCACGGCAGCGAAATCCTCCAACGCAAAGCCGAGCTCGCATCCCCCATCCAAGACTTCAACCACGGCGACTGCATGTCCGACGTCGGGCCCGGTAGCGTCGTCGACGGCATCGCCCACCTCCCCGCCACGCCCTGCCGCTCAATCACCGCCGCAAATCTAGCCACCTACCACCCGCCGCTCCTCTACCACCCCCTCCCCATCCATCCGCACAACGCCACCCGCGCAGCACCACCCCACGCCGACAACATATGCGACAGCCCACTAGTCTCCGCCAGCAGCCGCAGCTCCTCCTCCGCTTCTCTCAAGAGAAACTTTGTCTCCTGCGGCAAATCCCGCTCACCCGTCCCCACCGGCCCCCTCGGCAGCCTCAATGTTGCCACCGTCCCGGTCCCGGAATACGGCGAGTATCCCTACTCCCCCATGTCCGGCCGCCACGCCCGCTCAGCAAGCTCCGACCCCGTCGCCTCCCTCCTCTCCAAATCCACGTCCTCATCCCCACCGCCCTCGCCGACGCTGCGCCCAACGCTTCAGATACGACACCGCTCATCCTCACCCACAGCGCAGACATTGAGACGATCGGCGTCCCTGACTCGCTCCAACTCGAGAGGACACGGTGGCCTCTCACCAGCGGCGAGCGCGAAATTGGCGCACTATGCGGCTGCGGCGGGGTGTAATGGACGGATCACCCCACCTGCCGCCGTGGTCCATACACCCGCCTTGACCCCGTCCCCGACCCCGCCATAACCTCCACTGCGGCGACGCGCACCCGTCCCATCATGAACTGTCAAACCATCACTCATGGTTTTAACACCCCCTTTTGGCGAAAACATCCCGTGCTGGCTCACTCAGGTTCTGCAATATGTGTATATGTACATTCCCACATCCCACTCCCTCGACACTATTCGTCATTGTATATTATCATCCACGCCGGCCGTCCGCGGCCTCTATTCCCCATACCCACCCCCCCTCACTCAAAATACACGCCACACACACACACACTTGAAGCTGTGATCAACAGCGATTTTTGGGTCCTAATGATAGATAATTTTATGCTCTATCTATGCAATGGGATTCAGATCATGGGAGTTGATGAATCGATTAGTATTGGACTTATACCATTTTTGGGTGGTGGGAGTATCTATACCGTACAAGAGGTTGACGCTGCTTTTCTAGCTTGTTCACGGGCCGGTTGACCGCGCACGAACGACACGTAACAGTGACTCCATTGGGGGCCAGAGGCACGCGGCGAATGTATATGTATAGCGTGTTTCGCGTGTTCAAAAGACCAACGCGTTCACCGGCCGATTATGGTGTAGCTGTCGCGATGTCAACCGGGTCGTGCCGCAGTTGGGTCGTCGTCGCAGTTATGCAGGTCGATGCGCGTGAGGTCCGGGGGCATTGACGAGCAGATCGGCGAGGTCTGGGTTGGATGATGGTCTCGTGGAGAACGACGGCGTTGACGGGGTCATTGGCGTTGATGTCAGCGAGCAAGGCTACTATAGTCCCAAGAGTCGGTCGAGGGGAGGGGAGGGTTGCGGTACCGGTCATTCTGGATTGCTGTGAATGAGAACTGTTGGAGGCTAGATGCGGAGCTAGATCCTCAGTGTTTGATTCTTTGTGGCGGGTGGCGGGGTTGGTTGAAGGTAGCAAACCCATCTTTTCCGGTTGTTTTCTCTCTGAGGGTTTTCGAGAGGTAGTCTCCCCCCCCCCCCTCCCCCCCCCCTGCATTCGGCCACGCAGGCCCAGCCCGTCGGCCTCCTTCATCCATAAGTACTGTTCCTCGCGTAGTTTGGCCGCATCTGCGCACTTCCCATTCAAACATCGAGAAATAGTATCGTTAGCTCCCGCGTTCAAAAGCATGTGGTTCAGCGTCAGTGCGGGATCCGACTCAGCATGAAAACGGAATATATATCGTATGGAGAGATCGCCTGCTGAATCTTCAGGAGTTCCGATTGTCTCCGTACCGACGTCGGTCCACGCGTCGACGGGCCCGAACACCATCGCAAGGCGACTACGAACGGTCGTGAGCTGCTGCCAGTTGAATGTGGTGGATCAGGGTATTGAAAGTCAGGCTAGCCACGCACGCGTATCTTCCTTGGTTCCATAGCGATGGATGTCCTCCTAGCATCTGCCGAAACATGCCATCAGCGAGATTTCTTCGGATTTCAGTGCGTCTTCGAGATTTCTTCGAGATTTCTGCGAGATTTCAGCGAGTCCAGTCCGTCGCGTCCCAAGATCGCTATTGAGAGTATGTGCGCCTCTCGATTTATCCAATACTTCATCGGCGAACGTTCCCGATGGCCGCGACAATCGCGAAACTATGTTATCCAGCCCCCTTCATTCTGGGTGCTCGTTGTTCTCTGCCAAAGTTTGTGAAACTGGATGGATGGTTTTGATCCCGGAAGTGGGTGGTGGTGGTCCCAAGCAGCTTCGGCCAAGCGTAGTCTTTGCTGCACGGTTCGGACCCCTTACAGTACATCCAAAGGATGTCCCATCCGTTTTCGAAGGTGCTCCGGGTGAAATACGTTGCAGTTTGGGTGCTAGTGTCGGTAGCCAGCTTTGTCGGTAGCCAGCTTCAAAACATGCCCCGCTGACTTTGCGAACGCAGGGTCTCAGGGTGCGGTAGCGATAGGTGTGGCGAGCATTCTCGTGCAAAACCGAATTTGTGGCAGCAGACCTGGGTCGACGGGGTGGTCTTGTCGGTCAATTTATGAGTCCGGTCGCATCCCAGCCTCCGACTCTGTTTGGTGTTGTATGCAGCTTTTAAGGTCATCCTTGCGTGACGCTTTCATATCGCTATCGCATTGTGATCGCATTGCAGGGGGATCCCACTTTGAAATTTCGCTCCTCTTCAGAAGGCACCCTCTTTCGCGAGAGTTTGGTCCCGATTTGCGCCGCATCTATTCATATGGACCTACGGGGAAAGAACCTTCTTCCCAAACAACAGTTTGCTCGTCCTCTCCTTTGCGACGCAATCAGGCGAAGGCCAGGCTGGGACGTTGCTTCTGCTCAGCTCTTCCCATCTCCTCTTGGCTCCTTCTGTCGTTCTTGCCGATCGCAACACCGCCAGCAAAGATGAGGACATCACGGCCCGTCATCCCCGACTCACCCCCAAATATTCGAACGGCACGGCTGCTACTCCGACCAGTTCAGGAGTCTGACTTGGATGACTACTATGACATGCGTTCGAACCGCGCAGTCATGCTAAACTCCTTCTCCGGTCTGGTCGACCCAGACCGAGAAGCGACGTCGAAGTATATTCAAAAGTTCCTGCCACCAAGGCACGAGAACTATGCGTTCTCCATATTTGCGTTGGAAGGGGTGTCCGACACGCAGGACAGTGGCATGCGCTTCGTCGGGAACGTCGGGTTTTACAAGCTAGATAAACCGTCGGTCGGATATATGATCCGTCAAGAGGACTGGGGCAAAGGGTACGCAACAGAGGCCCTCCGCGGTCTTCTCGAGCATTATTGGACGTTGGAGCGAAAGACAATCGAGGTCGAAGACGATACGCATGAATACAGGCAGTATCAGACGATCGAGCTGGATGGGATCGTCAGGGAGGGTTTAAGGGCCATGATTGAAGTGAAGAATACGGGGAGTAAACGGGTTCTGGAGAAGTGTGGATTTAGGCTGATAGAGGGCAAAGAGTGGATCCCCGAACCTGATCATCGGGGACCGGAGAAGCTCATTTGGTATTATGTTGAACGCCCGCTGCGGGAGCCTTAGTGATGCACCTGCGTTTTCCTGCAGGATGTGTACGATGTAGTAAGCTTCATCTCCAGTGTTCCTATCCTCTTCGCACCCCAGATGGCACTTGGCGTGTCCCGAGGGACCGCAGTCGAGGACAATGTTGAGGTGCACGGCGGGTCTATGTAGGGCGGTTAATTTGCGGATGTTAAAGATTGTGTGGGACAGAAACAGCCATTTGAAGAACAAATAATCGCCCTCCTTCGATCCGTTGATGAGCCACTTGGGTGCCCCGGTTGGATACCCGTCCGCTCCACACGTCATCCCGCAAGACCATGCTATCGCCGTCTGCATAGCTTCAAGATGATGCTGGTACGTGGAGACAATGTCGTTGATGCAACCTGAAAAATAGAGAAACAGAAGAATGATTCGTTGGATGATGGCATTATTAAGCGGTTGGATGGTTGGCTGCCGCTCGCCGTAAAGACGATCGATCGCAGCCGCTCCTCCTGGTCGCTTCGCTCGCTACAGTCCAGCTGCAAAGGATGTCGAGAGGGGTCGAGGCTTTTGTTCGCCGCCGACATAAAAAGCCAAGCGGATCTTGCTTGCCAACTGTTCTCCATAACCGAATGGACATGAAGCTGGTGCAAGGAAGTTCGCGGCCGTTTGCGGGCCCGTCGCACAGCCGTTGCTCCGTGGGATATCCCCTTTGCGCTTTGGTATAGTATTCATGTCTTCATAATCACAACGGCTGTAGGCCAACGGTATTGGGCACCCAGAGCCGTTTCGCTTTTAGTTAACGAAAATTCGTCTACTATTCCTCCTTCTCCAACATAGATCGTCGGAGTAGCTTATTGCTGTCATTTCGAACTACGCCAAATCGCCAACGACAGCAATAAGCTACTCCGACGATTTAATAAGGGTTACGATCCTGACGACTCGACAAACGACGGAGTCGGCTTTCAAGAGTCGCTCCCCTGCCAGGTTCGACTGGCACAGCGTCCGTGAGGGCAATCATTTCTGCGGGAGTTAATGGTGTGCCGATTTCTTTGCTACCACCACCGTTGACGATGAGGACGAGGTCCTGGTCCTCAACTCTCAGCTCCTCCACAAAGCCGGTGCCTAGTTCTTGCGGAATAAGAGAGTTGTTCGCGGTTGTCCAAAAGGTGTGAGTCAACAAGTCCCGGCCCCATTGGACGGGAAGCAGGTGTGGCCGTCCGTGGTGGTCCTCAACAGTCAACGCATGTGTTTGCTGCAGAAAAGGCCGGGCATTAGGAGATATGTACCGTGAGTAACCAAATAGTGGAGAGATACAGTACCCATTTTCGGCCTTTCGTCCGCGCATTCCGTATGACCCCATTGAAGACCTCGATCTCAAAAGCTTCCCCAGATTCCCCTTTCAGCAGCCCTCCGGGGCTCAGATACGGCTTGAGCGTAGTGACGGGGTTCCCGTTCTCATCTGTGGTAGGGATGTTGTTTTTATCTACGACCGGGGTCACGTTCATCTGGTTGTTGAAGCTAATCCTGAAAAAAAAAATCCGAGACGGGTTTAGCTACGTACTACCAGTTGGGAACACTGTGCTACCTCGCTACTCCTGCGGTTCGCACGTTCAGCTCACTCTCTCTCCCTCCAGATAGGAAGGCGAGCCACTGTGTACTTACTTCATCATCAGAACGTGTGCCACTGCATGCCACAACTTGATGGCAAGCAGGACCGCAAGCCATATCCGTCGGGTCTGATCCGTAGCAGGCACGTTCTGGCACTCCTTGAAAAGGTAACCGCCAATTGCCACTTGACACGGGCCGTCCATTCGCAGATGCGTTTCCATGAACTTATCCGGCGACATTGAGTTCAACACACAGAAGTGGGCATGTGTGCCAGAACATGTGCTCGGATTGCTAAGACTGGGGGCCAGCCTCTGCTCAGCGGGAAAAGATGGAGTGAGCTTTAAATTCCTGCCCCTTTCTCAACTTGTCAGCAGCGCGTTGAACTCACCTCAATATGGGCTTTGTTGGGGTGCCAGGTTTCGTCGGGTTTGCCACCGGAACGCAATGTGGCTTAAGGGCCTCAATGACCCTGTCATCCAAGAACATTTGGTTGAACAGGGGCGGAGCAGCCAAATCTGGTAAGCCGAAGGTGTGGACGCTTGGAAGGCCCAAAAATAGGAGAGTGTCTAAGAGAGTGACGGTAATGCGACAGCGCGTCTCCTGTCAGTACAGCAGTTGCCAGGAAGAGGGGTCAGTGACTTCCATGGTGCAACATAATAACCCACTACCCCTTCTGCGCAACTGCTCTTTTGGCCACCCACTGTAGACTTGTAAGATATACTGTACAGATATACTGTATGTACTGTACAGCGTCGCCCACATTATTGAAGTGCGGCGAAAGCGATTCGCAGGAGTCCCCTGAGAAATATCCAGATGGTAGATATGGATATCAAAGGTTTTGCACGCTTTCTTAACAGTCCTTCACGCCCCCTGCAGCAATCCGTCCAATCGTATCTACGCCAGTCAAGGACAAGGACAAGTCAGCGGAACTTCCTAAGGTCTTCAACAGATCATTCACTCCGCCGCTTTCGGTTGCGAGCGACCAGGTCTATCGGTCAAACACCGCCTACCCAGACGTTCTTTGCGAGGCTCATCAGGCAGTGAGACTCGGAGTGAGATTGTGTTCCTGCCATCATCTTCAGGCATCAAAGGCATTCCACACGTGTTCGCGGGAGTTGCAAGAACTTGCAAGAGGAGCTTCTCCGGTACGCAGCCCCATTGCAGTGCAACAATGAGCGACAACACTCCCACCGCAGACACCGACGAGCCTGCACCTGCTGAACCCGCCACTCCCAGCACTGGAGGCGCCTCCGCCGAGCGGCCCAGGCCCCTGAAGCGTAACCCTGACTATCCCGCGCTCGTCCTCTCGCTCTCCCGGACATTCCGTGCTGTAAGTCCTCTATCAATCAACTCACAACGCAATCCCAAGTCAGACTAAACAACGCCTTCCCTCCTCCAGAAAGGAACAGCAAGCTTCCACTCCTTCAAAACCCTCTGGTCCACCCTTCTCCCCAACCCATCCACCCTCCCCCCCAAATCCATCCTCGCCCTCTACTCCGCCGCCCAACACCCCCAAGTCAACACCCTCACCCGCCTCTACACCCTCTACTACACCTACTACAACAGCAAGCTCGACGACAAGCGCCTGCAGTATTCCCGTATCCCTGAGAAGCGGGGCCATGTGCATGTCCGCCTCACGCCCGAGGCGTATGCGGACCTGCATGCGTTTTATGAGGGATGTGCGAGGAGGAAGATGACGGAGCCGGTCTATATGTGGAATCGGATGAGGGGGGAGAGTGCGGTTTGGGTTGTGCCGTTTGTGTTTGTGGAGGGGGTGAAGGAAGGGGAGAGGGAGGGGGCGAAGTTTGGGCGGGGAAGGGAAAAGAAGGGACGTGGGAAGCTTGCTGCTACGGATCAGCAATTGAAAGAGCTGGGCGGTATTGCGCAAGGATATGCTCAGCCGTTGTTGTCTGCGGAACGAGCCTCAAAGCTTACTCAACTCCTCGATCAATACGAGTCTGCCAAGTCCGGTTTACCAAATCTGCCGACGACAACACCATTATCCCAGGGTATCAAAGTCAAATCAACCCTCAAAGACTCAACCTCAGAACCAGCAACAGTTCTATGGCACCTGGAAGAAGCCGAGAGGAACCGGGCCGCCATGCTGACAACAATGATGCTGGACGACGATTTTGAGGATGCTGAGGGGAGTGGATCAGGAAGCGGCTCTGAGGAGGACGATGATCGAGGGGACAACATTCACCCACGGAAGAGGCTGCGGAAGGGGGCAGGGGGTTGAAAACACGGAGTGGCAAATGTAGGTACCTTTCAATGATAGGATAGCAGTATTAGAGCAATTTCTTTGGGATGAAGTGTGGACTCGGATGTAGATGGAGGCAGTCGGAGAGCGCGATGTACATAGATAGATACCCGGAAAATAGCAATCACATCCATCGGAAGCTGGAAACTTCAAAACCCGTCCTACATCAATCCGGTAGCTCCTCTTGTGTAAACGCAGTTCGTCCTGGGCAAGTTTGCCGTTACGGGAATCGTCTGCGAAACCCCTGTAGGAGGCAGCCTACTCCTTGAAGCGGAAAGCCCAATTCATGTATATAGGTACGCCGTGTCTACGCCGCTCTGTGTGTGTGTATGTTAGGGCCGAGGGGAAGATGTCCGAATGATAAAGCGCGCTCGTTTCTTCCCCTTCGCTGCTTTCCAACTTTTCGCTCTCTCAGCAAACACCCCCAAAACAGACATCCGCAGCTACCCACACCCTTCCTCCATAACAGCAACCCCTCTTCAGTTCCGAACTCGCAACTGCTATAGCTCTGTTCCCTCATCTTTACCGGTTCTGATCGCCACTTTCCGCTTCGCTCAACGACACGTTCATTCCGCTCCGCGCAAAGCAGTCACTCACAAAATGGACGTTGACGCCGACAACGGTTCCGTGTCCGTAATAGACAACGACTCCGTATCGGCCATGGACATTGACGACGACCAGCTTCCAGGTTCCGTCAGCATGTCCACAGCAGCCAGCGACGATGGCCAACAAGACGACGACGAGAATGGCACCAAGAAGAAACCGGAACCCATAAAAGTCGTCCGCTTAGCCCCCGCTGAGCTCGCACGGCGCAAAGCAGGCTTCGCAAAGGACTCGGAAGAGTTGCGGCGGCGGAAGGCCCGCGATCAGCAGAAGCGTTACGCGTACCTTATGGGCCAGACGGAGATCTTTTCCCATTTCATCAACATCTCTAAAATGAAGGGGGCGGATGTCACGGCGCTTGAGGAAGCTACCGATGCCGAAAAGGCCAAGACAAACTCCAAGGATGGGTCACGGAGGCATCGGAAGACGGAAAAGGAGGAAGATGAAGAACTGCTGCACGATGAGATGGAGGAAGAGGAGACGGCGACGTACACGTTTGATGATTCGCCTTCGTATGTCAAGCATGCGCCTATGAGGGATTACCAGGTCCAAGGGCTCAACTGGCTCATATCCCTGTTCGAAAACGGTATCAACGGGATCCTTGCCGACGAGATGGGACTGGGAAAGACGCTGCAGTCCATATCGTTCCTCGGATACCTCAAACACTACCAGTCGATAGACGGGCCGCATCTCGTCATTGTGCCCAAGTCGACGCTGCATAATTGGGTGAAGGAGTTTGAGCGCTGGTGTCCGAGTCTGAACGTGTTTATGTTCCACGGCAGCAAACCCGATCGCCAGCACCTGGTTCAAGACAAACTCCTCGCGCAAGACTTTGAGGTGTGCGTCACGTCGTACGAGATGTGTCTCCTCGAGAAAGCGGCATTCAGGAAGCTGGCGTGGCAGTACATCGTCATCGACGAAGCCCACCGTATCAAGAACGAGAACTCGGCCCTCTCTCAGATCGTGCGCGAGTTCCAGTGCAGGAACAGGCTGCTACTCACCGGCACCCCGCTGCAGAACAACCTCCACGAGCTGTGGGCGCTGCTCAACTTCCTCCTTCCCGATATCTTCAGTTCCTCCGAGGATTTTGACAAGTGGTTCGAAGCGCAAGGCGGCGACCAGAACAAGGTCGTCACGCAACTTCACAAAGTTCTTCGCCCATTCCTCCTCCGTCGCATCAAAGCCGACGTGGAAAAGTCGCTGCTGCCAAAGAAACGCCTCAACATCTATGTCGGCATGTCCGTCATGCAGCGCAAATGGTATCAACGTCTCCTGGAAAAAGATATCGACGCCGTCAACAACGCGCTAGGCGAAAAATCGACCAAGGCCCGCGCGACTCGTTTACAGAACATTGTCATGCAGCTCCGTAAATGCTGCAACCACCCATACCTCTTTGACGGCGCCGAACCTGGGCCACCATATACCACCGACGAGCATATTGTCGAAAACGCCGGAAAGATGGTCGTACTGGACAGGCTGCTCACGCGGTCCAAAGCCAGCGGATCCCGCGTCCTGCTCTTCAGCCAGATGAGCCGCATGCTCGACATTTTGGAAGACTACTGCATCTTCCGCGGCTACGAGTACTGCCGTATCGACGGAAACACCCCGCACGAGGACCGTGTAGCCAGCATCGACGAGTACAACAAACCTGACAGCAGCAAATTCATCTTCCTGCTCACGACCCGGGCCGGTGGACTCGGCATCAACCTCGCTACCGCCGACCACGTCGTCATGTACGACAGCGACTGGAACCCGCAAGTCGATCTACAGGCCGAGGACCGCGCGCACCGTATCGGCCAGAAAAAGCAGGTCTATATCTTCCGCTTCATCACTGAGAACGCCGTTGAGGAAAAAGTCATCGACAGAGCTACTCAGAAGTTACGCCTTGATCAGCTGGTTATCCAGCAAGGCCGTGCTGCCCCGCAGACCAAATCGGCGTCTAAGGACGAGCTGTTGTCGATGATCCAGCACGGCGCGCAGGATATCTTCAAGTCGACTGACAGTACTATCAAGACTGGCGAAGATATCGAAGACCTGCTCCGCCGCTCGGAGCAGAAAACGGCTGAGCTCGACTCCAAATATGCCAACATGGGCTTGGACGATCTGCAAAAGTTCAGCGTGGCGGGTGGCGGCAGCGTGTACGAGTGGGAAGGCTCGGATTTCCGCAACAACAACAACAAACCAGGCGGCGGCGGCGGTTTCGGGTGGATCGGCCCCGCGAAAAGAGAACGCAAATCGGTCCTACAGTCGTACTCCGAGCAGGAATACTACAAGGGCATGCTGCAAACCGGCGGCCGGACCTCTAAAGAAAAAGCTCCCAAACCTCCCAAGATCGCCAATATCCAGGATTTCCAGTTCTACCCCACCCGTCTTCGGGACCTCCAAGAACGCGAGATCCTCGCCTTCCGCCGCGAAATAAACTACAAAGTCCGCCCCGATGACATCGACGACGGCCCCACCACCTCCGAAGACGCCGACGATGCGGCCAGCAACATCGACCTCGTCGTCCGCGTCGCAGAGGAACAAGCCCGCATCGACGCCGCCACGCCCTTAACGCCCACCGAGATCGCCGAAAAGGACCGTCTGCTCTCCAAAGGCTTTTCCGACTGGTCCAAACGCGATTTCGTCTCCTTCTGCAAAGCCTGCGAGAAACACGGGCGGCACGACCTCGCCTCCATCTCCGCCGAGATCGAGGGAAAGACCCCCGCGGAAGTCAAAGCTTACTCGGAGGTGTTTTGGAAGCGGGTTAAGGAGCTGGCGGATTGGGAGAAGGTGGTTGCGAATATTGAGAAGGGCGAGGCGAGGCTGAGGAAAGTGCAGGAGGTGCAGGATATTCTGACGACGAAAGTGAGGGGGGTGAGGCTGCCGTTGCAGCAGTTGAGGATTGTGTATTTGCAGAGCAAGGGGAAGAATTATACGGAGGAGGAGGATCGGTTTTTGGTAGGGTTGCGTTTTCCCCCCCTCTTTGTGTTTTTGTGCCTGGCACATCGCTGACTGTAAACGCTCATCTCCCCTCTGTCATTTCTCCCCCAGCTGGTGATGCTCGAACGCTACGGCTACGGCTCCGACGAAGTCTACGACAAGATCCTTTCCTCCATCAAGACGTCGCCCCTCTTCCGCTTCGACTGGTTCATCAAGTCGCGTACCGCCGTCGAAATCCAGCGGAGGTGTACTACCCTTATCAGTCTCGTTACCAAGGAGGTTGCCGCTGGTGCGGCCGGTGCGGGTGGGGGTGTGGCTGCGGGAGGCGAGGAGGAGGAGGAGAGGGAGGAAAGGAAGCGGAAGAGTACGGGCGGGAGGGATAGTCCGAGGGCTGTTAAGAAGCGGAAGTAGGGGTGGGGGTGGTAGAAAGCTTGATGGCGTATGGTTTGGGAGACGGTCATGCGTTGCAAGATAGAATAGGAATAAGATTATGACTTCAGCGTACGGGGATAGGTGTGTCGGCCTGTGATGGAGTGTTATGTACTTCTTGAATGGGAGTGATTTGCGATATGAAAACTGACACCAAGTCCACGATCCAAACCTTGCTTGCCAACCATCCTAATTCAAAAAAATCTCGTGTCATTGAGCTGGTTGGAATATCCGTACGTATAAATGGTTCTCGCTCGAAGGACGCACAAATGTACCCTCCCCTCCAAATAATCCTTCTTGAAGAAAAAAATTCCTACGACTCAATGTGTGTGAATGGATGTGCTGAATGTCCTATCCTTGCCTACTCTATCAGGCGCTTCGCTGCTACGATTCGAGGGAAACATCTACGCCATTTTATCAGCGGTCAGGCATATGAGGGGTGATGTTCCGTCCGTCTCGCTCCGTCATGAGAATTATCCTTCAATGTTTCGGAGGGAGAATGATGAAGTTGCAGAAACCTATACATTCACAACGTTAAAGATGGGGTAGTGTCATACGCCGTCCCCAACGACAGTGCTATTCGCACAAAGAGTAAGGCATCCTCTAATCTATGTACCTAAACCCACCCTTCGTCGCACTCGCATCCTTCCCTGCTGCAACACCATCCGTGGCCACGCCACCCTGGTCTGAAGCGCCACGGACCACAACCACATCCTCCCTCGCAAGAGTAACCGAACACACGGCCACCGCATCTCCATCAACATTCACGCGCGAGCTCAGCGTCACGTCCTGCGGGGTGGTATTCACCACGGCGCCGCGGAACGTCTCGCCAGTCGCCAATTCCACTTCCACAATCTTCTCACCCGCACTCACATTCCCAGCCCCACCGCCAACCTCACCGGTTGTATACGGCACTTTCACCACATCCCACACATCCTTCGTCGAAATCTCCACCCCGACCTCATCCCGATGCTCGACATACGCCAGCACGCGGTCGAGCCACGCGGATGTCGGCGCGTGGTGGGACGTGAAGTGCGGGCGGAAACTCGGGAGTGAGCGGGCGGCGAGAACCGAGGATGCGAGGTGGAGGTCGAGGATGTGCGGATAGGGGGTTGAGGGGAGGAGGCCGTGCCAATGTCGGGCGCCGTCTTCTTCGCCAGAGAAGGAGGGCGGGTCGAAAAGGGTTGGATGTGCGGCGGCAGCGAGGTGCAGCGGTTGCGTGAGGAGGGAGTCGATGGTGGAGAGGTGCGCGTGTAATGCATGGTGTTTGTGTGAGGAGTTGGTGTGCGAAGAGCCGAATAGGGGCTGTATGGCTGCAAACAGGGAGTTGTCCGCCCACCGCCGTAATGCCTCCGTGATCCCCTCCCCATACCGCTCTTGTGTCGCATAGGTTTCCTGGCTCGGAATGGTGGTGCCCGACCCTGGGCCAGGGAACAGCGATGGACCCTGCGTGCGTCGTTCTATTGCACGAATGGCTGGCCCGATCCCGAAATAAACGTCCCGGCCGATTTGCAATGCTGTTGTTGTAAGTCCCAAACCCGACTTCGGAATGGTCTCTACACCGCCAGGTTGCGAAGCCAGCCCCCGCCTCGACTGCATCCCCGCTATCCGCCCCAAAACAGCTCCGCTCTCCGCTCCCTCGTCGCCAGCCGCCGGGGACCGGCAATCATACCAATCGACGTCCTTTAGCCGCATCGCCCAACGTAGCCGTCGCGCGTTAATCTCTGCCAGTGCGGCGATAAGTGAAGTCGACGGCTCTTGTTGTGGTCGAGCACCATGGCGGGATGGTATTGGGGCTTTGCTGTTAGTTGACGACAGGGGTAGCCGTGAGTGCAGGATGAGGGGAGGATTGTGTAACGCGTGAGAGTGGAGCGCCAGCCTGTGCTGGAAGCTGGAGAAGATGCTAGGCATGGGTAACAAAGTTGGACGCGGCGGACGACAGAAGGGGATGGGTCTGGTTAGTAGTAACAGTCCGTAGCCAAGATAGAGAGTCTACCTACGCTCGCCGGGAAAAAAGGCAACCAGAAAACAGGACGCAGGAAAAAGAACGGGAAGTGTGAAATCCGAGAACATGAGAACACGCGGACAGGGATGTTACGCGCTGTCGCTTTCCCCCTCTCCGCGCCTCCGTCTCCGTCTCTGCAGTCACTCCAGTCAACAGACCAGAACCTCGGGAAGACCCTCGATACACAATGCAGTCATCCAAATTGGCGGTGTTGTGCCTTCACAGTTCACTGTCCCTTTTCAAAGAATCCTCTCGAAAATCATGCCACGGCTGCGTATCCCGCAGATCCTCTTTTGGTGCTGGGTTACCTACTGTCAAGCATGGCCGCTCGTACATGGCCAGGCAGCCCGGGTCCACCGCTGGCGAGTGGTGCCTCCCTCGTCAGACCTACCAACAGGAGGGCGCTGCGATGTTGGTGAGTGGCCTTAGGAGTCAGGACGCGATTGAGCTTCCGCTATGTCTACTGACAACATGCATTATTTGTTTGTAGGAATGCTGCAGGATATTGATGAGACCGGCAACAAGGACCTGTACTTAGTCGGCGGAGGAGATGCGACTGTTGCGGATGGCCTCAACAGTGCCGCGGTTTCGGATGTCTGGCTGTACAAGCCCTCGACCAACGTATGGATGAAACAGATAAATTCGTCAGTCTTGCTACGCTACCCGGCGTCGGCAAAGCTTGGTCGGACGATCTACTCCTGGTTTGTTGGCAAATTTCGAACGTCTTTTGGATGGGCCCGTTACCAGTCTTGGCGCCGTACCTTTCTGCGTCCGTTTCTGACAGCGCACGAAACTCTGTTTGACAACTTTTAGGGGAGGGTACTTGGGCGACATATACACAGTGAATCTGGTCAACGCCCTGAATCTCGACACCATGACGTTCCGCCCAACCGTGTCGCTCTCCAGCATTCCCAAGATGGCTTTCTCCCGCGGAGTGGGGATAGAGCCTTCGACCATGCTCATATTTGGAGGGGGCGCCCCCTCGAGCCCAGTATGGAAGTACAACTCCAAGATCTATAGCATCAACGTAAATGATTCCACCAGCAATGTCGGCGTTTCTGCGTGAGTGTGCTTGGGCCGTTAATTACGTCCAACCGTGATGTATGATTGCACTGAAAGAACATCTGTTGACATCCTCTACCCGCAGAACAGCAATCGACGCAGGCCTACCAGCAGCATCGCATCCCGCGGTGCTTCGCCTCGACAACTACATCAATGGCAAACCAGGGATCCTGTTTCTTGGTGCCCGCAAGACGGCATCAGCGCTGGGGCTTGACAGCTACGACAACACTGCGTACATCATTGATCCGAATGACAGTTTCAAACTGTACAAATTGAACCTCACGCCGGAGTCTGCGCTGCCTACTGGGGAGACACAGTCGATTCTGCTGATTGAGGATCCTAGTGAGTGACATCTTCGATGCTGGAAGAGCAATCGTTGTATGAACATATGTATGGACAGATACTGACCCCGCACCGTGATGTATCAGAGCTAGGCCGCGTGGTATACGTCGTTGGAAACTACCTTCTTTGGAGGTCAGTGTTCGCTTGACCTCTCCGTGTCGCAATTCCTCAATTATGCTTATGGTCGACACCTCTTGCCAACGCATACAGATTGGGCGCCTACTACAACGGTGTACCCTCCCGGCTCATCCTCCCACCCTTTGAAGACATCGCGGCAGGGACACCGGTGACCTGGGAACTTCTGCAGACCAAAAATCCGTCATTCATACAACGCATGGCAGCGCCTGTATTGTTTGAGGCGCCGGGACATCGCTTGAGAGTGTATGGGGGATGCGGGGATACTTTGCCGCCGATTACGCAGACTATGGTGGATTTAATGGTGGGATGTCGTTTGTTCTGTTGGGGCCGGATATCTGGGGGAACGGGGTAAACGTCCGTCGCTGCGAGCGGAGTACACTCCGTGCAGACGGGTTATACAGAACACATGACCTTAATACCCTTCATCGTCTTTGCCAGATTGATGACGAAGGCGGCAACGCCACCACGAGCCGCATCCTTCCACCCAATCCCGGCCCCTACACCGCCGGTTCAACCGTCACTTTCCAGCTCGAACTCCGCGACGAAGACTCCCAACCCCTCCTCTACGGCGGCGACAAGATCAGCGCAACGCACTTCAACACCTTCACCTCAGTCCTCGGCTTCGCGAGCGTCCAAGACCATACCAACGGGACCTACACCGTGTCGTTCCCTGTAGAGCAATCCGGGAACTACACTGTCAGCCTCGTTCTAAACGGCCACGCCTTTGATATCCCCGCGCTCCGCAAGCCCATCATCGCCATCTCCGCGGAGGCGCACGCTAGCACGTCCTCCTTGCAATTCGCCGACAGCAGCGGGAGCGCTTCAAGCGGATCAAGCGGGACATCCACCGGCTCTGACGACCAAAGCGTGGCTATGTCAGTCGAGAACCTCTCAAATGCGAAGTTCGGCATCAGTCTCACTGACGCCTTCCTCAACCATCTCACCGCCGCACAGGCAGCCGCCGCCCTCAGCTCCCTCTCCGTTGTCATCCGCTACGTCAGCGGACCGTCGGCGGGAACGACGCTCGCGCCTGATACCCCGACCATCAGCAACAGCTCCATCTTCGTGGCGTTCACACCCACCGCCGTGGGGAAGCTGAGCGTGGATGTGGCGCTTGGCGGGGACCCGTTATCCGGATCCCCGTTTGCGATTGTTGTTACCCCGGACCCTGTCACGGCGCTAGGGGAGCCTGTGAGTCTGGCGGTTGGGTCGAAGACTGGGATTGCGTTTGTGGTGCTTACGGTGTTGGGACTGCTTGTAGCCGTTGTATTTATGGGGTTCATTTGGGTGCATCGGGAGAACAAGATCATCAAAGGTACGCTGGAAGACGGCATTCGATGATCGTCATGCACCTTTGGCGCTAACGGTCTCTTCTTTTATAGCCATCTCGCCAGTGCTTTGCATGTGCTGCCTCTTAGGCACTCTGTTACTGTACACCTCCAATATGTGGCTTTTTGGGAAACCTTCCAACGCAACGTGTGTCGTGCAACCCTTTTGGTAAGATTGTTGCCGACAAGCATACGTCGACGAAATTGTCTTAAAGGTAAACTCATGACAATCCGAACCGCATCCAGGCTCTCCATCGGCTACTCATTCCTCATCACGCCTCTCCTCGCCAAGCTTTACCGTCTCTTCGTCATCTTCGCCGGCACCGAACGCACGACAGCTGTAAAAACCAACCAACTCACCGGCTTTGCCTTGATCCCCTCTCTCAACATCCTCATCTGCATCATCTGGTCCGCAATCGACGCGCCAAAACCGGGCATCACAAACCTCACCAGCGCGCGGCTCTGGGAATGCCACTCGGACGATTCCACAGTCGGCACAGCTGCCCTCTGGTCGCTCATAGGCTTCAACGCCCTCTGCACCGTCGCCGGCGCATTTCTGGCTTACCTCACCCGCAACGTTTACTCCCGCTTCGACGAGTCCAAGGCCGTCGGACTCACCGTGTACACCACCACCGTCGTCGGCGGGATGCTGCTCGCCGTCCTGTACCTCGTCCCGGACGTGGCCGAGGTACAATTGTGGTTACGGTTCCTAGCCGTGTGGCTGCCCACCACCCTCGCGACGTTCATCCTCTTCGCCGGTCGACTGTGGAGCGTGCTGACCACCCACGCCACACGCCAGCAGCGCATCGCGAATCCTTTGTCGTCGCACACTAAAAGTGGGACCTCGCCGGTGAAGGGGGGAAGACGCGCGTCGAGGAAGGGGAGTGGGGGCGGCGCCGCGACGATTATGGATAGTAGAGGTTTGACTGACTCGGAGGCGACGTCGCAGCTCAGGAGGGCCTCCAAAGGTGCCAAACGACGGAAGAATATTGGCGCGATGGATGCGGCGTTTGGGAGTATGCAGATTGTGTGGCGACGGATTGGATGGTTCCGTGTTTGGCAGACTGGCACGCTGTACTGGTGTCCCCAGCACAACATTGGCATCATCAGCATCGAAGGAGGAAAGGTAGGGTCGTGATCATAGTTCGAACATCACACGTTGGAGAGTTGCTCACCTTTTCGTCTGCCGCCGTTGGAAAATGCACATCCATGCAAATAGTGGAACTCTGGCCAACGACTGCCCCGCACCGGCACGCTCTCCACCTATCTCGTCAACCCCGCATCCGGTAAAACCAGCGACAGCGATACGGGCTCAACAGTAACAGCGATCCGCATCAAGTCCAACGACACCGTGATCAAGCACGACTTTGAGCTACTCTTCGAATCCGATACAATCGCCAACGAGGTTCTTGTAGCGTTGACGCCGTTGTATGACGGACATACTGGTTTCTCAAAGTCAGTGGAGGAAATGTATCCATCTGCGAGGAATTTGGGTCCTGCAGACCTGCCTGAACCCATCGCGGAGGAGGACGTATCGCAAGTATAGGAAGTGGGGGTCGTCTGCAAACACATAGCGGGCCTGTCGCGGAGTTTGAGAGCCGCGCTGTCGTATTGGAAAAGTAACGCTAATTGAAAAAAAAAGTATGTTTTGCAATGGCCGAGAATCGAACTCGGGTCTACCGCGTGGCAGGCGGTAATTATACCACTAAACCACCATTGCATTCGATGTTTGTGCGTTCCTTTGGCATTATACAACCTGTATTTCCGAGCAACCGCCAGTCTACAGGTGGTGTCCAATTCGTTTAGGCCTGTACGTGCTTGCCTGAAAGCCCGAGGGTTCCCCATTCCTGCTATCGGTACCATTTTGTTTGATACCTCCAGCCACCCAGTCCACATCAGGTTCATAACCCACGGCCTTCCCACGGTGGTCATCGGACCTCCTGCATATCGTGAATGTGCAGAACCTTCGCTTTGCGTCATCCGGACGTTGTTGACTAAGGAATTCGGATCAGCCAAAGGGCCACAAACGTGTTGCACCGACTGCGGTGTAACATATGTATGTCGATCAAGTCTGTGAAAATCCACGAGCCACCGGACTCGGACTCGAGCACACAAGACTTGTACAGTACAGTACTGTACCTACTATGTACTGTACCGTACAGTACAGTACGTGAGGCATTTGGTGGCATTTCGAGGAATATCGAGGACATGATTGATGGGCATCTCCATTGAAAAGCTGAAAGTAGTAAAGGTTGAAGGCTGCACGTGACTAGGAGTGACTCACCCGCTCCCGTCAACGCGTTAAACACGGTCGGAAATCTTCCCATCTTATCCGGTTATTTTCACGCAGTGACAAAGAGCTATGTCCACAAGCGCGTTTCAGACAGGCGGGGTGCGGGACTTCACTTGCTTTGTAGCTCACCGCCGTATCGCAGAACCCGTCGACGCCGTGATTGGTGCCATAAGCGTACGACAGTCGCTGCCGTCGGGACGCTTGGGGCACTGGACAACTTTGGCCGCGTGCCAATTTAAATTCTCGACCGGTTGGTGAAATGTGTCCACCGTCGTCCGAGTTCCTCTGTGCGGCGAACGGACACAACTACGCTGTGTTTCGGGAGGAGCTGCTGCCTGGCTCCAGGGTGTGTCATGACATCCTTGTGTCTCGCTTCCTTCCTCAGGTATGACAACCGCCCGCGGGATGGATCCGACGAGGCTCCACGCGGCCAGGAGGAGACCGTGGGCACGCTTGGAGTAGACCCTTGGTAATCACGTACTGCTATCTACCGTTTACGTGCGCCGGGAAATTTGGTCAAGTCGCGAACGACATCCTGCAGGCGGGGTAGATCAAATCGCGTATTATGCAGGCCAAGCCTGCCCCTTGATTGAGCGTGCACAAGGCTCAAGCGCCCAACTTTTCGCGAAATCCATCATACACTCTTTCGTCGTACGGTCCTGCTGGCAGGTCCCTTCGGCAGTCATCGCGCAATCCCCTCCTTTTCCTATCTAAAGCGTCAACGGGTAGCAAACTCCAGCACTCAACAAAGTCGTCGTCTGTGTGGTCCGCCTCATAGATCAATCGGTGGAACTCGTGCCTGGCCTCACACCGGAGTCATCGGTCATCCTGGAGGCTCATTCCGTTGTGGCGAGGCATCATTGGGCTTCGTTAATCCGTCAACTGCATCATCCCACCGAAAGCTTGTCAAGTCCCTCTCCAATTTCGGCCAAGGTCTTCTTCTCTAACCCTTATATCGTTCGCTGGGCATCAGGCCTACCGCCTGCCCTGCTCCTGATCTCCCGCCTGCGCGAATATCCCCTGTTGCCCGGCTTGTGTGACTCGGTCGCAAAATCCCATAGCATCCAGGAGCCTGCGATTGAGACTGGTTGAGATATTCGTGGCGAAGCCGGCAGAGTGAGGTACCCCGCCGTTTACAGTACCGTACGAGCCTCCCAAAGCCGGCGTGCCTCAGGATCAAGAGTCGATATAACAGTGGAAACCGGTGTGGTCCCAAATACCCAATTCGCCATTGCTTCACCGGCGCTGTTCTTCCCGCAGTATCTTTTCGGTCGGCGCCGTGCATGGGCCAGCAGTTTAGGAGCAGTCTCCGACACCTGCATAGATAGAGCGACTCCGAGTTGTTTACCGGACGTCTGCCACAAACGCCATTGTCACCAACTATACCCAGCGACGACCAGCATTCCTCCCCTTCCTGCGGTATATACCGCCTCTGTTGCAGATAGACGGACCTGTAGACCTTCTGAGCCCCAGCGAGTCTCAAATAGACCCAACGCTATGTCGTCGTTCCCCACCGCTCCACCAGCGCATTGGTCGGCCCGACAATCCCTACCTGCTGCGCTTCACCACCGAAATAGGTCCGTGGGCAACGCAAGCTCCCTGGTGAACGCGCTCTCCGTCTATCCTTCGCCGCCTGCCGCCGAGTTCATCACAACGCAACAGCAGCAGCAGCAACAGCATTCGGCCGGCTACAGCCCAGTGGTAGGCTCGCCACTAAGCATAGAACATAATGGGATCCCTGGCGGGTCGTTGTCCAGTAATACCTCCGGGCAAATGCAGCCTCAAACAACGAGCGCACTCGGCGCTGCCTTGAGGATTCAAGCGAGTGGACCTCCTGTGATAGGTAAGATGTCTGGGAGGTTTTTTCCGCCAGGGTGGACGAAATCTAATGCTTCGTGGTTTTTCAATCTCGAAGCTGAAGCGAGCTTGAGCTCTGTACTTGCAGAGTTGGCCACATGTGCCAACGCAGGCTTGATGTCGAAGGCAGAATACCAGACAGAGCGTGCACAAATTATAAACGGATTCTCAGGGAGAACGGAGGACCGCATGCTTCTTTTGAAGGGGCTCAAGGATGCGTGGGATGGTAGGCTCATTTCGGATGTGGAGTTCGATGAAATGTCGGCTCGCATTTTCCGAGGCATGGAGTCTTCGCAGATCCATACTGGATATGACAGCCAGGGAAGCCTGACCCGGGAGGATCCGACCACTGGCGGCAGTGAGCGGCATAGCGGACAATGGATGACGACGCCGTCCATGCCAGCTGCCGAAATCCTCTTTGGAAGAGCAGACGCGAACGTTCGCCCACCGTTGACACGTGTCGCTCGTGCTTCATATCATGGAGGTAGGTGATTTCCGGCGCTCGAAAGGGTCGTGGGCGGACGTTGGGATTGCTGAAGACGAAGACGCTCATCTTTTGTGAATGTAGGGTCGGCTCATAACTACTCGACGTCTCACGACACGTCTCCGGTGTACGGGTCATCGCATGGAGGCTCGCCAGGAAGCATACCGATCCCGCAAAGGAGTAACTCTGAGTCTGTGCTGCAGCAAAGCAATCATTCATTCACATCTCAACCCGGCGTTCCTATCGGCTCCTACACCAATTTTGAATCACGCCATGATGGCCGACTTGAGCGACATGATCAGTTTGGCATGTCTTACGAAACCCCGTCGCTGGTTCCGGATCACTATCTATCACAGTCGGCACCCACACATGTATTACTAGAACATCAGCAGGCACCCACGCACCCGTATCATATGCAACAACAACATCATCCACACATGCACCATCTATCTCCACACGCACTATCGCAATCGCAACTGCCGCAAACGCACATGGTGCGTACAAGTGCAACCCAAAAGCGGAGCTCATTCTCTGCGCAGCAACCGCCGAAACCCAGGAAGGATTGGAGATCCAAGAATCCACCTGATCCTATACTACTGAACGATCAAATACATCAAATGCTGAATTCCGTGCCCCCGCCGGCGAAGGTAGACGGACCACCCCCGCCTTCTTTACATAGAGGATTTGGAGCGAGCGCACGGCAGTACAATTTTGATGGGTCAGCGAATGTTAGCGAGTTTCGTCTCAAGTGGAGGTGTCGTTGGTGTTTATGCTCTGGCAAATATACTCCGGCATTGAGGAAAGGGCCACTCGGCGCAAAGGTATGTGAAGTTGTGGAACCGGGCGCTCGGGGTTCATCGACATCATGCTTACTGTTGCGCCGATGTATTTGTTCATTTAGACGCTGTGTAATGCTTGTGGCATGTGGTACAATCGTCATGGGTACCTTCCGAAAGACCGTTACCGTGAGCATGCCCTTGACGAGCAGAACGCAGCAGCCGGGGCGGCTTCCACCTCGCCCCCGACGACAACGATGAGTGCCTCGCTGAGCGACATCAGCAGCTCCAGCCCCCCTGCCGCTCCGCTCACTGTTGACACGTCCACCGATTTCAAGAGACACTTACACGCCGACTTTATGATGACGCACTCTCCGAGTATCCAGCGCACCCCCGACACCCCAGATCCGAGCACTAGCTACTCCGCCCCGATTCAATCGCGCCATTTCTCGTTTGCGCACAGCCTTCCTCATGACATGGCCATCATGGAGCGTGCGATGAGCCTTCACGATCAGCAGCAGGCACAGGCCCACTCTTATCAGCGGCCCGACACCTTCTCCTCTCACTTTCCTGACGATCAAACTCACCACCGCCTACAAGTTCCCAAACATGAATTACACCGTGAAGAATACTCCACCTCCCATACAACTCTCTCACCGCAAATGGAACAGTTCTCGATGCTCTCTCCCGAGGTCGCCTCAGCTGGCGTGAGTCCGTACGGCAACAACAGTAGCCCTTTCCTATCTGAAATGGAAGATTGGCCGACCTCACCGAATACGGACGCCGTTAATTCCCCTTCCATATCGTCCTTTGCGACAAACACCACCGCTGTTTGGACCAATAGGCAAATGTCTGCGGCGCCTGCGCAGTTTTATCATCATCGCCAACAAAGTCAACATTCACCGATGATGGCAACTATGCAGATGCCACCTGTCACCTCGGTCCTACCCGTTCCAGTGCCCAGGCGCCAAGGGATGTGGTGAGCACCCCGGATGCCTCGAGTCTTGGACGACGAAAATCCGACCAGACTAGTGCTCGTCGGGTCCCGAGTCTTTCCCAGTTGTTTACAGTACCCTATGATTCAAGGACCATTTTTGCATACTCGATTCTCCCTCCTACCCACTCATTTCGACAAGGCGTATCCTCTTACTTCTTCGGTGTTTGTGAACCCCTCTGTATGTAATGTTTTGCTCCTCTAGGCGTACCTTCTACATAATTGGTTCCCCTGTATAGACTTTTTTTTTGCCGTACTAGTCGTTTGATGGATTTGTTGGTGTATGTTCCATACAGATTTTGGAGTGTGTATCTTCCTCCTGGTATCGAATCAATTGGAAGTGAATTTTCTATTTACCGTTTGCTCGCCGGAAACACCTTCAAGTTATGTTCTGTCCTGAATGCGGAATGAGCAAACCTTAGCGCTTCCGTAAACAAGTAAGGATACAAATTGTGTAAAAGACAAGGAATTCATCAGGCAATGGTGGTTTAGTGGCATAATTACCGCCTGCCACGCGGTAGACCCGAGTTCGATTCTCGGCCATTGCATTTTGCATGGATTAGCGTACAGCTGGACGTTCCTTTTGACCGGACTTGCTTTTGAAGTTGAGACAACCATTGCCCGCTCCGATGGTCAGAGTGGGGTTATATAGTGCGCATCCGAGAGTCCAAGGTCACATCGGGAGAAAGTATGCACATGCAGACCGGCGACCCCAAAACTATCGCAAAGAGGCATGGCTAAAGGGTTTGGGTTACATGCCCTTGAAACGATTTTTTGGCACCGCCGGTTTTTTATGTAATATTGGCAGCGCTCTACTGAACTCAAGGGAATCGTCATAGGATGCATCTATCTATTAGAAAAAGAGGTGCGGTGATGAAAGGGTAATCTATGTATAGCTACAGATCTAGTACGCCAGTTGTCTAGGGAATCTAGAATGCGAACAAAGCAATGATGGCCGCAACACCAGTGACAGTCAAGCCAATGACACCTCTGCGCTTTGCAGCCGAGACGGGTGTGTCGGTGTCGGTGGGCCCGGGAGCGGGGCTAGACTCGGTTGCTGAGGGATCGACCACAGTGGTGTAAGTCACCGGGTCGCCAGTAGGGACCTCAGTCTCGGATGTGGGCTCGGGTTCTTGAGTGGTGAAGAAGGTTGATGTTGGCTCGTCGATGACCGTGGTCTCGGTCTCCAGAACGGTCGTTGTTGTGGTCTCGTCATCGTGACACTCCTCAGTGGAAGTGGCCTCCGAAGGGGGAGTAGTCGTCTCGGTGACGGTGGTGGGCTCGGGAGTGGGAGTTGGCTCCAAAGAGGTGGTTTCGTCGTCATCACATTCTTCAGTGGAAGTGGTCTCCGGAGGGGGAGCAGTAGTGTCGGTGACGGTGGTGGGCTCGGGAGTGGGGGTTGGCTCCAAAGAGGTGGTTTCGTCGTCATCACATTCCTCAGTGGAAGTGGTCTCCGGAGGGGAAGCAGTAGTGTCGGTGACGGTGGTTGCCTCGGGAGTGGGGGTCGGCTCGAGAGTGGTGGTCTCGTCGTCGTCGCAGTCCTCGGTGGAAGTGGTCTCAATGATGGTTGTAGTTTCGGTAGTGGACGTGGTCTCGTCCGCGGAAGTGGTGGTAGGTTCCGTGACGGACGTGGTCTCGTCAGCGGTAGTGGTGGGCTCGGTATTCCCGGTGGACGTGGTAGTAGACGGAGCGCGACCGCCGCGCTTGAAGCGGGAGTAGAGAGGATCGTGGTCAGAGGTACGGCTGGCGTATGCACCCCAAGTGTTGACGTGAACGGGGACGAAGGAGGACAGAGAAGTCCAAAGGCTCTCGGAGACGAGGATATGGTCGAGCTCCTGGCAGTTGCCGTCGTAGTTGTACGAGTAACGCTCGGCCACGGGTAGAGACTCAGCGAGGTCGTGCAATTTGGGGCCAGTCTGGCCGGGCAACGATCCGATCATGGTCTGGATCGAGGTGGTCCAAGTGAAGTCATTAAGGTCACCGACAATGGCAACCTTGGCATCGGGGTCGACCGCCAAGAGCTCCTCCACGAAGGCGCGGTTGAGTCTGGCTTGCAGTGTTCGGTTTTCCAACGCTCCTTGGCGAGGAGGCTGTAGGGCCCCGTACTGCTTACTGCCCCCCCGCTTGCTCGACAAGTGGTTGGCAATGATGAACACGCGCTCTCCAGAAGCCAGGTCGAAAGAAGTAGCCAAGGGCTTGCGCGAGTCAGCCCAGGCCACATTGGTAGGATCAATACGACCAGGGTTGAGAGTCAACCCTGCTCTTGGGCCGTCCTTGACAACCTTCACCGCTTCGGTAGCGCTTCCAGCCCGTCCTGGGGTCAGGGTAACGCCTGCAGCGGGGTTGTAAAACACAACGGAGCGGATGTTGCCTTTGGGCTCACCACCGTCCTTCAGATCCTCAGGGTTTATCCAGGTGGCATTGTAGGTGGGTCCTCCTGCCTTGACAACAGCGTCAATGATGCGGTTGACGGTAACGGTCGAATCCGTCGATCCATCTTGGGCGCCGTTGAAATCTTGAATTTCGTTGGCCACAAAAATCGCAGGCGCACCAAGATGCTGGACAAGCTGCTTGGCGATGGCGTCGTACTTCGCCTGGGGAGCGTTTCCAGCGAGGTTCTCCATGTTGTACGATCCGATGGCAAACTCGTCCTGGGGGGTGGCGGGAGCGGGAGGGAACACGTTCTTGTTTTTCTCAACGACGGTGACAGGTTCCCTGGGGAAGACAGTGTACGCGCCCTGGTTGTAGGTGAGGACACCAGTGATGTCGGAGACAACGTCCCCGAGGGCGAGATCAGCGGGATGCTTTGCGCCAAACGGAGTACCGATGAAGATCTTCTCAGGGTTGTTGTCACTGCCCTCCGAATCACGGTACATGGTGACGCCGCCAGCGGCGTTGCGTCCAGTGGCACCCTGACCTTTGTCGGCAAGAACGAAGAACTGGCCAGAGAACGGTTGGCCACTGACGACGGGGTTCTTGATGGTAACGAGAGATCCCTCAAGGCTTTCGTAGAAATCGAGTCCTTTGTTTGCCACGTCGAGTGCGGAGTACGTCTTGAACCATTCCTGGTCGGTTGGCTTCTCGGCATCATATTCCGGACCATCTTCCCATTTGGCGAAGACAGTTTTTACTGGAGGCTTGCGCCCATCCTGACCAATGACTACGGGGGACACCGTCAAGCTCTCGGGGTTGGGAAGCTTGGTCAGGTTGGTGATAAAGTCGAGTTCAGTAAGAAAAAGATCATCCGGGTTCGATGCGAATTCCTTGACCGCGGCGTTCAACGAGACGTAGTCGCCGATTTGCAGAGTCTGAGCAACATTGAGGGCGTCCTTGTTGGCGGCTCTGTAAACGCGTAGAGTCAACATCGCAGCCGGCTTCTGACAATAAAATCTCCGCCCACACTTACGGGATGTACAAGAGGATACCATCGCTGGTGTTAACATCAGCGTCCGGATGCGGGTCTTGAATCTGCAAATTTCTTATTAGCTCATCTGAAACTTTGTAACGACGATCGCTGACGAAAGTTGATGCTAGCATACCCAAACGTTGGTAGACTTTGCGTTCTTGAGAGTGACGATACCCCTGACATCCGTGACATTCTTTCCGACCAGCGGCGAGTAGTGGGTGGGTCCGTTGATCTCAGAGATCTTCTCGGCGAGGACGGCGCCAGAGAGAACGCTCACGGCGGACAGAAGGAAAAGGCTCGCCTTCATTGTGATGGTTATGACGACGGAAAGGTATCAGGAACGACGAAGGGATCAACAAGGCCAGCCGTTGTTGAGGGAAAAGGGAATCGAGGTCCGACGGACCGCCTTACAGTATATATAGGGAACATCCTGAGGGTCGTTTCCCCCCTCGACGACAGAGTGGGGCGCCGTACAGATTACATTCGTAAATTGCCGATTCACTCCACAGATCCGCTAATTTGTTGTTTTTGCACAAGGTGATCATGATAGTTTAAACTTACCGGCGACCCAACATGCTCGACGGAATACCAGCGGCCTGATGGACATACGTGGATGTAGCCATACATGCACGTTTCGGCGGTTCTCTACCTCGTTCTCGTCATGAGGGAAGTCATTATGGTTACCCGCGGAATGCATATGTGTAAGTATGTATGTAGCTCTACTCCACGGGATACTTCCACATGGAGCTCGCGAAAATTTGCTATCGGTTATTTTTGACAGCACGTCAGGTACTAAGTGGAGCGCGTATGTACGTTTCCGGCAAGAATATCATCTGGTAGAGAATTTAGAATGACTTGAATGCCTCTTGTATCATATATGAGGATCCACTGGCAAGTCTCAACAAATACTGACCGACCAAGTCTGGCGAAGTCTATCGTAACGGCTTGTCGTACGGCGTGTAGGTATTTTATAACGTGCCCAAGGAGCCAAGGGATCGAAATCTGGACAATACATGTGTCAAGGAAGGCTGTGGCAGCAGCTGATGCACAAGCATAGATCTTCATTGCATGCTTACAATCAAACGCACAGGATGTCGAGGGCCAGTTTCAGCGAGGTACAGTTCGCTGCGGGCAACCGCCAGCGCTTGTGGAATCGTTGGAGCCTTTTCGCCAGGCCTTGGTCGGAAACGAGAGCTGTCAAAACGCGACATGTTTGACGCGTTCACACATCAACTCCGACTGTTGACATTGATGCCCCCTAGAACCCTCTAACGTGAAGAAGCCAAGGACCTTCGTGGCAGTCAAGAACCCAAGAAGGCACTACTCTCTCCAACTTCCTGTTATCCGGCCATGTGAAATGGTGTCAATGTAGGAAGCTAGAGATGTGGATTGGAAATCCTCGAAGGCCGTGATCCGCTGCAATCATCCTCCACCGCTGAATGCCACCAACTCCAGCTGCCTTCACAAGTGGTTCTATATTCCTCAAAACAATAGGTTTTTACCATCTACTGGGAGCTCTTTTAAACTGGGGTTCCCGAAACGGGAGAAATAAAGGGACATTCCGGCTAATACTGCTTAAAAGCTGCGCTAGAACTGCCCTATGTGCATCTCCAGGCCCAAATACGCCGTATTGATTCTCAACGTGAAGCGCAAAATGTTCCACGCGCTTCATGCGCAACTTCAGATTTTCTTGAGTTTCGAAAACAGGCCCGGCTCGGCAGCCGCGAAATAGTCGCTTAACTCCTGGTTCATTTTTTGCTTCTGCTCATTGGTATACGATGTTCTGGCAAAACCACGACCAGGAGGGACCCGCGACTGCTGTGTGGTGGATTCCCGGAACTTGACAAAGCGCTCGTCCTGACTCTTTTTCTCCTTTTGCATTTGCCGTGGAATAGTGCATGTTGTTGTTTGGGTTTTGCTTCCAGCGAGCTTTGGAGCGTCTTTGCATGTAGCCGCGACAACCGTTACAGCGGCTTGTACAGATAAGCTTGGACCTATGTTGCCCCCGCCAGTCGAGGTTTTCTCTTGCGGACGCTTTTCTTTCGCCGAGGACGCCATGTATTCGTCCAGTTGCTGATCGAGCACCGCTGAAGACACAACAAAATAATCTTCAATTTCGCGATCCCGCGCCGCTGCTGTGGGTGTGCACGTATGCGAAAAGCTTCTGGGCCGCTTCATCCCGAGCCATTCCTGGAAGACAAATTGGGTTCATAATGAGAAACGGGCGAGAAAGAAAGAGGACCTGTCCTCGGCGCACCAACCTTTTTCGGTCCTAGACGCTCGTGAATAGAGAGTCTTCCGCTTTCCGATGTGTGTGTCGATTCAGGCGTCGCGCACCGAGCAAGGGCCGACTGAAGAGGCAAAGTCAGAAAGGGACATGCGTGGCGCAAATACCTTCGCTATCTTGTTGGGAATCCCGTGTTACCTGCACTGATCTCAGTTTCTTGGCTTGGGAGCGTAGATTCTTCTTTTGGGGAACATCGCGGCTTTTCAGGAGACCCTCCAGGTCGTGCTGTGACTACAAGCGGACAGCGTCAATCTGAGGTGTTGATTTCAAGGTCAAAGCTCTGCAGAGAAGCATACCTGAATCACTCTATCGCGGAGTTGGGAGAGAAGGATACTGTGAGATACAGCAGAGGATGCCGGTCCTGTAGACGCACATCTTCCGACTGGCTGTTGCCTTACTTGATTTTCCTAATGACAAAAACTGTAAGTCGCAACGCTGAAACTTTCTCGTCGACATAAAGTACTCACGGACGAAGGAGCTGAAAAAATCGACGAGATTTTATTTGGTTGGATATCTGATGATGACGCTTCCACTTTGGATCGACCCTTCTCAGGTCGAGGACCTAGCCGGTTCCAAACGCTACTTGTCGAGGACGCCCTTGAAGGAAACTTTCCACCAGATCGTAAACGTGGAACTGTCGTCGTCCGAGTTGCAACCTTGTGCGAAGCGAAGTTGTCCGATATGGCCCGTTGCCTCCCTGCCGCGATGGTAGTCTCCGGAATGATTTTGGAGGACGACGTCTTGTCAGAGGTCGTCGTCCTCGATCGAGCGACTTGGGGAATAGACCTTGCGTTGCCTTTGTCCGACCCGTTTCCACATGCCGAACGAGATAATGATGCCTGAGCGTCGGTCTGTTTCGTAAGTCGCGCATCAGCAGATGAGGTAGTCGAAAGGTTTACACCATCAGCTACTAGTGTAGTCTGAGAAAATACACTTTTGAAGGGCGTAGGAATCTCGGCAACGGGCGTCGCAGTAGTTGGTGCTGGTACGGTTGCGTTAGCTCATGTAAATGTATGTGTGGACGACAATGCTTCCTTACCAGTTGTTGATGCGGTGCCTGCTGCAGCGGCGGAAGCTGCAGGGCGGCATGGGCGACGGCCCCATTGAGACCTTCCCCTCGCTGTTGCTACGGTTGAGGTGGTTTCGCGCCCCGCACTGTGTAATCGTTGAGGGATATCCAAGATCTTCCTCGCCCGTTCAGGATGCATCAACATCGCGCCTGATAGTGGAGTTCGACGAAGAAGAGTCGCGAAACGAGGCGGCGACACATCGTACGGCTTGGGCCTGAAACGGTGGTCTCGATACCGATCTGGTTGCCCGGCACTGCTTCCCAGTGGCAACAAATCCGACCAGCGACCGCGGTAATCTTGTCTGCGATAATGGATCTCTGGGTCCGGGAAGGGGGTGCAAAAGCGCCAAGGTTGGGGGCAGCTGTTCATTGAGCGGGATGAGATGTTGATTAGGTGATCCTAATCCTCTAAGTGGGAGTCCCCTTACTAGTTTGGACCGAAGCGATGGGCTTGCCCGTCTCCAACTGCCTCATCTTGTACAGCTGGGTGAACGTATGGACGGCTCTGTGAGAAGCGTGATGTCAATAAGTGATCGGCAAATCTTTCGACCTCCTCTTGGAACGAAAGGGGCAGATGAGTTTTGCAAAGTTAGACGTACCGTTGCTGCGAAAGTCTGCCATTTCGCCAATCCTTTCGAAAGCGCGCTGTCGGGAGGAGGGGGTGGTCTCATGGGCGTAGTTGCAAGCATTCGAGTCCTTCGACCGTGCATATACGACGATCCCAAAGGAGGACAGTCAGAGAGCTGCAATCGTCTGTCTGTAACAGGCCTTGCAATCAACGCAGGTGGCGGAGCTGGCATCGCGGTCGATGTCCGCTGTTGAGCCGATGCAGTCGTTAACGATGCTTGTTGCGGCTGTAGTGGGCGAGGAGTCCATGGCACAGCACTTTTTCTCACCATGCATACCTCGAGCACTTTGTCTGCAATTCGCAGGAGAAAGCTAGTTAGTTTCCGCCAAAATTGAGTGTCGCACACTGTCCATCCCCGACGTTTAGCTTGACAGCTTGCGAAAGTAAGCAAGCATGCGTAAACTCACTGTTAGCTCTGTGACCTATAGGAAATCATCCGAGAGTTTAGCCCTGGTTCAAGGTTTCCGGCACGCATGAATATGAACTTACCGTTCATTTGTTTGCAGGCTAGCTTAGCGGCCTCCTCTTTTCTAAAGTGAATCCTCGCCGCGCCTTCACGACTGGCGTGCAGCTTTTTGCATTCGATGAGGACGATCTCACCGAAGCATCGCCGGGAGATCCATGCCTAGCGTTCAAGAAGTGCCGATTAGGTATCGGATGGAATCGCGGATACATCTGCCTCATGCACGTACCCTCACATCCGGTTCCGTTGTGTCGTAATGCAAATGCCTGACTTCGATTGCGAAAGGACCCCTATCCCGCTTTCCAAAAGCAGTGGAGGCGTATCCTTTTGCGGGCGCCCTTTGCCCTACCCTCGGCGGCGCGGCAGCTTGCGGAGGTCCAGGCCGAGGAACATTGGGACGTGAACCCGCAGTGCACTGCGACACCGTCGATGGGACGGCCGCCGGCGCAAGGCCAGGACGACGAACAGTGGGACGTGAAACCACTGCGCTCGACGGCAGCTTTGATGGCACGATCATCCTGCTTTTCGGCGAGCGAGCTTGGGCAGGTCCGGGGCGAGAGGTGATGGGATGCGAAATCACCGGGCGCTGCAGCACCTTGGATGGCACGGCCGCCGGCGCAATACCAGGGCGAGGGGCATTGAGATGCGAGGCCACGGCGGCCAGCAATGTTTTCGAAGGAGCTAACGCGGATGCCGTGCGAGGTGCAATGGGCTTGAAGGGTGCGCTTGTGCTCAGCGGCGCTTTGGACGGCATGGCTGCTCGTGTCGATCCCATGTCAGGTGCGTCGGGATGCGATGTAGCGCTTACCCTCTCCGACGGGTTCGATGGCGCGGCCGTCTCCGTGTGAGATGCAGTGCCTTGGAAGCTTCCCGGGCGTGTTCCTGCGGCAGCTTGATGCACTGTAGTAGAACGCATTTGATCATTCTTTTCCGAGCTTGGCATTTGCAATGAGCTCTGTTTCGCCTAAACGTTCACAATATGTTTTATTTCAAGATTACATGCCGGCCGATAAATGTTTTTCAGACCGCTGGGTTGTTGCATCACCCCTGGTTCACATTTACCTCTTCTCCAGTTGCCTTGTGGCGTAAGACGTTCCGCCATTCGCCATCAAGACATACATACACTTCCACAAAATCGCCCCTCTCAGATATGTTCATAGATTTATCGACGGGCTTCTTCACTGAATTGCCGCCATCTTGCCTGCCATCTGTATGGCTGTTTACGATATGCTCGTCGGTTTGTACTGGCACTTGACTTGTGAGTTTGGCGGCATCGGGCATTGTGTCGTCTGTACGTGCCGAAGATGAAGTCGATGCGGAGACCGGAGGTCCAGATCCCTTCGCGCTGTTGGTGCTTGCTGTCGACGAAGTCGGCGCCGGAACGGGAAATACTTTACCGACGTGCACATCATTCAGAGTGCTCTCGACCTTGGACGGCGATCCCGTGTTCGCTTGCTGCGATGTCGATGTGCCGCCATGATCCTTCCCAGAGCCCGCCCTACCGTGCGCCTTTCCACCGCTTTGTGCTTTCGAAGCGATTGCAGTCTGCGACTCGTATTGCATAGTTCTGAAATTGAATACGCGGATGGCTTTGGCGCCCATGTTGGAACTCGGTTCCACGGCCGTCATTGCGGTTTGGTGATGATCGTGCGTCGATTCGACGGCTGGCGCAGGTTGTGTGTCGCGGATGGTGCGCTTATCCGCGGCTGCAAACACACCGTCTGCAATCTCACCTTCTTCCATCTCCTTGTTGTATTCCTTGTCCCTTGAAAGAGTATCATCGCTGGATGTCGTCAATTTCCCAATGATTTCCTCGCTACCGTCAGAAGCAGGGGCTGTGAATGCGGCGAGCAAAGCTGAGTCTCTTGACCCGTTGTCCTCTGTAGCAGCAGGTTGAATGGAGGCGGGAGGATACGCGGTGATAGCGGAAACTTGTGCCGCCTCGGCAACTTCGTTCCCAGATGTCTTTGCCTCATTACATCCAGCTGTTGCAACCTGCGATTCGTCCGCAACTGTAAGTTGACCCTTTTCCACTGACGCTGTCGAGCCTTCTTCCTTGTTTCGGGAATTATTCGCCGCGGTGTGATCCGTCGAACCCGAAATCGTGACAAATTCCGCGCTCCAAAAGCGGTACACTTGATAAAGCGGCTGTGGTTTCGGAGCCGGTGGTCTCACGGCCACTGGTTTCGGATCAGTCTGATGCGTAGCTAGATTTCGTTGGTTCATGTTTGGATTATCCTGCGCTATTTTGTCATTGGCTGCTTTTTCTTTTCCATTGGTAATCGCTGCATCAGGTTCATTGCGTTTTGAGGTTATATGATCTTGTCCTTGAGTCGAAGCGGAATAGTTTGCTACCTTCGCCGTTGGGATTGCAGTCGGAGCTGACTCTTGAGGCAGAGCAAAGCGGTGAATCTGAGGAGCAGGCTCCACATGACGCTTTTCCTGGAACTTCTTCAATGTTGCGTTGTGGCTATCTTGAATTGAAGTGCTTGTTCCGGCTGGTGGTAGCGCAGCCGGGACCGAATCGCTCGGCAGAGCAAAGCGATGAGTCTCGATGGTGGGCTCCACATTCCGAGGTTCTTCCGATTTCTTCAATCCTGGGTGACTGTCTTGCAATGAAGTGCTTGAGTTTACAGCCGGAACCGACTCGCTAGGCAGCACAAAGCGATAAACTTTAGGAGTGGGCTGCACATTCCGGGGTTCCTGTGCTTTCTTCAATCCTGCATCTTGAGGTGAAGTGCTCGCTCCACCGGCCGATAAGGTTGCAGCCGAAGCCCGCCCATCGGCTATGACGTAGCGTTGAATCTGGGAAAGAGAAGCTTGCTCCTTCGATTTAGCGGCTGAAGATGATGCTTGAGGTATATCGACGCGGTAGGTTTTGGGAGTTCGCTTCTTCGCGATAGCGGCTGGAAGCGATGCGTGTGGCACATCGAAGCGGTGGACCTTAGGTTTAGTGGCTGGAACAAATTCTCGAGGTAGAACGAAGCTGTGGATCTCGGGCGTGCGCTTCACATTTTGGTCTTGCGACGTCGCTGATCCTCCATCTTGAGACTCATGCGGGGCTGCCTGTTTTACGGGCGCGGGAGCAGACGCGATGTCGCTGGGCTTGTCTGCCGGTGCGGCATCAGAGCCGTCTGGGCGATCATGGTTCGCCGTGCCGCGCGGGGGATGCGGCGGCGTTGGATGCTCCTCCGTACGCATGTTCATCTTCAGCGGCAAATCATCTTTAGATGCGACCACGGCGTCGAGTTGCGCTTGCCCGTCGGTGGCTTGAGCTTTTCCGGCAATAACTTGATCTTGCCCATCAGAGGAAGCCGGAACCAAGGGTGCGTCTTGCTGGACCGCCTCGTCACGTTCGCCAGCATCCCGATGACTTTCGAAAACCTGAGGTTCGACAAGATCCCCGTGCGCATGATCGTCGCGGTCCTGATCTTCATCCGCATTACCATTCCCGGCCGGATCATCCTCCTCCTCAAGGGCATGCTTACTCCCCGAGGCGCCCAAACCCCGTGACTCCACCGATACCTCAACTCCAGCGCCGTCCGATGTATCGCTCGATGGTTCAGGAGAAGGCGGACGTTCCACCGGCGTCTCTATATCCTCACCCACATCCCCCACAATCCACGCCGAGGTCCCCGCATCGCACCTCAATTTCTTTCTCGGGACAATTGAAGGCAACGAGGCCTTGCGCTGTCGGATGATGGAGGAGTGATGACGGCGAATACGAGCGTTGTGGCGTTGCAGCTGCGGGATGATTGAAGTGCGGGTGTGCGAGGGCCGCGGGAAGAGGTGGGTGAGGAGGGTGGGCTTTTTGTCTGTGTGGGGAAGAAAAGTCAGGGGGGGATATGAGATCGTCGGACTTCAGTATTCATGGAAGTGATGGAGACGACCAAGGCCAGGACATGAAATGAGACGGACACATCACCTTGAACCTCCACCAAATCGCCTTCAACCCCTTCAACCCCAGCCAAAACCGACTTCTCCCTCTTCCTCTTCCGCACAAACTTCCCATAACCCCCATCATCAGCATCCTCGTCGACGTCCCTTGCCCGCTTCACAAACTTCCCCCTACCACCATCATCGTCCTCCTCGTCCCCTTTACTTCCCAAATGCACAGCCACCCTCTTCCTCGGCGGTCCCGACTCGCTCTCATTTCCTTCCTCCGCTTCTTGGGTCTCCTCATCTCTTTCGATTTGTCTGTCTTCCATGGTTTCACTGGCTGCCGCGACATCAGTTGCTTGTGAGGCACGCGAGGCTACGCGCTTCTCAGGCGTGGCGAGAGGTCCAGCCACCCTCGTGTCCGAAATCCTGCGTTTTCGTTTAACCGTCCCGGCGTCCTCTTTCCTACCCACGGTCGATCGAGGGTTCGACACCGCTGGCATTGGAGCGGACGGCGGCTGTAAGGTCTTTTTGGTCGTACCGGCCGGCGGGTCGTCTTTGCACGGCATGCCTTGCGTGGCTATGCTGTGCGTGTCGTGTTTTGGGTTTGGTGAATGGGCTGTTGATGAGTGGTTTGCAGCTGGGGGATGGGGTCTAGGGATGTTGATTGGCTTGTGTGGTCGGATATCGACCGGTTTGACTCTGGGCTGTTATTGTGCGAAACACGAAACAGGGACATTCAGAAACTTTTTGCGGTGCCATTCCCGAGGAAACACACCTACCGTTGACCACAGCACCACAGCACCTACCCCCACTCCCTTACACTTCCTTCAACGTGTCTGTGCGTGCGTCCGTGTAGGCCCGCACAGCAGAAACAAAAATTACCCGCAGCGCACGTCGTATCAGGAAGTGGTTTCAGCGCTCTGCTAGCGTAGCGTAGCGAACGAGAGAGAGGGTGCTGTAACCAACAGTGAAGAATATGTGTGCTGCAACTAGTGCAAAAGGGGACTTGAAACCACAGCACCCCAATGCATGCGGGGTATCATGAGCGTGAAAAAACGCATCGCCAAATGCCTCTCCACATTTCCCGTCAAACCACCAGTGGTCCCCTACATATACACCCGTGCCGATCCACTCCCCATTCGATTCACATTCAATAGCTTCCCCACGTCGCGGTCGTTTTTCGGAGAGGGCTGTCATACACATGTTAGAGCGACCCTGTGTCCTTTCCCCCCCTTTTCTGGCTCCGCTCGCGCGTCATGCTGTCATTGTTTGGGATGCGCCCCTGTTGAAATCCTGTCGTTTTGCGTGACGTAGGAGAAGCTTTCCGAGAGCCGAGATCAATCGGGGATCGCAACACTATGCAGACCATCCCGCCCGTTCCCCGTCAAGAGCATTCCGCTCGCTATGCTCTCGACACTCATCCAGCTTCTCAGTAGGAGTCACTTCGCAGGCGAAGTGGAACAGATATTGGTAATGAAATGCATTGAAACGAAACCAGAAAAACATATACAAGGGAAGCGCTATCCAACGAGCTCGAAAGCGGAATCAAATCAAGAAGAAACAATGCAAGAAAAACATATGCGATGGCTACAGCGGGGGTTGACGACCAGCTTCACAGAACCCCCAGCTATCAAACGCTACCAACTACCGTGAAAAGAATACGCACGAAGAGAAGACTTCAACCCGAATTTCCATCACATCAAACGCCGCTCCTTAAAACTCCCCTTGGCCCCCCACCAAACTCTTCTTACTCCCCCTCTTCCACAGCTTCGTGCTCTTCACGCCTTCAAGCACCGTATCCTTACTCCACTCCAACGTCCGGCTCAACTTGCTCCCGGCAAGCCTGCTATCATCCGCCGGCGATCCGCCCAGATCCGCTCCATTCGCATCCTTCGCCTTCTTCTTGTCTTTCTTTGAGGACGGGGAAGGTGGCGCGGATGTGAGGGCCTCGGTGGTGAACAGCTGCGGGTTGGTCGTGTCGGGGTGGAGGGTGTGTGAACGTTGCGACGATGCCGAGGAGGGTGAGGATTGGGCCAAGACGTGCTGTTCGATCTCCTCGCCCTCTCGCGGGGTCGGTGTCCATGTTTTGCCCGGGCGGAACACGGCTGTGAATGTGAGTTCGGGTTTCGCTGAGGTGGTCGACGTGCTGGCGCGGGAGGAGTGGGGCCCGGTGGTCGGTGCGCCGAGTTTCTCGTTCGACTCGACGGGGAAGGATTCGGCTTCATCCACCCCGTCGTCGCTCTCCACATCCGAAAAGTCCGACGCGACAGAGGCCGTGTCGGAGAACTCGGCATCGGAGTAGTCGGAGTACGCGTCATCGGAGTCGGATGCGTCAGAGTCCGTTTGGGTTTGAGCAAGGCTCGGGTTGCTTTCCGATACACGGATAGACGGTGTCGGTGTGGCGGGGGACGAACCAAGAGACTCCGTCTCATCCAACGCCTCCCTCTTTTCCTCATCGACCTTGGCAATCTCCCCATCCTCCAGATGCGGGGCGGACTGCTTATTCTCCACCTCCCTCTTCTTGAGGCTCAAATGACGTTTCCGTTCCCTCTTCTCGCGCTTCTCTTTTAGCAGCACGTCCTTGTCGGTGGTCTCGAGGTGGTCCTCGCCCTCCGAATCCTTCCCCGCGTCTTTGCGGTCCTTGCGTTTACCCTTCCACCGTTTGAGCAGCAACGTGACTTTGCGCGGTTGGTCGTCAACCATATCCTGCGCAAACATCTTGCCGACGGCCAAGACACGGGAGCGGAGGGACAACGGGCCCGATTTGGCGACGACTTCGAAGCGGAGGGCGGTTTGGTAGCGAGAGGTGAGGTGCAGGGTTAACGGGTCCGAGGGGGTGGCGGGGGTTTTGTCGAGGGTGAGTTTGGCGTCGGGGCCGGTGGGTGACGCCGGGGTGGTGCACCAGGTGGGGGTGAAGGAGGCGGGTTGGGCGGTTTTGGTGGAGAGGCTGGTGGGCTCCGTCAAAGGAGAGCGGATGCGGATGCGAACGTGGGGCGGTTTGGATTCGCCTGCCGAAATACATACCAACCCGAAGTCAGCGTTTGCAAAAATCATCTTCCCGTCAATAAACGGAGACACGTTACCTTTAACCATGGTCTCCAACCCCCTCAACTGCACATCATTAACCACAAGATCCCCCACAGGGAACCCCCTCATATTCTCCGGCTCCTCCAATTTCACGCTCCTAAACGCCACACTGCACCTCACCCTCCCAAACGCAATCCCGCCCTGCAACTCATGCCAATTACTAACCATCATCTCCTCCGTCTTCCCAAACACCTCCCCAAGCTTCAGCACCACCACTCCCAACACCGGGTCATGCTCATGCTGCCGTGCATCTTTGACCACGAGACGGAGGACGGTGCGCGACCAGTCGCGGATGAAGAACTCGGTGGTGGCGGCCCAGACGGGGGACGGGTTGTTGTGCTTGACGCGGGTTTTGAAGCAGGGGAGGTCGTTGCAGTACACGTGGATGTAGGGGGAGGGGTAGAGCCCGTCCTTGTCTTTCGGGCGGAGGATGAGGTCGAGGGCTTGGTGGAGTTGGAGGGAGAGGATGCCGGATTCTATGGTGGGGGGTGGAGGAAATGAGGAGGTGGTTCTTCGGGGGTGGTGTTGGTTATTGAGGGACTTACTATAGCGCTGTGCAGCCTCGTGGTTATCCTTCAAGTCCACTTTGGGGTAGAACCCGAGCTGGAAGTTCAGTTTCCCGTTGCGAGCGAGCGTTTCCGCGCCGCCATCCTTCGCTTCATTCTTCTTCAAAAGACTCTTCCATCTGGCGGGAAAACAAAAAAAAGAAGGATACGCTTCAGCATTTCCACCAACATTCCCCATCCAAAACGTATCCCGCAGGGCATACATACCCATCGAAAATAACCCCCTCCGAATCCACAATCTCCTCCACCCTAACCTCAAACATCCCCAGCACCTCATTCCTCGTCAACGCATCGAAATCCCACACCTTGACACTCAACCCCACCCCATTCTTCACATCATCCTCGGTCACAATCGCATAATGCGTCTCATTCCACAGCGGGTTGCGGTCTCTTGGTAGGATTCGGGTTCGGGCGAGGAAGTTGGTGGAGTTGCCAAAGGAGATGGTCGCGTACGGGTCCGAGGAGCCGGACCAGTCGGCGGCGCGCAGGTTGCGGGCTTGTCGGAAGACGATTTTGATGATGCCGAGGGCCCGGGTGTCGCCGAGGGCCGCGTCGCCGAGGAGGATGCGGTCGAGCTCGAGGGACATTAACTTGGGGGTCACTAGCATGTCTTCGATCTGGTGTTCCAAACAAAAAAAAAAGAAAGGGTGTTGATCAGAGCGTGTTCCGGCATACCGGAAATGCAAAGACAAAAGAACGATGACATACCGTCTTGTCAATGGTCCCCATAATAAACTGACTCAGGACCGGCAAATTCATGATATTTCCCATCTTCAACGGCTTCACCGCGAAATTGATACTCGGCTTATTCAAGAGCGTAAACTTCAACGTCTTCACAAACGGGGCCTTGCTCGACATCTTCAACCAGATCCTGATCTTTGCCTCAAACCCAGCCGCCTCCGCCATGATGGGCACCGCCACGCTGCCGAGTTTCGGGTGCCCCACGTGGATGTTGATCAGAATGTGCATGTTCAGGCGGGTCTGGGACGCGATCTCTTGCGGAGAGGGTTGGAAGGCCACCGTGAGGTCCATGAGGACGGCGTCTTCGCCCGAGGCTTTGGGGTAGACCTGCATGGAGGTGATCCGGGGCGCGCGGGGTCCGAGTTCAAAGTCCGCGATATGGATCCTGGTAATGAACGTCGGGGCCTGTGCGACAAACTGGTCTTCAAGGGTATCGATCGCCGCCGTGAACAGCGCCGGGTCGATGATCGGCCACAACTGTGCGATGAAGAAGTTGAGCCATTCCGCAGACTCGACGTTCTCGCCGAGTCTGAGCACGGCTTCGTTACGGCGGAGCTCGAAATCGACTGCTTTTTGCATGGTCGAGCGGATCCGCAGGGTGTAGAGGGCGTACCCGACGCCGAGGAAGAGGGCCCAGAGCCAGGACCAATTCCAGTTGCCGATGCACCAGCCGACGATGCCGAAGACGGTGACGAAGCCGACGTTGACGAAGGGGTCGCTCGTCATCAGGAACTGCGCCAGTTTCGGCAGGACGTGTTTCTCCAGCTCGGCTTGGCTACGCTCGCAGCTGCGAAAGGTGCCGGAAAGATAATGTTCATCACGTTTAGGGTTCTCGGGTGTGCCGGGGATATCGGTGATGGGCGACTCCAAGCCTTGGAATTTCTCTTTGAGGGCGGCGGAGCGGGCAAATGCCCAGGGTGTGCCTGAGGCGACGGTTTTGAGCTCCTTTTCAGATTCGTGGACGCCTGGGGCGGTTCGGACGCCTTCGAGGTCGGAGGTAGGGGTTTCGTTGATGTCAGTTTTGTCGTTGGTGGTGTCTTGGGATTTTGCGATTGAGGAGCGAGGGATCTCGCCTGGTTGAGCGGTTCGGGTGGCTGCCCCTCCAGAAGATGTGTTCTGCGACAACGGCCCGGGTGAAGCGGCAGTCGTGCCGGACGCGTGAGCGGTGGACGACGGAGCATCAGCAGAAGAAGGCAGGGACTTTTCCTCGGATCCCTCTTTCTTGTGCGGCAAAGCAGAAGCAGCAGTCGCCTTGATAGCGGTGACTGCAATCGCGGCATCATCACGAATCGTATTGAGCAACGACTTGTTCTCTCCTTCCTTCTGCGGCTTCTCTTCCTCCAACCCCTCCTTCTTGCGCGGCAAGGCAGAAGCGGCCGTCGCCTTGATAGCGCTAACCGCAATCGCCGCATCATCACGTATGGTGGTAAGCAAAGACTTGGACTCTCCATCCTTGTTCTGTGCAGCGGCATCTGTGTTGGATCCAGTCTTTGCCGTCTGAGGGAGGTGGGTCGTCGAGTGTGAGGATGCCTCCAAAGATCCCAAGATCGCCTCCCTAGCCAGCCTTCTCGCCCTTTCCTCCGAGCCTTCATCCCTCCTGACATCTGACTCGCCCAGAGCAGTGTGATGATCCACGTCATGCACAACCACTCCCGTGCCGCTCCCACTCCCAGTCCCATCACTCCTCCCGACATCCGGCTCCAACCCCTCCATACTGGGAATCTCGCCCATCAAGCTCCCACTGCGACTCGAGCTGTAATCATCCAGGATGATGGGTACAACAGGGTCGCTGATGGCCTCGCCGGTGGTTGGGTCGAATTCGGCGTCGGCGATGTGGCCCTCGGCTTGTGCGAGGACCGGGATGGGGATCATGGGGGATGTTGGAGAGTCGGAGGCGAGGAGACGGGCGGTGGGACCGTTGGCGGGGATGTGGTGTTGCGGGATTGGGGTGTGTTGGAGGTTTGCAGCGACGACGCCGAGGGGGATGTTGTCAGCGGTGTCGGTGGAGAGGGTGTGGGTGGGTTTTGGGGGGAAGTGGGTGGTCGCCGGGCGGGAGGTGGTTTCCTTGTCCGTTTCGATTTCCCTGTTGGCGAGGGCGGAGGAGGTGCGAGGGGGTGGTTGCACGTCGGCCATGGCTTTTATGGGACGACGGGATGCGATAGATCTAGATCTTAGAGATACGTATCACGGAAGAGAGTTGCGCACGAAAGTACAATACAGTAAAAAGCGTGCTGGGAGCGAGGGCCACTTGCGAAGAGTTGGGTTCGTTGGGCGGCCGAGTCTTGGCTTTATTTGAATCGTTGGACAGGGAGAGGTTTGAGCATTTATTATGGCATCATCGCTCGCACGCACGAGGGTGAGTGAGTTTGTGTGTGTGGGGAAGGAAGGGACCCTGCCTGCCTGCCTGCCAGGGGAGTCAATCATTTGGGGCCTGATGCCGTCATGTCGTTTCTCTCCCTTCTCCTTACTTCTTACTTACAAGTTACTACTGAGTGAGTGAGTGACTGACTGCGCGCGCGGGAGTGGAGAGACCAAACGTGGCTGAGTGCACTCTGATGTCATCATCATCATCCACAACTTCCCGCCCTCTAAACCACGCACATCAAAAAGGAGACCCTCCGATTTAAACAGGAGACCCTCCGATTAAAAGAGGGCAAAATGCAATGGCCGAGAATCGAACTCGGGTCTACCGCGTGGCAGGCGGTAATTATGCCACTAAACCACCATTGCTTCGATGATGTGAGTGTCCACATGGTCCCTTATATTATCATGCTATGCCATTGCCAATCCGCCCCACCTATCGATGTCTTTTCCTTCTACCGGCGGACGATGGATAGGTACCTGATGCCCAGCTTTCACGCTTTCCCCGCAACACAGGGTTCGATCTGCTGTACCAGTGTACCATGCATGTGCAAATTTGCCTTGAGGGCATCGGCTTTTCTGCATATGGGAAAGGGGCTTGCGTATTCTGCTTGCATATGGAGTATGGACGACAATGTGACGCTGCACCATTTGTGACTTTCTAGACACGATGCGAACATCCTCAGATGTCTTACGCTGTTGGCGACGAAAGACAGCGTTGTACACTCATGGCGGCGTTGTGGGCAGCGCTGTATATGTAGGGGGTGATGAATTGTGGATTATGCGCGTTAGTGGGGGAGGGAAAGCGGAGGAGGACCCTTGCGCGGATTTCGTGTCCCTTCGTGTCTTTCGTGTCTTTCGTGTTAGTTCTTGGGAATGGGAAGACGGCTGCCTATAATCATCATCCGTGTTAAGGAATGATGATCAGGGTGATTAGAGTGCGTTGATGAGGGCGATCTCCCGGTTGATAAAGACGCCAACCCTCGTTCTCTCCCTCCCTCCCTCCATTCGCTCCCCCTTTTCACCGCCTTCCTCCCCGCCTGCCTCCCGCTCGCAACCCTCCTCAGTGCTCACAGTCGCGTGCGGAGACAGAGGTCTCCCTTTTCTACGTGCGACTTTCTTGCTACAAACAACAACAACACTCGCTCAACCACCCCCCAACCCACCCAACCGCCGGACTGCAAACCGCATACACAACCACCCACCCTCGCTCCTCCTCCCCCCCTCCCACCCCTCCCACTGGAGCCATGTCCGTCGGAACAACCCCCCTCCCCTCAGGCCGCTCCCTCCGCTTCGGAAAGCTCATCCACAAACGCCTCCAAGGCAAATCCCGTCGCTCAGTCGTCATTGCCACCCCAAAGACAACCGAAGATATCACCTTCGTCTACGAGATGTTACGCGGCATTTGGAGCAAGGAGTTGGCCTTGAAGACCCTTAACGGGACTGGAGGTGCGAGGAGGGAGGAGGTGGGGAACCCTGCGAATGAGGATATGGCGTTGTTGGGCCATATTGCCGCTGCTGCTGTTGCTGGTGAGTATAATATGGGGGGGTGCGTGGAGTCCGAGTGCGGTGTGCGACGGTTCCGAGCGAAGCGAGGAGAGTGCGAGCGGTAGCGAGTCCTAACTGGGTCGCCGGCCCAGCATTTTGAATTACCCACCAGCCCAAACCTCCTTGGCGCGATGTACTGACGTCCGTTCACTTCGTTCACTCTCCCGATAGACACCCCTGTAATGATTCTCGGCACTCTGTCCCCGTCCTTCATCCACTTCTCATCGGTACAAAACATCCTGGACGAGCGCGAAGTAGGCACAGCGTGCAACATAAAAGTCGTCACACCAGGCCGGGACTACCTGTTCGCGGCAGACGTCTCTACCGACTACGTCGAATGGATCTACACCCTGCGAGACGCTTTCGCATCTACCCCTCGCCACAGCTTCCCCATCCCAAAGGACGTGGATGAGGATGATCTTCTGGACGATGATGAGCCCACCACAGCGAGGCGTGGGTTTACTTTCAGCCGCCCGAGCTTCACACGCAAACGATCCCAGACCGCCCCAGTGACACCCGCGCCCTCAGCCGACGAACTCGAGGACAATGAGGACAGACAGCCCGAACACAACGCAAAGGACTCCGAGCTTGACCACGACGACGACGACGACAACACCCCTCTCGGCACCATGGGCACCGAATTCGTCGACGCGCCCGAATTCCCCCCCGCGCCGTCGGAGGACACAATCGTCCCAACATCCTCCTCCGACCCCCTTATCGTCGAATCCCCCGCGTCCTCCCAGCAGCAGCAGCAGCAGCAGAAACTGCCCCCAACAGCACCCGCGTCACCCATCCGCACCGGAAGCCTCGCCTCAGTCTCCGGGGACACCCTCGCCCGCCGTCGCGATGCAGTCCGCCGGGAAGCCGTCCGATTTTCTGACCGCCCGGACTCGGTCATCGCCGAAGACGATATGCTCGCCTTGGCCGCCAACATCCCCATCCCGCCGGAAAAGGACACCCTCGAGTTGACCTCTCCCACCCTCGACACCCAACCGAAACAAGCAGATGTGCTCAGAACCGAACGCCCCCCGCGCCCCTCAACAACGACCGACCGCCCCGCCACCATCCGCCGCAAAATCTCCACCATCTTCGGGTCCGCAAACCCTTACGACGCTGACGTCTCTTCCCCGGGCACACCCTCAACAACACCCAACTCGCTCTCGCGTAAATTTTCAGCCTTCTTTGGCAACTCCCACGCGCCGGAAGTATCCAATGTCGAGAATTACACCGATGATGCGGGGACGACGACGTACCCTCAGAAATCAGCGACGTTGGAGAGGGGGAGGAACAACACCAAACGATCCCTCGGCCGGAAGATCTCGACGTTCTTTGATAAGAAAACGGAGACGATCGATACCTCCGACGCGCCGTTGGATTCCGTCACGCCTACCTCTGTCACCAGCCCCACCTCCTCCCCGGGCGTCAAATCACCCCGCTCACGGTCCCTCGTGCGTCTGTTCACCAAAAAGTCCGACATCCCCTCTGAGATCGAAGGAGAAGATGATAGACGCGGCCGAACACCCTCCCGCCCCCGGTCCCGCTCTCGCACACGCACATCACGGTCCAGGAGCTCGAGTTTGACGAGGCTGTTTACGTTGGTGCCGTCGGTGAGGATGCCGGCGACGGCGAGTTTGGGGAGTATGTTCCGGAGGGTTGTTGAGGAGGGTGAGGGGGCGGAGCGTAGTGGGAGTGACAAGGAAGACAGGGGTAGGGCCAGGGAGGGCAGAGCCGGGGTGAGGTTTGGCGACGAGGAGAGGGGCAGGCGGTGAGCCCCGCTTTGCTTCTATCGTCTTTCTCTTTCACATAACTGCAACATCACGGAGATCCCTTGACAACCCCCGCCCCAAACATCGATCCCCCCCCGCCAAAGGTCCCCTTCACTATCGACGCCGTTATCGAGCCCCCACCCATCCTATTCTCATCCCGCACCCCCGCCACCACCACTTCGGAAACCCCGATTCTCGTCATCGGCGTAACCCCACATCATCTCCCTCACGTCTTCTCTTCTTCATCCCCACGTTTCATTCAACACATCGTTCTTAGACTCCCACCCCCCTAGACGCCCCTTCCCTACATTTTTTTTTTAGACACCCCCTTTCACTTTTCACGTTTTCACACATGCGTTCCATCCCATCTCTTAGTCTCACCTTTGTAGTCTCAGTTTTTACATGGCGTTTCGGTTTCGTTTGTCCTTCTTTTTTTTTTATTTTTCTTTCTTTTATAGATAACGTTTAATTAGAATTCTTTTTCGGGTTGGGAGATGATGGAGGGTGCTGAGTGAGCGATGGGCGGGGTATTATCATTATTCCCCACGTAAATGGACGCGCAGGGGAACAGGGACGGCTGATGAGGGTTTGCAATGGGGAACGGGGACGGAAACGAGAACCCGACAGCAAGCTGTCAAAACCGTGTTCGCCAAGGTGACGGTGAATTGCCGCCTGCCGGGTAAGGTTTGACGGCCGACCGCTGAAACGGCCATGTCGGTACGGCACGTGCGCGCGTTGTTCACCTTGGGCATGTGCAAAAGCACACACCTGCGACGGGCCACGTCTCGTCTCGTCCCAGCGGGCAGTTGAACCGTTCACGCGAGATGTGGAATGAGAGACAATAGAATTGAAGCCCGACACGGTGGGCTGATTGAGATGGGCAGCGAGGCCGCGGGTGACGAGTCCGCGGACTTACAACGTGGCGGGTGCTGGGATGTGGTATGGGACGTGGTACCCCCGGTATCCGCCGGGAGGGTGGCGGTTGGTGCCTTGTTTCTGCTGCCTGCCCGCGTTTTGGGCAGATCACACGCTTTGGAACTTAGGGTGTGGGATATCATTTTGGGACTAGAGTGCTCATTGCTCATATGGGAGATGACTACTATGACACACGGCTATCCCCCCCCTCATGTCCTCCCACCAGCGCAAGCCCTTTTCTGCCTTTTGTGGTCTTCGGAGGTCGCCACTCACTGGGATGGGAGAGACCGCACATCGTATCATTCCCCCACAAGCAGTCAGTCAGTCCCTTTCGCCTTCCTCGCCACAGGTGGCTGCCAAACCTCGTTGCTCCTGGCCCTCACTGGTACCATCGCATCAGCCTCGAGGGGGTATTCTGCGTACTGTACATATACTTGGCAGCCGTAGGGTAGGGGAGGGTATTTAGCAAAACGCGAGCCTCACAACCCCGCACCGCAGATGGGAAGGGCTTTTTCCTGTCACGCAAAACATCCACTCAAAAGCAAACGGCCCGGCTTGCCAAGTGTCTATTCGCTCCATCATCCCGCACTTTGTGAGTTTGCCCGTCGATCCCCCCCACCGACACCCGTAGATACGAGGGCTTTCATAGCGTAGTTTAGCTCGGAGACCAAGTAGCCTTGTGTACGCGGTTCTGCGCTTGGACGTATCCGAAGAAGCGAGGCAACAACCTGTCGTGGCTGCCCCCCCTTTTTATAGCCGTGACTTATCCTTTCCCCCCCGGGACAGCCAACAAAAGAGATACTAATAAGATACTCCGACACCGGCCTTGTGGCACAGTTCTGCAAGGTGAGTAGGGCACTTGGGTTGGAGAAGTGCGCGTGCGCAAGCAGTTAGCAGACGCGCAGGCAAAAGCAGGCAACACATAAGGGTGAGCACCCCGCCGGAGGGAGGGGAAGCTACCAAGGGGTTGGAGAGAGGCTGCTCCAAACTACTCACAGCAAATGTCCATCGGAGACACCACCGCTCGAGGGTCGACGTCTGCCTGCGAGTGTGAATTGTGAAGCGTGCAAAACCGACCCCTGGCTAATTTCACCGTTTCACTTTTTCCATTGCGAAAATAGAACGCAAAAAGTAACACCCCGTCGACCTGAACAACCTCCGTCTCGTTTCGGTCCCCACGCCCAAAAGCAACGAGACCCCCCCTTTCACGCTTTCGCACACAGTTGGGGCATGGTACCTTCTGCTGACCAACCCGACGAAATCGCGACCCTCTTGAGAGAAGCGGTCCTAAAAGTCACCGGAAACGCAACAGCCACGACAACAGACCGGGCCCCCTCTGAGAGCAGCAGCGGCAGCAAAACCTTTGAAATAAGCCAAGCTGCCGAAGGAACCTCCTACAGCTCTAGCGGCGCCGCCCGCACACCAACAGAGATGCCCTACTCGGTATCCGCCGCCCTAGGCGATCTAGCGCAACAGGACATGGCCTTCCCCGGCGCTACCGACGAGCAGCTCCGGACGATAGCCCAAGTGTTGGAGATTGAGAGGAAGCGGCAGGAAGAGATACGAAAGACGAAAGAGCTCGAGTTGGAGATTTTGCTCTTGTCGGATCAGATGAAAGGGAAAGGCGTGCCGGCGATGAAGCCGCCATTGAAGCATACGATCCCATCGCATTCGAGTGGGTCGGCTGGGCAGTCCCATGATGGGAGGCCTATGGGGGTCTCGAATCTGTCCCGGAGAGCAGTATCTGGCATGCACAGTGGCTCTATTCAGGACCTTCCAGCGGCGCTGCCGGGGACAAATCATGGTCTGCCATACACATCCCACCTCCCTTTAGGTCCGTAGCCCTACGCTGTCGTCGACGGGGGAATGTCATTTTTACTGACTCTTCAAACAATTCAACAGATGCACATACTCTATACCCTCCGGTCTCGTACACTGTGACTCCACCAGTACACCCCTTTGACGGGCCAACCGACCGAACATGCAACCAAAATCCGAGTCTTTACGATTCGCGCGGCTGGGCCGGCGTATCTCCCCAATTCCCACAACGCATACCTCTTCTCTCCAACATCCACACTCCCGACCGTCACGACGTACCAGAGCACCATCTAGACACTCAACAACAACAACATCATAATTACCTGCCAACGCCACACGGCGGCCGAAATGAGTTTACAGCTATGGGCGGATACAACGATTTCTTGAACTCGAGCGACTCGACGTTGCCACATGGGTGGATGAGGTCGACGAGTGGGCCGGTGCCGCCGAAACCGTATGCGCCGAGCCCACTGTGGAGCGATCCTTCGCATGGAAGCTTTCCGTCTGCTGGGCTGTCTTCATATGCGCACCACAATCAACACCACCCCGACCCCTCTTCGATTAACCCATCACATTCCTACCATCATTCAATATATGCCTCCGGCCCATCGGAACCCGTCGGTCCCTTTCACCATGACCAATCCAACCCCGCAGAATCGTCCCGCTTTTCAAACACCCTACAAGTGAGGTCGCACCGCCAACAACCCTCACTGCCCATCAAATCCTCATCCCATCGTTCATCAGCGGGTGGAGAGTACGCTCACCCTTCCCCAGCGCCGACTCATGTCGGCGGTGGTGGCAGCACCGCGTCTGCCTCCAGCAGCAGCACGAGCAGCCGCAAAAAACTCGAAGAGCAAACCGTCTGCTGCACACGCTGCCGTCTACCGGTAGCCACCTTTCTCCTCCATCCCTACGGCAAAAACGTCGAGCCAATGGATTATGATGTTGAACTCATCTGCGCGGCGTGCTCGGACGGTGAAACACCCGGCAGCAGCAGCAGCAGCAGCAGGCCATCCCGACAGCCCGTGTCGCCCGAAACAGAACCCGTGTCGTCGCCCAACCTCAGCAGGAAACGCGTACACGATGATCTGAACATTGAGTGCGAGGTGTGCAAGAAGAAACTGGCGACCGGCGGGTTCAAGTTTGTCGGCGTGGATGATATGCAGATTGTGGGTGCCGGAGGAAAGCTCAGGGGCGCGGATGGCGCGGTTAGTCTGGAAGCGATGAATTTCAGGGTGGAGCCGATCTGTGTGAGTTGTAAGGCGAGGTATCGGTTGTGTACTGAGGTGAGTTTTAATTTCGAGCGGACAGCTAATAAATGCGGATATTGGATGCTCAACTGTCATCTTCTCGAATTGTAGTGTGGAGGAGGCGGCAAATTCCGCACAGGCAAATACCGCCCCGTCGAGCTCTTCGCCCCTAACCGTCGCACCTGTCTCCTCTCCCACATGCGCATGGGCGCCTCCCCTCTGCACTATAAAATCCTCACCCCTGCCGAAATCAGCGAAAAGATCCTCGCCGAATCCGGTGACGTGCACATGGACGGTTTCTACTCCGTCTACGCCCTCCCCGAAGTGATCGAAAGCCCCGGCCTGCTCGACTGCTTCGAGCGCGTCGCGGAATGGGCACATGTCGGATGGCGTGGCGCACAGCGTCTCGTTACCACCGATGACGAACATCGTGGACTTCGCAAATATCTCGCGTGTGTGTATATCGATTACCCGCAGAGCAAGCTGAAAGGAACGGCTCTGAGGCGTTTCCAGATGTCGCAGAATGATGGATCGCCGATGGGCACGTTCTGTGAAGAGCCGACGAACCCGTCGGGCAACCTGAACTACTTGTTCCCGCAAGGCGCCGGTGGCGGAAGCAGCAGCAGCGAGGGTGTCGCACACCACCACCACCACCACCCAACCCCAGATTTCTCCCCCCCCGCCCCGCCCATCACAACAACTCCAACACCATCCCAGCCCTGGGACCCCACCGCGACCACCCCGATCCAAGTCGCTTACTTCACCGCCGAGTGGGACATGCATTCCGGCACCCTCCTCTTCGCCAACGGCTATGTCCGCAACATGACCGTCTCCACCCTCCCCGTCATCCGCGGCATGTGCGAGCGGCTCCTGCAAGCCGCCATGGCCGACGCTGCGAAGCTCGGGATGCCTGAGATTGAACATCTTTGGATCATGACACGCCGGCAGCACAAACGGTTGCAGAGTTTCTGTCAACGGTTGGGATTCAGGCCGCTGGATGACTATGTGAGGTATCACCCGGAGGTCGATCGGAAGATGTTTGAGAGGGAGGTGCATGTGCCGAGAGAGCTGTATGGCGAGCTGGTGTGTAATGTGAAGGAGTACCTGGGGAGGCATCTTTGATGGGTGGGGAACAATCACCCCATCCCCCATCGCCGCCTTTGCGGCCACACTCGATAAGTTTGACCCGCTTTCTGTACGGACCCATCCCCACGCAACCCCCCGCATGGCCAGCGGAACCCACCTTTTACTCCACTGTACCTCTTCCACTTCATTGCCCCCTCACCGGGAGACCTTTTTGTATCATCCACCCAACGAAAATGATATAGTTACCCACCCCCCCTCACAACATCACACATCGACATGTTTCTCGTTTACACTACTATGTACATTTGACGGTGATGACGGCGATATGCACATTTTTGTACAACAACCATCCTATGGAAACCCCCCCTGTTCGCTCCCTATCATCTGGTGGGATGATCCGGAACAGCCCGAGTCTTTCGGCTCCGTAAGCAGGGAGGATATCCTACTCTGTGTGTGCTGTTTGGACCTGAAGGGGAGTAGACGGTTGGTTTTTGCGCCGGCTGTAGTATGGACGTGAGCGGCGAAGATGTTCGGTCCATTTGCCGGGAGCCCAAAGAGTTGCGCATTGCGAAAGGTGTTAGCAAGAGTGAGAATTCGCTTCCGGGAGGCCGCCGGGCTGTTGAATGGGTCCGCTCACATTGACAGGATCCGACACCGCGCGCGGACAGATTCGAATCGGAAAATCCAGTCCGAGTCTGTCCTATATGTACGCATCACCCCCTTAGCTTTCGACAACCGTCAGTCCTATGGAGAGGTCCTACAGGGACCGCCGACATTACGCCAACGGAACCATCTTGAAGGTCCAATCCTGGTCTCTTCAAGAGGCTTGGAGATGCTCCGGAAGCGGGAAGGTCCCTAAAAGAGCTTGGCCCAACTCATTGCGTGTAAGCCAACGCACAGCCGGTACTAAAACTGCGAGCTCAAGCCGGACGCTGATTCCCATGAGTACACGTTCCCACCAAGAATCTGGTGAGTAAGACTCAAAGTGGAGGAAATTTCTCAGGGGATGGTGACTGTTCTGCAACAGGAGGAGGATTCGGTTGGCGACTGGCAGACCCTGTGTGAGGGGCGACCATTATTTATTTGGGATTGCTCCGGCCGGCGTTCTTCATGGCAGCACACAGGACTGGAAAGTCCACACGCACAAGGATCTTCTTTCCCCGCTGATTTATGCCAAACCCGCTCCCGTAACGAAGGACTGTTCCTTATGACACCACCTATGATCCGTCAAGATCAGAGATGCCTCTCTGACATGGAGCTGTACATGTACATGTATAATATATATGCATGTCCAAGCGGTGTCTGATGCGTAGAACAGCGTAAATAGTGCAGGGGAAAGGGGTCGGCCCCCATCTGAATTTCAAAGTTCGACAGCGCGTATGCGAGAAGAAGGGCCACCGACGACTGGTTTGGGGCTCAGTCTCCAACGGCGGTAACCCTAACTGCCTTCCCACGTTAACCCTTGAGTTTTGGCCTGAGTTTTGGCAACCGCCCCGACTACTGTGGAGATACCACACTTCGTCGGCTGTCCACACGGATACAGCAGTCGCAACGCTCAGCGCAAACAACGTCAGCAAACGTAAAGCCTCTGGAATAGCTTTAACACGAACTCACTCTCACTCACCTGGGGTTCATTCAGTCATGCCGCCCTCCCGTTTCTGCACGACCTGCGCTCAAAATGTGCAGGTCGAGCACGACGACGCTATGGGCCACGTCGTCTGCATGGGCTGCGGTGGAGTCCTGGAGGAGAACGCCATTGTCGCGGAAGTCGGGTTTATGGAGAATGCGAAAGGAGCTGCCATTGCCGAGGGTTTCTCTATGGGGCATGATAAAGGTGCGTATGGACGACGGTCAACGGGGTACTAGCGAAAGCGCTCAATTTTCTTTGTGTGGTGGGCAAATGCGAGCGTTGGACGGCCCGCTTTTATTTCTGTGATAGGCCATAGTACTCACAGCGTCCCGCTCTTTTTCCTCCTGCTCCTCACGAAAACAGCCCGTCTTGTACGCAAGACACAAGGAGGAGGTGGCCGGGCGGGACGGTCGCTGCTGTCGGGACAGGATTCCCGAGACACAACCATTCAGAATGGATACCGGAGGATACAGGAAATTGCACAGCAGCCACAAATCAAGCTGCGGAGTCGTCACACTGAGCAAGCAGAGCGGACGTTTAATCTGGCCGTCAACATGAATTTCACAAAAGGAAGGAAGCTGAACCATGTTGCCGCTGCGTGTCTGTATATCGCCTGTCGGTACGATAAGACTGCGCATATGCTTATCGACTTTTCGGATGCTCTTTCTGTGAGTGAACAACCACTGATAAGCTCTGCTGTGACGCATATGCGCTTATCACTCGTCACATCCTGACCATCTTGTAGGTCAATGTATATCAGCTCGGGGCCACATTTCTCAAACTAGCAAATCTTCTCCGACTGTCAGATCTGCCCATTGTTGACCCAGCGCTATACATATCTCGATTCGCGGCTCGTTTGGAGTTTGGCGATGACGTGCAAAAGATCATCAAGGACGCCAATCGAATCGTTCAGTGCATGAACCGTGACTGGCTGCAGTATGGCCGGCGACCAGCGGGAATATGTGCTGCAGCGCTGTGGATCGCTGCGCGGATGAATGGGTACAATAGGACCCACCGGGAGGTTGTGACGGTCGTCAAGATCTGTGAGGCGACCTTGAGGAAAAGGTAATTGGGCTCCTCTAGCCGCTGAGACTGGATGGGCTTCTATTCTAATGCCTATCCAAACATCATAGATTGACCGAATTTTCCCAAACGCCTTCCGCAAACATGCAAGTCCAGGACTTCGAAGTTCAGGACATCGAAAACAGCTGGTTGGGAGAAGCTTGTGACCCGCCATCGTTCACGGCAGGCAAGCGGAAGAAGGCGCCTGGGAGCGACGGCGAGGATAATATAATGGAAGAGGAGGAGTCGCCCGAAGGATTGTCGAGTAAGAAAGCATCAGGGCTGGACCTCGATGATAATGATGAGGATGAGGAGGGCACACAGGAGCTGCTGAGTGAACTCAAAGATATTCTGGGGAGGGAAGACACGCAAGTCGTGGCCAAGAGCAACAATGGTGTGTGCACAGGTTCATACGCGAGTTTGCGGCGTGCTGTGGACTTATCTTTGATGAATTTTGACACTAGTCAAGGGATTACTGGAAGACGAGAATGAGAAACTGTCGGACCTCGACGACGATCCTGAGATCCAAAACATTGTAAGCGTCAGCACTTGGGAAGCGGAGTTGAAAGAAGCGCTATGGACGGAAGAGAACAAAGACTGGATTTTGAAACAGAAATGTAGGTCATTGATTACAGCTGCGTGCTATTCAAAGCAGTTTGGGCATGGTCCACTGGACGACCATGGCACTTTGCCTCCAAAGCCTCACTTTCTCACAAATTCTTTTCTCCAACACCACCTCACAGTAAAAGCCATGGATGAAGCAAAAGGCCTAACCTCAGTCCCCCGCAAACGCCGCAAAACCGGCAGCACCCGTCAAACCCTCCCGCACGCCTCCAATCCCGCCGAAGCCACCAAAAATTTTCTCGACACCAAACCCCGCACTTCCAAAAAGATCAATTACGACCTCCTGGACAACCTGTTCGAGGTTGATGAAGACGATATCCTCCGCAAACAGGAACTTGTAGCCAAGGGCGAGCTGAGACATGTTGAGGGGAGTGTCACAGGGTTTGGGAGGGGAGCTGTTGTTGATGAAGATGAGGATGAAAGGGATGTAAAGGGCGGGGTAGGGAAGGGGGATGATGCGGACGCGGAGGGAGAGGAGGAGGAGCCCGAGGTTGTGGAGGAGGATTTCGATGCGAATGCTTTGGCGGAGGAGGAGGATGTGGATTTCGAGGCGTTTGACCATGATCATGAGCATGATGAGTATGACGACGAGTAGGGATCCGGAAGGGCGGCCACAATGGCAAAAACTTGCTATCCCCGACGTTGTTGGCTTCCGCTTCTATTGCCGACCGACTCCATGCCGCGTGTGTCAGCCGCGCAACTGCACCGATACCCCCACCTGCACGCCCAAGGTCCTCGTTTCCCACACAGATGCATCACACAAGTGCATTCACACCAGGCTACCGTCAACGATCCGCGTCTGGAGCCCTCCGCGCGGGCTCCTCGCTTCACCCCCTTTTTTGGAACCCCCGCCCAACATACCATACTTTAGTTGGAGTCTCTCCGATTGCATTGCACTGATGCGAATCTTGAATTCAAATGCTGCCGACGGATGTCTAGTCTTGGATCAGCGTAAGCCGACCAAGACTCCCGTGATTGATTTTTTCTGGTTCATGTACATATTTACAGAAGACGTCACGGTCTTGATCGGGGCAAATAAAGATACGAAAGAGAAATGGGTGGAGCTGAGGGGCGGAACTTCATTGATGCAAGCGCAGTCGGGTCCAACCTCACTCCTTCCTCTTCGGTTTTCGTTCCCTGGTCTTTCCCTATCCATCGCAAACAACCAAAAGGCGTACGCACAGGAGCCCCCACACCCCACCCAGCCTATACCACCGCCAATGAGGAGCGTCTCGTCCCCACCGCTCAAAGCAGATGCTCACAAATATCAAGTTTCCGCTATACAATCCCCTGCTTCTTTTGCGCGTCATCCCCCTCACCATTCGCAACCCCGTTTCCCACCTCTTCCTCGTCACTTTCATCCGCAATCATCCGCCTCCATCGTTTAGACGGCCGGCTACTGTTCATCGTCGCCTTCCCAATCTCTCCCTCGCCAGTCGCACCACCCTCCCCGACACTACCATCGTCCTCTACACGTCCGCGTGTTCTGCCTATCCGCGACGCAGTCGAGGGGCCGGCGACACCCAGTTCGCTGTCGTGTCTCATGCTGGGATTGCTTGGAGCGTCGGATATGGGGTGTGCCCGGGTAGGCGAGCGGAGTCCTGTGTCCATCTCCACCTCCATCTCGAGCATAGCCAACGCGGCCTCGGCGTCTGCGTCAAAATCTTCATCCTCATCGAGGGCCTGCTCATGTTGTCCTTCGTCGTTTACATGTGAACTCGGTCTCGGCGCCATACCCCTTGTGGAAGTCGCACCCTTGCTCTTGATTTCCCCCCGTCCCAACTTCAAATCTGACGGTGATGAGCCGCCCGCGCCCGCCCCGCCATCAAGCATATCATAGGCGTCCATATCCGCATCATTACTCTCAATCGCATCATCAACAACTTCATCCTCGTCAACTTCATCCTCGTCATCGCCATCATCGTTGTCTAACATCCCACCAAACACCTTCCTCGTTGCCGAGTCAGCGTCGAATTCGTCAGCGGCGGCGGTTGCGGCACTTTCTCGCGCATCGCCTCTTTGGGTCGCCAACAGGCGGCGTTCTTCCGCTAGAGCGGCGTCTAAAAAGATCTGTTTATCCACATGATTGAGAGGTCAAGTGAGATGGATGAGACTATGTGGGTGGGACGGGAGAGGATGATTCCACATACCCTCATCCGCCTCTCTCTGCATACAGTCTCAGCTTTATTGATAAAAGCCTCGAATTGCAGCTTGGGAAACAATCCGTGTGCCCAAATCTGATAGTATGTCATCAGTTTCTGTAAATTTGCGGCCTAAGAAGATAGAGGGTCATGATAATCAGGAACGACCATCAATAAATGCGAAGCGGAATGAAGGGCGACGCGGGGGGGGGGGGGGGGGCGAACCAACGCTTCGCTGGCCAAAATGCCAACGCTCCGCTGGTGCTCGCTAAGAACCGCGGCAAGCGGAGTATGGCGCCTCTGGCGTGATGGGAACCCGCTCCCCTCGGGCTCCAATGCGAACCAGCATCCTACCTCCTTCCCCTTGTCTTTCTTCAACCTCAATTTTTGAGAGTTTGTAATGAGTTTTGGGAGTCCTTCAGCGGACAATAATTTCGCGGCGTCTAGTTTGAGTATTTCTCTGCGTGGTTTGACTGGTTTTGGGGGCGCTTGTTCCTGGCCGTCTTCTAGTGCGGGTGAAGTTGTGGTGGTGGTGTTGGTAACTGGTTGTCGCTGGGTGTTGCTTCTGGGCCTAGTGAGCGGAAATGGTGTTGTTGTCTTTGTTCCTCCATCTTGTCCCTCGCTGTTGTTCCTGTCACGGTGTGAACCTCCTCCTGCTCCTCGCATAGCGGATAAGCGCGGTTGTTGGGTGAGGGGGAGTGGACGGGGTTTGGGAGCGGTGTCAATCGTGGGGTGGGGAGACCTTGAACTTGCCAGATGGAGAGCGACAGGACGAGGGGGGCGCCGAGAAAGAGGACAAAGAGTGTTCCGAACGAGAGGAAAACGAGGAGTTGTCCGAAAGGGGAGTTGTCCGAATGAATCAGAATGACCGCAGACGTGACAAGAGGGAGTCGCTGTCGATTTCCTGTCATTTCACCCCCACACTTCGGCATACTGGGGCATGGAGATCGAGCGGATATCCCACTCTCCACAATATCGGTCCTTCACGACTCGGAGCTTAGTCGAGATAATAATCAGCATCTACAAAGACAGCGACCCCTCTCGCCCCACCGACTTACAAAGCCAATCCCCCCGCCTTCTGCACCTCTTACATGCACGACCTCACAACCACTCACTTTTCAGGCTTTGCCTGAACCTACAAACTTTCCGCTCTTGAGACCCGTGGAAGCTTTACTTCACCGTCATGAACTGCCACTTTATTCTTTACAGCTGGCTCCGTCGGCGCATTCGCAAACAACACTCCCGACGTCGCCAGCCAATAATCGTAGTCCAACACATTCCCACCCAACAGCAACTGACACCCACGTCCCAGCCCCAATGGAGTCTCCGCCGCATCAGCGTTGACGCTCGCCTAAGCAAAGAGCTCGGAGAAGCAGTCGGCTGCGCTTTCAAAAAATACGCAGTCGACGACGACGATACACCTGCAACCCCAGGCAATCTCGTCGACGGAAAGCCCAACATCTACCCGGACACACTCCCTTACGCTCCACCGTCACCCGACGAAATGTACACGTCCACTCCACCTCCAACAACCCTCACGTGGATAATCCCGAGACCTTCCACCCCGCATCCGAACTCAATGGCCGTTCCCATACCCCGTTCTCCCGCAATTACATCCGTAGCGCATATACAAGTGGACGATGGATCACCGGCGCCGCGTGAACGAAGACCGTTGCCTCCTGTACCGGGGTCATTTGGGAGGGGGAACTTTGACGAGCGCACATGTATCTCACATAGGAGGGAGATACAACGCCCTCGGTCGTCGGCGATGTTGCATACCCATATCACCGCGGCGGAACCTACGCCGGCGCTCCTACTTGCCAGACGGTACTCGGTGGATGATCCTTTGTGCGTTGAGCGGGTGAAGGGGGCCGCAAGCAATGGGTTTGGCAAGAAGAGTGGTGGACGTCACCTCGAGAATGATGAATACAACGACGTGGGGGGCGGTAACGAAGTGACGACCCTTCCGACTTGCCCATCACCGTTGAAGAAAGACAGCACTTCTACCAAAATTCCCGTCATTCCGCCTCCGTCTCCACGCAAAGATACGGATCGTATAGATGCAGACACGAACAATAGCGATACCGACGAAGCAAACATCAGGGTCCTGGAAAGCTATTTGGACGGAGCGGACGTGACACCAGCTGGTTCGATTACCGAGGAGGTGACTTTTGTCAGAACGAATGTCACCACATCCCTCCCATCGACCTGCACCGCGGAGTCAAGCGAGAGCACAACCAAATCACATCCCGAGACGCACCCAATAACCTGGCGCGACATCTACGCTGATGAATGGGGATCTGTGCTCTCCGTCCTCATCAAACAAGCCCGCCCCTCACAGGACTCGGACAAAGATTCGAATGACGAAGATCTAGAGTTAGATCTGCCTCGGACGGAGGGCATGGAGGATGAAAAGGCACCCTGGTTCTTGGATGTTGGTGTGCCGGATTTGAAGGGTGGGAGGGGGCCGAGGGATGACTCGGATCCTGAAGGGAAGATGACTGTGATGGACGGGAGGGAGACGGTGAAAAGGGAGTTAGGGGCTGCCGGAGTGTGACTTGGGCAGGGGGTAGGGTGTAAGACGTGAAGGGGAGAGTAACATTGTGTTTGTAGAAGTTCATCCATCAAAAAGTGTGGTTTTTCTGGACACGTCGCAATAATCAGCGTACCCCAGCGCTGGGGAGATATACGGATTCCTCTCTGTGCATCATTTTTCCCCAACACATGCATCCTCTTGATTACCTATCATCGTTCATTGTTGTACTGTATTCTAGCGAACACACTCCCCGCTGTGAACATTCTTACGATAATCCCATATGCGAGGATGATGTGGACACCAGATGCGCAATTACAATACGAAGCAAGTGGGATGGTACCAAAGAGGGACTCCCAACAAAGAAAACATGATATGTCCGTTGCCCACAGGCCAAGCGCAAACCATAGAGTTCGAGCTTATTTGCGAGCGTTACTAAACATGTTCTTGTCGACAGGCGCATGCACTTTGCGGTCGACTTCTTTGCAGTATTTTTCGGGGACGCCAATGGCTTCAAGTTCCTAAATGATTAAAACTTGAGCATACTCGCAAACCACCCACTCCCAAAAAAAGCGCATCTAGAGGATTCTGATACGTCCAAACCCACCTGCAGTTTCCGCATCTTGATCGCCTCAATTTTCCTTGCCTTCTCCGCGCGCTCCTTGGCGAGCCGGATGCCTTCCATGAAAAACTCCTCGCGCTGCTTTCGGCGGAGTTGCTCTTTCTCATCAATCTGAGCCTGTTACGCATGCCGTTAGTATCGCAAAAGCCAATCTCTGGTCATAAGGTCATGACCTTCCCCACCCTCCTCCCCAGCCAAACGTATTCGCCGCGAGAAAACCCACCTTCAGCCCCAGCGCATAACCCCTATTCCTCTTCCCCCTCTCCACCTCCGCCACTCTGACCTTCTCCTCTGCCTCCTTCTGCCTACTCAAATTCTCCTCAAACTCCTCTCTCATCTTATGCGCCTCGACTGCAATCGCATGGTGACGCGCCGCCTGCTGGGTCGCGCGGGATTCGCGGAGGGCTTGTTCGGCAAGTTGTTGGCGCTGCGTTTCTAGGAGGATTTTGGAGCGGTAGTCGCGCTCGTAGGCTTCGGCGGCGCGGCGCGCGCGGAGGGCGTCCTGGGCGGCTTGCTTGTCAGACATCTGGCAAGGACGAGCGAGGTAAGGTGAAATACGTTGTAAGATGGGATCATGGGAGAGTGAGAAAGCCAAGGAGTTCTGTCTGGCAGCAAACACCCGAGGCCATCCGTTGAATGGAGCGAAAATGAATACGAACCTTCTCCTGCGCCGCCCTCAACCTCGCCAACTCCTTCTCCCTCTCCGCCTTCTTTTCCCTCGCGAGTCGATCATTCTCCTTCTCCCGCTCCTCCTTTTCGATAATGTATTCAAGTACCTTCCGATCCTCCTCCTCCTCCTTGCGCTTCTCCTCCTTCTTGCGCTCCAGGCTCTCCTGGTTAGCCTGCACCACCTGTAAGCGCATCTGTTTTTGGTGTTCCATTTTGGCTGCTTTTTCCACAGAATCTTGTAGGGTCCGGGCCGCCATGGCCGCGAGGATGGATTTCGTCTCCTGCTCGCGACGCTCGGTTTCGAGGAGGGCTGCTTCGGCGCGTTCGGTGATTTGGGACCGGATGGTTGCGGCGCCCTTGCGCATCTCTGGGGGGTGAGGAGTCGGTGAGAAAGTGTGCAATGCAGTGAGACATTTTGCGTTTCTTCGATGCCACCCATGTCCTCGCAATTTGACATGCAAACCTTCCCCAATGGAATCTCTTTCCCCAGATCTTCTCGCTTCGCACCACCGCCTGAAAGGGCTCCATCCGCCATTCAGGTTGAGACCTCATAAAATGTCCATTTTCCCGCCATCCAGCCCACCGACGAAACGACATCCAACTCATCATCCCATCGTCGCTTCCACGTTCTATCCCTTGCCTCTCTTCCCACCCACCCATCACCCTTCCCTCGTCACACTACCTGATCCAGGAGCCAAATACATACCCTGAATCCGCTTGACCTCCCTTTCCTCCAGTTTTCGCAGCTCATCAACACGCACAGCCTCCATCATCGCGTCCATTCGGGCTTCCTCGGCTTTTCGCTCGTTTTTGATGATTTGCTGTGCGGGAAAATGTCTTTATAGTGAGTAAATGAGGCGAGACAAGCCGCGATGAAAAAAAACCAAAAGCAACCCCCCAACTCCTCAATCTGACCTTCTCATCGACCTGCCGATCCCTAATCGCGACACACTTTGCATAAAGCATCAACTCATTCATATGCTTAATCTCATCCTCCTGTTCCTCAATCTGTAACTGTGCCTTGGCCAATAAATGGTTCGCGCGTGCTTTGGCCTCCGCTTCCAATTCAGACAGTTTGGCGTTTGACGTGCGTGTGTGGTCGTATGCTTCCATTTTGGCCTTGCGTTGCTTGGACGCTTCAGCAGCGAGGATCCGGTGCTGTTGTTGCGAGGCAGCTTGTGCGGCGAGGTCTGCTTGTGTGGAGCCTGTTGTATAGCGCTGCAAGGAGGGAGGGATATCGCTTAGAGCTTGCTCACGCTCCCGACAGGATATTGAGCGAGGAATAAAAGCCAATAATGGGGACGCAGAACCATAGCCTTCTCGCTGACCTAACATCGACGAATGTTTGCTGTTGCTTACAGAACACAGAACGATCGAGGCTTGCTTCGCTTGCCTGCAACGGTGAATGTTCGCTCCATTCGCCGATAATCAGGACTGCTCTCTGTCGCTCGCACTTCACCCCGTTCCGTCCTTTCTGAAGCTCGGCACACTGGGCTAGGCCTCGTTTCGTTTCCTCGGCGCCTCGTTCGCCCCCCTCGTTCGCCCCCCACTACACCACATACCTCAAGCCTATCCAACTCGTGCCTCCCAACGACAACGGCCTCCCTATAGCCGACCTGCCCCTGGGGCCCGAGATCGACTTTCATATCATCCGGATGGGGTCTGAGGGTCCTAATATTATCCCTTGTGATGACAGTAATATGGGGACCACCGGTGTTTCTACCCGCCGCATTCCTTCCACGCTGGAGAGATTTGAATGTGGGTAGAGCTGAACGCGGTGGCAGGTGATTTGCTGTGGAGACGGAAACGCCTCCACCTGCATTTGAGTGGTATGGCATTACGGATAAGTGGTGGGGAGTGTGCGTGAAGCGACGACAGGAGGAGGACGCAAGCGGAACACGCGGGATATAGCCGAGAAGGAGGTGGTTGCCCCAAATCGGAGTTTGGTTGTGGCGTCTGCGGCCCTGTCAGTTTCCCTGTCAGTTACGCGAGCAGACGCACCCCTTCGAATCGATACTACTACCCATCGATCCTCCATCACTATCATCTCATGGTCGGCAACGAGACTGCTGAGGATGTGCCTGGACTAACCATCAGGGTGGAACTTCGGCAACCTGCAACCGTCAGCACTTCCCTGGCCTCCAGAGGGGGTAAATCAATCAAAGTCGTCACCAATCTGGAGGCTCCGGAAGCCATGGCCTTCCCATCTCGGGCATATTGGGGGGCTCCTTCCCTCTCTGACGTATGCATTTCATACAGCGGCAGAGGACAGCAGGGCCCTTTGGATATACTGCTTCCTTTGAGAAGCTGGTATTTGAGGTATACATCATGTCTTTACTTCCTGCACCTTCACCCTTCCCTTTGCATTCATTGTGGGTGCATCAACAAAATGTTCTGCCTGGTGTCCGCCCCGTGCAAAGATTGCCTGCGACTATGACTAGGATGTACTCCCTCGGGCTAACGAGCCGGGGTCACTCCTGGTCCAATGGTTGCGTGAAGGGCGCATACATGGGCGGGTGCTTTCACATCAAGGAACCGTCCCCCAACCAACCGAAGAGGCACCAGTATCTAGAGTGTTGAGACACGAGATCTGAGTCTAAGTATGAACCAAAGATAAGCGATGAGGTATCTAATATTTTAATGTCAACTAATGAATGGAGCTCTACTTCTCGGACTATCCCGGCCAACTGATAAATCTAGCTCCCTGACCTCTTCGCCCGCTCAAACCGCTGCGCATAAGCTACCGCACCGGCTACATCGGCGGCAACGGCATCAGACGGGAATATGTCGGCGGCGCGAGATGTACTGTACGAGGGAGTGTACGCCGAGGGCGGCATGATAACAGCAAAGACGAGATCAATTTTCTTTTTCCTGTGAATAAGTCCTGGTTACGTGCTTCTCAACGTGCTTCTCAGTTCATTTGGAATTGAGTAATTTCGTGCTCCGCCCAAAAAGTGTTCCCAACCGCTCCCACAACGGCTGCCACACCGGCGTTTTACAGCTGGGTGTGCGCATGATACCCTGGATATTACAAAATACCCTCTGGGACAGGGCGTGGGGCCCGCTTTTAACAGCTGGGCGACCGGCAACCTCTGTATCCACTTGCAACACGAAAAGCCCAAAGGCTCCCACGCCGGCGTTTGAGCGGGGCGTGGGGCTAGCGTTTCACGGCGGAGCTACCGGCAACCTGAGGAGCTTTCCTGTGCTTATAGCAGGTGGGCGAGTTCAAGTGGGGGGGGGGGAGCTTGCCAACCTGCTGGAGTCCTAGGGGTGTCGGCATAGCCAAGTTTGATGTCGGCATATGGTATCACGTGGGCGAGGGTCCTATTTGATTTTGATTAATAAACGGGAGATTGCAATAAGGCTGGACATGGACATCAGCATGGACTTGGGACTCACATGGGCGCTGGGACAGAATTCGCTGCAGTAAAAGCAACCATAACCCTCTCAGAAACCCCAACTGCACTATCGTCATCAGCCTTGCCCGGTGCTTACTCAGAGTAAGCCTTCACTTCAACATGGCTCGTCAAGGGTAAGTGTGTGTGTTTCGCACCGTCTTCCGATTTTGTCACCCGCTAACGAACGCTCCGACTTTCCCACGCTCACAGTTGGGAGGAGTCAGAGTTTCCCATAGTCGTAAGTGCTCGCTATCCTTTGCTTCTCGTTCTCTCCTCTAGATCGTAGCTCACAAAAGCCTCCCCATCCCAGTGCGAGACATGTCTAGGCCCCAACCCATACGTCCGCATGACGAAGCAGGCCCACGGCAAAGAATGCAAGATCTGTCGTCGCCCTTTCACTATATTCCAGTGGTGCCCCGGAACAGGCATGCGCAACAAAAAGACCGAGGTCTGCCAAACTTGCGCGAAAGTCAAGAACGTCTGTCAAACTTGTGTTCTCGACCTTGAATTCGGGCTTCCCGTCCAAGTCAGAGATACCGTCCTCGAATCACAAGACAGTGTGCCCGATTCAGCCGTCAACAAGGAGTTCTTCATCGCTAGCGTCGAAGGAAAATTAGGCAACGACTCGTTAATCAATTACGCAAAGGCGGACAGTGCTGCGCGAGAGCAGTTGAAACGAATGAGCAGACCCGATCCATATTATAAACGAAACAGGCCACACATTTGCTCGTTCTACGTCAAAGGAGACTGCAAAAGAGGCGATGAGTGCCCTTACCGTCATGAGCTGCCAATCAAAAATGATATGTCGCATCAAAATATCAGAGATCGATACTATGGAAAGAATGATCCCGTTGCTGGGAGAATGTGTACGTATTTGCCTGTGATGGATGGCTGTGTGAGTGAGAGCCGGCGAGGGCGTGTGGAAGGAGGGCGAGCGAAGCGAGCTATGGACCTCGGCTCGCAAATCGAGCGAAGCGACCCATCCGCATCTTCGTTTTTGACCGTTTCATGTTTGCTACTCATCCGGTCGCTTCGGCAATTTCACTGATTTGTTCCATCCCGTTCATACTCTTCTACTCCTCTAGTGAACAGAACAGACAAGGCATCGTCATTGCAAACACCGGAGGACAAGACAATCACCTCCCTTTTTCTGACAGGGGTTGACGAATCGCTGACAGAGCAGGACCTCCAATCGCATTTCTACGCTTTCGGGGAGATCAAATCCGTAGTTCTCATCGCCAAATCCAAAGTAGCTTTCATCAACTATGCCACGCGGGCCGCCGCCGAACTCGCCATATCCAAATCATACAACAACTGCAACATCAAGGGCAAAACCATCCGAGTGCAATGGGGCAAAGCTAGACCACAGGGACCGAGGGGCGATACCCAAAGTTCTGCAACTAGCGATGGCGCGCCGTCGCCGTCTCCACAATCGGGGCAGATCACGGTGGATCAGTTGCTCGCTATGCCCCCTCCGCCACCACCCCCCGGTGCCGCGGCGGCCCGCGCGATGTATCCGTCACAGGACCCGAGCTTGTTGGGGACGGCGACGGGGCGGGAGTTCAGGGCTTAGAACTCTGCGGCACGCTTGGGAATTTCGAGTGGGTGGTTTCAGAAGAAGTAAGGGGTTCGGAGGAGTGTCGGCTATCAACCGGCGCGGACGGCCCATATTGAGTCACGACGGCTCTCTCGAGCAAAACGCCGGTGGTTCTTTCGTCATGTCATATGACAATCTTGTACATGTAGAGTCTATGTGGGAATCGGTTAACCACCACCTTTGCGGCTCAGCGCATAGAGGGTACGAGGGAATGGGTACCAAAACCCCACCAAATGCGTATGGCTTCCTCATAAAGCTCTCAAGGGTATCAGGTACTGATGTGCATCGTCGGCGCATGACGGGTCCCGGAAGATGGGAAGGGGCCAGAGTGGCGATGCAAATGCGGAAAGGACAACAGTGGACTGCGTGCAAGGCTCCTACGTACGGCAAGCGTCCTCCCCTCCCGGACAGTCGGGAGAATAGAAAAGCTACGGGTTCTCCTAATTAATGTGTGGCGGATAATACATGGAGCAGCGCGAACTGAAGTCCCCGCGTTTTGACCATGTTTCTGTGTATTATAGCGAGCATTATTTTTACTTAATTTCTGACATCCGATGAAGTGCTACCATCCTTCTCGTTCTTGTTCCGCATCCACCCCTTTTCCTTAATGTCACAAATGCCAGCCAGTATCCCAATGCCTCCTACCCCTTCCTATCCTCAGCTCCAACCTTCCCCTCAGGCCCAGCATCACCACCAGTAACATTCCCTTTCGAGTTCACAATGGCATTTCTGCTCCCGCTTTTTTTCAAATTCCGCTCGCTGCCTATGCCGTTTGCATTCAGCGCCTGCTTGCTTCCGTCACCAGCAGCGATAGCGTCATGAGTGTTGTTGGTATTGACATTGGAGTTCAGCGCACCGGTGGATCGAGATGTGGCGAGGGCGTTGTTCGAGCCCTTTGGGTTCTGCGAGCTACCACCGCCACTAGCAGAAGGAACAGCGTCGTTCAAAGCATCGACGCTCCGGCCCTTCCCCTTCTGAGTCTGGCCATGTTTGTCAGCGTCGTCAGCGGAGATCAATTTCGTCGCACTGGCAGTCGGAATGGCTCCTGTGCCTGGACCGGGGATGGGGACGGTAGTGTCGGTCGCGGGGACTCCGATGGCGGCAGCGGCGGCGGGAAGCGCCGTGGGATCCGTTTGTTGCATCGGCGCCACGCCGGGAACGGCGACCGGGGACATTGCGTAGGGCTGTTTTTGGTGTGAGGCTCCACAACCCATCTTGTCTAGCGAGGCCGACTAGGAAGATTTCGGTTTGTTGCCGTCGAGTTCGGAGGCTGAGTTCGGTGCGCCGGTTATTCGCAGTTACTGTTGCACCGCACAGAGGAGTTTTAAATTCGCGACTTCTGCTCACTTCACCGAAAGCAGTTCCGTGCGGTGATCGACGGATATAATCCACGAGCGGCGATAGCTAAGATATATGGAGGAGAGTGTATACTTGCTGAAAGCAAGAGTAGTGCAGCCCCGCCTGTCGATTTAGAGCGCTTCAAGTAGCGGAGTTGACTCCCTCCCAAAGTTGTGTAAGCGTGGCGCGCAGGTGGCTTTGCTGCTTACGAGAGGGAGAGCGTCCTTCGCTCCCCGTTTGTTCGCCCGGCCTGCAGAGACCCCAAGTTCGAGACATTCCCGTGAGTACTGGCACATGAACAAGCGGGCCGGGCATATATAACTTTCTATTGCATGAACTCCCAAGAGCTCGACGAGTCGGAGATACAGAAACCCCAGGAGGTCCTGCCCTTGGCTATTTCTTTCTTTTGTCGTGAACGAGGGAAGGCCCTACCGCACCCCACCGCCTGTGCTGCCTTGAGAAACCTTCGAACGGTGGAACGACCCTACCCGGAAATTTCGCCTGCATCACGAAGCCTTTACCGAAATGACCCTCAAGCATGTGAAAACAGGGCGCCCAGGGGCCCCCTCTACATCTGACGCCTCGTCAGAGTCAGAGCAAACACCCGTCACTTCTGCCCCTTCCACCCCGGCTCAAAACACTTCGCAACTCCTCGACCCTATCTCCTCCACGAAAAGCTCACCTCAGAGGAAAAAGAAGGGCAAGCGTGGGAAGCGCCTGTACAAACTGGGTGACGGTGCACTTGCCGCTGCTGCAGCCGCTAAATCCGAGCAGATGAAAGCGGGAGAGGAGGAGGAGCCCACTGGGAAGAAGAGGTGTGGCAACTGGCGGCGGGTGTCATTGGCCGGAGGGGCCTTTGTGGACACGCCGGTCGTCTTTTCCCTGGATACGAGGTGCGGGTTCGAGGAAATTGGAACAGATTTTACATTTGGTGATTTCGACCTTCTCGCGGTCTCTCACATTTTCTCCCGTGTGTGCCGTCTCTTTCTACAGTACGTTCTTTTGCATCACTGGTGCTCGTGTGAAGGTTCACAGCGCAAAGACAGGGTTGGCCTTGCGGACGTTGCAGTCGACGTCCGAGTTACCCAATATTAGGTGCACTGCTGTCAATCTCGATCCGGAAAATGGAGACCAGGTATGATTGTGGTTCGCTTGGGTTAAGATGCAGGGGATAGAAGGGAGTCGGTCACGGCTGGGCGGATGGGCCTTCGCCGTCAACACTGTGCGCGAGCTGATTTGCTTTGGTTTTCTTGTAAACGCCTATTAGATCTACTCTGCTGCGACGGACGGCGTTATTTCCCTTTGGAACTTTCGTAGTGGATCGCTGGTGCAGGTAAGGGGTCAAACACAGAGGTTGCTCGCCTGTTCCATCGCTTACAATGAGTGCCACAATCGAACCATCGCCTTCCCGAATGCATCACAGCAATGGAATACAGGCAGCGCAATCCTCGATATGAAGATTTCACCCGCATCCTCACGACACGCCTTCCTGGTCTGCACGCGCAACAAATTCAACCCGAGCACACCCTCTAGACATGTGCTCGCCCGATACAATTTCAAACAGGGAAAGAAAAGTACGATTCTCCAGTTACACCACGAGTTCATCGACATGGATATGGCCCGTGATGGCAGGTTGCTCTCCATCGCGTCGAGAGATACTGCTTGGGTCGTTAGCTGTGAGGAGCCTCACAACGCAACCAAGTGAGTAACGGGATGCAGTACGCACTGTTTTTGGTATTGTAGACCCAGCGACAGCCGAATCACACATGACTGACGCCACCCATTCTCGTATTAGATGCCCCAGTCCCTCGCAAAGAATCCCTCTGTCATCCGTTGCGATGCATCCGAAAGGCGAGTTCATCGCCGTAGGGGACCTCATGGGGCAGATCACGCTCGTGCATGTGCCGTCCATGCTGTCGGGAGAGCATGTTGCAAGATCCGTCTTGCATTGGCATTCGCATCGTGTCAGTGGAATGGTTTTCACGCCTGATGGTAGGTCGATTCGAGGCTACACGCCTTTCACGCCCGGTATTCTCAACTGACTATATGGTCTCCTTGATCACCCTACTTACTCTTTTCGCAGGCGAGTATCTTCTCTCCGGCGGCAACGAAGCTGTCCTCGTCATCTGGCAGCTAAACACACGCGACAAGCAGTTTCTTCCTCGGCTTGGGTCTGCCATCCGCACCGTCGCCGTGAGCGCCGACCAGTCCGTGTACGCCGTCACGCACACTGACAATTCTATGCGCCTTGTGGAAGCAGCGAATTTGAGGCAGAGATTCTTGCTTGCGGGTTTACCTGTCGTTGGTACGTTTTGCCGGGGGAGCTCCATAACTAGTGCTCAATATGTGAGGACTCATCGTGCAGCGGGATTGCGTTCATTTCCAGATGCGGTGGGAGCGCCGGAAAAGGGGTGGAAGATGACAACCGATGCCAATAACAATGCGGTGGTGTTGTACGGACGGAGCGGCAAACTGCACTTCTATGACGTGGACGGGGACAAGCGTATTCAGGAGGTGAGCTCCGACTTCATTAACCGGAAGGGCAAACCAGCGATGGGAGTGGAATCATTTAGATTGCGCATATCCAGATCGAAATCACACCTTCCAACGCCGCCTTGGCGCTTCGAAAGTCCGAAAGCTCGGCCATTGTCGCCAACGTATCACATGTTGCGCTCACCGCCGATAGCACTTGGATGCTGACCGTCGACGAACGGTCCCGCCCGTCAGTCGCGCTTCCCTTCGAGTCGCGCCTCAAGTTCTGGAAATACGACCCCAATGCAGGAACTTATCTCATCTCCACTCGCGTCGACCGCCCTCACGATGGAGAGGTTACTGCTGCAGCCATGGGGCCGAAAAGCCTTCAGCCCCTTAGAGCAGCGACGGCAGGGCGTGATAGATGCTTCAGAGTCTGGAGGCTGAGCAAGGTTGCGGGCGACGAAGAGGCTAGCGAGGAAGGTGCGTTTATGCCGACTTTCGATGTTCCTTAGCACAATGCGTTGAGCGATGCACTGGTGCGCTTCGGACTCGAACTTATTAGCCGTTCTTGTCATGTGCAGATGCTTGGACCTGCCACTTTTCGGGATCGTACCGCAATATGATGCCGACGAGTGTTTCGTTTTCGAGTGACGGATCGTTGATATCCGTGGCTTTTGAGCAGGTGAGGCCGGCTATCCCCCAAGACTCACAGACATTCCTCTTTTCAACTCGGAACTCATAACCCAATCAAATGTCAGACCATCACGTTGTGGGACTGCGCGGGGAGCATCCTCCAGTCAGTCCTCACGTCCCCGTCCCAGTCCCCTCTCTCGCGGGTGGACTTCCTAGCGGGATCAAGCTACCTCCTCACATCTTCGGACACGCATATTCATGTGTGGAATTTATTGACTGGCACATGTGAGTGTTCCTATGTTACTGTGGCATGCCATCTCTCGTAGCATACCAAACAAACTTTGGGCATTCTTTGTCGGCAGTATGGTGGACCGTTTGCATCAACTCGAGCCACATCGCCATCGACACGCAAGACGCGCGTTTCGCGGTTCTCTTCCACACATCTCCATCTCACGACACCACTACTACTCCATTCGCCTCCCACATCGCCCTCTTTGACGCCGACTCGCCGACGCCGCTCGCTACGTTTTCATCAGCCGCGTCGCCCGGCCCTCGCGCGGCAACGTTCTTGCCTCCAGCCGGTAAGGAGCAGGCCTCCAAAGGAAGACGGGGAAAGTCGAGACTGGTGGTTTTGGATGGGGGAGCCGAATTGGAGCTGTTTGCAGAAGAGGAGATGCGTTTGGGTATGGGTGTCAAGGTATGATTGGGCGTGTTTCTTTTTCGCGAGTAGATACCTTGTGGGATACGAATGTAGAAGACCAAACCTTTTTCGCGTGTTTCTCAGGCGCCGAACATGACCGCCGCGCGTGAAAAGAATCTTGCACCCACCGGGAACGCATGGAGCGCGCTTTACGGCACATCAACGTCCGATCTTCACCAAACCCGCTTGGTCCCCACCTCCATTGTCACGACAACGCCGGACGCCCCTCTATCCACCACAACCCCTTCCCATATCCACCCGCCACCCAGCCGCTTTTTCATGTCCGTCATGGAAGCATTTCTGCCGGTGCGTCGGGAAACGGGCATGGACTCTGACCCAGCTGTGGATATGGAGGAACATCCCTTGGAAAGTACAACGAGGAATGCGAAAGATTGGGTTAAGACGGGTGCATGTGATGGGCCGAACAAACACGGCACAGCGGTGCCGCTGGGACGGACGGAGGAGGTAAAAATAGAGGCGGCGTTCAGGCGGCTCTTGGGGGTTTGAAGGTGAATCGCAAGCGAAGTTCTGGCGTGCAAGGAACATGGCTCAACTTGATTTGGGGCCAAAGCATTCTCACTCGCGGCAAAGTGGTACATAGACGAAGGGGCATTCAGCGTGTTGCTGTTCAAATTAGTTGTAGCGCTGTAGAATGACCATATAATTTTATATCTTGCATTATTCATCATTAAAATTTGCCTGAGTTGGTCTTGGAAGGAAGGATCGTTTATGTGGAGTTTTGGCTGATGTGTGTTCATCTGAGGTAGTATGGACATATGTGGGAGTGTGTGTCGAGCTAGATTCAACTTTTTCGAGTTTACGGGCACGTTTCTGACGATGTTGGATCGTTGAACAAGTTTTGGATGTCAAATAATGCGTATCTTGTCGAGTTGAGCACTTTGGCGCGTTTTGGGTCGAAAATTGGTGATTTTGGGACGATATATTGGAGATAGGGCGTAAGTAGCGACCGTAGGGGGGTTTCAGATGTCTTCAATAAGATTAGCAAAGACGGCTTTAGTGATGATAAAGCTCAGGGCTCATGACCTATGGAAACCTCTGCTGATATAGGTGTATCTTGTTGAAGGTATCATTCTCCCGAGTCACTGGATAGGGTTCCTGTAGTTTATTTCCTCACGTGACTTCACTCCTGCTTACGCCATGCTTCCACATAGCAACTTCTCCCTTTTCTTCCTTCCCCGGACCTCACGGTCCTTTGTTCTGTCTTTCGACAAAGAAGTCAGAGAGTGCGCAGGGTTCACAGTCGGTAACAAAGACTTTTGGCGTACCGACATGTTTCCATACACGATCCAAGCAAACTTGAGCTAATTCGCGTCCAGTGATAGTTTTCTTGATCAATGTTAGGACCACACATCTGGAAAGATAATCGATGCAAACAAGACAAGCATCTAGCTCATCTGCACCGATTGTATGCCATCTTCCTAGTGGGATAGGAAGATGTCAAAGAATCCGTATCGACGGTGACCAGGCTTAAATTGTCAACAGGATTTGCAAGTTCCAATGTATTTGAGAATGTTGGAGTGTGATGTAGGCCAGTAGTATTCCGTAAGAATCCTTGCCAGAGTCTTCTCAATACCAAGATGGCCTCCAGGGGCTAGTTCATCATGGAATTGCCGGAAGATCTTCAGGCAAATATCTTCAGGACATCCTTATGTCCTGACGTCCTTCATGTCATACTATTCCAGTTTCAAATGTATAGCAAAGTTCCCTAGAAATCTTCTCGTGTTGAGGCCTTCTAGAAATTTTGTCAAGGTATCCGAATATGGGCCTTTGTGTAGCGGCTTTCTCCATTCTTGTTCTGAGTCAGTAGTTGAGCTTTGAGGATTGTCTGTCATAGCGTTGGAGGAAGTTTCACTGGCAAGCATGTTGTAATGTGTGTTGGGTTGTCCGGTCTTATTGGAGAACGACGCGTCAGTGAAAGACCTATTGCTGTCTAGGTGGAAGGCCTTCCGACCTGTCAGTGAAAGGCCTTTTGACCTGTCAGTGAAAGGCCTTTCCTAAGCACTTGGGCTTACGCCCTTCACGCTCAGGCATACGCCCTTCACGCTCAGACAGTGTTCTCCAGTGGACCCCGACCACATGGGTACTATAACAGTGCTCGTCGCGAGTTCCTATTCACAGAAAAGTAGTTCTTTTACTACATACCGAATAGCAGCGCCGGCGAACACCCAGTCCGTGTACAATACCTTACAGCAAAGTAGTTATTGTATATGAACATCAGTTATACAACCCGTGTGCAAGGTAGTCCACATCACATGGTAGCACCACTCGTTTGAACAAAACGAGCTTCCTAGTAGTAAACACGTCGGCAACTTCAGCATCTCGAAATTGCGGACGTAGTAATCGTCACAGAACGTCGATACAACCCTTCTAGACGATTCAAATAGCCTTCAGGACGTCCAGGACAACGTTCACCGTAACTCCTGAAGCCCCTAGTGCGCTATAGGCGAAAAGCGCCGACCTTTAGGTTATTTACCTATTGGGACGACTGATACGTCGCAACCATCTCGCTTTTTGACCTGGATGGTTAAAAAAACCTCCGTAACTCAGAGTGAGCCATCCATACCTTACTCTTTCGGGATATCAACATCTGGAGAGTATATATTCAACGGTCGACACGTAGTCGACATAAACGCGTGTTTACTAGTAGCCAACTGGTAACCCGTTCACGGATCGGAAATCTACCCCAGTAATTCGATCCACTTCAAACTCGGAAACCTCGTAGAGCACACTGAGCTTGAAGACTTGTGAAAGTTTCAAGGAGATTCGTCCTACGGATACGGAGATATCAAGAAACGCGCTAAATCGTCGCCACTATAACCTCCGTGTAGCAAAACTATCACAGTTTTGACCGCCCCCCGACCCCCAAAAAGGTTCTTCCCAATCCCGAGAATTATCTTGAATTTACCTGAATGTTTTGGGATTTTTGAATCACTGCAAAACGAGTTATCCATCATCGCCTTCGTCGGTAATTCGATACTTAAGCGAAAACGGATGGATAGGAAAAGTCTTTCAGTTTTGGGACAGAGCTAAGCCGTTAGGGTTCTTCTTGATCCTCTCAAAGGCCTCTTTAAACTGACAGCTTCAGATCCTGTCTAGGACCAACGCAGCCAAAACCCGCCAACATCGGACACGGTGGATTTTGGGGATTTTTCGCTCAAAAAGAGGGAAAATCTATGCCCGAATTTTGGTTATTGCATACAGCATATACCTGATTCGAAACCTAGATGTTTGTGTGTATTTGCTGGAGGTACTGACCTATACAACATCAACGGACTACTTATGTCCGCATTCTGGACGTATTCGTCGTTGGTTGAGGTTATTCGACCTGAAAACGAGATTACACGGGCCAGAAGGTCGTCATGAGTACGTCAACGGTGTGGTGCGGTGGGGAGACAGGTCATATTTCCCCAACCCTACCTGTCTGCGGAACCCTAACTCCCGTGACTCACTAGCTAGTTTATATCCCCAGTCACATGTTGTTGTATTTTTCTACTTGTACATATCCGCGCGAGTCGCGGCGGCTTCCTCTTTTCTTCTTTACCCATAATACATCTATATATTCCTGCCTACCTCAACGGGTAGTACAGTTACCAGGAGTGAGGACACTACTCCTGGGGGTACAGCTGTTATTACTGAGATCGTTGAGGAGCCGGAAACGTCGGTTGACGAACCTCATGTTGAAGTTCGCCTTCCTCTTCCTCCTCGAATGTCGGGGATATCTCATCTTTACTTGTATTTCATATTATATGTCCTTACTTCTACTTGATCCGAGACACGGGCTGGCCACCCGAGCTCTCGATGATACATTACATAAGGCGCCAAGCCTCACTGAAGCCACGCATGCCCCACTGGTAGCCCATATATAAAGCTGTCAGTCGAGCGGCCGCTGCGAAGAGCTTCTTACTTTTTTCTTCACTACAATACACTGCTCTCAGCCCTCTCGGAAGGGCCCAATATCTTCTACGTTTCCTCTGACGTTACATGGTAGCACCACCTACCGTTAGCATCACCAAGACATTCCTCGTCAACGTCGCCCCTCTACCGGATGTCGCCCTTGCACTCGTTCACAAGCAAGAATGGACCATTAAACTCAAGCTATCGTTGCGGCTGTCGCAGCTGCTTTCGCTACTCGGGAGCGTGCTGTTACGCAGGACGTCCAACGAGCCGAGCGTTTCAGACTTCTTATGGACACTCGCAAGAACAAGCTCATTGAATACAATGGCGCCAAAGCTGCCAAAACGATCGAAGAGTTCGTTACGTGTCACCACAACTTTCTCGAGTCTCTCACTGTCCTGGCTGTAGCAGCTGGAACAGACGGTACTGGAGCTGCCAATGCCATACCCTTTACTATGGCAGAGTACGCTCCTACGCTCACTACCTACCTCAAGGGTACTGCTCTCGAGTGGTACAATACAACTTACGCCGCTGGACCTCTCGCAAATTGGGCAGCTTTCGAAACGGCTCTTGTCGCTCACTTTCATCCTCGCAACTTGCGTAATACTATTGAGCTCAAGCTTTCTGGCCTCAAGCTCGGCAGCTCTCTTGAGAAATATGTCAAGGAGTTTCAAGACACCAATAATGAGCTCGAAGCTCGATAACACTCAAGGCACCATTCCCCTTATCAATCAAATTCGATACTTCAAGGCCGGTCTTCTCAAGAATACAGTAATCGGTCATTATCTCGCTGGAGCCGTTACGAACTTCGAAGTCTAGGGCACTACCAATATCAACACCCCTATCACTCTCGATCAAGCTATCACCGCAGCTCATTGTGCTCATGTGGCTCACGGGTTCACTGACGGCAACGAAGCCAATACACCTCGTCCGATTGCCTCGGCATCAAGTGCTCGTGGCGGCCGTGGAGCCAGTCGCGGTTGAGGTAGTCGTGGCGGTGGTCGTGGCGGACGATTTGCCCCTTACACCAATCCTTGAATTACGGAATTCGAGCAAGACTTAGATGATACGACCTTTGGGCTCAATGCCCTTGGCACGTCATACTATCCCCCTGGAGTGAGTCGTCTCACTACAGGTCAAGTTCCCTACCAACGTCAACAGCCCTTTTGTCGACGTGGACAATGGCAAGCTACTCACGTTCCTCGTCAACGTCCAACGACTCCTTGTCCCCTTTGTAACAAAATGGGACATTGGAGAGTTGAATGCTGGTCAAATCCCAAAAATCGACAGCAAGGCTCGCAAACCCAGAACCAACGCGGTGGTTTTCGACAGCGCGGTCGTGGCCCTCAAAGTCCGCAGCGCAGTCACCAACCTGATCAACAACAAGGTTCAGCCAATCAGGTTGATGCTGGGTCACGCAGTACGGAAATTCTCGATGACGCCGTCAACTCTGCAAATACTACGAATACTACTACAAATCAATCTTCGAGTTTTTTCCAGGGTCGATAGAGCCCCTCGGTAGCTCTGCTCGGCCTACAACATACGATCCTACCGATAAACCTGCTTTCAAACCACTGTCTGCTGGACTCTGGGTCTCTCATTGTCGCATCGGAAACAAGTTTGCTCGTGTTCTTTTCAATAGCGGCGCAACCGGGTTATTCCTTGATAAGACATTCGTTGAAAAGCACAAATTTCCCAAGAAACGTATCGAACCAAAGCAGATATGGCTGGCTGACAAAGAATCATACATGATTCTCGACATGGTTGTTTCGGAAAAGTTAGATCTATGGGATCTCGAAT